AAGAGAGCGAGCGCGAAAGAAATAAAGCCGGCTGGACCTGAAGGGGATCTGCCTTTAATAAAGCTTTACGGGCTTCATGTCTCGCAAAGGACATTCTGTGGCTCTGCTTGGGTGATACCGCAACATGCCACCGGACGCATCTTATACCAATGGCATGACAAAAATAGAGCAAGGAGACGTGGTCAAAGGATGGCATACTTTCTTCACCGTATGTGCTGTTCTGTGTCCAGTCCGTTTGTGCCATTGTCTTGTGATTATTGTCAAAGACCAATCCCCTGGAGAAGAAGGGACTCGTTTGTCCCCATTGGAAAGATTCTGTGAAACCAATTGGATAACACCGACGCAGCCAGCATCGATATGGGGACTGGGGACTGGCAATGATAGTCGGTGTGGACCAAACGCTACTGGAAAACGACGCCAGAGCCCTTCTGATATGGCCACCATGACGTTCGGGTCCCATTCACTGCAAATGCTGCTCGCATATGTACGGCCTACAAACACACATGGGGTCATACCAACTATTACTTGAAGACCTGCCACAAACATAATGGAGGCCATGCGTTCTTCCGTTACACTGTGAACAAAGAAAATAGAAAGGAGGCGAGAGGGAACAGAAGAGCGCCGTCCAGACGGAAATAGCCAACAATCAATGTTTCGATGCCGTCGCGCCATCTCCATATGATTGGTATTCTCTTCGGTCTGTCATTGTCTCAGTTCCATTCAGACAAAGAAATCGCTCGGATTTCATAGCCTCCTCCCCCCCTTAGCCCCCGTCTCCTGGACCCAAAAAAAGAAACCTGGGGAAAACCCAGAACATTCTCCTTTTTTTCTTCTGACGTCCGATTTTTCTGACAAACATTCCATTTGATTCCCTTATTATTTTTATCAATCAATCTTTCCCTATAATCCCCTATTCGTGGTTGCCTTCCGATAAAATGTACGTAGCCGCTGGATGCGTTGTTGTGTGACCTTGAGGCAAGTGGGAGGTTGGACTTTGGTTTTTTGCGCCGGATTCCCTCTGACTGACTGACATGCTACGGGATTTAACATATCCCAGCGGACCGACCCGTTCGCTACTCGCAACACTTCGCTATCGTCAAAGGGACCAAATGACCCCTAGAACACAAAAACACAGCAAATTAAACAACGATGAAACGTCCGTTCATGTCAAACAGAGCCAACGTGGCCCCGAATTAAAGTCGTTCCGTTCCATTCCTCCAGCCCCGAATGCCCCTAATGCAGAGGTAGTTCATGCTTCCATCCGGCGACGCTGATCAGGTGGGCCTACTAGTTCTCTACTAGTTAGGTCAAACGGCCTCCTTGCGTATGTTGTTTCTTTTTCTGCTGCTGCATCCACTGTTCGACTCCCCTTGAGCATGCATAGGTGCATCGGATCGTTTTTTGCCCCCCTTGTATTCTGGTTCAGTTGGTGATTCCGTGGTTCCGATATACATACGGGCCTGATTTAGGGCGCTTTGTTGGATGTTTGTGTCTGTCCGTCTATCTATATGCAGGTCTTGATAGATCTAGAATCTGGTTTGGGTGGACGGTATGCATTGAGCCGATGAGGGGTGAGTTTTCCGGTCTTGGTTGGGTTGCCACTTTCCTATTTCCCTTTTTTGGTGTTTCTTGGTTGCTTTGGGCTTGCTGAGGAGGGTCTGTTGAGATGGATACTCATGTTTGGGTAGATGAAACTGCAATGTACGCTGGCTTGCAGGGCGTTTGGAACTATGTTTAGGGCTTAAGGGGTCAGTTGTTGGGATTGAGGTGAAGTTGTGGATACAGAAGTTCCTTCTTTCACCTCATGTTTATGCTTCAAGTTGGGAATCACGATTGATGCCTTTGTGAATGGGATGGGGAAGATCAATGGACGATTATACTTATCATGGAAGTTATTGAAGCATAAGATCTTGTGAACCGTAATCATAATCATGATCATTAGATTTCATTTGATTGAAGAAACATCAAATCGTCAAAGGCTAAATCAAAGTAACCTTGCATAACCCATCCTCCATTGCCGTTTCTCTCGTACTACTCCAGCCCTATGCCTGCCTGCTTTCCCACTCTACCTGACACTTTCCTATCCCCTCACATCATCACGATCTGCCTGTGCTCTCTCTTTCTTCGCCTTCTGGATATCCAACGACATCTTCACCGGCGCCACACCCGGCGTCTCAAACACGGCATCGATCTCCTCCAGCGACAGTCCCTGCGTCTCAGGGAAGACAAAATACGACAGGACCAGCTGAATGCAGTTGTACGCAATATACACCACCCAGATCTTGTATCCGATCTTCTCGATCCCCACAGAGATGCCGTACGTCTGGGCCGCGCCGGCGCCGCCCTGGATGAGCGCGTACAAGCCCATGCCTTTCGCGCGCAGCGCCAGGGACAAAAGCTCGACCGGGTAGAGGTTATGCATGGTGGCGATCAGGAGCGCCGAGCAAGTCTGGTACAGATAGATCCAGAGGATGGTGAGGGCCGCGGCGGCCTTGCTGCCGGAGAGATTGTACTGCCAGGAGGTGATGGTCACGGCGGTCTGGAAGATTATCATGGTTGCGAGACCGGAGAAAATTAACGTGCGGCGTCGGAATCGGTCAATTATGATGGCTCCCATGGCCGTGAAGACGAAATATGTTGCCGTGGTGCCGAGCGTGATGCCGAGTTGTTGCATCGTGCCTTTTACGCCAATAGTCTCGAGAGCTGGGACCATCTGGTGTTACGTCGTTTATGGTTAGCTTTCTTTTTTGGGGAGATGAAGAGGAAGAGATGGAGAGACAGGGACCAGGGATGTCCGGATGTCTCGGAGAAAGAAGGGAATAGGGGGGAAAGACTTACGTAGTAGGTGATGATTCCTCCGCCATTCCATTGTTGGAAGACCGAGTACAGGAAGAGCACGAAAAGCCGGTATCGGACCACTTTTGTGAAAAACACCCGGTAGTCCCAGAAGCTGCGGAAGCCGGTCCGGTCGTTCTCGATGGATGCTTCGATCTGCGAAACGACCATGTCGACGATGGGCTCATTCACGTCGCCGCTCGTGGTATGATATCGCGCGACGACCCTTCGCGCCGCGTCTGGTTTCCCGCGCATGACGTAGTAACGAGGCGACTCCGGGGTCAGGAAGAAAATGGTCACACAGACAATCGCGGGAAACAGCGCTTCCAGAAGAAGTGGAATCCGCCAGCTCCAGTTCCCATCCATCTTGGAGAGCCCAATCATGGCGGCTGTCATACACAGACTTCCGACTTGGAAACAGGCCCCGAAAATGCCGACCATCAAACCCCGAAGATGCACCGGCGCAATCTCGCCCATGTACTGAGAGCTGGATAATAGCGCGGACCCGAACCCCATCAGAAATCGGCCTGCCATGAACATGGACATATTGGTCGAGCAGCCTTGCAAGATGGCGGCTGCGACTACAAGGGCATTCCCTATGAAGTTGATGCCGCGTCGGCCAACAACGTCCGAAAAGGCCAGAAAGGGCGCACCGCAGACATTTCCAATATTCATCAAGGCGTTAATTAACCCGTACGTCCCGCCGCTGGTCCCAAACCCGAAGTAGTTGTGCCATGAGTCGTAGGCATTAATGCCGCTGATGACGGCCCAATCCACCCCGTACCCGGCTTGGTTACATCCCTGGACTAAAAGGATGAGGAAAAGGCGAAAACCGGCCCAGGACCGAAGGTTCAATGCTTCCTTGGACGCCTTCCATAGGTCTTCCTCCGTCAGACTGGCAAGAACCGCTTCCTCGACATGCTCGGGTGCCTTCTTGATGTCGACCTCCTCCTCGTTCAAGACATGCACAATCTTCTTTGCCATGGTGGGCAGGGTGTGCGGATGTGAAGGAGCTCCTCTCGGATGAATATCGACGTGCCACAAGGACTCAGATAGCCGGCCCAAACCACCAGTGCTGGTTGCCCTGGGGTTGTACAGCTATATGTTTGCACCGGCCGATCTTGGTGGCCCGAGCTGTCTCTGTACGACCACCACATGATGGAACTAAATGAACTCCCTGCATAGACCATTTTTGCCACGGGGCCACTTTCTTTGCCTAGCCCAGAAAAAGCAAAGGAAACCTGCAAAAAAGGCTTCAAGAAACTCCATTCCTTCCGGCTAGATATGGGACAAATTAGCCGTAAAACCACCTTTCAGGCACATTCTTTTCTTTCCAATGTGGCGTTTTGACGGGTTGTTTAATGGCGTGTTCTGACAGGTAAGGTGGAAAGGCACGTCTGACCTAGCAGCCTTCGGTCCTGTGCAGCACCAACATTGCATGGGCTACTGCCTAGTAGGTTATGCGAGGCATTCACTCCATGTAGCCTCCTCACCTCCTTTCCTTCTCCTGCCCCCCTTCAGTGGCCTGTCTTTCGTCGCAAAGAGAACAACCGAATTTGGCGAGCGACTCTCTGCTTCAAACCTCGCTCTAGCACTAATAGGCCGGGAAGAGTCTAGAGCGATGTTAGTGCAAATTATCGATTGGCCAGGCAAAAGAACTAACTCAGATTACGTTCGGGCTAGACATTTGAGACCTTGGGGAAGTGGGAACCACCCTTGCGTTGGGCGCCCTCGACTGGAGGCGATGTTCCAGTCATTGGATAGCTCAGATCAGACGATGGATTCACTAGTCCAGGAAAGAGACAGCGTCGAGGACTGGAATGAGGACTCATTCTCAGAGGCAAAGATAGTCCACGAATGGCGGTGGGGAGAAGGGAAGAACGAGGCTCTGGAGGGCCGCGAGGGCACATGACCGCCTCTGCATTTAATTAATTTCTCTCCAGCTCAACTTCCTTCCTTCATCCCCGCAATTTCTCCATGGTCTGATCTCTGTCCATTCCTCCCATTTGCTTCTTCCTGGCGACACCCCGGTTAACGGACCGTTTCCCCGACCATGGATTTTGGTCTTCCCCCAGATTGGATGGAGTCGAGCCTTCGATGCATAAAGGCTCGCGTCCGGTCCAGTCGTTTGGTAAACTAAGGGAAATCCAGGTTTGCTCGCCATTATGTCCGAACTCTGGTACCAGAGCCCCGCCGGCAATTGGGATGAAGCTCTACCTGTCGGAAATGGGCGCTTGGGCGCTATGGTTTACGGAAGGACAGATACAGAACTATTGCAACTCAATGAGGATTCAGTCTGGTATGGAGGACCCCAGAACAGGACCCCGACCGACGCTCTTCGCCATCTGCCACGGTTGAGAGAATTGATCCGCAACGGCGACCACGGGGAGGCGGAAAAGTTGGTTCGTCTGGCCTTTTATGCACACCCTATCAGCCAGCGGCATTACGAGCCTCTCGGTACGCTATTTTTGGAGTTTGGTCATAAGTGGGAGGATGTGGCTGAATACCGACGCTCCTTGGATCTTCAGAATGGCATAACCCAGGTGCAATATGAGTATAAGGGGGTCCAGTTCGAACGGGAGGTTCTCGCTAGTCATCCGGATGCTGTGATTGCGATGCGCATTCAAGCATCCGAACGTACTGAGTTTGTTGTCCGCCTGAGTCGGATGAGCGAGCTTGAATATGAGACCAATGAGTATCTGGACGACGTTAACACTGACGGTCATCGCATTATCATGCACGCTACCCCTGGTGGACGAGACAGCAACAAAGCGTGCTGTGCTGTTAACATTCGCTGCAAGGACGATGGTACCGTTACTAAGATCGGAAATAGCCTTCTAGTAAATTCTCGAGGCGTCCTATTATTTGTTGCAGCGCAAACCACGTATCGATGTCAAGATGTCGATCATGCCGTGTATGCGGATCTCGCGGGCGCCTTGGGATTCTCCACTGCGAAAATATGGTCCCGACATATAAATGACTATTTGACTTTATATGGTCGCATGGAGCTGATTATAGGCCCAGATGCCAGTGACTTGCCTACTGATGAGAGACTCAAGTCTGCGCATGACCCGGGGCTGATAGCTCTCTATCACAATTACTGTCGCTATCTCTTAATATCTTGCAGTCGAGAGGGAGAGAAACCACTCCCAGCAACACTGCAAGGCATCTGGAACCCGTCTTTCCACCCGCCATGGGGCTGCAAATATACTCTTAACATAAACTTGCAGATGAATTACTGGCCCGCGCAGATGAGTAACCTCGCGGAATGTGAGATGCCGTTGTTTCATCTCCTACAGCGAATCGCGGAGGCCGGGAAACAGACGGCGCAGGGGATGTACGGCTGTAGAGGCTGGACTGTACACCATTGCACCGACATCTGGGCTGATACCGCTCCGGTGGACAAATGGCTGCCAGCAACCCTTTGGCCCTTAGGAGGCGCTTGGTTATGTACCCATATCTGGGAGCATTTCCGATTTAATGGCAATGAAACGTTCCTGCGGCAGATGTTTCCAGTTCTACGGGGATGCGTAGAGTTTCTTCTGGATTTTTTAATCGAGGATGTCTCTGGAAAATATCTCGTCACGAATCCCTCCGTGTCCCCAGAAAACTCGTTCTACGATGCCCACGGGTCCCCGGGGATTTTATGCGAGGGGTCCACCATCGACATCCAGCTCGTCAATGCAGTACTGGATGACTTTGTGAAATCGGCCGAGGTCCTAGGTATTGACGACACGTTGCTTCCAGCCGTTCGCAATACGCAAGAACAACTACCACCCATGCGCATCGGATCTTTTGGACAGCTACAGGAATGGATCACTGACTTTGCCGAAGTCGAACCGGGCCATCGCCACATCTCCCATCTCTGGGCATTGTACCCTGGAGACAGAATCCTACCGGAGAAGACACCCGACCTTGCCGAAGCGTGTTCTAAGACTCTCCAGCGAAGAGAAACCAGCGGTGGGGGTCATACAGGTTGGAGCCGAGCATGGTTGATCAATCTGCATGCACGGCTGCGAGCAGCCGAAAACTGTGCGCAGCATCTAGACCGTCTATTGGCACAGTCCACGTTGCCCAACCTGTTGGACACCCATCCACCGTTCCAAATCGACGGTAACTTTGGCGCTGGCGCAGGGATCCTGGAGATGCTTGTCCAATCCCACGAGGAGGGGATTATTCGGCTTCTCCCTGCATGTCCTGCCAGTTGGAGGACCGGATCTCTTCAAGGTGTGCGAGCCAGAGGGGGATTCGAATTGGCGTTCGATTGGAAAGACGGTCTGATCCAGGGCTCGGTCACAGTTCGCTCACTCCGGGGACACAGAACTGTCCTCTATTTCCCCAACGATGGGGCGCGTGTAGAAGTCCAAGGCGAAGGCGTTCACGTAATTAAGGCGCCAAATTAACTAGAACACGACTCAATAGACATCGTCAAAAGTCCAGTCCGTCGATTTTCTCCTTAAGGATTCTATCCTTGTCAGGGCAAAGAGCACGCCTACCCCGCTGGTTAATAAAATTCAAGTCAATTTAACCGGATGATATTAGCCCACGATATCACTAGGTCTCTTGCCCCTCATGCTGGATGCGGGGGAAATTCGGACTTTTTCACTACTATATTCCCTTTTTTCTCTTTCTCCTCTTGCCCTCTTTGTGTCTTTCCATAGAATTTACTCTGTTCACTAGACGCAGGTAGTCTAGCAAAGGATACCCAACGACGCAAAGATGGACCTCGATGCCGTTCAAGATGTCAAAGGTGCCCTCCGAAACGACTTCTTCCACGGATACGCCACGGCGGCGGCGCAGATTGAAGGCGCCTGGAACAAAGATGGCAAAGGCCAATCAATCTGGGACACTTTCAGCCACACCCCTGGAAAGGTCATGGATGGAAGTACATCCGACGACACGGTGCGATCCTATGATCTGTACAAAGAGGACGTGGCTCTGATGAAATCGTACGGCGTCAATGCCTATCGATTTTCACTGTCGTGGTCGAGAATCATTCCCCTTGGTGGGAAAGACGATCCCACCAACGAGAAGGGCATCCAGTTCTACTCTGATCTGATCGACGAGCTCCTCAAACATGGCATCACCCCGTTTGTCACCCTGTTCCATTGGGATACGCCGCAGGCGCTGGAGGACCGGTATGGCGGCATGCTGGACCAGGAGAAATTTATTCCGGACTTTGTGAACTACGCACGCCTCTGCTTCGAGCGCCTCGGATCGAGAGTGAAGCACTGGATCACCTTCAATGAGCCGGGCGTTTACACCCTGGCAGGTTATGCGGCCGGCGTGCATGCGCCTGCTCGCTCGTCCTTCCGCGACCGCAACGCAGAGGGCGACTCGTCCACCGAGCCGTTCATTGTCGCTCATACCGAGCTCGTAACGCACGGCCACGTCTCGCGCCTCTACAAACAGGAGTTCCAGCCCGAGCAGAAGGGAACCATCGGCATCACGCTTCACGGCAACTGGTCCGAGCCATGGGATGCAGAAGACCCGCTGGATCAAGAAGCGGCCGAGCGCGCCCGCGAGTTCGAGATCGCTTGGTTCGCCGATCCTCTCTACAAGACAGGCGATTACCCTGCCTCCATGCGCACGCAGCTAGGGGACCGTCTTCCCAGGTTCACGGCAGAAGAATCCAAGCTCGTGCTCGGCAGCTCTGAGTTCTATGGCATGAACACGTACACGTCCTTCTTTGTCAAGCACAAAACCACCCCTGCAGATATCAACGACCACAAGGGCAACGTCGAGATCCTTGACGAGAACAAACAGGGCGTTCCGCGCGGCGAAGAGTCCGATACCGAGTGGCTGCGATCGTCGCCTTGGGGATTCCGAAAACTCCTCAACTGGATCTATTCGCGATACCAGATGCCAATCTACCTCACTGAGAACGGTACCACAGCGAAGGGAGAGGTTGCGCCCACCCCGGCGGTCCTGAACGATGAGTTCCGGATCCGGTTCTTCGAGGGATATGTTGGCGAAATGGCGCGTGCAGTCAAGAATGATGGTGTCGATATCCGATCATACTTTGCCTGGACATTTACCGATAACTGGGGTAAGTCGACATCTTTCGGAGTTTGTGGATCGAATAACTAATCGTTTCTTGTGGCAGAATGGGCTGCTGGCTTTAGCGATCGGTTTGGAAGCACGTTTATTGATTTCGATTCCCCTGAGAAGACTCGTCATCCGAAACAGTCAGCATATTATCTTGACAAGCTCTTCAATCATCTGATTGCGAAGACCTGAGATTTGAGCGGAGTTTAGAATGGATTGGGATAGGGATAATTAGACACTTCCGTTACAAGCGGCAGATGGTAAATTTCAAAGTCAAAATAGGAAAACCTCGTTCATGATCCGGTTTGGTCAATGGTTGGTTTGTAGATTATGAAGACAGGGAATTTGGACAGTAGGTAAAGGAAATGTAGGGGAAAACTGAATAAAAAAAAAATAAAAAAAATAAAAAAAATCGAAAAAAGAAAACGTTTAATAACTTTTGTATTCTGACAATATGACAAATGAAAAGTGCATTACAACGCGTATAAATCACAGAGAAACAATTCAGTCTGGTATATAGTCAACGTAAAAAGCACAAACAAATGTAATATATAGAGTTTTCACACTCTGACGATCTGGAAAACGAAATGTGCGTAGCAACGCACAAATGAATCATAGAAAAGAAGGTCAATCTGGTATAGTCAACGCAAACAAACATAAAAAACTGAAACTTTTATATATAGCACTCATAACAATCGTATAAATCACAGCAAAGAAATTAGTTCTGATATATATAAGAGACGATAAGAAAGAACAAAGGAAAGAGTTGTATATATATACAACATAACATTCCTGCATTCACTCATTATGCACCCTTTTTTTCTCTCGCTGTAGATTCAAACTTCTGTAAGACTGCCAGTGCAAGTGAATTGTGACAAAAGACATTTGCATAGTCTCTAGTAACATGAGAATGGGTTAACCTAGCGGGTCTCTCGGCGCTCTAAATCTAAACAATCCGCAGTACATTGAAGATAAGACCCGCCAGGTCAGTCCAGATCCAGATCTTTGGAAATGAAGCACACATCAGACAAATAAACATCACACATTCTTTGCAACATGGAATTGGATTCGATGATCCCTCACAACGCCCCCATATTGTGCAAGGAAATGAAATGTCAGCCCTGCAGTTCACAGCCCCGTAGCTTTTATCCTAGCCTTGACCACTAATACGCTCACCCATATTAATGTCAAAGCATTAGAAAAAGCATCACTTCTTCCACAAAACTCCTTGGGTAGAGATGTACCTTTGTGCCCCCTGTACCTGTTGAAAGACTGGGGCTTTCCGGTCAGCGATGTAAATAACAGAGTAAAAAAAGGATGGGACTGTAAACACACAAGGACAAGACAACTCACTTCCTCACACAACGTCTAATTGATCCAGCGAGGGATGTGGCCGGAATGACCAGAGTCATTGCCGCCATGCGCTCTCCCAGGAGGATCAGGCGCAAATCTTACATGGCATCCAGAGGAACGGGGGAAGACAGGCGCAGCATAACCTGAGGAAAGCCCGGGCAAAGTCGAGTTCGGGAGCCGGGTCGCAGGCAAGGAAGCACGAGAGTTTTGCTCAGGCTGTCTTCCGCGAGATATTGCTCTTGAATTCCCAGGATTTGATGATTGCAGGATCCCACGAGGAACGTTGACTTCTGGGGGATAGGGGCCTCGAGATTGGGATCGAGATGAAGCAGAGCCGAATTCGCGGTTGTACATGATCCATGGATCTTCGTGGAACGGACATGGATCGTTTTCAGAGATGACGCCGCGCAGCACGAGCAGACGACCCATGTGGCGCTCGAAGATAACGAGGTCGTTGCCGTAGGGCCGGTGCGCGACTCCTTGGCGATCTGTATGTCTCATGTAAATGGCTTGCAGAGCGTTAAGGGTCGAGGAAATCTCATTGGTAGCTCGCGCCATGGCTGTCACTTTCTCACTTTTTTTTGTATCTTGTCTTTTCTTTGTTTGTTTTCAAGCTGGAAGGAGAAGCAACAGAGGAGGTGGGTTATAAGGCGGAGGGGAGAGGAGTGGAAGAGGTGGTTGGGGCTGTGGCAGTCGACAAATCCATTCACTTGATATTGTTTGGCTTGGTGGTTATTTCTGCATATACAAGAGAGGGTGAGTTCTTATACCAGGGGGTATTATAGGTTTGCGACAGATGCCGTTGACTTGAAGGAATTCTCCTCGAAAGGAAAGTATCGTTGACTTTGGGCTAGTGTTAGAGGTCAAAGGAAAAAGAAGAGATACAGAATGAATGATCTGAGATAGTGGAAGGTCAATTCTGGCATTGTATGTTGATTGATGATGTTGGCGTTGGCGTTGTTGACGATGTTGACGATGTTGACGCTGTTGACTTGATCTTTCTCTTCTATACTAGCTTATCGGGTGGACTTCCCTTTCCGGCCATCAGGACTGGTTCCCCTCTTTTCCCTTTCTTTTCTCCCCTTGGGCCCTCGCCGATCTTTTCTCTCAACTTCTTTCTTCTTTCATCTCATCTCCACTCACAGGCATCTCTTATTGCCATCCAATAGCACAATAACCTCCCCATCCTATCTTCTGACTCCTACTAGGCACCATCGTTATGCATCTCACGAACCAGGATCTCCCAAAGCTTGTTCTGGAAGGAACCCCTCGAGAGGTATGTTTTCTATCTTTTCATATCTCTATTCTATCTCATGTACTGATTGCGTGGCCAGATTGGGCTCCAGCATGGCCGTCAGCTCCGCCAGCAAATTCACAGTCAGCTGGCCCTTTACGAGGAGATGTTCAAGCACACAGCAAATATGTCCTGGGATTCGGTCCGAGAGCTGGCCCAGGAATTTCGCGCGGTCTCGGAGCAAAAGACTCCTGCAGTCTTTGCTGAAATGCAGGGAATCGCGGACGCGTCGGGCCGGGATATCCTGGATATCGTAGCGTTGAACTGTCGCAGCGAGATTGCCATGGGCTGTTTCTCCGACGGGTGCACGAGTATTTCGTGGAAGAAGAGGGATGATGCCCGCATTCTGGGGCAAAACTGGGATTGGACCAACCTGGTGAAGGAGAATCTGGCCCTGGTGTCCATCGAACAGGTCGGCAAGCCGAGGATTCATATGGTTACCGAGGTAAATGATCTACGAAGGAAGGGAGCTTCTTTAAAGATGGTCTCTATGTTCACTAACTAGTTACTTTCAGGCCGGCATCATAGGGAAGATCGGATTCAATAGTGCCGGCGTCGGCGTCTGTCTCAACGCCATCAAGGCTCATCCCTGCATCAGCTCCAAGGTGCCCATCCATTTGGCGCTCCGTCTCTGCCTGGAGAGTCAATCGGTGGAAGAAGCTGTGCAAGCTGTCGCGTCTCTTGGAGGAATAGCCTGCAGCGCACACATCTTGATCGCTGACAGCGCCACGTCCCTAGGCCTGGAACTTTCACCGCTGGGGGACGTGCATCTGAAGGAAAATGAACATGGGATCATCACCCACACCAACCACTTCCTGGAGAATCGTCATGTAGTCGAGCCAGTGTGGATACCAAGCTCGCCCTATAGACTGGAACGCATTAACCAACTGACAAGTGAGCTGGTTCGGAACGGGCTGCACGGAGACAGCGTCACGCCCGCCCTGCTGCGAGAGACCATATTCTCCGATACTTGCAATGCGCCAAATTCCATATGTGCCCGTAAAGGGGACCCGAACCGTCACTGGACGGTCCGGAGTACTACCCTGTTTAATATCGTTATGAATTTGGACGCCCGTTGTCCAGAGGCAGAACTTGTTATCGGCCAACCGGGCACCGGCACGGAAAGCTCCGTTATCAAAATCCCTTGGGAATAAAGACGGACTTTCGTCGATGCGATTCCGACCAGTCACTGCTGGTCTCTATAGACATCCATTAAAGAGTTCCAGAGCAATAACAATGGAACCGGATTTCTAAATGAAAACAAAGACCAGACATGGCTTTCAATGGGAAAAACATGTCCAAAGTAGATTTACACAAAACTTCCCGGATAACCGACACAAACAAAGTCATGGACACAAAGAAAACCAAACTTGAGAAGATCTGGATAATAAATTTGTCCCCATCAGTATATGAACCCCAATGCTAAGCCTCATTAGGTGTGGATTTCCCCGTACTATCTTCAACTATATACCCAAATCGTCTTCTATATACAAACCCGCATCCTTATATATTTCAAAAACACCAAAAAACCTTCTCGAACGGCTATCACGAAGCATCTACCATCAACAACCCGTCCAAGTGATTCCCAGAGAGACCGGAAAGATTGAAGATGTCCGCCGTCACCATGGAAAACATGGTGATGTCCATCGAGATTGACGTCCCGGTCGATGACGATCTATCCCAGGCGGACTTCTCTTCCGACGAAAGCGACATGAATTCGAGCTCCGACGAGGACGAGGACACTTATGAGTCCGACAACGAGCTCGAGAAGGTGCGATGTCACAGATGCGGGGACTTGTTTCTCGTTAACTTCTATAGGCCAAGGCGCCGATGTGGATGTTGTGCTCAGCGCAACTATCTTTGCAAGAGTTGCTTGGGATGATTTCTTTGCTGTTTTGCTGTTTTGCTGTTTTGCTGTCCCCGCGTATAGAATGAGAAGTGGAGAAGTGATATATATATACTAGTGAAGATTGTGTCAAGAATAGAGAATACATCATAGCGTTGCATTCCCTGATATCCCTGTCATCCATGATTAATACTCCGAGTGTAGATAACGGTGGATCTCGTAGAAGCGGTTCCGTCATCGTAGTCATCCCTCCCGCAGCTTCGGGCGACCCCACCGACATTGGCAATCCGAACCATCAAAGTCGTCATTGGTCCTCTTTATCGCCTGCTCGTCCTTCTTCTTCTTTTACCTTCCTTTCATCTCTCTTTCTTGCATCTCTCTCTGCTCATTTATCTTCCTCACGATGGCTTCAGCAACAGGAATTCCACAGGATCACCCCCAGACCATCGACGCTCGAGAGGACGAGCCCCTCTTGGGGGGACCTGGACAAGCCGTCCAGAAAGAGACCGACTCTATCTTCTATAACCTGTTCACCGGTAAGTTGGTCTGGTGCCCACGACTGTGTAACCAATTGTCTGACAATTCGTGTTATAGGAACGGCCACGGTAGCTCAATTTGGCATCTGGATTGTAAGTCTTCCATCAACCTCCGCCAGCTGGTTGAATAAAAGAATGCATCACTGACTGTCCATTGTTAGCTGACCATCTTAATCTGGTCTGGCATCTTCAATCACGACTTGATCCTATTTTCTGCTCATCCGGTCAGTTTGATCATTTACAATTCACCCCTGTCATCTGAACATCATATAATCTAACGATTCTCAGCTCCTCAATTCATCTGCTCTCCTCCTGCAAGTCCAAGCAGCTCTGATTCTCCAACCCACCGCAACCCCCCAGCAGAAGCTCCAGGGAACGCGTATCCATTACATTCTCCAATCATTGAGTCTCGCCGCGTTTATCTCCGCCTTTGTGGTCATTGAAGTCAACAAGGGCAACCATGCGCGGTTCACATCGCCCCACGGCGTGCTGGGCTTAATCACTTACTCGCTCATCATCCTGCAGGCGCTTGGTGGTGTCGTTCAGTACTTCCTCCCTAGTTTGGTTCTGGGAGGTGCCAACCGCGGCAAGCATTTTTACAAGTACCACCGTGCATCCGGATATGTGCTGCTGCTGCTGGAATTGGCGACCATTGCTGCGGCTACGCGGACAACCTTCAATCTGACCTTGTTGGCTATTCCTCTGTGGGCTGTTCTGGTGGCTGCCGTGGTGGTGGTTGCGGGCGTTGGAGCCAGGATTAAGAAACATAAGCTGGGACTATAAATACGACTATGATGCTTCGCAGAATGTGATGACTCGATTGAACGTTTTTGTATCGATTCTCTTTGTTCTTTCTTGTTGGGTTTGGTTCATGACTTTTAACGGCAACAATGACTAGTAAACGATTTTAGGGTTAGATGATAGGTCTAGCAGGAACAATGATAACGACAGTGATGATAATGTCTGATAGTTGGAAACAGAATGATGTAATGCAACTCACTTTTATAGTCCCTCGGCTAGATAAACCCCCCAAACCTCTGAGATCGTGGGAATCGCCTCTGGTTGCGACTTGCATTTGACACCTGAGGCATCAGAACAAACGGGCAAAGCGGGACTTCCTTTCTTTCCATCGAACCACCCGCTCGCTTCCTTTTGCTTTCTCTCGCTCTTCACTTGACCTCCGCCCTCTCTTATTCCATCCCTCCCTCAATGGCGTCCGTTCGGACACCCTATGTCTGCCTCAATTGCAGGCTGACCGGTCCCCTTCTTCGCCGTCCCTTTTCCGTCTCTGCTCGTCGCCGCGATACTCTTCGACCCGCGACCGCTCCGAAGCCCACCCCCGACGTCAAGCACATCCGCCAGAATGCCGAGCTTTACTCTAAGAATTCCGTCGAACGAAACTATCCATCGCATGCGGACTATCCCTTCCAGATCCAGCGACTATCAGAGGAGACTCGCCAACTAGACAATGACCTCAAAACGCCCAGATCCCGCGTCAAACAGCTCGAGAAGACCATCGCGCAACTCGCGCGTCAGGATGGACAACCCGATGACAACGAGAAAGAGCTGGCGGCTCTCCGATCAGAGGCCCAGCAACTGAAGGACCAGTCGCAGGCCATGATGACTCGCAAAACCGCCTGCTCCGACGAAATCCATCGCCTAGCCTTATCCCTCCCCAACCTCTCCTCCGCCGACACCCCCGTCGGCCACGACGCTCAGCTCGTCGAGTACATCAACTTCGACCCTCAATCGCCGCCGTCGTGGGTCACTCACCCGAACCCCAGCGCCCGCTCGCACGTCGCTATCGGCACCTCCCTCGGCCTCCTCGACTTCACCAGCTCCGCCACCACCACCGGCTGGGGCTGGTACTTCCTCACCAACGAGGGCGCGCTGCTCGAACAGGCCCTGATCCAGTACGCCCTCAGCGTCGCCCGCACCCACGGCTGGAAGCCCGTCTCCCCACCCTCCATCGTCTACTCCTACATCGCCGAGGCCTGCGGCTTCCAGCCGCGCGACCAGCACAATGAGCAACAGATCTGGTCCATCGCGCAGTCCGGCAAAGACAAGTCCAAACCCACGCGCTCCCTCGCCGCGACCGCCGAAATCCCGCTCGCCGCCATGTACGCCGGCCGCGACATCGACGCCGCCGACCTCCCCGTCAAACTTGTCGGCCCTAGTCGCTGCTACCGCGCCGAGGCCGGCTCCCGCGGCGTCGACACGAAGGGCCTCTACCGCGTGCACGAATTCACCAAGGTCGAGATGTTCGGCTGGGCCGATACCTCCCCCTCCTCGTCTCCTTCTACCACCCCTTCCTCAGACGACCTCTTCCACGAGCTCCTCGCCATCCAAACCCACATCCTCACCTCCCTGGGTCTCCCCTGCCGCGTCCTCGAAATGCCCACCACTGACCTGGGCGCCAGCGCCAGCCGCAAGCGCGACATCGAAGCCCTCTTCCCGTCCCGTCTGCGCGCCTCGCCGTCGGATCCTGCCTCCGCGCTCGAATCCGCCTGGGGCGAAGTCACCTCCGCGTCTATCTGCACGGACTACCAGAGCCGACGACTCGGGACGCGCGCGCGCGGCGGGAAAGTCAAGGAGTCGCGGTTCCCGCATACGGTGAATGGAACGGCGATGGCGGTGCCGAGGGTGTTGGCTGCTATTTTGGAGAATGGGTGGGATGAGGATCGGAAGGTCGTGGTTGTGCCAGAGGTGTTGAGGAATTATATGGGTGGGTTGGAGGTGATTGGAGAGCAGGGGAAGTAGGGTTGGGGAAGAGAGAAGGAATTTTGTGGTATGAATACGCTGTAGATGTATAGATAGATATCTTGTTGAAATATTTGTATACTAGGTACTTACTTCGTTTTGAAACTAGCATGGCTATGATGATTCATTCCACTATCTATAGTTACTTAGCACAAGGTAGTCAGGGAAAGAAAGCTGGATTAAAGCGGGCAAAAATGATACATCAAACATAGCTACACACTTCAGCGCAAAGACCCCACAGAACCGAGCACTATTCATTCATTGTCTCGATCGATTGAAATGTACAAGTTAATCTAACTTATAGAGAGAGAGAGAGAGAGAGAGAGAGAGAGAGCACCCGACCCGGAGTTCATACAATAGAGTAGCGTCGAATAGAGAAATTGAATTGATTGAAAGAAACCCACCCCCAAAGAAGAGGATAAGAAAGAAGAAAGAAGAAACACCAAGCAGAAAAGGTTAGTAAGTAGCATCGTAAATTCATAACACGTGACAAGGTAGTAAGAGGACATCAGATCATAAAACAATCGTGTATCAAAGATCACATCATGGGAGGGGACCGAAAATAGAAAAATGGTGTCTTGTCTTCTGCTTTCAGAGCAAGAAGAAAGGCAAGAAGAAATACTTCGTCAACATTGAAAACGTCACAAATCAAACATTCAAAATAAGAGGGATTGGGGCGGAGGAGAGATGAAGAAAAGATAGAGGGAAGAAAAAAAGAAGAATTAAATCATCAGTGGGTATCGACAGTTCGTAAAGAAAACAAAATTGGACTCGTTAAAATCTTGGCTTCGTCGGTATCGTTTTATCAAGGTTTTCATTCCCATGGGACATCGGCATTCTCGACTTTGATGCACGTCAGATAGGGAAGGCCGGCGTCGCTCATTTCAGCACTCTTCAGATCCAGTTCGAGGAAATTTCGCATGAGAGGTTTCACAATCTCGCGAGCTAACCGTTTGATCTCGTCCATTTTGCGCTCAAATCTTTTCAGGACGTCCCGGGAGTACAATGACTCTGTAGACGGGGTTGGGTGCACTTTGAGGAATTTCTTGAGCTCGTCATGCGTTAGATAAGCTTGCGAGGACGAGGAGCCGATCAGACGGTACACCTGCGCCGAGGACATTGGAGGAGTGGATGCGGAAGATTTCGAAGGGCCTGACGAGGAGTCTTGGCCGCGATGATGTCCGGTCGGCTGCGACGAGCGACTGGGATGGTTGCTGGGGTTCGAGGAATTGTTCTTGAGGATCGGCGTCGGAGGTGGCGTTGTGCTGTCCACCAGCCATTGTCGGAACAGAGAGATTGCGAGCCAGTCGAGGTATGCGTTCGTGGGACTAACTCGTTCGCCACGAGATGTGGTAAGGGATAGTCGCAGCAGCTTAGAGTCGACGCGCGCCTTCATAAACTCCAGATCCTCCACCTTGTCCTCGATGATGTCCAGCACGGTGTCCGGGAGAGGCGAGTACGGGCCGTTGCGCAAATGGGGCAGTCCCACCGGCCATTGTCCGACAACGTGGATCAGGGCTTCCGAGTAGATGACCCGGCTTCGCGCCAGGAATCCCAATTTGAGGTAGCTCGGTGGGTACTTAGCGATCTGCTTGAATAGCCGGGAGCCAAAGCCTAATAGATGGTGGTCGACTCGCGGTCCAGTGACTGGCAACGCGTCATACATGTCAGCTAATGCCAACAGTGCCCTACACTCGGCGTACGCGGTCGCGATGTTCACGCTATTGAGCTGCGGGGGAAAGTTGTAGAATAAGCGAAAGAGATTATCATAATCACGGACGATGGGATCCATCGTCGCGTTCGTCCCTGTCCCCCGGTGAGGCAGGTTCACTACCGACTGCATCCCCGCCAGATTCGCCATGGAGCGAACGAAACCCGCATGGGCACCAGATGGTTTGGTCGTCGCCGGAGGGTATTGGCCCGCGTCGTTCCCGAACGCACTGGAAAAGCTAGGTGGCTAGTCACGGTCATAAAGTGAGAAAGTGGATCGAACGGATGGACCAATAAGTCACACCAACCTTTTGGACCAAAATCGGTTCCTCGTCCTCCGCCTTGCCCTCCCAGTCCAACTCATACCGCCATCGTCTCTTCTCGGGCGCCCACGATGTTTGTCCCGCATCGGACTGGGCCAGGGTCGAGCCGTTAGAAAGGGATGAATTATCTTCGCTGATCCGCGAGAGGACGGCGGGATCCGGATTTGTTGGTCGCGCGACGGTTTGTCCTGACCACTCCTCGCGGGTGCTCGCTTCGAAAAACCCCGAGCATTGCGCCAATATCAACCCGTGTAGAAGATACCGCTTCTCCTGGGCACCCGCACGAATCACAATCTCCACATCGCCTGTGTGCGTGAAAATGGGGAAATCGTTTTGGGGCTGGTGAGTGAGACCCCCATGGTGAGAACGGCTCGAGCGATGTCGCCGGCTGGAGTGAGAATGGCGCGACAAAGACGAGGGAGCGCTCGGCATGGGGATAGACCGATCGAGGATCTGGGCCTGGGAAACCATTTCGTGGCCGGTGACGGGATTCGTGGTAACAGTGGGAGACTTCGTTGTCATGGTCAGGCGAGGCGCTGAGTAAATGCGCGGGGACAGGGCGCCAGGGTGAGTGCGGGTATGGAAGGCTTCATCCAAGAGATGTGTTCCAGCGCACGTCGAGGTGTATTGAGGTTATTCCGTCGGTCAAAAAAAAACAATGAAATGCAAGGAATGGGTTGCACAAAGCCACCGAGCGCGCAGAACCACCGGCGGCTGAAACCCCGCGGCGATAGGCAAAATGCAGGCAAATCGACCGGCGTGGGTTGGGAGACGTGGGAGACCCTCCCAATCGAGGCGATAGGAGTCGACGGTTCGAGGGGTGTTGTTTCAGATACCGTCGGAAAGAAAGGCGCACAGCAAACAAGGTCGAGAAAGCGAGCGAGAAGGAGGGAAAGGGAACAGAAGGCTGAAACCTGATATGATAGGACAGGATCCACTACTGGATGCAGCCAAGTCCAGTCGAACTAAGCCATTCTCCATAAACAAATAAACAAATCAAGAAGAGCCGGGATGGAGAAGCGATGAAAACAGAGGGGATGGGGTTCTAGAAGGAAAGAAGATCCACGTAGTTCGGATCGAGATGAATGCTGTCTTCTGTTCTGGATGGAATTGCTTGTCTGTGGTCGAGATCCAGTGCCCCCTTCGAGATGGAGTTGGAAGATCGAGAGAATCAACAGAGAAGAGCAAAGACATAAGGGCATAATTAGTCATTCGTGCACAACCCCGGGCATCACGTGTGGGACCCGATCAGTCCCCGCCGAACGAAAAGATTGGAGATGATTTTATGCTGTCTTCTTCAACTCCAACGTCATTCCTTCGGTCATTCCCTCCTGACGTCCGGTTGTCCTTTTGACGCCCTCCGCCCTCTCTCGGTCACCGCAAGCCATGCCTAGATCCTACCGTCAAGCCCTCCGAACGTCCAACTGGTCTTGACCCGCGCACCTCTCTCGTCAAGGATAATGGCCAGTGCCATGCTCGAAACCTTGTCGCGAGTTGTAATTTGGCTCTTTCGGATTCAATTCCGATATATCACCGTTGATCCCACTGAATAGGCGTCATGACAAAAGGCTGCTACACCTGCCGTCGCCGACGCATCATCTGCGACAATGGCCTCCCCACGTGTCGAAAGTGCCGGGATGCGGGGAAAGAATGTCTGGGGTACCAGAAACCCCTTGTCTGGGTCAAGGGAGGTGTAGCTAGTCGAGGAAAGATGATGGGTCGCAGCTTTGACGACGCCATTTCGAACCCCTCGGGGAACCAGAGCGAGTCGACCAGCGCCTTGCCGAACAACGGCCTGTCGACGTCAGCATCGGATGCCATCTCCGCACCGACTCCCAACCGGACGGGGCCTGAATCGACACGGGATACATCGGATATTGCGCAGGAGGAAAAGAAGCAGAAACGTATTACTCCCAAGAGAGTGAACGCGAGAGTCGACTCTTTCCCGGCGCCCAGGGCTCTGGTAGATCCGCTGTTCCAAGATCTAAGTCCTTTGACCAGATTCTACATCTCTCACTGTGAGTAGTCGTATGCAACTATCTCCTTGCGATTGTGTCTAAAAGTGCTCTCTCAAAGTCAACCAGCATCTTGTCGGTTATCTCGCGCTGTATTCCCATGTGAACAACCCATTCCGTCAACTCACTCCCTTAGTCGGAGAATCCCCCGTTCTCGCCCACGCGCTGGCTGCGACGGGCGCATTACACTATGCAATCGTCGCAAATTATGATTTCTCGCCTACGCCATGGTCTAACGGTGGAGCCGCGTTGACGGAGACTCGTCTGTCTCCAGAAGATGTTGAAAAAGCCGTGGTTAGTTCCATGTGCCGGCGACCAGCTTCAAAGACCTACGAGCACTTCCTCGGATTCAAGCAACGCACCCTCCACCAACTATCGCAGGATCTGCATGACCCTTCCAAACGCACAGATAACCGGACGTTGGCGACGATCATGATCCTAGCGCTTATGGATGCTATTGAGTCCGGGGACGGCGCCTGGAAATATCACCTCGAGGGTGCCAAACAATTGCTATCAAGTCGAGGCTCAGAGAATAACCCCCTTGCCAAACAAAGCATGACCGATTCGCTCGACACCTTTGCCATCGACGGTTGTCTCCTGTAAGTCACCTTCAAAACTGTTCTCATGCGACGATCATCCAGCTAACTTACCCTCCCTCAGGATCCAGCTGATGGGCTCTACCCTCGCCCGACCAGGCTCCCTCACGAAGCCCTTCTACTCCTCAGACATGGGCGCCGGCGTTCTCAAACGTCTCGAAGAAACCTCCTGGGTCGGCTGCCCCGCCTACCTCCTCGAAGTCATTTTCATCGTCCACGCCGGCTGGTGCTCGGACCCAGACACCGACTCCACGGCCCACCACCCCACCCTGAATTTCCCCTCGGCCTTCCTCCCAGAAGACTCCAACCCATTCCAATCCCCCGGCGCCCTCCTCCGACACATCCAAGCCTTCGACCCCGTCGCCTGGGCCCAAGCCATGCAATCCTGCCTCTACCTCCCCGACCAGACCATGCGCATCGCCCTGGCCAGCGTCTACCGCGCCTCTGTCTACCTCTACGCCAGCCGTGTGCTCTCCCGCCCTCGCGCCGGCGCCGCCATGTCCAACAGCTTCGGCCTGCCCCCGGACCACAGCGCTGTCGCTAATCGCCTCATTCGCGAAATCGCCCTAATCCCGGTCTCCGACCCGCATTTCAAATGCCTCATCTGGCCGTCCTTCATCGCCGGTGCCGAATGCCGCGATCCCGCGCAACGTCCCATCCTCCTGCAAACCCTCAGCACTCTTTACTACGACATCACGAGCGTCAACGTCCGCAACGCCGCTTGGGTCCTCAGTTTGATGTGGCGGAAACGGGACGCGAAAAGACAAGAGGCGTCTGGCCAGTCCCCCTCTTCTCCTCACTCTACCTCTCCCTCTTCTGCCTCCTCCCCTGTTTCTCCTATCTCGATGACCACGGCGGCATTCACCCCGCCCGACACGTCTTCCGGGTCCTCAATAGTCACTGATACCACTTACGACGATGATGATTTCGATTGGATCCAGGAATTGGATAATTCGAGGATTGATTGGTTATTTATATAATAACTCCTCCTCTCTCCTCTTTTATTTTGACCTCTCTGCTGGTCACGGGAATGAAGTGGCTAGGTATGGCAGTGAATGTTAAAATCCATATATATGTATATAGTTACAGTTATCTAATGAATAATAGTAAACGATAAATACTTATTAAATGATAATGTGAGTGCTATGTTCAAGAAGCCTGATGCCAATGCAATAGAAAAGAAAAGGCCCTGTAGGTCTGTAAGTAACAACGTAGGTGAATAAGGCTGTCTGTCTGTCTGTCTGTCTTCCAATTCCAATGCAAGATACATACATGTAGGGGACGGTCTGTGCCAATGTAGAAAGTAGCTGTACCATGACAAGACGGCACATCTGATGAAATCAGAAAGAAGAGAAGGCTGGCAACCAGATGAATACAATAGGCGAATAGGCGAAAGGCGATATAAGAAAAGAAACAGGTATGAAAGAAGGCCGTCGGGTAGGAATGAATGATACCAATTGGTCAGTCAATCCCCCTGAAAAACAAGATAGCATTGTAGCAAAGAAGTAGAAGAGAACACTATGTAACAAGAAAGTAAATTGTATTTGAAAAGCAAGGATGAGAAAATGAAGAAAAGGGGGAGGTCAAGACACGAAGAGATGAAGAGACGGGGAATCTGACGACCTAAGAAGAGAAAAGAAGATGCAAATCGGGGAATCAATTCCGCTCCTAATAAGAAACAAAAAAGAGGAAGAAAAGACAATGAAAGCCGCTCAGCGTAACAAATAGAATGGTATAATGACAAATGAAACCTGGAGCAGCAATAGGTTGACCAAGGCATGTCGAAGAGCCGGGGGTATATAGGCTATTCCTCGTGTCTGTAACTGCCGACCAAAACGAAAACAAATCCGACAAGCTCTTGAATCCTCTGTTTTTCCGACCAAGCGAAAAGTATATATCCGAGTATGTAGAGAAGAGAATGGTGTGAAAAAGGAGGGGAAAAAAAGCAAAGCGCCAGATGAGGGATATACGCACACTCCGTCCCATCTAAATGCAGTGATCTCAACAAGCAGGGAAAATAAAAAGCACAACACGCTCATCATTGCAAATATGCAAGATTAAAAAGGAAGCAAAAAAAGAGGTAGGCAAATGACTTCACAAAGGAAAGCTTTCAAATGCAGGCACACAAAAGAGATGATTGCTGGTTATAGGCGGTCAAAACCCATTGATTTCAACAATGGACCATCCACATACCAATAGTGGTTGTCAAAAACAAGAAGAGAAAATGACACCCAATGAGTCAAATGCAGGTGAAAATCTGAAAACGGTACGAAAGTAAATGGATGGCAATGCTCCAAGGGAGGAGAGATCGAGAAGGTGGGGAGGATGAAGGAGAAAGTTGCTTATACGTGGAATCATAGGCCTAGAAGACCGCAGCCAATCCGTTCCTTGAGTGGCGCCGACTGAATCTTTTCCTTCCTTTCACGGATTCAGAGTCAGTGGCCTGGTGTTTGACGAGCGTGGCCCGCCCGGACGATGATGGCGGGTTTTCATGGTGCATCTCAGAACTGTGATCCAGAGTGTTGGCCTGGCTTGACATTTCAGATGACAAGTTATGGAATGCTTCGTCGGCAGAGTAGGATCCATTGTTTTGTTGGGACAGAGCCATTTCTTTCGCTCGGTCCAGCGCGTCCAGCCATTCCTGTGCTGACAAAGCCGTGGCACCAACATTGCTAGACGAGGGTTTAGGGTCTTCAAAGACGAAGTGCTTGTCTCGCTGTGATCAATGACATTAGCAACGCGTTACGAGAGGCAGCTTATAAGGAATATGAATCTTACCGTGTCCACAACCCAGCATGAAAATCCTTTAGTATCGGTTGAAGTGCGATACTGCGACCCTGGACCGAGCAGGGAAATCTCCAACTTGGCTTTCTTTTCGTCGCCTCCGGATGCTGCCATAATGATTCGGGCTGACGAAGTCACCATCACCAGTCGCTGTCGCTTCTTAGTGGTACTACCTCCGAAGAAACGTGAAAATTTCTTCGGGGCTTCGACTTCACCAGTTCCGTTCTTTGAGACGGGGCTATGGGCAGCCGGTGAAGACAAAACCATCAAATTTCCCAGCTTGAGTATTCGCTCATTGGTCTTGGTCAACACCGGCGACCACTCGATATCAAGTTGGGTGGGGGGAGGCAGCTCCGTCACGAGTCTTGGGACCACCCTGGAGCTGGCGTTGGTGGCGCCAGAGGGAGCCGTGCTGATAGCCGGGGGGTAACCCTCCCCATCTCGACCTCCGTTCAATTTAATGGGCTCACGAGGTGGTGGCACATACGCCTTCAGCCGAGGTGCTTTTCGTTTCCACAGGTCCGGGCCCCAGGTCATACCCTGGAAGAATTCATGGTTCTTGATGTGTTCGATTGGCAGCCGACGAGCTGGGTCGAGAACGAGCAGACGCTCGACGAGATCGCGGGCCACGACGGGAAAGCCGACGGGAAACTCGTAATCGAGCGCGACGATTTTTTGGAACGTTTGGTATTCATTTCCGGCCTTGAAAGGGGGTCGACCGGCCAAGAGCTGATAGATAATGCAGCCAAACGCCCACAGATCACTTGCCTTGCAGGCATTCTTGTCGGTGAGCAGTTCCGGGCTGACATATTCCGCGGTGCCGACGAAGGAGCTGGCACGCTCCTCTGCGGGCATGTCGGCCGAGTCTAACGGCGGCATTCCGCTCGAATTCTTCTCCGGTCGCCGTGGGCTCTTGAGGATTTTGGCCGTTCCGAAGTCCGTGATCTTGACGTGCATCTGGTTATCGAGAAGTACGTTCTCCGGTTTCAGGTCCCGATGGATCACGCCGCGCCGATGCATGTAGTCGATGGTGTCTAGAATCTGGGCACCGTAAAACCTCGTGCACTCCTCGTCGAAAGTCGACATGCGCTTGAGCACGCCCAGTAGTTCTCCCCCTTTGCATAGATCCAACACAAAGTATAGCGAGCGCTCATCTTGAAAGGTGTAGTAAAGTCGAACGATTCCCGGATGCTCGGTCAGTCGGTTCAAGGTGTCCTTCTCGATATTCACATATTTCACCTTCTTCTCCTTGATAATGTGTCGCTTGTCTAGAATCTTGATTGCATATTCCTTCAAGGTCTGTCGGTCCGTACCAAGCACCACGGTACTATAGGATCCTTCGCCGAGAGTGTTCCCGAACGAGAAATCCCGCACCCCCTTTTTGATGTAGCGCGCAACGGGCTTCCCGTTGGCGTCTAGCTCCTGTCTCACAGACACAGCGGCGCCTCGGTCTTGCCAGTCGTCGCTGCTGGGCCCAGGGCCGTTCTCCATCCCGTAAGGCGTCCCCGCCAGCTGAGCCGGATTACCGCCGCGCGCGTGGGCACGGGAAGTCTGACGCATCACCATCGGCCCGTTGCCTGCGGGCAACTGGGCTGTCCGATACGATCGGTCGCTGTGGCTATTATCACGTACGGGAACCCCGGCCTGATACGCGGCAGAGCCACCCCGAGATTCTGCCCGAGCCTGGCTTTCGGAGGCGGACGAGGCGGCCGAGTCGGTGCGGATTCGATAGGAGCCCTCCCGGGCGGCCAGGGTCGACGTAGAACCGTTCGCGAAAAGACCCGATAGAGGACGAGACGAACCCGAGGAGGGAATCTGTTGCTGTTGTTGGGGGGCGTAGGGGGGGAATTGCGAGGTCGGTTGTTGCTGTATATCTAGGTAAGGAAGGACGATGGAATTCCGATTGTCGTGGGGGTTTGTCGACGAGTCGAACAGGCTCTCGCCGGTAGACGGCATCGACAGAAAGGGGAGGGAGGTCGAGCTGCCTGAACGCTGTTGGAAGAGGGTCGACTCGCGCTTGGGTTCGGGGGCAGGAGGCTGAGCCGTCGCAGCGGACGGAGTTGGAGTCGCGGCATCTTCGGACGAGTGTAGAGACGAGTCATCCGGGTTGGCTATCCGGAGACCTCCCAGAGACTGGGAGAGACTGAGGTCCCCGTCCATGACGGGCATGAGTGGTGGTGAGAAGGAGGAGGACGGTCGAATTGTCGAACAATCGGACCGAGAGGGGGGGAGAGACGAAGGAGGAAGAGGGAGAGGGGAAACGGAAAAGGAGAAACGAGAGAGGGACGACGTTTGGGTGAGCAGCCAAGACTCGGGACTTTCAGCGTAGGGGGGAAGGAGAACGAGAATATAATTTCTTCGGTGAATTTTTTTGTTTTTTTTTCTCTGTCTCCTCTATCATTATTTGCAAATGTAATCAAATAATAATAGGAAAGAATTAAATAACGAGTGGTGTTATGGGGATGAATAGCCCGCCGAACAATAACTGGCGGTAACTCCCCATCCAAGAGAGAGGGAGAGGGAGGCAAAGCGAGGGTGGGCCGACGGAGGCAGCGGTGGAAGAATAGCAGATGATGTATCTCTTGCTCACTGTCGAGAGTGAGTGCTGAGGGCCAGGAGAAAATATAAAACGAAAAGAGAAAAGAGTGAAAAGTGCAAAAGTGCAAAAGAAGACGAGGCTCAGATGGCAGTTGGCAGCCTGAGGCCTGAGGATCCCCGCCGATTCCAGTTGGGTTCTTCTATCCTAGTTATTATTAGATCAGAATCTGCCTGCCTGCCGGTTATATTTAGTATTGACTAATCTCGATCTTGGATCTACTATTTGGTCTTTTTTTTATTTTCTTTTTCTTTTTCTTATTTTCTCTTTCGTTTGTTTCTACATCATAAAATTCCAAGGGGACGATTTCCAGGTTCCCTTTTGGGATGCAGCGTTGAATGTATCGAACCATGTCGGGCTGATCATCGTCCTTTGCCAGAACAAGCTGAAATTTGTTGGTGTCCTGAGCCTCGTGGATTACATTGTGTAGATATTCCGAGATATATTTTGATTTAATGTTTATTCTTCGTAGTAACGTGCACGCTTGTTCCTGCCGCGTTCCAAATATATACTGTCAGCGTTCCTTCCCCACATATCTAATTCATTGTCTACATAGTTTGGTGTAGCTAGAAAAAACAGCACCATTCAAATTCTACATCCAATAATTGACTTGCAGTATCGCTACAGAAATCTGCGGTATTCTACGTTCTCTGGAGTATAGAAGAGCCCACCAAAATGCTTCGTCTGGGACCCACTCGTATTTTCCTGGGAGAAGAAGACCTCCGTTATCATCTGGGAAGAGTTTACCTGCGTCAGACAGAATCTGCGTCGGGATATAACACGGACCAAGCCAGCAGCGACGAGGATGAGGACGAGTATGAAGATGAGGATGACGAAACTTCCATCGACTCCCTGGGGTTCTCTCCATATGCTCTGTCCCAATTCAAAGTGTCCAATTCAAGTTTCGCCAGTGAGCGAGATAGTTGGCCATCACAAGATCGATGGCCGAAAAACTGGAGAACAAATGCTGTCGGCCTCCCTTCGACGCTTGCTGAATCTACCACTCTTGAAACGTCACTAGTCTCGGCGTCCTCTGTTTGTGCTGATTTTCGTGTTCCTGGCCTAGTCGGCGTGACGGACGCGAATGGTACTCTCACTCGACGTGCAAGTGCCAGATCACGATACGTGTGCTATACTGGTCTGCTTCAACATTCACCACAAACAAACACCCCAACTCTCACTAGCTTGAAGTCTGGTGTCCCCCTCAGTTCAGCTGATGAGAAGACAAGGAGTTGCAAACTTCTCAACACCAATACCACTGGGAACCCGTGCCTCTCTTTTCGTCAAGAGCTGGAAAGTTCCACGGACCTCTCCGTTTCCTTGCCCCTCACAACTCTAACTCTTGACTTGGAACACACGGCTTCTCATCAACACAAAGCGGGTAATGAAACCCACCTGTCTTTATCAAACAAATACTAACGCTCTTTGTCACAGCACTGAGCCCCAAGTCTAGTACTCAACTGAGCCAACAGACCAAGTTCTTCCACCCCAGTCTGAGCATCAAGACATATCCATCCGCGTACCCTGTCCCACTCAATCCACTGGTCAAAATCCTCAACCGGCTTCTCCAAGAGGGACTGATAGTCAAGGCAGCCATGATGAACGGCGCAACGGAATCAAATAACTCAGGACCATGGAGAAGAGGGGCAGTTCGAACCCGCAACCCCATGTGGCAACACTTAAATCGTTTGCACGGAACAGGTGCCACTGATGGTCCAGAGAGGACCTCCGCAGCCCTAGCGAGTGACTCTCAGGATCTACCTGAGCCAGTTGCGTCCGCTGAATCTCCAAGAAGCCCCGCTGCCGAGGTAAGAGTCCATGCTGATAAGCGGTTAACGAGAGTTAACATGTTGAATCATCGAAGCGACCGAGGAATGAGAGTGACAGCGAGGCGGAAAAAATGGACAAAGTGCGTAGAGTCATGTCCATCAGTTCATTGGCCCCTGCGGACAACCATGTTGAGATACGATCTCGGCATGGGGCCAGGTCATCCGATGCAGATGTGGAACTCCTTCCTAGGGGTTCGGCGACTATGAGAGAGCCGGTAGGCATGCCTTGCAACGAAGTTCCTGTGATAATAGCAGTGCTAAGAGTTACTCTTCACCGCAACTGTAGGACCTAGTCGCTTCCACCATGGGGCCCGCCCACCTCACCCACGATCGGGTATTACAACAGAATGGCGCTGTTCTTGCAGGGCCGCTAGATACCTCCAGGGTGATCCTGACCCACCCAGTATCTTCAACCGCTGGTATACACCCTAATTCTCGTGCGACGAGTCGGGAGCAACCCTTGGTGACGTATGGACCAGTGGGAACCATGACCGAAACATCCCCAGCAGCCGGTCTGCACTATTCTTCTGCGATCGCTCGTGAGCAGCCCACGGCGACGTATGGACGATTGGAGGCCATTCGTCGAGCAGCTCCAGCTGTTCGTGTACAGCCATTCACTCCTGTCAACCCACCAAGCCGGACAAGACAAGAGGGCTCGGCAACTCCACATGGTAGCCACCCTGAGCCAAATAGCGTAAGGATTTCCCCGGATCGTGACGGTCAGTTCATCATGCGGCTAACCTGCGTAGGATGATGCCATCTTTAAGGCGGAAGCTGATGCTATTGAAAAGCGCCTGAACCGGATGATCTCCGGGGAATTGCAAGCTGCTAAGCGTATCAACATTTACGATTATGGATTGGGTGCGCTGAGAAGAAAGCCGCTTGGAGAATGGTACCGAGAGGCAGTGAACAAGGACATGTAGGTCAAGATGCTAGCCTGGAGGGGTCTGGCAGACGGACGGAGAGACATCGCGCTGCCACCGTATATTCTCGTGCCTGGAGAGCCCGTCCAAGAATAGATCCATGGCCACCGAATGTCTCAAGCGGTATTTGAATCGAGGGTTGACCTTGGAGTGGGCTGATAAGGTGATGACAGATGATGATACGTATACCTTTTGTTATTCTTGTCTGTTTATTTTGGTATCGTTGTTGACTGGATCGCTTCGTGAGTTGTCATTTGCCGTTGAGGGTGGCGGAGGCCGGTACTTTGGTCAGCCTGCCCGAGTCGACTCCACCCGGCTGGCGTACTATGCGGAGAAAGCGCAGTCATGTTATTAGCAGCCTATCAGTATCAGGATAGGGCATTCAGAAGAAAATTGCAATACGTGGTTCTTTGTGTTTCAGGCATGATTCAGTCTTCATATTCCATATTCACCAGGAGGATGGAGAGGGAGAGAAGCGAGAGACACTCAGTCCGAAACCACGTTGCCTGAGTGCCTCACCCGTGACCATCCCGATCGCCCGGCCGAAGACGGCTAGACTACGTTGAATAATTCCCGGCTCCAGAACGGAGTACGCGTCTGCGCCTCCACTGATTCAAAAAAGTGATCTGCCCTCTGTCTCTGTTCTCTGCCCGGACACCCACAGTCTCTCCGGAGCTGTCAGGTATTCCTGGCACTGTGCCCGTAGACACGGGATTATGAAGAGTAGGATCAATCAATGAAGTAGTGTTGGTGGTAAAAGTAATCCGTACGTATCTACACAGTAGATGCAGGGCTGCACTCAATTCCTGGATACTGGATACTGATAGAAATATCGGCAATCCGGCATCGCGAAATTTGATACCATCGCACATCGATTAGGTAGCATGTCCGAGCGTCAAGTCAATCCTAATCTTACCAGTTTACTAGCGTAGATTACCTAGAGAGTAGATGGAACTACGGAGTACTCAGTGCAAACTATTTAATTTAGTCTGTGTGTATGTGTATGTGTCCTTTAATATGCGCATTTAGTGTTACTTAGCATACTTTCCCTACTACAGTAAAACTCCGCTATAACGATTTAATTGTGGACAGTAAAAAGTTCGTAATAACGTAATCGAGCGGTTACTTATTCTTGACGGTCATTCAAGTCATCAATCTGCAGAATTTGATAATTTCTGCAGAGAGAATGCAATTATCTGTCTCTGTATGCCTCCCCACACATCTCATCTTCTTCAACCATTAGATGTTGGTGTTTTCGGGCCACTCAAGAGCGCGTACGGGAAACTGGTTGAGGGAATGATGATAGCTGGAAATAACCATATTGATAAGGTAGATCTTTCTTGCATCTATATCCTTCTGCTCGCAAAGAAACCTTTACTCAAAAGAATATATGCAATGGCTTTGCAGGGGCTGGTCTTAAACCACTTGATAAAGACCGGGTTCTTGAGAAAATCACCTTTTAACTTCGTACGCCAACACCGCCTCTTATTGAGGTTGAAGGATCAATCTCTTCTGCTTTTCAAACACCTCAGAATCCTCGCCAGATTGATCGCAAGGTCCAAAGCCTACAGAGAAGTCTCCAAAAGAAAAGAACGCTTTCCAGCAGTCCAGTGTCTCATATTCAACATCTTGAAAAGGCTGCGTCTATGGCAATGAATATGAACTTTCTTCTTCAACAAGAAAATAAGGTTCTACGCGCTGAAAACGAGCGGAAAGTTATGAAAAAAGCAAGGAAGCGTGTTTCTTTAGGGAAAGATCTCTTTATATCTGTACAAGAAGGTCGTGAGCTTTCTCAGCAGCTTGATACACAGCCTGATGAGCAGATAGATGAGCCAACACCAAGGCCTCGCAAGTGAGCTCCACAACGTTGTAGTGGTTGTGGGATTATTGGACACACAATAAGAAGCTTCTCTAGTAAATAGCTATGTGTAATATTTTTTAAATAGTCTAATTCAATGGTGTTGGTGGTTGGAAAGCTTCAAATCCCGTTGATTGCGGCGAAACTGCGTCACACGGCCGTGGATTACGTTATCGGAGGGTTCGGAACAGTAAAATTATGTGAATATTCGCATTCATTCAAAGCATTACACTATAGTAACTATATATATGTATAAATAAACTATATTATAACGAATTTAGGTGAGAGACTAGAAAATGGTACGAATTACGGCATAATGAAGATTTTACGAATTTAAGTGGTAAAATAATTGTGGCAGTGAAAAAATTCGCTTAAACGAAGATTTCAGTATGACCGAGAACGTTATAACTTATAACGGAGTTTTACTGTAACTAATTAATTTAAACCAACTCTTGTTTTTTTTTATTTTTTTAAACCATAAATCAAAGCGCCGACCTACTCGATCGGGTAGATTTAGGGGTGGATAGTGCCGCCAGAAGATACTATTATTATTGTTATTATTCTGGTGCGTCTAGAACTCCAGACTCTAGACCCGACTCTAGACTCTGTCGTGGCCCTTAACGGAGCAGGATCGAGCAAACTGAGACATCCACCGGTCTGACCTAACCTGACTTGACCTGAACGTCTGGGCTCAGGAATCTTGAATCTTCGGTTTAGAAAAAAAAGGGAAAAAAGAAAGACAAAAAGCCAAGACAGTTGTCTCAGCCTTAATTTATTTATCTCTACAATCACTAACTAACTAACTAATTGCTGAGTGCTGACTATGTACTAGTAACTAGTTAGTAGGATGAACTGTCCACTGGGTGGTGTCTACTGTCTTACCTTACTTTAGCACTAGTAGATACTACTGTAGATAGCTGGCAGGTGAGATTGCAATTGCATACAGAACACGGAGTACACCATACACAATAGAGTCCAGCGTACGGAGTACAGAGTACCGTGAATGACATCAGGGTTCGATTCGGAAGAACCATCCCTTGTCGCTTCGAGTTCGAGTCATTAAAGCTGGCTGATCATGTCGATCGGAACCGGATCTATCGCAAATCGCAATCTCAGTGTTTTCTAGTACATATTCTGCCGAAAACAACACGGTAGTGTAGCCGACAGATAGGTAGTGAGTGTCGATCGACTGGTCTGATCCTGACAAGGCAGTCAGTTACTACAGTATGTGCAGGATCTGACGGTCGGCCTAAGGGATGTCAGATTCAATTCCAAGAAACAGGCTCGGACATTTCTGACTGGAAGGATAATTTTATTCGCGAATCTCATTCATTCAGTAATATGTTCGTGGGATATAAATCTACCTATCTAAGGCGCCCCGTGGCAGAAGCATCGAAATGATAGCCAAACTAGCAGGGCATCCACCTCCACATCCATCATCTTCAAGAATCAAGTCTAGAAAAGATATGTCGAAGAAAGAAAAGGGGTTATAGCTTGAAAAAGAATTCTAGCAAGAATTGCAGGAAAGATGGGTGGGTTTTCACATCAACACAAAATGCCCGCAAAGATCTCCCAAATATCGCTTCAAAAGATGATAAAAAGAAAAAGAATAATAGTGAAATAGAATCAATGGCTCCCGTCGTCCGTTAAAAAAAATCCGGTATCTAATTGTTTTTTCCTCCGAAAAAAAAACCCCCTCTTGAAATCATTCAGTAATTAAATCAGAAAATATCTCTATAAATTGTTTGGCGTTTACTGAGCCTTGGACTTAGCAAACAGCTGAGCACCGTCTTCCAGACGACGCTCGGTGTTCTGGCGACCGTTGACGAAGTCGGGGTAGTTCAGAGTAAGCTCGACGGCACCGTTGACAATGTTGTCCACAGCCTCAACACCAAGCATGAAAGAGTGGTCCTGGTTACCGACCTCGTAGCGCCAGCTACCGAAGCGGCCACGGGTCCAGATGTCCTGGGCCTGGAGGCGGGGCAGGATCTGGGTGAGGGCACCCTCACGCTCCAGGGAGGGGGTGGGGTAACCGTGGTCGAAGCGGCGGTGGTAGGTAGAGACGACCTCGTCGGTGGGCTTGAGCATCTCGGTGTTGACCAGACCCTGGATGGAGTCGGCCAGAAGAGTCTCGTGGTTGACGGGCTTCATGGAAGACTCGGAAACCTCCAGCATGATAGACCAGTAAGGACCCTCCTCAGCGTCGGTGCTCTTGGGCTTGGAGCCGTCGGCGAGCTGCAGAGTGGGGAGCTTCTTGGAGGACTCGGGCTGGTTGTGGGGAGAGTAGTTGGAGAAGATGGTGGCACGGTAGAAGGGGCAGTTGTCCTCAGGGAAGTAGAGCTGTTGGAACCCATCACGTTAGCTTGCACCCAGAGTTGTAGGGAAAATTCCAAGCGACTTACCCAGCACTTGTCACCGATTCTCTCGGGACGGACACCACGGATACCAACACCGATAACGTGGGTGGTGGAGTAGAAGAGCTGCTTGGTGAGGCCAACTAGCTCCTGGTCACCCATCTGCTCAGCAAGGAAGTCCACAGCCATGGTGGAGACCAGCTTCTTGTAGCCGACGGTGGTTCCGTCAGCGAGCTGGACGGTCTTGTTACCAGCGTTGACCTTGGTGACCTTGCCCTTCTCACCGAAGCGAGTGTTCTCCTTGGGGATGGTGTTGGCAACGGCAATCCAGATACCACCGGTACCACCGTGGGCGGGGAAACGGAAAGTAGCGTTAGGGCCCCAGTTACCGGCGGTCTTGTTAAGGATAACGTTGGTGGTGACGGCCTTGACGTTGGGAGCGGCGACACGCTCACCGAGCCAGGCACATTGCATCTGAAAGTTGAGGTTTCATTAGCGATCGCGTTTCTTCACCCGACCGATCGATGCGAAGTGATTTCAGGCTTACCTTGGTGGTGGGCACAGCCCAGACCTTGTAGTTGTAGGGTCTCATGAAGAGATCGGCGATACCAGTACCCATCATACGAACGATCCACTCGTCGAAGTCCTTGGGCTTGGTGCTGGCCACGCGGGCCTCGAGAGCGGCATCGATCATGCCGTCAATGCACTTGACCTGCTCGTCCTTGGGAAGCATGGAGATGTTGTTCTGGAAAGGGTAGGGAACCCATTGCTCCTGGCAGCGGACGTAGGAGATACGCTGGTGGGTGTACCAGTCCTCGTCCTTGGGGAGAGCCTCGTTGATGCAGTCGTCGAAGTACTTGTAGTGGGAGAAGATGACGTGGCCACCGACGTCGTAGAGCTGTCGATGAGTTAGCTGTGACGATTCTTTGTTGCCCAGACGGGAGTAGAAGCCAGATTTTACGTACGAAGCCTTCGGGGGTGACATCGGTCGAAGCAAGACCACCGGGGGTCTCGTTGCTGTCGACGATCAACCACGAGGGGCCATTCTAACGGTCACAGTCAGTATTTATTGAGGAATTTGCGCATTCGGTAGGGTCGCTATCGTACGATCTGGTTCAAACGCTTAGCGGCACCCAAACCAGTTGGGCCAGCGCCAATGACGAGGACGTCGACGGAGCTAGAATCGAGCAAGACGACGAGGTTAGCAACAGCACTTCCTAGTGCGATGACCCCTGAAGAGACCAGGATCGCGGACGAGTCTTACATATCGGGGTGGGTCATTCTGCCTTGTAGGATATCCTGAAAGCTGGGAACGCGGTTTAAGGTCTTGCGGGCGAGACTGAGCATAGAAAAGATCTATGAAGCTGCAAGATTGCAGTATTTAAAGAAGCGGTAAGGGGGGGGGAGAGGGAAGGAGGAGAGGGAGGAGAGGAAAGGAACGGTGAGGGAAGGTACAGTAATATTAGTATTAGTATTAATAGTATTAATGGTACAGGTATTTGCCGGGAAAACCCAAAGAGAGTGTGGGGAGTTGTCTGTTTCAAGTTTAGTCCCTCCCGATTCCTCCCTAATCAAAGGAAGACGACTGATGATGAATCCCTATCGCTATCAAACCCTGGGAGGAGGAAAAGGGGAAATCCCCCGGCCTGATAATTTTAAAATTAAAATCTGGTCTCAAAACCTAAAAACTTGACAGGACACGCGGCGCTATCCCAGAACTTCCCAGTTCCAACCAGCCATTCGACTCGGTCGCCGTGCGCCATGAGACCGGCTTCTGGTTTCCCGTTGGATAGACCTTCCAGGTGGCTAACGTTAGGTCGTGGATTAATGGTGATTACACTGGGATCGTAAGGGTCTGCGGAGCTACGATTGGTCTATCGAGCTGCTTATCGTCGAATACATCTGGATGCAGCTGGCCTGTCGGTGCTCATCTGCACTCATCATGGTCGGCATCGATCGCCTTAGTTTTAACTATTTTTATCCTTAATTCTCGCCAGACACCAGGGAGACTGCCCCTGAGCACTTCGTTCCGGTGTGTACTCCGTACTGCTGCTCTATCGCTGCATTCTTGATCGCCGATTTGCGTAGTTTGTGCAGTACATACATACTGAGCACGGTGTAGCTTGTTCTCTCTGTTCGCAATTCATCCAACTCTACTCAGTACGCTGCATTCTTCTGTCCACCACAGCTAGTCCGTATGCCGTGTTCAGACACCTTCAGCACGTAAGACACGGTGCGCGTCGAGTCCTTCATGGTGTAGCCAACGACTCCGTTCTTTTGCATGACATAGACGAGCTCCTGGAGCACGGTTGTACTCTGTACAGACTACTCCATATTCCATAGGACCTGGACTACTCCGTACTAAACCCTGGTTCTCCGCCGTCTGTGCAGCACGGCCGGCAACACTCGTCATTACGCACATGCCTGCTAAGCCCTCTCTAACGGATTGACTGTTGACATCAAAGGATCGTCCCTCAATTGATCCATCACACTTGTCAGGACTCAGATTGTAATTTGTGAACAACTGGATCCACTGACCGTCCTTCCTTGAAGCGGAAACTCAGAGCCGATCGCTTTCCAGAACCCGCCAAAAAAGACGTTTATCAGGGTTAAGATGACCAGGATGGCGGACGAAACCGACAGGCGAATGAAACTACCAGCCACGCAGGGTTTACTGTGGGAGGAAAAAAGCTTCGTGGTCTTTTTATTTGATTTTATTTTTCTTCATCAGGACAGGATAGCCGTTGCCATCGGGTTTGTGTACGGCAAGGTCTTGTTCCCGTTTTCTGTCCTCCCCTGCGATATGGGGAAAAATATGTAGAGTGGTGATATTTTCCTGAGTGTCACCGTAGCCATGGACAATTACTATTGTATCTATTGTCCCCGGACGGTACCTGAGGCTGTAGGTAGTATCCGTAATAACGTACGGAGTAGAGGATGAATCCATATCCAGGACCACCGGAACCCCGAAGCTCGTCAGGACGAGTCCCTGAGAAAGAGCGGCGAGGCAAAACGCAAGCAGGTCGTTTCCAAAACCAACGCCATTGAACCAAAGGGATGGCGTCAAGCCCGCAAGCCATCAGATCGCCGCATTCTCCACTGGCAAGGGACCTTTGCGGCAGCGCTATGGACAAGTGGCCGCTGAACGCGGGTAAGAAGTGCTTGGCTAGCAGGCTGCTTGCGTAATGCAGGTCGTGCCAAACAAGACGGTGTTAATTTTGATCAACACGCTGCGGTTACACTGGTAATTCCTGGTCGATTTTCCCTTACACCGTACGCGCTGATCGACATTCAGTCGTTTCATCTCTTACTTAGTAGTCGTAGATAGATAGATCAGAGAGCAACGACCACGTACTCGACACCGTCGGAGGTTTTTGCTGTTGTTATCTCTGTCTCAATTAGTCTTGCCTACGTAGGCAGGACCCGAAAAAAAAAAAAAAAAAAAAAAAAAAAAAGAGAGGCGACGCAAGTGGGGCTGGAACCTAAGAATAATAATGAGAAGTAACGGAAAAGGGGCAACGAGAAGCCAGTAAGTGGAGCCCTAGGAGATTGACACCAATACTCTCCAGTCGCCAGGCTCGCCACGAGAGTTGAAGTTCTGAACATTGGCCTTGCCCCACGCCCGCACCCAATTGATGGAGGGGAATTGCAGAGATGTTACGGTCTAATCCACCGGGGAGGTTGGACTTGGAGAAGGATATGGGACCCAGAGGGTTTGCTCCATAATGGAAGAAAAAGCAATTAAACTGATGGCTGAGGAGTTACGTAGTCAGTGCAACTGCCCTCGACTTTCTGATTACCTGTCGCTTTTTCGTGTTGAATATTGAATTAGTGTTTCGGTAATCTGTAGGACTTCAGGGACTTCAGAGACATCCAAAAGGCACAGCGAAAACAACAAAAAATAAAAGAAAGAAAAAAGAAGAAAAAGAAAAGGTGGACAAAAAGACCATCGGGAGCAGGGTAATGTACCGTACACGTACCGTACACAGGCCTGGAGCGCAATTTCCCCAAGTAATCTTAGCGTATGTAAGGCACGCGTACCGTCACCGTACAGCGTCACCGAGACCTCATTTTATCGATCTATTGATTATCCACACCCTTTTCGCCCCTCTTCGACTCCACTCGCTCAGGCCAGACGCCCAGCACTCGAAACTCCCCGTCAGAATTACTGGTAGTGTTTCATGTCCGCCTCTCGCCATGGGGAAATGTGGTACTAAGAATAATTTAAAAATAATTAAAACCGTTTTAGTGTACCAAAGAGGACTGCGAGTTGGAACAGGTCACTGGAAGTTGCCTGTCGTACGCCGTCCGAAGAACACAGACTCTGAGTGAGGAGGGAGTGGGTAAATTCTAGCTGGATTCGATTCTGTTCCGGTTCCATTCGACGTTGGGATTTGTTCTGGGGGGCACCCCTGCTTCCAGCTTGGCTTCGCCTTACAGAGTGTTAACTGCTAACTACGGGGAGGGCTACCAGGGATCCCCCGTAGGTAAAACTACTCCGCGTAAGACGTACCGAGTGCGTACGGGATACGCAAGGCAGGCAGGCGGTCGAGGTGCGGTCGCGCCCGGTACGGTAAAGCGCCGTAAGCCCGGTCGACTAAGACGGGGATCCAACGAACGACATATCTGACCTGGACCACGATCTCCGGTCTTCTCGCTGCCCCCCCCCCTTTCACTCCAACAAATAGTAATTCTAATAATAATAGATATTTCCATCCATAACCTTTCCTCACTCTACCAACCTACTTACCCTACCCTGCTTCCGTGCCGCGTTCGCAACCTTATCCATCTGACCAAATCGCCTGTCCCTCCCCAGCACTCAAACTACCCGAAGGGATTTTTCCATTTCTTTTTTTTTTTTTAATAAAAAAAAAGGAAGAGAAAAAAAATATACGTACCTCGTTTCCATCCATCCTATCCTCCCTTCTTGTTTCTCTCTTTCCCTCCCCTCCACTCCATGCTCTTCATTGTTGCTTGATTCTTGCGTCTTAATTTTTTTGTTCTTTTCTTTTTCCCTCCCAGCCAACTATTATCTCACTCGTTAACTCCCTTTTCGTTTTTATTCTTGTCTTATCTTCTTGGACTCTCCGTCTCAGTTCTTTCTACTCCCCCGTCACTCTCCGCCTTTCCCCGTGGCCTCCGCGCAGTTTAGCCAAAGCAGCCTTTTACGGCCGCGCCCTTTCGACTTCCAACGCTTCTTATCAGACCAAGCTCGCCAAATCAAGAAAATGAGTTCCGAAGGAGAAAAGGCCAGAACTTCCGGCGAGGTCTCTCGTCCGGAGCCCGCTTTGCCCACCGTGAACCCGGCCGCTGAGAAGTCCGAGCCTCCCAAGGCTACCTTCCACCCTGCGGTCTACGTGAGGTATGCAACTTGCTCATCTCGGGGAGATCGATGGTATTAACTCGGTGTCAGTGTCTGGATTGCTCTGAGTTCCAGTGTTATCTTGTTCAACAAGAAGATCCTTGATAACCCCCAAGCTCCATTCCGTAAGTGCAACTTGTTCTGTTATGACCAAATCACGACGATGAACTAACCTATCTCTCTCGCACAGGCTTTCGTATGACCTCCCTCGAGTACTCGAATGATATTCAAATCTGACCGTCTTCTAGCTATCTTCCTGACAACATGGCATCTGGCGTTCGCTACCCTGATGACCCAAATTCTCGCCCGCACTACCAACTTGCTCGATGGTCGAAAGACCGTGAAGATGACTGGCCGGGTTTACCTGCGCGCCATCGTCCCTATCGGCCTCTTCTTCAGTCTGAGTTTGATCTGCGGTAATGTTACCTACTTGTATCTGAGCGTTGCTTTCATCCAGATGCTTAAGGTATGCTTGCTCTCCGTTACCCCCGGGTCATGTTCCCTTGCTCATTGTGATACCTAGGCCACTACTCCGGTTGCCGTGCTCTTGGCTACGTGGGGCATGGGAATGGCTCCCGTGAACTTCAAGGTGCTATCGAACGTTGCTGCCATCGTTGTTGGTGTCGTCATTGCGTCGTTCGGTGAGGTCAAGTTCGTCTTGATCGGTTTCCTTTTCCAGCTCGGTGGTATCGTTTTCGAGGCCACCCGTCTGGTCATGGTCCAGCGCCTGCTCAGCTCCGCCGAATACAAGATGGATCCTCTTGTGTCTCTGTACTACTTCGCTCCGGTCTGTGCTGTCATGAACGGTCTTACCGCGCTCTTCATTGAAGTGCCCAACATGACTATGAACCACATCTATGGCGTCGGTGTCTCGACTCTGCTCCTCAACGCCGTCATTGCTTTCCTGCTCAACGTCTCCGTCGTCTTCTTGGTATGTGTCGCCGGGCTGCTTGCTTCTTGCGGATCCAAACTAACTCCAGTCTACAGATTGGCAAGACCTCTTCCTTGGTGATGACCCTCTGCGGTGTCTTGAAGGATATCCTGCTGGTTGCCGCCTCCATGGCCATCTGGCACACCCCCGTCACCGGCACCCAATTCTTCGGTTACTCTATCGCTCTTGGAGGTCTCGTCTACTACAAGCTTGGTGGCGACAAGCTCAAGGACTACACTGGCCAGGCTAACCGCGCCTGGGCTGAGTATGGTGCCAACCACCCGGCCCAGCGCAAGTCCATTATCATCGGTGCCGTTGTCCTAATCTTGTTCCTGTTCATTGGCTCTATGGGCCCCAGCTACGCTCCCGAGTCCATGGACCGTATGAAGGGCATGCTTGGTGGCGCCAGCACCGGAAACGCCTAAAGTCTTCTCTCTTTGAAGCCGTTTCGAGTCCACAGTGTCTGGATTGGACAAGACCCCTAGGCCAAACCTTGCGACGGTCCAGACATGATATAGTGGATGGGATGCTCCTTACACCCCGTGGTAGGGAGTCGCAAGACTGGACGCGAAATGTTCTACCATCAATTTCCTCATTCCTTTTTCTTTTTCCATTTCATATTTGGGCCTTTTTTTACAAAGTTTTTTCGACGGCCACACTACTGCCTTTTAAATTAAACGATAATGTCCCTCAGTTGAGGTAGTCCAAGGGAACGAATGGAAAGCGAGGTCCGACCAGACACGGCTACATGCGGGAAATGCAGCCTGTGCCAGATGGGACTCCCTTGAATACCATCTCATGGATTGAAATGACTGCGATCTCGACCTCGAGGTCAATTCTCCCTTTTTCTTGTTTACGCTGTCATCCACGGGCAATAGTCCCCTGAATTTCTTGCGATTTGGCTCGACGAATATTTGTGTCATGTTAAACTACCATGTGCTTTCACTTCTGACCTGCCTTATTTGCCTCTTCTATTGTTCATATTCACGAAATAGAATAAGTTTTGCCAAGTCCCCGAGCTTAGTAATCCACCTCCCGCTCCCTCAGGTGTCTCGCTTTGAGACTAGACCCCTTGGAGACTAGACCCACTAGGTCTCGCCTATGCGCCAATCAACGCAGGTGAGATCCAAGTGGGGCTCAGATCTGCGAATCAACGGTGACGCGCGGACGTGTTGCCCGGGCACAGCTGCACGTGACCAATCAGAAGGCCGTCCGAAAAACCAATTATTTTATTTACTGGATCCTTACTGCCGTCGATCGGCTGGGCTGGCTGCTGTGCCGCCGGTCCAGTAGGTAATCGAGTTTCTCTCTCTCCGCATTGCATGCGCTCTTCTTCCCTTCTTCCCTCGCTCTTGCTCTCTTTCACATAAGGTACCCTTAGCCAGTCATCCTCCTCTCTCTTTTCTCACTTTCCATTTCTCCTCTTCTTTCATCTATATACACTTGTGTCTTCCTTTCTTCCATCCTTCCTTCCCCCATCCTCCATCGTCCTCCATTTCTTCTCTTAGCTTTGGCACTCCTCTCTTCTCCGCAGCCTTCTCGCGCTGATCTCACTCTCGCGCTACGACCTCGTCCCATTCACGCGCCTTGGGACTCTCTTATCTTCTTCATAGGTTGTTGTATCTTTTCATTTCTAGCTCACTGGACGTAACAGATCGGATACCTCTTTCTTATTCCACTTTCGACATCTCTTATATCCTCCATTGAACCATCACGATGTGCCCGATGCTTCTCAACCACCTCTCTGATGGACCTGCCATGGTCCTCTCCCCTACCCAACAACACGCCTTTGTTCAGTACCCTCGCCATTTTGACTCGGTGCCTGGCACGAATTCGAGCTCCTTTTTCGCGAATGGCTTCGCTTCTCCCACCTCTTCGGGAGTAAGCCCGGTAGTGAACAAGCTGGCGACGCCCGGTCCTATTGCTGGAAAGCCGTCCCGCAAGAGATCGCGCGATGAAGCCTCCTTTGAAGAAGCTATGAATGCCCCCATTGCTCCTGTGCAAGCTGCACCCGTTCCTCCCCCGAAGAAGGAAGAGCCCATCTACGGAGAAGGCATGGTTCTTCTCAACCCGCAAACGGGATTGGCCTTGTCCGCGGAAAGCCAGACTGGCACCTGGTACGAAGAGGTCTCCGAGACCCCCGCTGCTTCCCAACCTCAAGCGGCCAGCTCATCCGGCGTTGCCGGCCGTAAGTCGCAGCGCCTCGACCCTGCCGCCCCCAGTTACGATGATATCGCACTTTCATCGATGCAGCGCCAGCAAGACGCGTCTGGCGATGATAACCGCCGCCATCTCAATGCTACCAACGGCTCGAATCCGTTTACATCTGGAGAGCCATTGGTTGATGACGCCACTCGCCTTTTGGGTATCAGCTGGCAGCGCATTGGCATGGACGACAACGATATGGCTGCTGCGGTGCGCGGCTGGAAGAAATACATCGACCGACAGTTTTCCGGCTATCTTTCCGACTGCGAAATTCTCATGAAGAACCGAGCTCTCAACGCCTACCTCGTCACTGCACGCCCTGTCACACCCTTTGGGCTTGCTGCCTCTCCTGCTTTCTATCTCTTCAACGATGACCTTACCCAGGGTCAGCTCGTGAGCTCTAGCTGGGAAAACGCGGTGCAAAACCTTCGATCCACTCCTATTATCTTCGAGGGTGCCCAGGTCTTGAATGCCTCGTCTCGCCCCATGACCCCGGGCCAAGACAACGTGCTGGGATCCAATCCCGCCGACTCAGGACTTCCTCTATTGCAAACCCTCAGTGCTCAGCCAGTCGGTGGCGGGTGCGCCGGATTGAACACTGGCGTGGCAATGGGTACTGGGATGGAGATTGACGCGTAAACCAAAGAATCAAAAGTCTGCTTATTCAACTAACGAAACCTGAAAACGACAAGGAACGCCATCGTCCGAATATTTCAACCACGACACATTTCAAAAATAGACAGTATCCTATATCGCGTCTACGCCTGACCGCCAAACATCGACCAGAACGATCGCAATTGTCGCCCCGTTTCCGTCGTCGATTCGCCCTATTTCGGTGTTCGTCCGCCGTTCGTAATTTATCGAGCTTCTGATGTTTGTGATAATTTTTTCTTTTCTTTTTCTCTTACATGATTTTTTCCTGAGTCTTGACACTTTCATTCTTACTATTATTATTGTAACTGGGGTTTTGGTATTTGGTATATTTGGAGGAGCAAATGGTGTTGAATACCTGCAGGTTCTTGGGATTTCCTTGCACTATTACTTTCTTTGCTTGTGTGTTATTGTCTTTTATCCTCTCCATCTGTTGATATCATCGATCCGTCTTACGTGAAAGACAAGAAAGAAAAGAAAAGAAAAGAAACCGATGAGAACAAGAATATATTAAGATTGGATTTGACTTGTCTGGGTTTGCTGTAATCTTGTAAGAATCAAGTACCCTTGTAGGTGCCTGAGGCAGGAACCTTCTGTCCATTATGAGGGATCGCTCTTTCTTTCCTACTTTCAACTCCTCATCATCGATATGCATATAATCTCCTGCGAGCCCGGTTTCAATTGAGCTTGCCGGAATCGCTCTTTCTGCAAGGCTCTGCCCAAACCCATTCCCTCCTCCCAGAATGGCCTTCGCATATCCCGAAGGCGAGTGCTGCTTCAGGCGCTCCGCCCTCCGAGCCTCCACCTATGATCCGGACAAGCCAGAGCATTTCTACGCGCACCTACTAATCGAATATATCTGGAACCGGCCTGCCTTTCATGGCTCTGCCAGCCCATATAATCAGAAGGACCACTATCACCCCCGCTCTCCATACAAGGTCGTGAAGGGGGACGGACATGTGGAATACCAACTACGGGAACTGGGAAAACATCTTCTTATACGGAAGGAAGCCGCATAGCGATGGCGCGCGATATAGACACGTCAAGCATAATCTCTGTGTGAATGGAAATCGGTTCCGGGATTAGGAGAAGGGTGGTGCGCTTGAATCATTCTTTATGATTATTCCGATGCCGTTGTTGGCTAAGGGGGAGGAGTGGTTTCTGGTTGATGTATGTTTGACGAATCCCTTTCGAGAAACGTCCATTTACTATTTCTTCTGTTCCTCTTCTAGCGTGTAGCATGCATCCGGGTATCTATATCCCCGTCGCGCACCAGGACTCGGAGGATTACCCCGAAGTGTGCACGTTTCTGCAAGTGAACTTCGCCTCGAACCGCGAAGTGAACATGTTGACACAATTCGAGGTCTACTTCTCGGAGCGCCGAGACTACGTGATTGGATAGGACATCGTGCCCGTAAAGCTGGACGCGACGCTCGGCCTTGCCCCAGACGCCAAATGGACCATGGCAATCAACATCCGGCAGCTCGTCAACCTCCTCTCCCTGCCCCGTCAAATGCGCGGCCACAACTGTTTCTCATCGCATATCGTCCGCATGGTAGACCGGAAGCTAACGCCCACGACCGGAATCGCGCAGAAATCCACCGACGGGCGGCCCGATCTTAGCTGGACGACTGTTGCGAGCGCAAACTACGGACTGTCCATCCAATGGAAGCCCCCGACACCGACGATCTGGCTGGCCGATTTTATCCGAAACAGCCTCACCGTTGCGGTTGGGTTTATCCCTGTGATCGGACCTCTTGCGGCGGTTTGTTTCCCGCTGACCTGGACGGCCATTGCGGATCCGAGCAACTTTGAACACACCCTGAGAGAACTTGCGCCTGTCGTGGACCTGGCGATGCAGGTTGCCGCGGAGGTCCAGAAGAGTGCCCAAGAGCAGGTGTTGTACATGCCCAAGGGATGGGCGGGAAATGTCGAGCACTTTCGCTTGATCACTGCTGCGGAGGCAGAGACTGAGAAAAAGACGTCCTAGCCGAAACTCGTCTCCGAGGCGAAGCTGAAGCAGTTAGAATCGATCCGGAAATTCAAGTACTGGAATCTCATGAAGCCCGTGTCCGCGGCTCTGACAGCGGATCCGCAGATCGTGACTCTGGGTGATGATGGGAAGCGCCGCCGCCGCCGCCGCCAGTCATAGTATCTGGCGTGCAAAAAGACGAAGTGGTGCATACGCTTAGGGAAGAAGAGTTGCCTGGGCAGCTTCCTCTTCGTGAACTGCAAACCAGTGCGCCGTTCCAATTGGCGACTCACGTTATGCAGCGTTCGGCGAATCCATCAGCCTGTACTGGGGCTAATGATAATTCTGCTGGTCGGACCGTTCAGGAGGTTTGTCCTGAGACTGCAATTCCGGTCGAAAAGGGCCCGGGGAATAATTTCAATTGGATGGATGGGTATCTTCATGAGGAGTTCTCTTGAAGATGCCAGTTTGTGGAAAGTGGTATGGATGTGCAGCATGATTTATTCTTGGATATGTTTTTGCTATGTGATTTATGCGTACGTCCTCTTGGTATGGTTTCATGGGGCCGGATTGAATGGATGACTATTGAAATGTAACACGAATGGTATTATCTTCGGGGTTGCTTGCATTAATGTAAGGCATATCATATCTCATGCATGCCGACTCTCCGAACAATCTGGCTTAATGCAATGCAATGCAATGCACTTTGTTTTTGAACATATTTCGTCGAGTTTCCGGGCTATTTCATCCAATAGGTAGGTACATACTTAGCACTAGCCGAAGTGGATATGTTGGGTCTTATGCATTTAGAGGACATGTACCTGTTTTTAGCTATTCTCTTCTAAAGTTCTTCTCCTGAAGGAATTTTGTTGGCTATTTATCTTTTCCGTAGTAAATAGGTAGTTCGTTATTTCTCTTCTATTATATCTATCTAAGTTTCTGTAGTCCGATCTCTCTATCTTTCCCTTACAGTAAGTAGGAGAGAGATCTCAGTGTCTAGCTATCTATTTTATATGGTGATGTTAATCCCGGCACAAGGAAGAGAAACCTACCCATCCCCTCTTCGTAGAATGTTAAGTACTAGTAGGTATACTCGCCTATGTATATTGTGCGTACTTATCCATCATTAGCCCGACTTACTAGATGAAGCAGTCCTAGCAGCAGCAGCATCACCATCCGCCACGGACCTCACATCCCTATCTTTGTTCCTATCACTCTTCCCCTCCTCCACAGGGGTAATAACATCTCCCTCGACCGGCGAGGCCGCAGGCGTAGTAGATGTCGGAGAAGACGAGCCAGAAGAAGAACCCGACACTGACCCGTCATCCGTAACCGATATCTCGGTCACGCGGGGCCGTGGACTTTTCTTATCTTCTCCTGGTCGACCATCGCGCGGGTCTTTATCGTCGTTTTGTTCTATACCGCAGTCGCAGTTGAAATGTTCTTCGTCGGGGGGTGCGAGGGCTGCGCGCTTGGTGATGAATAGGGTGTCGATTTGTTCGAGTGTTAGGCCGGCGGTTTCGGGGTAGAAGAAGTAGATTGTCTATTTTTCGCCGAACTTTGTGTTAGTGTGTGTTGGTTGTTGAGAGGGTGGGTGGTGTATGTGAGTAGGTGTGGATTGATTTGATAGGAGTAGGTAGGCTTGGTGCGACAAGGGCGATGGGCGATGGGCGATGGTATGTTGTAACTCTCAAGGAAAGGCAGACTTACCGGAATAAATAGGAAATTGAAACACATGAAAATGAGGTATCCTTTCCAGGCCAAGTCCTCGATCAAGGTGGGAGAGATCATGGAGATGAAGAAATTCCAGAGCCAGTTCGCGGCGATACTAATCGCTGTTCTATTTTGTGGGGTTTCATAATTAGCTTGATTTCCTTTTCCGTCTTTGACTGGGTCGATGTGGGTTGGAAGGAGGGACGAAAGAAAGAAATGAAGGAAGGGGGAGGGGCCACTCGTTGGAATGTGAAGTCAGTGATGTAAAAGTGCAGAACGTACCCTTTAGCGCGAACATGCAGGGGCAGCAGCTCGGGCCCATACACCCAAGGGATGCAGTTCAACGACGCCCCAAACGTGAGCAAGAACAGGAAGAAGAATGCCACCGATGCAGAGGCGGTTTCTGTCTCGACGGCCGTCCCTAAGATATGTTTGTTAGTACAGGAACAGGAACAAAAGGTCTTTCGGGATTTGTTCCGAAGGCAGGGTTTCCGGGACATGTTCACATACCTTGGAAGGACAGAAGAATGGAGATCATCATCATGCAGAGAAAAAGTCCGAAGGAGCCCCAGAGCATGGGTTTCCGACGGCCGAGTCGATCCACGAAGAAGGTTGGGTAGAATGCGCCTGGTGGGTAGGAAATCGGTCAGTTAGTGTTTATCGGGATTTGTTGGGGGATTTGATTAATTCATACCAAGGCTGAACATGAATTGAATCACTCCTCCCATGAGAAGACTGGTTTTCTTGTCGAGGCCGATGTTTTTCTCGAAAATGGAGGTTACGTAGGACTATATTGGCGTGTTAGTCAACTTGTGGTAGTTCAAAGAGCATGAGGTGCACTCACTACTATCATATTGACACCACACATCTGGTTCATGAACTGTAAGCCAAAAGCCAGCAGGACGCGTCGACCGGTCCGCAGGTCGTCTTTCTTAAACAGCTGACTCCATTTATATTCACCCCGTAGGGCATCGAGCTCAATGGCTCGCTGAATGCCCGCTGACTCCTTGATAACTTTGGGGTCATCCGGAAGGCAATCATAAAAGTCACAAAGGACCTGAAAGCCTTGAGCACTGTGCCCCTTGCGATAGAGCCACCGCGGGTTCTCAGGAAGTCTAACATCGTCAGTATCACTCAGAATTGCTAGTCCAACCTCCCACGTAGCACGGTCAAGACTCACCCCACAACCATCCCGGCAATAAAAATGACCAATACCCCCTGGCAAGCGATAGGAAGTCGCCAGCTCGTGGGTCCGTCGACATAGCTCATTCCGTAGTCAAACCAATAGGAAAGCACGATGCCGACGCCGACAAATAAAGGTTGGCTGCAAACGTACATTCCTCGCCTGCGCGCTTCGCAGAGTTCAGATTGGTAAACCGGCGTGACGGTAGTCATGGTGCCCACCCCGATTCCGGTGATGAAGCGAGCAACGAGCAGCTGCGCGGTGGTGAAGGAAGTCGCTTGCAGGACAGCTCCGATCTGCGGGTGGATAAAATGACATTGTTAGTTTGGATACTTTGGGCCTAATTGATTTGCGTGGGATCAAAAGTAGTAAGTGAAGAGGCTGGCAAAGAGGGATCTTAATACCAAAACCCACGCCGTCGACATCCACATTGTCCAGCGGAACCCGAGTCGATCACTTGTTAGAAAAGCGAGGATTGCCCCTGCACTACATCCGATGTTGTAGATGGATACAATGAAGCCGACGAATACCGCGCCGGGGTGATGCACTACATCGAGGAAGTCCTCGTTGCCAACGATCCCCGAGAAGACGCCTTGGTTATAGCCTGCAAGCGGGGACGGTATTTTGTTAGTGATCTATATAGGTATTTTGTAATTTGTTGGGTACCATCACTGACCATAAACCGCAAATGAAACCTGACAGGTGATGAGGATGGCAATGCGAAGGCTAAGACCTCGACCGTAGAGGTTGAGGTGTGACATGTTCAAGGAACAAGTCTTCGCAACGTGTAGGATTGGAAGAACCCCGAAGACCAAGATGCTTCTTTAACCAGAATTGTGTTGCCGAGAAAGTGAGCAAGGCCAGGAGCGAGAGGGTGCCAGGCCAGTTATATGGGCGAGAAAGAGTCCTTCTGCCTTGCCACAAGGAGACGGAAGATCATGGGATTGAAGTGGTGCCAGTACGTACGCGTACTGGACATCATATCCAAGGGAAGCTAGTCGCTATGAAATGCAGGTATGGTGTATGTCTGCCTGTCTACCTACCTAAAGATAACCCCGTCAAGTGGTTGGTGGCGCTAAAGATCCTGGGGAATTCTTAAGCCCTGCATATACTATTGGAGGCTGGCGTAACCCTTTCGTCTCCATCAGAGATACCAATGGCCCGGACTGGCGGATTAAACAAGCCCATATCGAGTAATGGGGGGAGGGAAGCTCCCCACACCAGCTTCTGAAACATACCATAATGTCATCTACCAGAAAGGGAAGCACGAACCTTGATTGAGATAGCGAGTCATCCAACTCTCTGATTGACTGGCACTGCCTTGCCAGGCTTTTGTACATTCCTCATTATCGAGTTGACTTCATAGGTCCTTGTCGCCTGAACCACCCCGAACCCTAATTTCTAGAGACAACATGACGTCAAAGTCGATATGATTCATCGGCATTGACGTCGAGGCCGAAAAAAAAAAGACCAGTAGGGCAGGAGGCGTGGCATACCAGAAGCCCGATCCAAAAGCTCAGGCCTCAATCGTGAAAATATCTATCGGCTGCTGGCTATTTGGACCCGTAGTTGACCCCTTGCAGGTCTCGGCATTTGACCAAACGGTTGCCAGCTCTCTGTCCAGTGGGAAATAGATTCCATATAACTGGTGGTGGCATATATAGGATTCGAGGTCGATTTTTCATCACTATCCTGGATTCCGAGAGGCAAATGCCGTGAGCCATGCCTACACTTATACTGATATAGAAGGCCAAATGATCTTTCCTTCATGAAACTTCGTGGGTGCGATATTCAATGTGCGTGCTCTTTGGCCTGTTTCCCTCCTTGGTCTTTCTCGGCTCTCTCGGTAGTTCGAGCTAGTGGCGACTAGAGAAGTTAGAGAAATACTGTGTGGTTCGCTTTGAGAACTAAATGAAGATATACAAACAGAGCTAGAAGTCCCTTCATATATATACCAGCCCATACAGTCCAACTCTGGTCCAGCCTCTTTTTCGTTCGTGCAATCTTGTCGTAGGAGTGGTGCTTTTGTCAAGACAAAGCACATCGGCCCAGTTGCTGAATCAGAGGGGAAAGAACCTGATGGAAGTTGTAGGTGCTTGAATTGGTGAAGCAGGCAGTGACCACCGACTACCCCTGTGGGTCACATGTGCACTAAGTTACATCGAGACTACGAGACACCGCTGCAACAGAACGCTTCCTTTGCTTCTATTAGTATACTGTAGCTTATAAAGCATCGCTAAGGTTTGTCTGAATCCGTATCGCAAGGTGTCCACAAGTTAAATCAAAATAAGCCGTCGAGAATCCCGCCACTCGATGGATAGAGCAGGGATCGACAAGAAGACAGATGCCTATGATTGTTCGATAGTCTAAGATGGTGAGTGATCTTGGAGATTCCTGTAACAAATCTGAGACAGAAAGACAAGCAAATTCCCCACATGCCATGGCGACGTAGATTTCCAATTCTTCTATTTCCTTATTCTCTTGCTAATCACTATCATAGTCACTGCCGTCGTCATAGTAATCACCATAATGCCCAGAGAATGCAGCGTCCAGCCCTTCATCCTGGTCATCCTCCTCGTCGTCATCGTATTCATCATCCGGCTCTTCCTCGTTCTCCCCGCCCTTTGCGTCGGGAGCTGGACCCAGAACCGTTTCATTGGTTTCACCGGTGGCGGCAGGAGTAGGCAGATTGGCACTGGCCGAATCGCCGGCCGGAGGTGGAGGAGAACCAGGGGGCTTAATATGCGAAGGAGTTGCGAGCCTTGCCCGCCCCGAAGCCGCCTCTAGTTCGATACTGGCACTGCGTCGCGAAGCCACGCTCTGGCTGCGACTCTGGCTTCGGCTCGTGCTTTCGGCCTTTGCCTTGGCAGCGTCCTCGCCGCCTTCTTCACCGAACAAGGACTCGAGAAGACGGTAATTGATCTTCTTACTGAAGCCCCTTCGCTCCAACATCCGACGGGTGGCCTCAGCCGGGGTGGATGCGCGAGTGCTTCGTCCGTCCCCTTCTTCACCCTCACCCTCTAGATAGGTCACATCTCCTAGTCGACCCTTACGACGCTTGCGGGGTTTGTGCATCCCGGGACGCGTATCGGATTCCTCCAAGGCTCGTTTCAAGGCCTTGGCCTGCTGCGTTCGTAGATAGTCCTTGTTCTCGTGCACCCAGATCCGTTCTTTGATCTCGACTTCCACGGGCGACAAGAGACAGTTAGCGACTTCCGGATCCGACTCGAATTCCGTCTCGTCGATCTCTGCGCTATTGGAAATATTTTTCGGCTGCTGGCCTGATGCTGCGTATGCCTGATTCTCTGTCATGTTGGAGCCCTTCGCTAACAATGCAGTCATCTCATCCTCGAGAGCCTCCTCTGAAGCGAGTTCATCGGGTGTCGGCGGGGGAAGGTCTGGCTTTCGGGAGCCTTTACGACGGCTGGAGCTAGGTTGAGCAGATTCAGGGTCGGCTTCCGATGGGTCTTCACTAGTCGCCGATACGGTCGACGGCCGTCGGTGATGATCTGCTTCTATCAGAGCCGGGTCAATAGGGATGCTAGGGATGGCAAAGCCATCCGCATCGACGCGATTCGGCTGGCGCGTGCCGGCGGCATCCTGGATTTCGCCTTCAATCTCGGCCGCAGTCTCGGTGGCCTTTCTTTTGAAACTTCGGGAAGGCTTCCTTCCCTCCCGTGCTCGAGTGAAAGATGGCGGATCGTGAGCGTTCTCCAGCTGGACGGACCGGAATTGATCGACAGTCAGCTCTCCGCTCTCCGTCGAGCTGAATTCGTTGAGACGTTGGCTGATGGTAATCTCCGTGACTTTGACCACGTAGACAACCTCGCGAACCGTTCGGCGGAAATTGTTCATGCGTGCTGCAAGGATGAGAGCTGCGCCACAGATACCGGCAGGGCGACGACCGGTAGTCATCCAATCACGGTTCATGCGCTGGACAATCCGGACGGCTTCGCTGGCAACTTGCATGGTGGAATTGCCGAATTCCAGTTGTTTGGCAAATCGATAGATCAAGCTCTCCGGGTCAATGGGGTTCATGAGGAACACATTACCCCCGAGACGCAGTTCATCCAACAAGGACTTGTACGTTCGACCGAGCTTGAATACGTTGATCATGAGGACGTCGGCAAAATCGATGAGCATGATGGTGTTACCATCTTGTCGACGACAGGCGATGTACAAGCAGACCGCTGCCACTGTTTTCGTGCGACGACCTTGAATGAAGTTCAGGCCCACGGCAAGCTTGAAGACCTGACCGGCAGCCTTCATCGCACTTTCGGGAATCATCAATGCCCGCGACAATTGACTGATATAACGATTACCATTCTGCTCTGTAATTTCTCGACTTTCCATGCCGCTCCCGCCCTGGAATCCCGGGCCGAAACTGCGAACATGGGATTGATCTTCACCGACAAAGGTACCTTGAACGACGGCGGCACCCGACGAGGTTTCTCCAAAGGTGACTTCGGAGACAATATTTGCTTCGCTGATGACAGTACCGCACCCGGAACAGACCTTTTGACCGTCATCCTCGACAATGTGAGGCGCGGGACAGCCGGGGTTAGGGCAGGTCGACGTCTTGGGATGAGTGGTCGGTCTCGCCGGCTGAGGCCGGGCAATGGACTGAGGGCGTTTGATAGCAGTGCCCCCACCTGGTGGTTTGAGACTCGCCAGCCGACCTACAGGAGTTGCTCGGGGATTATTCCGAGGAGGAATGGAAGGGCGCATGCCAGGCCTGGGAACTGACATGGTGTATGCTCCCGACGGAAAACGGTTCAGGTAAGGAATTGAAAATCAGATGAGTTATATAATAGTTCACAAAGAAGAAGGAAATAAGAAAGGGAATGAAGCCAGATTCACTTGATATCAAAGATCATCATCGATAACTAGAGACAAGAGGATGGAGAGGGCTGGGCCAATGAGATGTAAGGTGGACTGAATTTGAGGCCCCTCGTGAGTCACAATTCGTCGGCAGTTGCAACTCTCGTCTGTTTGAGGACCAGGTTTCAAGTGATGATGTCGAAGTGAGAGGAATTAGAGGACCGACCACAAGTAGATAGCAGAGAACCCAGAAGACCGAGAATGAGAAAGAGGGAGAACACAGCGAGAGAAGCGGGAAGATGGGGGACGACGTTAAAAAATCGAAACGATTCGCGCGGGGCGTGTTGGTTCAGTGGTCTGGTCCAGCGACGCGTCACGTGTCGGACAGCCTTCAGCGAACTCCGCCTTCCGCCCGGCAATTCGGGTTCGAGTCTCCTTTCGCTCAGTCGCTCTTTTTCTTTGTCTCCTCCCAGACAGACATCTGCCATCTTGTCCAGATGCGACGAAAGACGAACAAACTATCGATCGAAAAATCGATAGACCTGTTTCAGGAAATGTTTCATATCTAAGAATTCATATCTGACAATTACCAGGTGGAGATCACTTGAGATGGATCTATTGCAAATACAGTTCGGAGGGTAGTGGTGGTGTGTGTCTGGTCTTTGATGGGCGAAGCGGTGCGGGTTTTCTGCGGGTTTGCGCCTTTTTCGCGTGATTTTTAATTCTCCCGTTCAACCAGATGGAAGACTCCAGTGGCAACTCTCATATATTAGAGGCCGTGGGCGTCCCTCGTTTAGCCCAGGGTCTCATCTGGTATTTACTCAATATCTCTTCCAATTTTATTGTCATTGCAACGATTCACTCTCCAACCCCTGTCTCAGAGGCTTTCAGCACAACACTGACACTGTCTTCGACACTGTGTTCTGCTGCCAAGTCCCTTTACTCTCTACACTTTCATATACCCATGAACCTTTCTATGAACTAGACCCCTCGCTCCTGCCTTGTGTCGCATTGAAAGCAAGTCTGGTTGGTCCATCGACAGCTCGACAGAAGGCCTGCATTCTTGATCATGCAGTCGCCATCGAAGAATGCTGTGATCGCGACAGCTCAAGACACGACAACGCTCAAAAGTATTTTCTTTGTCAGCAACATCCACTGCTCGTCATGCGTCACCTACATCACGGAGATTTTTTCTGAGATCACGGGCGTTCGGAGCGTCGACGTTTCCATCCTGACGCCCCAAGTCTGTGTTGTGCATACCACCGAGACGACCCCTTTAAACCTCGCTACGGCCTTGATCCAGGCGGCGTTTGAGGTCCACCACGTCACTACGGAGGATGAGAGAGGTGTGATGGTGTCGGACCTCGATACAACCTCGTCGCTACCTCGAAACATTATGCTTTTCACAGCCCAGCAGGACAGCCATTCGAAAGGAGCTCCGCAGGACCGACACATCGCAAACTGTGATGCGTGTCGAAAGGAAGAGCTGAAAAGCGATTCCGTCACAGTTTCGTGTGTGTCTAAGGCAGCGTCATCCCAGTCGGTCGAAGCTTCCAAATTCAAAGCCCGCTTGAGCATCGGCGGGATGAGCTGTGCGTCATGCGTCAATACCATCACCAACGAGCTCATCCAGCTGGATTTCGTCGAGGACGTGGTCGTCAACTTGTTGACTAATAGCGCAACGGTGGTTTACAATGGGCTCCAGAAGAACTCGGGAAAACTAGTGGATCAGATCGAAGATATTGGTTTCGAGGCTGCTCTTGATGAGGTGGAGATGTTGAACGATCCGTCAACTTCTAAGAAGGCTCTGATGTTCACGGCTGAGATTGCCATCGGTGGCATGACTTGCGGTTCGTGCTCGGGCGCGGTGACTCGGGGTCTCGAGGAGCTACCCTTCGTCAAAGAGGTTTCAGTGAATCTGTTATCGCATAGCGGAAAGGTCGAATTCGAGGGCCAGAAAAACGTCGACTTGATCTTGGAAAAGATTGAGGACTTGGGATATGACGCCTCCATTACAAGTGTGCAGGCTTCGAATCACAAAAAAGATGAGGTCGAGAGTCGAACAATTTCCATCCGCGTGGATGGTATGTTCTGCCATCACTGCCCTGAGAAGGTTCTTAGATCCTTGAAGGACATCCCAGGCCTCGAAGTCGACGATGCGCTTTCAGTCAAAAATCCCATCCTTCAAGTCACATACAAGCCGTGTCCTCCTATACTTACCATCCGAAGTATCATCGACCTCATCAACAAAGCACACGATGCCTTTACCGCCTCTGTCTACCACCCTCCGAGCATTGAAGACCGTTCAAGAGCGATGCAGTTGCACGAGAGGCGACGGCTATTGTCTCGTCTACTCTTCGTTCTTACTGTCGCTATCCCAACATTTCTCATCGGTATTGTATTTATGAGCCTTGTCTCATCCGACAACCACGTTCGAAAGTATTTGGAAGGATCGATCTGGGTGGGAAATGTGTCTCGTATTGAATGGGCGCTCTTCATCATGTCAACACCAGTTATGTTCTATGGGACAGATATCTTCCACGTTCGTGCGATCAAGGAAATATACTCTCTCTGGAGGCCTGGAAGTCGAGTGCCAATTCTCCGGAGATTCTATCGATTTGGCAGCATGAATCTTCTCATTTCAGCCGGCACTATGGTGGCTTACGTATCGTCGCTCGCCGTTCTCATCGTCGACGCCGTCGTCGCTAAGCCGTCCGACAACACACATAGCATGACATACTTTGATTCGGTCATTTTCCTCACCCTCTTCATTCTCGCCGGTCGGTTTATCGAGGCATACAGCAAAGCTAAGACCGGAGACGCAGTTGCCTCGCTTGGGAAATTGAAACCGTCCGATGCCCTGTTGGTCGTCAGCAGCGATAATTCAGGAGACGAAATCCAACGAACTGGTCTTGACTTGCTTGAAATCGGTGACATGGTCAGCATCCCACATGGGTCTTCCCCTCCAGCCGATGGAACTCTTGTGGACGACGGCTCCTATCAGTTCGATGAAAGCTCCTTGACGGGAGAGTCGAAACCGGTCAAGAAGTCAAGTGGTGATCCAGTATACACCGGCTCCGTCAACGTTGGTCAGCCCGTGAAGATCAAGGTAACCGCCCTCGGCAGCGCATCGATGCTGGACCAGATCATTTCCGTCGTGCGTGAAGGTCAAAGTAGACGCGCACCTTTAGAACGGGTCGCGGATATGCTCACCTCGCATTTTGTGCCCATCATCACCCTCATCGCCATCTCGACTTTTGTGATTTGGCTATCTTTGGGGCTGTCGGGTGTTCTTCCGGTAGACTACCTGGATGTGCCACACGGTGGCTGGGTCTTCTGGAGTCTGGAATTTGCAATTGCGGTCTTTGTGGTAGCCTGTCCTTGCGGACTTGCACTGGCAGCTCCCACAGCGCTTTTCGTTGGCGGGGGATTAGCTGCCAGACGGGGAATTCTTGTCAAGGGCGGCGGTGAAGCATTCCAAGAAGCCAGCCATCTTGACGCTATTGTTTTCGACAAAACTGGCACCCTCACCGAAGGAGGCAGTCTAGCGGTGTCGGACCACGAGGTGCTTCTCACTGACCCTGAACATTTGCAAGTCGCCTGGACTCTGGCTCAAAAGCTCGAGGAAAGTAGTACTCACCCAATCGCCCGGGCGATAACGGATTTCTGTCGTCAACGATCTTCTATCCCTATCCTCAGCTCCGATATCGAGGAAAGGCCTGGTCAGGGATTGAGAGGCATTTTCATCGTGCAAAAGGACAGCGTCACTACGGTTAAATTTGAAGCAGCAATCGGCAACCAGCGGCTACTGCAGAGTATGTCGTCTCAAGCCGATGATGATCATCTGAATAGTCTCCTGTCCAAATACCAAATGTCTGGAAAGTCCACTGCGATCTTCTCAATGCGCCAGATCTCAGAGTCAACCTCTGAACACATCCGTCCTGTCATCGTGTTTGGGATCTCCGACACCATCCGCCAAGACACGGTGCAGGTGATCTCTAAGCTCCAGAAGCGCAAAGTCAACGTCTTCATGTGCACCGGTGATAACCAGACCACCGCCTATGCTGTCGCTGACATGATCGGCATCCCACGCTCGAACGTCAAAGCCAACGTCACCCCGGCCGGAAAAGGCGAGTTTGTTCGCCAAGTCCAAGACGGGCTCGTTCTATCCGGACCTCCTCGCAGCGACTCCGAAGCCGAAAGTCAACAGACCGAGAACAAGAGCAGAAACGCTCCCGCGTCGCGTTCTATCGTCGCGTTCGTCGGTGACGGCGTGAACGACTCACCGGCCCTCGCCGCCGCAGACGTCAGCATCGCCATGGCCTCGGGTTCTGACGTCGCCATGAACTCCGCCAGCTTCATCCTGTTGAATTCGGAGCTGGATACTATCCTCCAGCTGGTTGTGCTCAGCCGTCGCGTATTTACCCGCGTCAAGATGAACTTCTGCTGGGCCGTCGTGTACAACCTGAGTCTTATCCCGATCGCTGCCGGTGTCCTGTACCCCATTGTGAACGGACACTCGATGCAAATGGGCCCTGATGGCGGATCTGTCATGGTGAATACCCACTGGCGACTGAGTCCGGTATGGGCGGCTTTGGCGATGGCTTTGAGCAGTATCTCCGTTGTGCTTAGCAGTCTTGCGTTGGGGATTCAATGGCGGAAGATTGGAAAGTGGCTCTCTTTTGGTTTGGGTAGTAAGTGAGTTTGAGGGTGCTGCTATCTACTTATTCCATTATCACTTATTTAGATGTTTTTCTATGTGATGGATTATGCTTGTTGTTTTTATATAGTGTGTTCTTCTAGCATGGCGCTGCTTCCTTAGTTATTTCAATATATTTGCATATCTAGGTATGGATGGGCAAGTATAACTTTTCGGGTGTCATCTATCTCTCTTGATTGCTGTTGTTATTTTGCATTTGACATGACTCGTGTCACAATAGAATTTACGATCTTGATTCTTTTTTCTAATTCTGAAGTATATATTATGTTGCTGACTGTAGTCAGGCATAAAACTACCGAGTACTGGGCGCGGAAGAGGGGACGCGCAAATCAAGAGTACCCGTCCACTCAACATTAAGATAGATGCGTCCCTACGAGGTGTGGGCCTCGTCAACATCACGCAATCACTTCAATCAATATTGTGAGGTCGGAAGGAAAGTCGAGAATTGGTTCACTTGTCCGCTTAGGCTGTTGTTGTGGTATGGTTGCCTGATTCTTTGTTTCCAGATTCAAGGGATGGCCTAGGCAATGAAGAAAATGATTGAACTGAACCGATGAAGATGTTCAACTATATAGGGCTCGAAGAAGGTCCTTTTATCTTCAATTCGACGTGATGTTCATGGCTGATTTCGTGGAGTATTCCGCTCAAATCATTGAATCTTCTTGTATAGAGATCTCTGCGGAACTTCAAGCCTTTAGCGAAGATTTTGCGGATTTTCCAAGGCATTCAGATCTTCTAAACACTTGCTGTGGTATGCCGAATGTTCTTGCCCAGGTGTTATCTTGTTAGCGCTCTATACATCGCTCGCGCTTATAGAGCCGACTTTGACTTCTAGGCAGCCCCACTCGATCAAACTAGCTCTCATAATTGTCAATATAGAAAGTTCTGAGAACTCATTAGGTCACCTTTTCCTTGCTCTGATTATTTCGGTCTACATGTGGCGTTTGTGACAGTTTCTAATATCTGCTCTGGTCGGAATCTGATCTCCCTCTTTGAAGCCGAAGTGGTTCAGGTATTCATGCGATCTGAGAGCGAGATGCTTCGACATACGTGATATTAAACATGAAATAGCTGCGCATTAGAGGCACAATATCATCTTTTTCTGGCATTTGTATCATCTGAATAGGCTTTAGAGGCGCATTAAGATGACACGTATCTTTATGCTTTTGGAGATGACTCGCGGATGAGAACCCCAGCGTTGAAAAATCGCAAGAGGGGTGTGGACACTTGTATACCCGAGCATGGTTTCGACAGTGTGTGTCACGGTCCCCTTTAACCGCGAAAGCTGCCTGCAAAGGCTGGCAAATTGCATAATGACATCTGGAGAGGCGCTCACCATATAGCTTTCTCAATTTTTGGCAATTACAACTTGTCTTATGTGATCTTTTCTGACAGAGAAGGCTTTCGAAACTCTCGTGAATGAGCATTGAGGCAAAGGATAAGTAGAGAGGATCTAAGTTTGTCCATGAGTCATCTTAGAGAGAATATATGATCAGTAATGTTCATATTATTTTCTGAATGTACAAATCAGTTTTCGTTCAAATACCTTCATCGTCATCTTCCAGCTTCCAGCCGCCCACATCCATGCGGCGAAAATGAAGTTCCTGAATGAGAAGCTGTTGTAATGCCGGTTCCTTCTGTCTTGTATGGAGAATTCTTGATTCGATTGAGAACTCAGGTTCTCTTTACCTCCAACGTTTCCATTCTCGCAATCGAAGGCAAGGCGTTTCAGCGCGAGGAGTAGAGACTCTGGTAAATCACAGCTGCGCTTGTCGCACTCTTGAAGCAGCACTATCCATTGAGTTGTCGCAAACCAGTGTAATCGATATGAGCCGGTCAATATGTTTTCTTCTATCATTTCAGGTTCAATTTCAATGTCAAAGACGTCGGATGACAGGTAATGAAAACACGTCATAGCCATCTCTATGGTCGCTCCCAAGGCATCAAGAAAAGCATCGAAATTATAAACTTCGTCGATGGATTTGATATTTGATACACTCTTGAATAGGGACGGGTCCTTTAGCGAAGCCAGGAAGTCTTGTTTGGCGTTCTGGGACGCATCGGACAAACGGGATGAAATATGAGAAGTTGTTGCAATTTTGACCGCTGATACGGGTCTGTGGAGGGGTCCCTCGTGAAAGTGATGGGGCGGTTGTCCTTAAAAGCCGCAAGGCGCTTTACGAATATTTTCCACCAGGCATCAATGCGTATCAACAGCAAGCATGATTGGCCGTCCAGTGAGTGATGCCTTGTTTGCTTACACCCTTATCTTGGATCGCCTTGGCATTTCGGAGAATTCGCAATATACAGGCCAGAGGGTGTACATACAAAGCATGTTCGCAAGCCGCTCACATACAAAGGCTTTATTTCTATACTGCACGAAGTCTTTTATTTCAAGCCACGGAGAGGGCTGTACAACCTGCCAGACTCAATCGCTCGAACCAGGCCCCCTATCCACCTCATTATGCTTATACTGTTCCAGACTATACTTAGCGAACGAGCTCATTTCCCTAATCTTCCTTCCGTAGCAAACCAACATCACCGGACCAACACAAAACACCGTCGCTAGAGCCGCGAGTATAGACGTTGCCACGTTGGGCGTGATGGCCGTATACATGCGGTGAGTGAAGAGCGGAAACACAGCGCAGCATAACGCACGAAGAAAGGCAATGGACGCGAACGCGGACGCCGCGAACACCGTATAGCTATCAGCAATATAGCCCGCCAGAGTGCAGTCAAACTCGTTCGTTGCGTAGCCGACCAGGAAGAGTGATATCATTGACACGATCCAGTGTATGTTGGAGACCTGGGGTGGGATAGTCCATGCGAACCACCACAGGCCGATGGCCAGTAGGGGAGCTCCGACGGCGAATCCAGCCAGTTTGTCTTCTGGTTCGAGGGGCCGGGATTGTTGGAGCCGGCGTTTGTATATTCGCAGATCGTAGAGGCGGGTTAGGGTGCCGCTGAAGATTCCGAGAGCGAGAGGGATGAAGGAGAGAGAGGATTGGCCGGGTGTGAAGCCGAAGGAATCGTAGACCACGGGCAAGGCCTCCGTGAAAAGATAGAGAAGGCCGAATGCCACTGCACTGAGGACGGAACACAGGAAGACGATGGGTTCGGTGAAGAAGAGACGGACGGGGCGAATTAGGGCTACTTGAGCAAAGATCCCAAAATCAGGGGCGTGGTCGGGATTTCGGATCTTGAGGTTTACTGTGTCACCAGAGTCCTTGCGCACGTCGTCAACGATCTTGCTGAGGAGTTGACTTGGTCTGCTCTCTTTGATGGCAAGCAGTAAGAAGAACCAGACACCCGTCACGATGGCAGAGAGGTAGAAAATCCATTTCCAGCCAATCGACATCGTGACGAATGTACCCACGATGGGCCCCATGCAGATACCCACATTGGCTGCGACTGCCCACAAGTAGATCATCCAGATCCTTCGACCGACATCGAATATGTCCTCAGCACTGCCGGCAATTACGATTGTTGGCAACGCAGATGCTAGGCCGCATACAAAACGGCCGACGAGGACCATCCCAGTATGGGGGACGGTGGCAATCAAAATACTGAAGATACAGTAACCTCCTGTCGAGATCACAAATAGGTTCTTTCGGCCGAAGGATTCCGAGTATGGAGGAAAGAAAACTCCGCCAATGGCTTGCGCTAACATGTATATTGTGACAAAGCTGAAGAGCGAAAGAGACCTTCCTATCCCTAGTTCGCGGCGTGCCTGTTCGCTGGCTGGAGTCCCCGCAGTGCTGATTACCGTGGTGAAGAAATCCAGGAAGATCAGAAGACCAAAGTCGTAGGTCTTCCGCCATGCGGACCAATTTCGGGGATGCGCTGGATTTGTTTTGGTCCAGCGGACATAGTCCTCATCCGCCAGCTCGAGTCCATACGTTTCTAGGTATCTGTATAGAGATTGTTGCTCGGGTGTAGTCTCAGTGATTGGTACCACATCGAGGGTGGTTGCATCTTGCTTTTCAGTACTCATGTCAAAGAACTCACGATGAATAAAAAGCAGTGATCTGGCAACAGGAAGTCAAAGGTGAAGAAAGTAAAACTTTTACTTTTCGCCGGGGCACCAGCAAGGAGAGAATCGAATGGAACAAAGACTCTTCCGGTAACAGAATTGATTGTGAATTTATCCGGGTCGTCCTATCAGGCTTCTTGCTGGGTCGCTTATTTGCTCTGGATAGCTTACAATCCCTGCTTGGTTCCGAGTTAGACATATAATAGACATCGGAGTATAGCCCCTCGGATGGTCGAATCAAGCGTGCCGAGACCGTCGGGCGTTTCCAAATCTCTAGTATAGGCTAACAAGATATGACCAGTGGACAAGTCCAACGTTTTTGAGCGGTCAGCAAATATTTCCTCGGCAATTGTTCCTCCAATACCATAACCCTTTCAAAACTTTGACGCTAAGAAACATGCATGCAGCCACCCCCGAGATGTACAGGACCCCTTCTCCAGACCCCCTTTCGATCCTACATTAGCCAAAGTTTTCTCTCCACAGACTTAGGTACAGGAAGAATAAACACTACGCTGATCGTTAATCTTAATTGCAGTTCAATATTTGACTCCGCGTTCGATTCCTTACTGTTTAGCTACAATGCAGCACTGCCCGATGACTTAAGGCCAGGGGAACGAACAATTTCTCGATCAGCCCAACATTCCGATACATTCCTCGGCAAGCAACTGCCCTTCATCTGCTCACTCCAGTATTCCTAGGATCAATGTCGATTAGCTGGTGGTAACTTCCCGAGCGCCACTAATCACACGCTGACTTACAATCATCATAGGCAATCTTGGCGCTGTCATCATAGGAAACCTTAGCCGATTCGTCGTAAGCCACCTTGGCTGATTCTTCATACGCGATCTTCGCAGGCACATCTCTCTCGTCATACGAAATCTTGGCAGAATCGTCGTAGGAGACCTTGGCTGATTCATCGTAGGCAATCTTGGCCGAGTCGTCGTACACGATCTTCGCAGGCACATCGCGCTCATCGTACGAAAGCTTGGCAGAATCATCATAAGAGACCTTGGCCGACTCGTCGTAAGCGAGTTTGGCAGACTCTTCGTATGCGATCTTCGCAGGCACATCTCTCTCATCATAAGCAATCTTGGCCGAGTCGTCATACGCAACTTTTGCCGACTCATCGTAGGCAATTTTGGCTGGAGTCTCGTCTGCGAAATGTCATTTTTTGTGCGGATCAGCTCATGGAATGGTCACTACTAACTTGCAACAGGCAGTGCCAGTGCACCTGTCAGGAGAGCAGCGATGAGAGAAAGATTTCTGAACTGCATAGTGAAGGTTTATGGTTGTAGAAATACTTGAAAGGTTTTAATTCCGAAGCCTTTTTGAGGTAGTAGTTGGACTGTGGAAGAGTATGGTGATGATGAATCTCTGTTCATACAACAGTTGACGGGATTTGAGAACCTATATATACTTCCCTCGGCTGTGTTGGAGGGGACAATGTAGTCCAAAGCAGTTTGCATATACATACAGACAGTGAAACTATAATTTACCAACATCGTCTATCTTCGGCTCTGAAAGCCTGGAGGAGTATACCCAGCGCCCAATTATCGCTCCCTTCAGGTATTGCTCGGGTTCACTTTCCTCTGGCAAAGTGCGCATGATACAAACAGGCCTCAGACAAAAATCAACCGCCAATGACACTTGCGATCGCACTTCTTGGTACTTCTCCGTTCGATGATCTGTTTGTTTGCTATTCGCTTTTGGCCTCATACTTCGGCATCGCCGCCCATCCAACTCCAGTTTCCCCGGGTCTTCAGCATCAGCACTAAACGCCGCTGCAGGTCCATGTCACCTGCCACTCTGCTCGAACTGGGGCCTAGAATCTTAGGATGGCAACTATACCCACCCATAATCTGCATTAGCGTGCAGATGCAACATCGTATATACCTTGCACATTGCATTTGGCATCCTTTACCATGTCTCCATTGGAGAGTCTTGCTCCGTAGGCGGAACGCGGGATAATCGTCAGATATGATTCATCGGCGATATTAAGTACATGCCATCAATGATTGTTCCCCTCTCTGTCCGGGTGGCCTGACGGACGCTGTTCAGGCTTTTCCAATTCCCTGTTTTCCCATGACTTTCTCCTTTCAAAAAATTTGAATGTATGTGACAAAAGCTACTCGCGCACCTCAGAGTTCGGGAGAACACAACTTGTCGTGTGTTTCTTTTGTTGTCCACACTAAAGACATAGACCATCATGCTTGGACCAATACTCGATGACAGCAAAGGCTACCGCCATCTTCACTCATCAGACGATTCTGAAGCCCAGCCCGATGATTCCAGCTCGCAAGCTCTTCTATTCGAGGGGAATCGCGAAACCCACAAACGCGCTACAATATGTCCATGGCCCACTCGCAATGTCATCAAAAGCACTGTCTTCTTCCTAGTGACACTCGGTAACGTCGCTATGTTCTTTTCTTCATTGCTCATATTCTCGAAGACGGACTATTTCTGCATGCAACGTAATGCTATATGGTCTCCTGTCTGGGAGGATGTGAACACTGGATATACACATACACGGTTCAATGGAACACTGGATGCACCGAGCAAATACCGTGGGCCTCCTAGCAGTGCCGTCGATGAGGCCTGGAGTCAATTAGACAATGGTATGCCCTCTATCCTTGATTTCACCCTAAGACTTCGGACGCCCGTTAGCTAGGATAATGGCTGATCAACATTTCACGCGCAGTTGGGTCCGTTGCCCTAGACGAAGATACTTTCTTAAAAGCAGGTGGCACGAAAGAGAACGCAAGAATGCCCGATGACCTCGGAGGTACGATCACCTTCCTCCCTCTACCTTGTCATGGGGGGATATCACTAAACAGTACCAGGCGGCTACATGGCCGACATAGAAGTTCTTCATCAAATGCACTGCCTTAACTTCGTGCGCATGGCAGTTTACGCAGAGTATTACCGCGATATTGCGCCTGAATGGCGAGATTCCAACCGCACTTTTCACATTCATCTAGGTAATCTAGGCTCCCTCCAGGATCAAATGCTTTTTTAGATTCAGTGCCATGCCAGAGCTCTAGATTAGTTTGCTAACCTGGTTGAACCTAGACCACTGCATTGAAATGATCCGCATCAATCTCTTATGTCAAGCAGATGGCGGAGTTATACCGTTCCGATGGGTGGAGGATTACCGGCGCCCGTTGCCGGACTTCAGCACCAAACATAAATGTCGGGATTGGGAGGCCGTGATTCAATGGGCCAAGGACCGACAGGTCATTGCTCCGTCTCATTATCCGTGGAAGCCGCAGACTTGGGAAAAGGTCTTTTCGAAGCCGGCGTGGATGGTGTCGGGAGAGGGACATGAGCATGAACATGGTCATAGAGCAGGGACGATGTAAACTGAAAGAAAATGCAGCTGTCTTGCAAAGATAATGCACCCCATAAACCGTTCTTAATCTGGATTCATCATTGCCTCAGTTCACGGTCATTGTAGACAGTGAACATGATTCTCGACGCAGCAAACTACGAGAGTAGTGATGTATCCTTGGACTACAAGGTGCGTGCTCTTATGATGGGAAAATAGTAATAATGTAACAAAAAGAAATTGCTCGACTCCCCGCATGATTGGCTGCTGGGTGACTTGTCAACGTGGCGGAGTAACACAGTTGGGATTATATCTCTCAAGAGGCCTTCCAAGGATAGCGAACTTGTCTCATAGTACACGGATCGGCTTAGTTTGATAATTCCCTTTTTCTTTGGCGGAGTTAGAGAGAGGTGAAGCTGTCGGGATTGCGGCGCTGCGCGCCTAGACGACGCAACAGAGACTCAAACATGGCCTTGTAAGGGTCATTGTCATCCAAAGACTCTTGTGCGTTTTTCAAGACATCAACAGCTTATTGAAGAACTTCATCCTTCCCGTTCAGAGCATAGAGCGTGTTTAGACCATATGCCAGATTGCCCACATTTATCACGGTTATTGGGGAGCCAGGTGGCATAGCTCCCACGGCCTGTCGATAGGTTTCGAAGATGCCTCTAAATCCTCCTGGGGTTCACTGCCATGATATCTGGCACTGAAACTCACCGCCAGGAGATTCAACGCCTTTCCCTTGTATGGGTGATTCTCAGGCAGTACCCTCAAAGCTTCGTCACCAGCGCTTATAGCTTCGTCCAAGTCTTCCGTCGAATCATTGTCGCGGGCTCGCGCATTGATAAGATGTGACAAGGCAAGTAAGCCACCAACACCACCCATAGTATTACGGCCAGTCAGTTCGAGAGCCTCGTATATGGCTTCTTTCCCATTGTGAAGATAATCTTCATTCTGTTCGCTCTCAAAGAGCAATAGGTGTGTTTTTGTGTAAGAAAGCAACGTAGTCGCACGGTCTGGATGGCCATTAGGTGCCTTTTCCACGGCTTCTTGGGCGTAATACAGCGCGCTTGTAAGGGTACTGGCTTCTTGATCTCTCAGAAGCTTCTGCTGCAGACCTTCACTCAGCACTGCAAGCCTCTTGGATCGTTTTGGATCATCCTCAGGTGTCTTCTCTAACACCGCTCTTGCTAATTCAATTCCAAACAGCAGTTGAGAGTAGTCCCCAGCCCAGAGAAAGCTCTCCACAAAGCTCTCGTTGAGCGCGCTCATCATGCCGGTCCTTCCTGGGTAATCGGCTGGCAGAATGCTAAGTAACTCTCTGACTTGAACGTTTGATGGCAAGGCAGAGCAGCAAAATATTGCAAGGCCCAAGTTCATCTGCTTCCTATAATTTTGAAACATTGCCTGATCAAATAATGTAGGCAGATCTCTTCATGCCAAGATCGCTGCAGATGAATGATCCAATTTGAAAACCCGTACTGGCCAAAGGCAAACGTCTGCTGGCACCATTGCTGATAATATGTCTGCGAAAACCAATTACTGGCTGTGAACTTTTCAACACTCCAAAGCCCAGCGTTCTCAACGAGATGCAGAGACAGATATCGAAGGCAAATTTCAGTAAGAGCTTGGTGGCATTTCTGGATGGTAATGTCCTGCAACCATTCAGGTTTCTGTTCTGGAGAAAGAAAGTAGTCCTTGACTGTCTGGTGAATGAAGTAAGGTCTGCCCCCAATGAAAGTAAAGAAAAAGTCACAGGCCTGACTAATTTCTGAGCTGAAGACCTCGTCAGAGCGCAAGTCAATGCCTTCCTTAAATTCGCAGTCTTTGGTGAATTCTAGTTGGAGCTTGACTGCGATCTTCATTTCCTTGACCGTGAGTGGTCTTGTGGCCGCTAGCAGGATCTGGATTATGAGCTTTACTAGGTGACGTTTGGCGGGTTTGACTTGGTCGAGGAAGACTCGATAAGCATCCGTCACATTGGCGGGCAGGGTCTTGAACGTTTGGATCCAGGTGCCGGTCAAGGGTGGATCTGCTAGATACTTGAAAAGCAGGTCGACGAAGAGGTATGTCGGATCATCATATTTCTGTAGTATTCTATAAAGAGACGAAAAGGTCTCCTCGTCACCTATATCGTTGTCCTGGGCAAATTTCTCCAGCTGTCCATGGGTGACTTTAGCAATGTCTCTCTGCAGAAATTCACGGCATTTCTCATCTTCGTCCAGATTAAGGAGTGCCTTTTCACTGAATTTGTCGGTTATCCTTTTGATTGGGCGTGTAGTCAGCAAGAATTTGACTTTAGAATTAGGGTACCTCGAGTAGAAACTGCTTAGGTGTGCATGGAAAATATCTCTGGTACCCGAATCAGATTCATCAAGAGCATCTAGTATAATGACCAGACCTCGCAGAGTGGTGTGCTGGCTAGCCGTATTCAAGATATTGCAGAATTCTGGAAGGTCTGGTTGGATCTGTTCCTTGTACAACCTCTCGAGCTTCTTTCTAAGCAGCTCAGGCCGAGGTATGCTATTGAGCACATCGTAGGTAATCTTGCAACAGGCATTGTTCGGCTTTGTTTGACCAGACATGTTGTCCTTAAAGAAGAATGAGCACACAACGCCATTGTCTTGTCTGAGAAATTTCTCCAAGTGTTTGCTAGGACAGATTTCCCAGTTCTGGGATGTGCTGCCAAGATTAGGATTCCGCTGTCACTCTTTTCCCAGCTCTGATACATCTCATGATTCAGAACACCTTGGCCCGTGTCGTCCTTGAGCTCACGAATTTGCGAAACATATTGATAATCTAATTCAGTTCGATCCGGCTTGAACTTCTTGATCATTTGGGCGTTCAAGCTTTCTCAGTCCGTGTCCCGCATCTCATGGAGGGCATGGCTTTGCTCTCGCAGCTCACGAGACATTTGCAGCATCTCGCCATAATGAGCTTCCGAGCTCCGCCAAATTCCTTCAAGGCTCTGTTTCATGACGGTAGAGTCATTGCGATCTAAAGATTCCTTTACTAGCTTCTCGGTTTCCTGGATCTTGTTAATTCTTCCTGCCCAGTCTTCCTGCCCCGTCGCATTTCGTAAAACCCTTGATGTGAGGTTCTTAGAGACAACAAAGCATCGAATTTGATACTCTATCAGCAGCTGGTAAAGTTGTATGAGTTGGTCATAAATAACGCCTCTGCGCTGATTGAAGTTATCGCAATCGCTCCATGAATCCGCATTGAGGTCAACCACCTGGGTGTACCACGGCAATCTTGAAACCACATACTTGAGCCCATCTTGGCTGGCACTTAGTTGTTCAAGATACTCAGTAATCTTGGTGGCATCAGTATGATAGTCTAACCAAGGCTTTTGACTGACGCTTACCGGGATGACTAGCAGGCATGACACAGTCCAAGCAATCGATGCAGGAGGGCAGCCAGACAGAGCCCCTCCAACAGTCGATTGCACTTTTTGCATAATCTTTGCAGATTCAATGAGCACTTCTTGAGCCTTCTCGGATGACGACGAATCGATTTCGTTGAGTCTTTTCCGGGCCAGGCGTCCCATTAATCGTTTACGAGTGGGACCGTCGAGGCTTTCCAGCTTGGAGGCAATGCCATTACTCCCTGGCTCTACTCATTTAACTAGTTGATACGCTTGCAAGAGGACTGGAGACTCACCATCATCAGAAGAGATTATTTGCGCAAATTCCGATGCGAGGAGCGATTCATATTCGCTCACAAGCTTCGAAGTTGAGTTTTCACTGCGAAGTTGCTCATATGCAGTACCCCAGAGCTCTTTCGCAGTTAGCTGAAGATCAAATTTCGGCTCATCAGGACGCACCGGATTGTTATCAAATGATGCAGGAAGTTTTAGGGCGTCCGTTTGTTCATTGGACGCCTGCACGCTGGTGATATTTTCAAACGATGTAGATGGTTTCTTTCGCCAGAAAAGGAAATTCGATTTCAAACTGGATCCTGACAGACGGTCGAGGCAGCCCATTCTTACCTTATGCTTCGCGAAATGATGTTGAAAGCACCGGAACGATCGAGGGAAAAAAACTCGAACAGTTGATGGAGAGTTGGGATTTCTCGAGGGATCAACCAGGGCGACCTCACAAAAGGGCTTCTTGTGGCCAAACACTAGTCAACCCGTCGGATCCCGGAGTTGTGATCTAAAATGGGACAGACGTGCGTCCAGCTGAGAACGAGGAGGGGGGGAAGCAAACTATTCTGGGGTGGATGAAATCTGTTTAATTACAATATGCTGGGACAAACAAAAACAAGCACTACATCAGCCAATTGTAACATGGTTAGGGATATGGCTAACTATGTACTACTGTTGTGTGCCTGCTTTTTGCTTTTTCTACTCAGCCCTTCAGTCCCATCATCCTTTACTTTTGTACCACGCATGCCCCTCTGGCACTGACATGTCTCTCTCCTTACTAGAAAGACTTCTTTCCCATGTAGGTGTATAGCTGCGCTCACTACGATATTCTCTCGGCGATGCTGTTGGCTCCGCGCTAGTTACCTAGTAAGATTGGACGGGATCTACCGATGAACAGTGATAAACTCAATTGTTACCACCGGAGTCTCGAGATGAACCTCGAAAGCGCCTTTGGTCACCCATATTTCTTCTTTTGTGGCGAAATTTTTTTTTTGCTGTACTCCGTAGACCACTCACTGGCGATGTTCCAGTGAACCCCTGGTTAGAAATATCCTAACTTTGGAGCTAATGGACCCTAAGTGGCACCGGTCCGTTGACTTTACCACTGCACTACATGCCAAAAAGGCTCAATGAATGACCAACAGGCCATTCAGTCAACGTACTATATAGCGACCCTGACAGGGCTGCACCTTTCCCCATAATATTCTCGCGGAAGCTCGGGCACGACCCGCGAACTAGTATCGCCGAAGGCAAAGAGCCTGATACTACTAGTGGTGAGACAAGCAGGCATTAGCGCATTGAACCATTTTCCGAGCACCGGGGGAATTCCCCAGGGCTAATACGAGTGGTCCGGAAATTTCAAATATCATATGCTCCCCTAGGTCTCTAAGAATTCATACTTGGTCCATCAACAACAACAATAACAATAACAACATGATACATGCAACCAACCCAACGCAGGAGTCCCCATCAGCTCCGACTCGACAAGACCTTCCCCGAAGACCATTCATATTGCGTCTGTTCAATGTTTTTCGCAAGATTTTTATAACGTAACTGCTGATCGGCTCTTTATCACAGACGGAATTGGAGACCCTAATCACATCAACGATAGATGGGGTATATGTGCTATAGTAATATCATCGGCATCTCATCTTTTCTGCTGCTATTATCAAGAACTCGACAAAGCAGTATGTCGGGAGAGGTGCAATGATTTGAACATTGTTTTGGGTGGCGGTTTTCTCATTCTGTTTATAGTTCAAATTTTTCTGCGCGCCTATGTTGAAGAAGTTTCTACTCGCCGAGCTATTTGATATGATTTACGGAAAAATAAAGACTCCTATCAGTGGCTATTACCTAGATATTTGTGCAATTTAATTACGTCGAACTCAGGCCCCTCAAATAAGCCCTCCTCCGAGACTACAGATATGGTGGCAATGGGTACGTATAGAGTGCAAGCCTCGAATGCGAATGTCAGCGGCAGGAAACTTTTGTTCTTCAGATCAACCTCGGAATATACCAAACTTGAGATCATAAGAGCTGTTGTGTTTTTAATGTGAAAAGAATCATGCCAGGCTAAAGCGGCTAGAAATGCGCGGTTGGTTCAAGATCTTAGGTGTCAGTCTCCGCATGTCCGTGGAGGTAACACATGGGTCGGGTCTGGAGACAGTGGGAAGTGGAGAAAGCCCTCGGGGTTTCAGAGAACGAGGCTGCAATTTGACAAGTCGGCGTGAAAGAGAACAAGCTGTGGAACATGCGGCCACCTAAATAGGTGAGATATTGGAGGCAATGGGTTTTCTGTAGTCACAGTGACCTTGTCAACGGCCAGAGAGCTGAGGAGGGTATTGTTGGTCTTTTGGGTTACCTGAATGTGGATGTTCATTGATATCTTTGCGCTGCTAAACTTCTTAAGACAAGTTGTGTGTTTTTTAAAGTGCACCTGTCTTTTCAGTAGCTTCACACTCCGGAGGCTGGAGTCCAGAATGACAATCTAAACAAGGCTAAGCATGGGAGAGGGGTGAGCGAGGCTGAGAGTGAGTTGTGAGAACAAAGGTTCTGCCATAAAGTCAGGTTCTTGAGCCATAGTGTTACCCTGGGGGCTGGCGTTTGTATCACAGCGTCAATTTTGTCTTATATCAGGAGAGGAGACTTGCAGCAACTTCCTCGCTCTTGAATGAATGGATCTTGGCGTTGGTCATCAAGATACTCTACCTTATAATGCTATTTCCGGGAGGGCTTGAGCATTCAGTAATAGGAAAATATTCCTGGATCAATTGCATTTCTGTAATACATTGGCAGGTTAGTTTTACGAAGTCGACTCAAGTCAATATTCCGTTTATTCTAACGCCAAGCCACATCAATTTGATTCACGCCCCCATGATCTTGAAGCTGATTTAGGTCCTGCTGACTTCATTGGACAGAAGGGATTTGATGCTAAAGCGGGGGAACTCTGTGATACGCACTGTCACTTATCGCATGCTGCCATATTCCCACAGAGCCATCAAGACTGGAGGCTGACATGATACACAAGCACAGCGTAGGCTATACGGAAGTTATTGTCCAATGTCAACGTACCCACAAGTTGAGTATAACGACTTAGAACATTGAACTAACTTGGACATGCCACATTGCCAGATTCTATTTTGTACCGATACGTTTTACCCCCTCGCCCTTCTTGTTCTGTCGGGTCATAGAAAGGCCTGAAGCTTTGACTATAAATAAATGGGTTCAGTCATTTTCCGGGTACGTTGTGTATCCTCCAAAGACTTTCTTAAAATCAAATCTATTAACTTTCGAAGACTTCATAAACTCAGTTTCGGCAATTACAATGAAGCTCTACCTCCCCTTGACCCTCCTGCTTGTTGCTCTGCCTATTGCTGCCCCAGCGGAACCGGATACAGATGACGACGCTTCTCCGGAGTGGTGCCGCGATCTGAATAAATACAATAAATGCTTGAATGTAGGACATCTTCCCATCACTTCCTCCGAACTAACTTACTAACAGGGGCTTGGCAGAGGTGCGGAAGGCATGATCATAGAGAGAGATGAAGTCAAAGAGAAAAGAGATTCTACGAGATCATATCCTCCTTCTGTCCCAGGTCTACAGTGAAGAACTGCTTCCCTCCAGGTGAATAGATGATATGATTTTCCTGGTTCGACGGCCTATTCCCTTCTTGAGGGTAATAACCATCTTTTGCTACAGGTGAATAAGTTATGAAATACTCATATGTTAATATTATAGAACATAGGCCTGCGCAAGTGGATAGGCCACACAGCAAAGAAGCAGTGCTATGATAACAACAGAGCAGATAGGGAGCATTACTGCCCGTGGCTCTCAGTGAAGTCATTCAGTCCAAAGGAAAAGTTCAAGTTCCTCCTGCAACCTTTTATAGGAGTACTATATGCATAGTAGCAGTATACCTTAGGGAAGAATGTATGTACTCCGTAAATTACATACATCTTGTACAATACATGCCTTGTAAATCAGGCTCCAGTTCCGCTGACATAATCATGGTTCCCCGACTCTTTCTTACAAAACAAAAATGAAGACCGGCAACACGTCTCTCAGACAACAAATTATCAGGGAAACCATGGCTGAATCCTGTTCAAATCCTCTCTTTCTATCGTGGATCAAAGGCTGGCTTGATGAAGCACGCGAGCGAAACAGTAAGGGCGTCACGGTGTTCGTACTCAAATCCTCCCTAGGTTTCCCCCACACCACCTAACTAGATGCCAGATACAAAAAGGCCTATGATTCTATGAAGGCCTGTCCTCTCGTGTTTCAACATCCCTCCGAAGCGCAGCAGTTAAATGGTCTTGGTCCCAAATTATGCGACCGGTTAACTGAGAAACTGAAAGCCCACTGCTCAGAAAATGGCCTCCCTATGCCCGAACATCCTAATACTGCAGCGAGTAAGAAGCGAGTCTCGGATGGGAACGAGATCGACCCAAAACCAGCCAAGAAGCCTCGCAAAGCAAAGCCTTATGTGCCAGTCTTGCGCTCCGGTCCATATGCGTTACTGCTGGGTCTTGGGACTCTCGATGAGAATTCGAACCAGAGCATGACGAAAACGCAGCTGATTGAGACGGCACAGCCATACTGCGACAGCTCATTTATTACGCCAACTGACCCGACGAAGTATTTCACTGCGTGGAACTCGATGAAAACTCTTATCCAGAAGGACCTTGTTTACGACCATGGACACCCGTTGAAGAGATATGCGCTCACGGAGGAGGGATGGGAAGTTGCCAAAAGAATCCAGAAGACTTTGCCTGAATTCAACCAAAATACCTTACCCTTTCGGGGTCAATCGGTACGTCTAATAAGCCCAGGCTATACCAAGGGGAACTCTAACCGGGAAAGGAACCATCCGACGCCCGTCTCAGCGCCCAGCCTCCAAACGTGGGATCGAATCCAGAGCTATCGCGGCAAGATAGCAACGAAGACCGCCGCATCGATACCGGCATCCTGAGCCCAACCGAAGACCAGGAGATCACGCCCATTATCATCCCTCCAAACAGCTTCACCGTCCAGCTGGTCCTGGACATCCGAGAAGTCCGCACATCCAAAGACAGGGACTACATTGCCAACGAACTCAGCAAGAAAGGCGTGACGCCAGAAGTACGAGCCCTTGAACTTGGCGACGCCATGTGGGTCGCAAAATTCCACGACCCATCGTACCTATCGCAAAAGTATGGGGAAGAAGGTGATGAAATCATGCTCGACTGGATCGTCGAGCGAAAACGCCTCGACGACCTCGTCGGCTCCATTAAAGATGGACGATTCCACGAGCAGAAATTCCGTCTTCGTCGGTCCGGCATGAAAAACGTCATCTACCTGATCGAAGAATTCAACATCACGCAGGACATCGGCGGCGCCTCGGCCCTGAAATATCAAGAGATGGTAGCGTCAGCGATCGCCTCTACGCAAGTTGTCAATGGGTATTTTGTCAAGAAGACGAAGAATCTCGACGACACGATCCGCTACCTCGCGCGCATGACCTTTCTATTGCAGAAAATGTTCACTCCGTCTTCCACCTCTTCTGAATCTCCCACTACCGCCCCCTCTCCCACCAATACCCTCACCTTAATACCCAGTCGCCAGCTCTCCTCCTCTCAGTCCTATCTCAACGCCCTCGAACGTCTTCGAGCAGAACCATCCTCCTCCTCTGTTACCTACGCCGTTACCTTTCCCACCTTCTCCATTTTAACATCTAAGTCTGACGTCCTTTCCCTGCGCGACGTCTTCTTGAAAATGCTCATGTGCACGCGCGGCGTCACAGGTGACAAGGCGCTCGAGATCCAACGTCGCTGGCAAACCCCGCAGGCATTCATCCAGGCGTTTGAGAAACTCAACCCAAAGGATCGAGAGGAAATGGTCTCCGAGCAGATGAAAAACCTCGTGGGAAGGAAAAAGATCGGCAAGGTGTTGAGTAAGAAGATTGCAGAGGTATGGGGGGAAAGTGGTTGACTTCCCTCTCTTGTCTTTTCTCTGTGTTTTCTTTTGTTCTTTATTTTGGAACATAACTGGGCCCATGAGGCTAATTTTCGCGATGTGATCAATGGCGTTGTCGTTGATTGTTTTTCTTTGAAGCTTTTGTTCTTGTTCTGTCCTGGACCTGATATAGGTACCTCCTCTTCTACGAAGCAATTGTTGTTTGCAATACTTTGTACCCTCTCAAAGGGGCCTGAGACTTAGTGCCAGGAAGACCATGGGAAATATTTTAATCATTCTATGAATACCGCTTTCACCAGGAAGGTGAAAAACACCGAACATGATTCTAAGTGCGTCTTCAAAGTAGACAATATTGACCCATGATGTCTGCTGAACGTAGTATCCTTCGGCATATACTACGTAACTATTGGGGGGATGTAGTCCCCGATTTTAACATGACTGCGTTCAGTCATTTTCTTTCCCCCCAGACAAGATTATACATGGTCCCTATATTCTCGAGCATCGATGCTATGATGGTGCTATCCGTGGCCACTCGTCTGTTGGTATGTATAATCAGGCTTCTGAAATATCCTAGGTTGTAAATTGTTACACTTTGGTGAGGAACACACTCTGTCTACGAACTCGAGCCTAAGTTGATCCGGCCTGTCTGTTTGTCCTCGGTCACATAAAAGACATCACTCATAATCTTTGGACATGCCAATATTTTCAGTAATTGGATTTTCAGGCCTTTCATATCAATCACTCGCAAGAAAACGAAAGATGAAACGACCTCCCTGAGCCCAGGCCTGGTCATACACACAAACCAGCCTGACCAAACACTGCCAAAGAGCACAGAGTTTGTTTCAGAGCAGTTGATCGGCACTACAATAAACCACCAAAGCCTTCAAGGTGATACGGGCAATCATCTGGATCCTTGGCCTCCTGCTTATGTCCAATCGACGCCAGAGGAGAAAGAAAAGATCGAATAGATTTTGACGGTGTCTATAGCAAATTCAGATGGGGACTCACAACTAGACAGCACGATCAAGAGCGCGAAGACTGCCATTAAAGCACAGTTAAGGATCCGGCCTGATAGAAAGAAGAGAGCCTCATCGCCAAATCTACTGGAGGGGTCCTCAATGCTGCATTGTCTCTGCAGCACATCGTACGGACGACCGTGGCGGTTGACTCCACGAGGCATGCATCAAGTGTTTGGGCAGTCGTGTCCTCAAGAATAACGGTATATTCCCACTTTTAAATACGCGGACTACACACTTGCACGGTAGAATTGTGATGCAGAATTATCTTGCACAATCGGCGGCTTGGTTCGAGTCTTCGGTTTCTCGAGCGGATACGCTGCGACGTTACGTCCTCAACGAGAAGGTCTATCACAATCTGCACACACGGAGCCAAGAGATCATGAAAAGGGACTTCATCAATTTATGCCTTGCAGCTTCTTGATAGATTAACTTCCTCGTAAGAAATACTCCTAATCAAATTGTTTGTAGTCCTGTATCCTAAATCTCCGATTGACCTTTGTCGACATGACCCTCAAGATCATCCCAGTAATCGAAGACCTCATGCACTCGAACATCTCGTAAAGTAGAGATTGGAGATGGTAGTGACCCCCCCCCCCAAGAATTGGTAGATCTATCGCAGGAGGGAAGGCATTAGAAACTGTCACGCACGCAAGATGTAGATAGACCGAAACTATCAGATCAAGGAAAGGGTAACACGGTATCATACTTGATCTCCCAAACCAATATGCCATTGAATCATCCATATGCTGCTCACAGGCAGACTACGTCTGCGTCGGGCCAATGGCCCGAAAGTTTTGTAAATATATTACACCAGAGCACATATTAGAAACTGTCACGAACGCCACACGTAGACCGAAATCATCAGAGCAATGGAAGGGCAACACAGTATCATACTTGATTTTTGAACAATGTTTATCGCAAGTTTCGCATTCCGGCCAATGGCCAGTGATCCTCTTTGGTTTTGTGAACCTCGAGATCAATCCTATGTTTTTTTAAACTGCGTCCGTCCGAAACGGATCACAGGACTGGCCATTGGCCGAAATGCAAATGTTTTCAAAATTGTTCGTCGAAAAGATCAAAACAAATATATTCAGGAGTCTGGCGCCGGTAGCAACCTACCACACAAATGGCTACATCCATACGTCCTACAATGAGAGAGAGCCATCCTTAGAATGCATACCCAGGATTAGATTTCCCGATGGCCGCAACAGGACCATTTTCGCTTTGCGGCGCATCAAGAAAAGTTATGGTAAAAGGGAATGGGCCTTGCCCCCGAGGGCAAGTTTTATGTTGACTCGGTTGTACAATGCCTCGATCTAATGTACTAGCTAGCTAGCATTCAACGCCCCCAACGCCCCGAAAAGTGACACCAGGGCCCGCCTCAAAGAGAATAAGGCGAGCTTCCGGCATAGTCTGACATGGGGTTCGTGATGAATCATGAACATACAAGGCCAATGTCCTTGATAGATCCTCGGACGTACTTAATAGAGAAATTATGCCTCCGCAACCCACACCCTGGGCTACGTTCGGCAACTGGCAGCTGAAATTCCTTACTGATTTCCGACCAGCAGGGCGCGGCTGAAAGGTATTGTACTTGCTTTGTTGAGTATCTAGTATCTAGTTTGGCACTGAAGTCCCTTTCTTTACATATGCCATATAAACCGCTATAAGAGACAAACATGTCATTTCTCATTAGTATTCATTTAACCTCCCCATCCCCCCATTCTGAAAAAAAAAAAAAAAAAAAGGAATCATCCCAAAACCAACGCCCTCACCTCAATACTCTCTCTTCCCACGGCACCTTCTCTCGTCCTCTCATCCCAAAACGCCGTATGTGGCACGACGGCTCTCTCATCCTCTCCTGCCGAACTATCGGAACATTGCAACAACAACCTCTCCTCGCCCGTCATGCCCGAGAGATACATCCACTTCTGATTCTCGTTGAACCTTACCCCCATTGTCTCGCCGACCCGATGCGGATACCGATGCTGCACGGGGACCAAGTCCGTCTGCGGATCAACAGACTGGGCATGCGCAAACGCCAACGGGCTTGATTCCACGGGTCCCTCATTCAGTGGTCTCCAGACGTTGATGATCCGGTAGCGGAGCTTTCCGGACAGTGCAGCTTCGCGAAGGACTGGGTCCGTAACATGAAGTTTGACACGCTCGGTAGCCGCGAAACGAGTTTGGTCGACGTGAGCACGAAGCACTGGGGCTCGGGGTGCGCCTGGTGAGGAAAGTCGGATGGTGTGGTCGAAGAGGATGATATCTTTGATTTCGTCGGTGCCGGGTTGTTGGGAGAGGTGGGATTTCAGCAGGGAGATCACTTCTGGGTAATAATGTTGTTCGACGAGAGTGTCTGAGGAGAACGTCGAACGGGTGGTCTTCGTTGGAACGTTTTGCAGGATTTCAAATGCAGAGTTTGAGAGCGTGTATTGGGAGAGATCGTGGTCGCGAAGATCGGTCAGTTGGACGCGGTGCGTTTCTTCGTTGTAATTCCTTTTTGGGACGCCTGACGGTGGATCCTCGACATAATTGAAGGGAGTTGAGCTGTCGTTAGGTGGGGAATAGAAGATCAAAGGCGTCGAGGTTGGGCCTCGTGGGACTTGCGACGGTGTTTGGGCCGTGGTGGTGGACATTGTAAACGTAAGGATTACTATATCAACAAAAGACCGACTGAAGCCTGGGAAATTGGCTTCTATAGTCCTACTTATAGTTCTACTTATGAATACTTTAACTAAATGCCATTCCATTTGTCAGCTCATGCATGACGTGATTTCTCGGCGTCGGGGAAATTAATAATACAACTTATAAGGGTCAAAAGGCTATATGCGGAGAGTATTGAAGATGATGTCAAATCTCGTTTCGTCTGTGGCCCTATTTCTCGATTCCAGAATTTATTGTAACAACGTTCAGTACGAAGGGCTTTACAAGCTGGGAGTGAAATAGTACCTTACGGAGTAGATCTGGGAACGTGAATACAGGGAATAGACACATTAGACACAGCAGATGAGCTAGACAGACGGTATGTTCAACAACAGTTGGCAACGTCCACAAGGCCCGAAACAACATGCAACGCATAGAAAGATACCATGCATACCCTGACACCGACATATCCCACAACCTAGACAACAACCAGATATCAAACTCAAACATGATCAATACATACCATGGTCACCACTGCGCTGAAGAAGAAAGAGAAAACAGAGAGAGAAGATAGCAGAAAAAACAACCACAAGCGACAACCGCTTAAGCCAAGTTAAGCAACCTAAGCAGACTTCTTCTTGCGGCCGCGCTTGGGCTTCTCCTCCACAGCAGGCTCGGGCTCAGGTTCGGCCTGAGCTTCAGCCTCTCCTTCATCCTCCGCGACGGCCTTCTTCTGACGTCTGCCACCCGTTCTAGTACCGGCAGCGGGTTTCTTCTCCGGGGTTGCCTTAGCAGCGGCGCGTCCCTTGCGGGCAGCCGGCTTGGCCTTGGATTTGGCAGGGGTGGCGGCTTCGCTATCCTCGCTCTCGGTATCTCTCTCGCTCTCGACGACCTTCTTGGGCCGACCGGCCGTTTTGGTCTTTTTGACCTTGGGAGCCTCATCGTCGGTCTCATCGTTCTTGGCCGCCTTGGCGGTGCGTTTCTTGGGTTTGACGGGTTCTTTTTCTTCCGCGGGTTCATCATCCTATTCATCGTTAAATCATGTTTCTGAGGGATACATCCCAGAAAATGGGTGGTACCTCATCGGCCTTGGCCTTCTTCTTGGTCGCACGCTGACGGAACCCATTTTTGCCGGGTCTGTTCATCTCCACATCCTAACGGGACTCGATCAGCATCACATTCAGCCAAAGCGCGGCAGAGAACAGAAAATCAAGAGAACGTACCCCCTTCCAATCTTCATCGTCAACATGGCCCTGCTCGATAGCCTTGCGAATCTTGTCCTGATGTTCTTCAGGCAAGTCCTCGAAGCCATCGATGGTAGACAGGTCACCGTCGCCCTCGTCGGCAATGGTTTCTTGCATGTGAGAAACGATCTTGGGCGTCACGCATCCCCTACATGGAGTATTAGCTTGTTTCTTGAGTTCTGCTTTAACGGCCAAATAAGGCACCAGTATAAGGGACGTACCAATGTCTCCAGAAGAAGCTTTGGAATCGTTCGTTATCAACAAAAGTACCGAGGCGCAGCTCGCCCTTGAGGATCTTGACTTTGGCGTCCTTGCATTCTTTGTTCTGGCAGCCGGCTCGGCCAGTGGATGCTTGTTCTGTGGTGGTGTTAGTGAGGGACTTTCCCACAGCTTTTTCGGACAAATTTAGATGTGAAAAAATAGCGAATGTAAAATGCAGAAGATGTATAGCCCATAAAAAAAATGGAGAGAAACCCAGAAAAGAAAGCAAGCGTGAACATTAACATTGAGGTTGATGTTAGGCAGATGCGAACAATGCAGCCAGCTAGCAAACAGATACGACGGAATGGCAAACAGTCCCTCGAAAAGAACAGAAAACAAAATGACATCAATGATCTCGCGGGGCGCTAAATCGCACATGATAGATCCATCAATTTGACAAACGAAATAAAAGAAAAGAAATGATAAATAAACTTACCCAGACGATAATTAGGCATTGCTGGTAACTCGCGTGTCGGGTTGCGAAAAAAAAAGAAAGGAATGAAAAAGTGTGCAACTGACGTAATTACAAACTCGACACAACAGTGTATGTCGTACAATAAACTGGAACTTGATAAAAGCCAACGACGAGACTAATGATTTAGCCCAGAAGAGAGGGAAAGAAAGAAGGAAGGAAGAAATGGTCGATGGATGGAAGAAACAGGGGAGAGGAGAAAGAGAGAAAGACGGGAGGGAGGCCGACCGCCGTGAGATCAGCCCGCAGAGGGAGGGTGGACCAACTGCATGTCTGCTTTCTTGGACTTCACAATTGGGAATGGCATTCACTATTAATTATTTACTCCATGTTTCTCTGGCTACGCGGCTTTAAAATATCTTCAATCGCGATCTACTTCAAGATCTGTCTTTGTTATTGGATCCAGCAAGAAGCTAGCTACAAAATGATGGCCTGCATATCGCAGATCTCCATAGATTCAGCAATTGTGTCTAATCTCTTAGTTCGTTCAATCAAGTAATGTACAAATAAAACCTAAGCGCCAGTTTGAGCACTCTAAGTGGATTTAATAAGTTCCAGAGCAGTAATATGTTTCCGCAGCATGACCACAGCCCCCTGACTGAGACGCGGGATAAAGGCCGATGCCACGTTCGTTTCATCAAGCCCATCGCTGGGGCGCGTGCGATTATGGTGCTGGATCATTTTCAGGCCTTCCTCGATAGCTCGACACAACAATCGTGGGCGCACGTTGTCCCCGTCTTGCGGTGTCGAGGCCGGAAAGTAGTGCCATGCTATAACATTCTCCATACCAGCGACAGGATGCTGAAGCGCATGCTGAATAAACTTGCGGGTCATCAAGAACGCCTTTTCTGTGTATTGTGCGAATTCGAGTATCTTATTACCGCCTTCCGCAAAGGCTTCGTAGCCAGCTTCGTCTGGCGAAAGAAGAGTCAGTACACGTGAGACGGTCCATATCAATAAGAAAAGGTGTAAACATACTGTAAAATGGTTCCTTCACCAGCACAAGCCCCATGATGGACACAAGAATTTGCAAGACTGTTGATTTGGTATCTGACCAGCCTTCCTCCGGGTTCTCTGCCGTCCACGTCCCCAAAATACTAAGACAAATATGTCCGTCATCATACAGATTCTGGTTGATCTGTCCTGTGTTGTTGGTCCATGAGTGAAAAAAGCAGATCGGAGGCGACTTCGGGAAGCGATGACTGAAGTGGAGGTCAATCAAAAACGGTGCATACTCATATGGCGTTCCTAAGGACCGAGTATCAAACCCCGCAGGAGATCCACCCTCGATTCCCAAGCCCGCACAAATATCCCAGAGAGCAGTGGCGAGCGCAGTATCTCATATTCTTTGTGAATGTGTTTGACATTCATACCGAGGTTGTCTTTCTGGCCGCCGGTTAAGAAATGATGGTCTGATGGAGGCGGACCTTCTAGCAGCGCGAACGCCGAAGGGCATTCTGCTGGCGAGAATGGCCGTGCTAGAGATACTCCCAATTCAGCCAGATCCATAAGATCTTCGGATTCCTCATGAGTTCCGGGCTCCTCTGAAGGCATAATGTTAGCAGTCACAGGTGACTCGAATTGATCATCGTATTCGATATTAGCGCCAATGCCGTCCCCTTCAATGTATTCAACATTGCTATCTCCTTCAATCTCGGTGCCAGATTCCGTGAACGAATGATCTTCACCGCCGTTAACAGAATCAGCGAATGGTGGAACACCAGAATCCCACAATAACCCATCTAGTATAGCTTTGAGGTATTCTTGTAGAGCATCGGAAAGAGAGCTAGGAAAATCGCATTCTGGGAATTTCTCCGATGAAATCGCATCTCCATCAACCACCAACATCAGCCTCTCCAGCGAGACACGGATATCACGGCAATTTTTAGCAGCTGCAAGCCGAACCGTAATTTGTCCATCGGTATCTACGGAAATAACATTTCCGACGAAACTCGCGGGCTTCTTGTCGTTGAATTCGGTGTAATTAAGGCTAAACCGAGAAGGCAGGGAAGAGGTATCGATGAAGATTGAGTTCTTGAACCATTCGGTGTGTGTGACGCTCATCTTCATGAACGAAAGATAAGTCGACGTCTGGGATAATTTGCTCGGCATGATGGATTTCATCTGGCAGAGGCCCGCAGACCCGAAGTCCGGACGCAGGGGATGTGGTGATAATGTTGCCTGGTGAACGCTGCCGGGGACAAGATGCACCATGTCGTCAAGCCACGGGTTCAAGCACGGGTAGGCAGCGAGCTCGTAGCAAAACACATCTGTCACAGCCGAACCGAGAACTCCGAGAGACGAGCCAGGTTTCATTATCTTACCCTTATGGGGTCAGCTCGATTTTGGGGTTTTCATACCATCTCACCGAGGCTATCCGTCCCTCGCCATCAACGGTTTGGACTACGCCGACCTTCTTTAGCCGGTAACTTTCCACCATGAACCCAGATTCATTGAGATGCAAAGGGAGCATCTTGAGAGGCGGAGGTTTATGAAGTATCTCAATCATTTCTTTCAAGGCGACCACGTTCCCAGGAAATAACTCCTCATTGGCTTGATCGAACGTTTGTAAACAGGCGGGTTCTTCGGCGGTGATACTTCCGTCTTGCCATTTAACAGTGACTTCGGTTTTAGTAGACATGATCTGTAGAATGTTCAGATCGTATCCGAAAGACTCATCGGTTGGGATGCGCCGATACAGGGTGTATTTCCGAGTCGCATTCAGTGGATCCCGAAACCGAACCAAATCTCCGGTTCTAAGCCACGTATCAGCTCTGATGGACAGATCTTTAGGCAACTGACCAAAGTCACACTTCACAGCATGTTCGTGGATTGTAGCAGCCCCAATACTCTCGCAGGTGGGACCTGTAAAGGCGCGCCCACGGCGAAAACATTCGGACAGATCCAATTGATAGTATAGCGCGTTGCAGGCGTGGCCAGTATGTAGCCTTCAGGCAAAACATAAGCGCCCTCAGACGACTTCAGATCGTTTTGGTTCAGGTTGCTTGCAGACGTGATAGCATACTGGCCGGGATCTGCCCACTGCCTCTTAGACGATCAGACAAAAAGGCGCTCATCATCTAGAGCATATTTATGAATCGAATCAAGGTGCTCAGGAACCGCCACAATGTCTTGGTTGCCATTCAAGACAGGAGTTTCGATGCGGTTGAAATTATGAATTGTAGTGACATTTTGGTTCTCAAGCAATAAAAACGCCTGACGCTCGAGACGCTCGATTCTGCCCAAATTCTGTCGATAGATCAGAAAGTCATTGCTGCAGAATGGTTCATTGTTGATAAGCTCTATCATTGGCACGTCATGCAGCTCCGGAGGGCCGTCATCACTCGAATCCGCAGCTGACGGCCAGATGGCACGAACGTTGGGCTTGTCCGAGAGCTTCAACGGACCGTAGTCTCCAGTTCGCGGATTGACCGGCTGATAGGCGATTGGCCGGAGGCTACATTTCACTGATGTGCTGACGACCGTACCGCTCATGGGGCTCTGGGGACGTTTCTTGACTCGCGTACCGATGTCAAAGAGCCGGTCGACAAGTTCGAGGTAGTCTACAGGGATGAGGGAGCTTCCTTGTTGGTACTCGATGAACTGGACGAAGACATAACCCCACGGTGGCTTTAAATGGTTAGTTATTAGCCGGCGGGGAAGCGACTAGGGAGAACGATGAGTACCTCTTCTGTTTCCATAAAATTTAAAATCACATCCTTAGGGACGGGGGTATAGGATACGATGAACATTTTTCCAGAGATTCATCGTCGTCGATCTTGTCACAAGTCAGTTCAGAGCAGTTGGGAATCAGAAACAGGGGCAGCATACATAGTCATCAGAGTCATAAGACATCTGTTAATCCCAGATTGGCCAAAGCCCTCGGTTGTCCTAAATCGGATTCCCACTTACAGTGACCGTTCCAATCAAATCAGGCTTTCCTTTCACACGAACAAGATCATTTAGATCAAACTGTGGTGTCTATCAGATTTCATTCAAGCCAGACAGTAGCAGATTCACGGGCTTACCTTTGGAAGTAGAAGCCATGGCAACGAACGCGGGTTTACGACACCGGGCCAGAGGACTAGTAGGTAGGAGATAAAAGAGAGAATCAAATTATGGGGTGAAAGAAATCAAAAATAGAAAAATTAAAAATTAAAAAACGGAGCAGGTAGAACAACCAGCACAAGCAGGTCAAATGACTGCGGCAAGGTGAGAAAAGTGAGCATGGTCAGGGATATATATAGACTCAAGAGTGACATGAAAGATGCATAGAAGGTAGGTCGATAGAGAGAGAGGGATGAGTCAAACCCTCACGGAGTTACTCGGGATTCCATTATTCATGCTGAGGTTAAAATAAAACAGAAGAAGTCACTTTTGCATGTTGTTCCTTAGGAGAGTGACTTGACCAATGTTAACCATTGGGTGATTTGCGGGTCTTACCGCCCGCCACAATTGTCTGCATTTATCTCACGTTATCTTCCGAGTACCTAGCATTTCCCTTCCTGACGGCGATTCTTGATCAGTCCAAGTACGCAAGTCGAGTTGCGAGTGACGTCTGCTTGCCTTGTCTGAACCCAAACCCACTTGATCTGCAAATCGCGATTCTCCGTGATATCACCAGCGCAACAAACCAACCAACCCACCCCAAACCAACTCTCTCCTCTCATACCAACAAACCTTCATCACCCCCAAACAAACGAACAAACAAACCTACACCAAAATGTCTGAACCCGGTCCCGAATCGATCCCCACCAGCGCCGACCCGCGCAGCAAACGCCCCGTGAAACGCCGCGCCGTGACCGCGCAAAACGAACAAGCCTCGAAGATCGAAACCCTCTTCAAAGACCCCTCGAAAGAAATCCGTCTACCGGGGACCTCGCTGCAAAAGACCTCTGGGTCGCTTCCTGCCCCGCCGGAGATCGTGGCCAACGTGCAGGGTTCGTCGGCGGGTGCCGGATCGGGCGAGTTCCACGTTTACAAAGCGAGTCGGCGGCGCGAGTATGAGCGGCTGAGGTTGATGCAGGGCGAGGTGGATAAGGAGAAGGAGGACGAGGAGTGGGATAAACAGAGGGAGGAGATGAGGAAGAAGGATGAGGAGAAGACGGAGAAGAATCGGCGGAGGAGGGAGAAGAAAAAGAATGCGAAGAAGGGGGTTACTGAGGATAAAGCGAAGGGTGGGAATACGACGCAGTCGACGGGTGGAGGAGCTGCTTTTGGCACTGGTGCTGCTGGGGAAGGGGAGGGAACTACGGGGGAAACTGCACAGGGGGAGGAGACTTCGGGTCTGATCATTCATGATGATTAAGGGCGCTCGCTGGTTACGGCCGAAGAATACTGCCAGACTGTACTATCCAGGATAGAGTGTACGATAGAAGATACCCATGTAATTTTGAAGTCTAGGATATACAAAGAAAGTCCGAAGGTTAATCGTGCAGCATTAGGTACGCATTTTTATTCCTGTATCTTGTTCTCTTTACTCATCACCACCGCCAGCACCGGCGCCCACTTGCTGGGCGGTCTTGCCGCTGCAAATGTCGTCAACACGGAGAAGCAAGCATGCGGACTATCCAAAAAGTTAGTGATTGTAAACAGTAGCAGTGTTAATGTCAACTTACCTCAACAGCGGTCTTGATGCTCTGGAGCTTAACCGCCTCAGGTTCCCATACGCCGTATTCCTTCATGTCGACCAGGTTACCCGAGTCACCGTCAAGACCCCATGTGGTCTCTCCCTCGACGTGCTTGGCCCTCATACGGGTCAGCACGCGAATAGGGCTGGCGCCGGCGTTCTGTGCTAGTGTTCGGGGAATGACTTCCATGGCATCGGCCACGGCCTTGTAGGGCCACTGCTGGACACCCTCAATGCTCTTGGCCAGCTGGCTCAGCTTGACGGAGACGGCCATCTCAATGGCACCACCGCCAGGGGACAAGCGGGGGTGGAAGATAACGTTGCGGGCCACGGCCATAGCGTCCTGCAGGTTCCGCTCGACCTCGTTGATGATGTCCTTCGAGGGACCGCGAAGGATGATGGTGCAAGCCTTGGGGTTCTTGCATTTCCGGAGGAAGGTGAAGTACTCATCACCGATCTTCTCGATTTCGAACAGTCCGCAGCCGGTTCCGATGTCGGATTCCTGGAGGTCGTCGACACGGTTGACGATGGTGGCACCGGTAGCGCGGGCAATACGGTTGTTATCCGTCTTCCTCACTCGGCGGAGGGCGGTGATGTCGGCCTTCACCAGATAATGCTGGGCGAGATCTGCCAGATGGTTAGACAGGGGGCGGGGGAGGACGAAAAAAAGGCAATGGTTCCTTACCGGAGACACCCTTCTCAGTGATGACAACGTCAGGCTTCAAGGCGATAATAGCATCACACATGTGCTTGACCTGCTCCTCCTCAATCTGCAGGATACGGTTCCAGTCGTCCTCCTTGGAGACCTCGATGTTGGTCTGAGATTCACCCTTCTTGTACTCCAACGGGCAGTCCAGCAAAAGGACGCGGGGGTTCTCGATCCTTCTCCGCATCTTGGGGTGCGTAATATCTTTGTTGACCATGACCCCGTCGATGACCTCGCTGTCTTCAATCTGACCACCGGGGATCTTCTCAACACGGGCGTACCGCTTAATATCAACCTCCCGCTTGCCACCGCCGGCGTCGAAGGAGACCGTCCGGACAGCCTTCAAGGCCAGGCTGCACATCAGCTGCGACCATCTGGAAGAGAATTTTGTTCCGATCGAGGACTCGATAAGGGAGTACATGGCTTTGTCGTCGTCGATATCCACGGGCACCGAGACCTCCTCCACAATGGCGAGAGCGTCGGCCAACGCACGCTTGAAGGCCGAGATGATGACGACGGGGTGGATGTTACGCTCGAGTTGGGGGATAGCCTGGGCAAGCATTTCACCGGCTTTCACCGTCAGCGTGTAATTACCAAAGCCAATGCAGGGCGGGGAATACCAAGAATGATAACCGTCGTGGTTCCGTCTCCAACTTCCTCGTCTTGGGTTCGACTGAGCTCGATCATGCTCTTCGCGGCGGGGTGTGACACCTCGATTTCTCGGAGAATGGCGTGGCCGTCGTTGGTCAGGACGATACCTCCCATCGGATCCAGAAGCATCTTCAGCATAGCCTTAGGTCCCAGGCATGACCGGATAATATCCGCAACACTGTAACGATAATCTCCACGTTAGCATCGAGAGCGGGCGAACTGTAAGATCGGATTGAGTCCCACGTACGTCTTTGCGGCGGTAATATTCGACATCTGCGCTTTACGACCGACCTGTCTTTCACCACCGCCTGCGTTGAGGAAAACCACGGGAGCTTGCATGGTTGCTGTATTCTGTTCTCAAAATTCTTCAAAAGGACGAGGACAGAGGAGCAAGGAGAGGCCGTTCAAAGGGTCAAGAGGTGGGGGATATCAAAAGGCTTCATTATCAAATTCTCCCGTGCGGGAGGGCGGCCTCAGGCTCACTCACCGCCCGCGAATCCCCTTTAGGCTTAGCGCTTCCCTTTACGACGCCGTCTTTCTACAGTACATTCTTGACTTGAATTTCTTCTTTCTTCCATTTTTCTTTCATCTTTCATCTCCTGTATCATGCTGATCTGCAGTGGATAGATAACATTGATATGTTTCCGATAGCTGGAATTGTTATCCCTTCACTCTGATGACGTACCCAATCCCAGATAACAAAACATGAATATCCATCCTCCAACCTTTGCTGGAAAAGAAGAGAAAGAAAAGCCCCAGTCCAGACTTCAGCAAAATAACAGCCTCTCTCACTTTCTCAATAACATGCTTAACCTCTGAAAACTCTTCTTAACCCGCACACGCACAGCAGACATGATTGTCTTGCCAAACTGGCCCCTCTTGCCCCCTCGTCGCTGCTGCATCTTGTCCTCATCCCCTGCTTCCAGCACATGAATCTCCGAGACATAGTCCGCGGCGAACTTCTCTTCAGGCACGTCAATGCATCTACCACTATTGCATCTCGCCAGCGCGTTCCTCTCAAAAGACCCCACGCGGCCGAGGAAGATATGCCGTCCTGACATCGTCCCGCCATAGTAGCGATCCGATGAAGTCCGCATATCGTGCTCGTCAATTATGTAGGCTGCCATTGCTTCATCTATGCCCTCGCGCTCAAACGGATCTAGATCCATGTCCGCCACTTCTCTTGTCCCTCGCGACATATTCATCTCCTGGTCTGTTGACCTGCGAGCCATCACGTTCCGAACCCATCTGTCTGCGTAGCTATCGTTGGTTCGAGGTGAGCGTGTACCCTTGCGTATGACCATGGTCATGTTCATGTTCATGTTCACATTCACAGCCAAAGCGATGTTTTCCGGCTTCTGGCTGAATCGACGGACTCTCTCGCGTTGGATCTCGCGCATCGTGCGTTGCAGTTGGACCGGGAGCTGGGCCAAGGCGGTTTCATCGAGATCGAAGAGCACTTCTTCTTCGTCTTCGGTGGAGGAGTCGTCTGGGTGAGGGTTCCATGGGCGAGAGATAGCGCTGGAGTCGGAGCTGGAACTGGAGCTGGTGGTGCTAGAGGGGTATTGGAGTTGGCTTGTCATGGTGATGTGGGTGTGACTTTTTATGTGTGTGTGGTCGTAGACTTGTTTATAATTTGGGTGTCTTGTCCAATGCATGAGAGTGAGGTTGCTGTATGTTGGGTTGAGAGTGATTAGAGGTTCAGTCCTTGGGAGCTGGCTGGCTGGAGGACGAGGTAAGTAAACAAACGACAGGCTAGACTGCAGGCGACGACATGAGCAAGCTTTGCAATACTCACGTTGATCGATACAAGGCACTCACTGTGCATGTATTCTCATCTTGCCTGACATGCGGTCAAGCGGTGGAGCATTTGACTCTCACAGACGGAACGTACAAATAGAATCAAACCAGATACCTTGGACTTTTGAAGCAAGAGATGAGCCCTGTGCATGCTGAGCGTCTTTGTGTGGGCGACAACAGCAGCTAGTGCAAATCCACCTGCACACATCACCAGCACTTAAACGGGCACGAAGATTCTTCCTGTGCACTCCCTTTTCTACTAGCCTTGACCAACTTCTTGAAACTAAGTGGAGAATGAACTATGTAAAATATGAATCCAATTATGTCTTTGTTTGTTGATTGTATATTACATGGGTTAAACGATATATCATAGCTGAAACGTTCTCACAAAGAGGAACCCAACTGAAACCAAGCACCTGGTTATCTTCCCACTCGAACCAAAACACCTCACACAAGCCTCAAAATCTAGAACTCCCGACTCTCCCCAATATTGCAAACATCAAACACCCCCTCTTCCGGAATCTCATGTTTCTTCAAAGCCTCTTTCAGCAGCCTTGGGGGCTCCAGAATATCTTCCTCGGTCAGGACCCACGTACCCCAGTGCATGCCCAGGGCTCTGCGACACTTGGTATCCTGGAAGATTTGGACTGCGTCATGGGGGTCCGCGTGCATGGGACTCATAAAGAAACGAGGTTTGTAGGCGCCAATTGGGATCAAGCCTAGGTCGAAGGGACCTCGGTGCTGGCCAACTTCCTTGAAAGCAGGACATGATGGGAATGTATATTCAGCAGAGTGGTCATCAACGTGATCAGGAAGTTCCGGCACAGTGCGATACCCGGTGTCTCTGTATCCATAAACATGTGTCAGCTATGGCGACATGGGAAAAATTCCAAAAGGGCTATCCACGTACCCAGCGAAATATACCTTGCGGCCTCCAGATTCGACAGACCACGAAGCCCACAACGTCTTACAGCGATCAAACAGTCCTCGGTTGGTGGTATGCTGGCAGGGCAAACAGCTGATGCGCGCCTGGATATCAGCTGGGCTTGAGCCAGTGCTCGCGGATGTCTCTAGTGGAGAGAGCGAGATATCGCGCTGCTCCCACCAGTCGAGTTCCGTGACGTTGTGGATGCCCGATTCCGCAAACCATTGCTTGTTGCCGAGGGGGGCGAAAAAGTGGCAGTTGGGATGGCGCTTGGAGATCTCCTTGATGGTCGGGTAGGACAGATGGTCGTAATGGTTATGCGAGATCACTACCGCGTCGATGGTCGGTAAATCCTGGATCGCGCAGGGCAATTCAGTGTAACGTTTCGGACCTAGCCACGAGAAAGGGGAACACCGATCCTCAAACACAGGGTCGAACAGCACCCGCAGCCCGCCGGGAAATTCAACGTAGTAGCAGGCATGACCTAGCCAGGTTGCTCGTAGGCCGGAGGTTTCTCGCGAGGGCAAGAACTCTGGTTTTTGAACGGGCACCGTGGGAGGCGTCGTGTCTGGTCGATGGCCTTTTCCGGTGATTTGACGACTATACAGCATTAGACAGTATGATCGAGTTGAGGATGGACGCGATCACCTACCCAAGTAATTTCATAATATTCTGGAAAGTTGGTCCTCCCGTCCAAGAGCTGCATCAGGCAATCAGCTTTGAGCTTATTGAGCGCGGCGCAACAGAGCACAGCAAGACTTACTCCCAGGGATTGACGAATCCATTCGAAGCATGATGGCTCTTCTCCTTCGCGTCTTCGGGACCCGCAGAAACCGGCGACGCCGACACCGTGATGGAATATAGAATGGCAGCAGTAGAGGTGCTCATTGTGCGTCTTCCAGCAGATGAGCTTGGCGAAGGAACCGACCGACGGAAGCAATGCCAATGACGAAGAAACGATCGCATGCTGGTCCAGAACCGGCGCAGGCGTTCTTTAAATACCAGAATGCAGGCAGGACCGGACAGCGACAACGTCACCCACGTGGATGCCTTCTGGGCGTTGGCTCAGACTTTGCAATCTGCAAATCACCGGCCAGGATCAGCGACAGAGTTCTTGACAGCTCGTGTCAGCCAAATTTAACAAAAGAGAAACCAATCGCCGCATAAGTCCGAAGAGTCCTAACGCCGTAAACTCCGAGTGGTTGTTTAGCTGGACAAGTTGGTGACAGGAGTCTTGTTAGAGATCGACCAGCAAAATACAACACATAGTTGGACGGCGAATTCAATTGACAAATTCACACTCAAACTCCTTCTTCGACCTGATAATTTTAGTAGAAAGTGACAATTGAGCCTGATAGTATGGATGTGGGATGATACATCTCGGTCCGTCTTAACTCCGCCCGCCGATATTCGCACGCCCAGAGTCAAACTTCCTCTTTCTTCCACGACGCCCGCTTCACTGTGATGGACGCGAATGGATCGTCAACGGGGCTGCCTGCGCCTGGCGATTTGATCGCTCAGCGAAAGGATGCGATCCAGGCAGCAGCACAGCCCACAGAAGATGGGCTCTTTGCTCAACTTACCAACAATCCGTTCTTCACTGCGGTAAGCCCCATGCGCTAGTAGCATCTTTGTGATGGCAATTGAATCTAAGTGCAGCCTCGTGGTAGGGATTCGGTCTCGCCGGCCTGGGAGCAGGTCTGAGTTTCGCCCAAAAAGGCGTTCGTCATGGCGCCGCGCTTCTTCGCCGGCGCATGCTCGTCGACGTCGAAATCAGCATCAAGGACGACTCGTATCCTTGGTTCCTGCATTGGATGACCCTCTACCAACAATTGCAACTCAACACGGCTCGGTCCGCCGCCAGCAGGTCTGGCTTCGTGGAATCCATGCTCCAGAAATTGACCCCCGGAATGCGCCATCTCTCTATTCAAACGCAGAAAGTCGAGCACGCCAACGGATCGATGCATACTCAGTTCGCGCTGGTTCCGGGCCCCGGGAAACACATCCTCCGCTACAAAAATGCGTTCATCTTCGTCAACCGCATGCGCGAGAACAAGTCGCAGGATTTACAGACGGGTCGGCCGTGGGAAACGATCACCCTGACCACGCTCTACTCGCACCGTCATATCTTCGAAGAGCTGTTCTTGGAGGCGCATGCGTATGCCGCGCGATCGCACGAGGGAAAGACGTCGATCTATAACAGTTGGGGCACCGAGTGGCGGCTTTTTGGTCAGCCGCGGCGGAAACGGCCCTTGGAGTCGGTGGTTTTGGACGAGGGAGTCAAGGAGCGGATCGTGGAGGATGTGAAGGACTTTGCCGACAGCGGGAAATGGTATTATGATCGCGGAATCCCCTACCGACGCGGATATCTGCTGTACGGTCCGCCGGGAACCGGGAAAAGTTCGTTCATCCAGGCCCTGGCCGGTGAGCTGAACTACGACATCGCCATTTTGAACCTGAGCGAGCGAGGTTTGACCGACGATCGGTTGAACCATCTGCTGACCATCGTACCAAACCGCACCCTGGTCCTGCTGGAAGATGTCGACGCCGCGTTCTCGAACCGACGAGAGCAAACCGACGCGGACGGATACCGCGGCGCCAACGTGACCTTCTCTGGTCTGCTCAATGCCTTGGACGGTGTAGCCAGCGCCGAGGAGCGAATCATCTTCCTCACCACCAATCACGTTGAGCGACTCGACCCGGCCTTGGTTCGCCCCGGACGGGTTGACATGACCGTGCGTCTTGGAGAGGTGTCTCGCTACCAAGTGGGATGTCTCTGGGATCGCTTCTACAGCGAATTGGACACGACGGGCGCATACCGACAGGCCTTCCTCGATCGGTTACACGACCTGGGCCTCATCGAGAACGAACAAGGCGAGAAGGCCGATCGATCCAAGAGCACCAGCGCGGCCGCTCTGCAGGGATTGTTTTTGTACAATAAGGGCAATATGGAGGGCGCGATCGCAATGGCCGAGGGGCTCACGGTTAGTCTGCATGATGAGGCGATGGAATAGAGCCATATGACATGGCGATCACCTGTATAATATTATGAATTTCTGTATGAATATATTATTAGTCCTGGGATTGTAGATGTGACTGTGTTTGGAGAACCGGGGACGCCAATCATCGGCCTCGGCTGTCTCGTCACCATCACACTGACACAACACCCTGAGATAGGCTCTGGCCAGAAGAATGTGCACAATTCAAATCTCTATCCCAAAGTTTATATCGCAGACACTGACGGTGATTATCTAGTCTATTTGAAACGCTATTCGACCGCGTCGGTGAGTGAAGGGCTCAATCAAGGAAATGCGACCGTCCATCTTCTTCACGGCGACCTTAGTTTATCCCAGCGTCATCCACTGGACAAATCATCTTCTCGGGTTCAGCAGTTTTCGAAGCGCCGCTAACTAGGCCCTGCCGTCTCCTGTGTGCCTCCGGGGTGCAGCTCCGCCAGCAGCCAGCGAGAGGTCGAGCTTAAGCGCCGCTCGGTCAATTATGCAGCCCATGCCTGTTCTTCACACTAGGCCGAGCCTCTCACCGTTCAGATCCTTGACGCCTTCGCTCTGATAGGCCTCTTCGGTGTTTTTTTATAGGAATCCTTCAGGCCAAGAAGTGCGACCATGAGGGGTATATGTCACATTCGTTTCCGTGCTTGATATCTTTTCTTTTTCCACTCCGGACTATGCGGATGCTGGATATATTCCCCTCTTCGCGTCGATAGTCCACGACGTTGCTTTCAATTTGAGCTGGTTCTACAGGATTTCACGACTCATTATGAGCCAATTTCAACTCTTTCCACCTCCTTCGCCCACGAGGGTCTCGAAGAATCCGTTTCGCAGGGAGCTTAGGCGACAAACTGAGACTATCAAGCCTGCCAGTCCAATTCCGCTGGAGGATCTGAGTAATAAGAAACCCAACACAGAGACTGTGCTCCTTCGGATTATCGAAGATACGAATGACATCAAACCGCCGCCAAAGGCTCGCATCGCCAAGTCAAATGCAACTTCTACTCCGGAAAAGGCCCCGGAGAAACGGTCGACGCGATTGCCCTCCAAGGCCAGCTCCCAGAATACACCAGAATGGGACCTGCTTTCGAAGGAAATCGAATTAAATTCGCCAGCAGGGAGCAGCGTGCGCTCTGTCCAGAAAGCTCCGCAACACTCTGAATCGCCAGAAATTCAGATGAAGTCAATGTTCCCTCGGTATAATCCCAATGTGCCTCTCAGCGAGCAGCAGTACTATCCCGGAGCCTCGAGTCAGAGTTCCCGGTCTCACAAGCCCAAAAATCTAACGCTGTCGCCTCAGCCGGAGATTGATCGTGCTTTAGGGCCCAAGACGGTGCCTGCCAGCGTGGTGAACTTTCCATTGGGTGCGCTTGATCCGGCAGACGAAGTCCAATATTCCTCTGCTGCAGAGCTTCAGGATCTGTGGGAAGCTGCCAACGGCCAACGACCTCAGGACCTGTCGGGGACTTTCAATCTGCGCATGGCACGGTTAGTATATCTGTATCTCTAAATTTGTATAAGATACTGACAAAACAAGAACTGATCCTGCCATTTTCACATTCGGCGAGCCTCAATCACCGTTCTACACCATGCAGACCTACTCCACCGACGAGCTATCCATCACTCGCACCAACCCGTCCAACGCCAACAGCAGCGTCCCGATCATGATGCTCAAACTCGAAGACCGTGGTCGTCGCCAGCCACCCAACGACGGCCTTGTATCGCGCCTCTTCTCTCGCCTCGCCGCCATGCTCGCCATCGAACAAGCCCAAGAGCTGACCCGACAACACCGACTCGGGCCCGTCGAGGCCGCTGAAGTCGAAGGCGACGCTCTCGAACGCGCCGCAGCCCAGGAATCTTGCCGTCTGACCTGGAATCACACCCAGCAACTCTACGAGCTCCATCACCCATCTCTCGCAAAGTCCCAGCCGCCGGCCCTCGTTGGCGCTGTCGGCATCCCGCTCTCTCCCGCGCCGTCTAAATACTCAGGGACTCTTCACATCAGCATCTCGACGCCATCCCGGGACTCCAAACACCCTAATAACCAACAACCGCCCACCATCATCGTCACGACCCCATTACCGGCTAATGCTGTCGAGTCCGCCAACGTGGCCGCCACGCCGCGCACCTCCACCCTCCCACTGACCGAGTCCGACGACCCCTTGGCCTCACTCGACCTAGGCACCATGACCCTTTCCATCTCCGCCGCCATCGTCACCATAATCCCGTCCCTGTATGCCATCGACTCGCTGATGAGCGCTATGCTGGCCGTCGCTGTATCAGATGAATCGACGAACCCGATCCTCGCCGACATGCCACTCTACGATCCGCATGCCCAGAGTCAAACCTCCTCTTTCTTCCACGACGCCCGCTTCACCGGAAAGTTAGTCGCTACGCTCGCCGAACGCGACGATACCGAACAAAGTAACCAGCTTATGGCGCGGATCCGATCCGCGTCTTCATCTGCGCGCACGAAACGAGATCCCAGGACGTGGCTTCGATGGTGGAATCGGTCTACGACTGAGCCTGAGACCGGAGAAGACCAATCCCAATCCATCGCAGCCCCGAAGACCAAGACAAAAAGCAAGCCGAAGAAGAGCAAAAACCAGAAAATCGTCGTCGAGGAATTTGACCTCGAACGATACGGTCGATATGGGCATAGTTCGTCGCGCGAAGGCCAGAAACTACCGGGTGCGACACGCGGCGTGCTGCGGGTTCTTTTCTGGGGGTTGAATCTGGTGGTGCATGTTTTAACGATTGTCGTGAAGGTGATGGCGTGGATGTTGGTCAATGTGACCAGGTGTGTGACGAGTCAGAAGATTTAAGGATATGGGTGGATGGGTGGATATGTAGAGGTTGGGTAAGTATATATCTTCGGTTCATTTATTTATCTAGGTATTTATTTGGGTTCTAGGAGGGCATTCACTTTTGTGTTCATGGTTATTTCCCTTTTATTATCTTTTTTCTTGCCCTTTTTTTTCTTTTCTTTTTTTAGGTTCAGCAGAGATTGGCCGATTAATATTGAACTTATGATGAATGACACGTCTACATATTTATGCCCTCATGAAACTTCCTTCCACTTTTTAACCTAAACACAATATTAATACGGACAAGATTGGAATAGATCCCTCCATCCAAACAATAAACAACCATCCTTTATAAGCCAGAACCCAGTATCCACCAATCCCCGATGAACCAAAAGAGTTGAAAGACAGAAACAGGTAAACATGCCGATGAAGTCACAGCCTCGGTGATACATGGTTACAGCGCAACACGGAGCACGGGGAATGGGTGGTAGACCTGCATCGCATCTACTCCATACAGTCTACTCCATTCCCGGGCAAAGTTTATCATCTCAACTCGGTACCATATTTATTTCCTTTTAGAATCAGGTCCGAGGTACGACGGATGTGGAGTCAGGAGGTCTACACCACTGCGAGGACTCTACAGGGGTGGTTTATATGTCGAGTTTGTCTCGTCTAATTCAGCGATTTGTTAGAACTATTTAGAGCTGGGTATACCGTGGGCAAGCACATCAAACCATAAGTGCAGTAGCATGATATCACAAGTACATATCTCGCAAGACATACTCCGTAGACCAAAATAAAATAACCCTACGATTCAAGCCTTTAAGATCTACGCAAGAGAGAAAAATGAAATCAAAATACCATACCATGCCCAAGCATCAGGAAAAGATCTCCGCGCATTGACTGCAGTACGAAACCTCATAAAATGTCCGCTGGGAATTGAGTTTTCTTCTCTTCAGGTGAATCAAAGCCCACTCACTGACTGACCAAACCAAAGACCAACTAACTCCCTGAGCCTATCTGCCAGTGTGTTAGATAGTGTACTCCGTACTCCGTAGGTGTCTACTCATCCTCCACCCCTTATGTGATATTTTCTACATTCCGACGACAACCATCCCGGGAAGTGGCAAATACATACTTCGCGTGTCACAGAATCGACTGCACCGCAGCTAGGTGCTCCGGGGTAACCAGACAGGCGATGTCAGCCATGAAACGGAACGATGGAGGCTGAGTGAGGCCTAAGTATGTTTTATTGTAGATTTGCCATGCGGAAGTATTTGCCTATCTATCTACTATCTACTCCGTAGGTGAGGATACTGCAGTCATCCCTGGATTCAGCTGATTGATAGATTGGAGCGATAGAGTCTACTCCGTACGGGGCTATGCGTGGGAGGAGATATGCGGAGGTGAATTGATAACTGCGCCTACAGTGAACAAAAAAAAAAAAAAAAAAAAAAGGAAAGATAGATGAGTAAATTGACAGGTAAATAAATTTTCAAATGGAGTAGATACTCAATCATTTCATTCAAGGACCATAACACTGTGAACTTTGTCTGGATCAATATCTGGCTAGAGGTAGACTAAAATTTAGCCCTAACAACTCCTTCCCCTACTTTAACCATATCAATAAAGACAAGCTAAAAAGTAAACAACCCTCAACATGAACAAAAACCAATTTCAATTCCAACACACCCTAATCTCAGAACCCAAGTACTCCGGAGTAAATGGGAAGAACAAGCAAAACACGATCACCACCCCCTAGCATCCCAAGTTCCCACATTCCACATCCCCTTCTTTACCCCTGTCCCCCGGTCTACCTATGTAACGCGCCAAAATCAAGGCGAGACGGACCATAGAAGGGAAGAGTCCTTAGAATTCTCCGCTACAACACGTTCCATATCCCGTGTCCCGTGTCCCGTGTCTCGTCGCGCCTCTATCCAGGGATGAACCAAACGGAGGATGAATGAGTTATGTGTGATGTAAGTTATGTTGACGGGGCACGACGACGCGGCCGATCTATTTACCTTGATAGATTATATAGGGGTGTCTCACTTCGTTCGCGAGCTGCTGGATCTTTTTCTGTTTGGCATCGTTAAAGGTTTGTTTTCTTTTGTGGTTCATTTGAGTTGGATCGACACTCGTTCTTTCTTCCCATCACCTATACACTCGCTCGTTCGGTCTTTGTTTCTGCTACGGTCGTTTGGATATCATATCCCAATCACATACATTTACATATTACGACTTTTTGAATTCATATATCAGAGACGAGTAAAGAAAGCAAAATGCGTACCGCTTTTATCTTCGCAACTCTCGCCACCACCTTGGTGGCATTGAACCCTCAAGCTGAGGGCGAGGTACATACATCTATACATCCATACATCCCAGTAACGACCACACCTAACCAACCCCAGGCCAACACCAACACCCCCGAAAGCTCCTCCCTGCACGTCCCCCAGCGCGCCAGCTCACCCATGGTACGCGTCGGCGAGGACACCAACATCCCCGAAACAGGCGTCTCCCATGACGCTAACGTCCCCGCGACCAAGCCCGACGCTGGAAAAGACACGGCCACGCACGTGGACAACAGCGGCGAGCGTCCCGAGGTTGTCACGGACTTGAAGACTCCGTCCGCCGAGGACTCATCGAGCAAAGACGCGGACGCGGACAAGAACAAGCACGCGGCTGACGATAAGGAGGAGGCAGAGGACGAGTCCCTCCCGGAGCTGGTGAACAAGTATTTCCCGAAAGTTGGACAGCTGTTGTTCCCTACCAGCTCGAGTAGCGCGGTCCCGAGCCCGACGATTGGTGCTGCGGCTGCGGCCTCAGCGAAAGGGGAGCTGTTCCATTTCGACGATCAGAGCGCTGATCAGCAGTCCGGGGGCAAGAAGAGGGCTGTCGCGCCTCAGGCGGCTCCCGCGCCTGCTGTGACTGAGAATGCGGGCATGATTGCAGATGAGGAGGCTGTTTATCGCACTGTGACGAAGACCGAGACGGATTGTACGTGCGCGAGCTCGGTCAATGGTGTGATGGCGAAGGAGACTGGAGCTAGTGTTGTCCCTGCGCCGTTGCCGGTTCATAGTTCGAACGCGGTCGTGGCGACGGAGAGTGTCGTGCCCATGCCCAGTGGTGTGGATCCCTTGGCTGCGACCCCGACTGCCGCGACTCACGTGCATGCTGCCCTGACTGAGGAAAGTGCTGAGCCGAGTGTCCATGGAGTGCGCACGGAGGTGACCTCCGGCTCGGTGCTTGTGCATAGCGTCTCGACGCCGGCGATTAGATCGATGACCCGTACCGTGGTGGCCTCGGCGACCCCGACGGCCGGTGTCGCGCACAGTGCGTTCGTGGGCGAGGTGGCTTCGTCGTCTGAGGCGTCGATGCCGACGGGCGTGGATCCCCAGCGGAACAGCAAGGATGAACAGCTGTTCACTGGTGGCGCGGCGTGGACGGGCCCCCGCGAGATGGTGGTGATGGGAGTGACTGGATTCTTGGCGGTGATGATGATGCTGTAATGGAGGGTTCAGTTCCTGAGTGAGGCTGTGGTAATGACTGTTAATGATGGGATGGACCAAGGCGGGTTGCACTCGTGTTTCTGTCAATGGAATTATTATATTATTATGTTAATTAATGCGGAGTCTTCGTCCAAGTTCAAATACAAATGCCAAAAGAATGAATATCCAATGTTCCAAAAGCACAGCTCCTCTCAGCTATCTTATGCATGAACGGCTTGCTGCACCTTGGGGTACAGCTGCACCAACCGGTTGTATAGATCTGGATGATCCTGGATCATGACCTGCGGGTCCCACGCCATTGCGGCGAAAATTGTCTCGATGCCGCTACTCATCGGCGTCATAAATACCTGACACACCTGCAGACCGATCACAAACGCAAATGCCATGATCACTGCCGTAAAGTCACCGCCCTGGTTGTAGCTGGGATGCGTAAATTGCAGATACAGATACGCCAGCAAAGCGCACACGTACGACACGAACACCGAGCCCATCGTCAGCACGGGCCCGATGAGGCAATCTGCAGCCAGGGCATCCACGCCTCGGTCTTTCATCATCTTCCACGTATCCTTCGCCGAGGGGATATACGCCTTGCCATACAAAGCGATGTGGCAGAACGCGTACCGGTTGAAGAAGGTCACAAGCCAGTCCAGCAGTGAGATGAGACATCCAAGGATCCAGAAGGCGATGCTGCCTACTAGACTGCCCTCGGAAGCTTCATGGCGCTGTGCGACGGAGCATGCTTGCCGCAGCATGTTGATGATGGCAAGGATCAAGCTCCCGAAGCTGATGCTACCAAAGGAATATGTCGTGGCGCGTCGGAAGGCGCCGCGGGTTGCGCCTTTGGGCATTCCATCAGGTGAACCGCCAAAGAAATACCAGGAGCCGTACACTCCGGCGATGGTCGTGTGGATGGTGTTCTTCCACCACTCGCTGAACCAGTACATGGCGAACGTCACGTAGACCACCAAGCCAACCACCCTGCCCGTGCTACAACCGCCATTGGTACATGACGGGTTGCTGCCGCTGCCATTCGGCTCGTAGGCGACATAGATTGACACCAGTGTCACGGAAAACCACGCAGCGAATGCCACCGTCACGATGCCGCCGATCGCGCTCACCAAAAACATATGTCCGTAGCGTCGAGACACGTCGATCGAGGTTTCCATCATGAACGCGGTGAACGGGATGCGCGGAATCCAGCTGATGAAGCAGATAATGGCAAAGACCCCGAATATGAGGAACACAATGCCTCCTCCGTACTGCTTGCGCACGATGTAGTAGATACCGGTAGCCAGGGCAAACACAATGTTCAGAATCCCCGTCGCCCAGATGAAAAACTTGGGGAAGTAGCGAGCTCCAAGAAAATAGGCCCAAGAGAAGGCCAGCGCCACGCAGAGTACGAAGATAAACAAAACCAAGGTGTTTGTATCCAGTGAAAAGTCGTTAACCGAGTCGTAGATACCTCCGCCGTTGAACCCTTTGTACTTGGAGTACCGATGGATTGCGATTCCCGAAACTGCGACATAGCCTAGAAAGACAGCAATGAGCTTCATGAATTAGCTATGGTCCCTTGAAAATGGGTTTGAGAGCTCAGATATACCAAAAGCCCTGCCCAGATGTCGTTAAACTTTGGTTTCTCGACCTTGAACGCCTCGTCAAAGCCATAGACTGCCTGGTTGTAGGTCGGTGGAGCTCCCTGCGGCGGCGGTGGTCCCTGTGGAGGTTTGGGCTCTCCGGTCCTTTGATAGCCACGGTCATATTGATAGTTCTGATCATAGCCTTGGTGATTGTTGTTGTACATAGGCTGCTGTTGCGGCGGGGGTTGAGGACGGCCGTCACCGAAGTTTTGGCCGGGATTATAATAGCTCGCTGCCTGTCCACTCATGGTCGCATACTCCAGCTGCACCCAGCTGTACTAGAGGAATCGTAATATAAGAGGCGGCGGGTATCGGAAGGGACTGTGAGGGAAAGAAGGAAGAAAAGACTGAGGACGGACAAGGCACGAGGTGGAGAGAACGGCGCAAGGGGGAGCAAGCAGGAGTTCCTGGCACCCTTCCGCATGCGTCGCTCTTCCAGTCCAGGGCGTCATGGTGATGAGACGAACCGATTCGAGTGCCAATCACAAGGCCGAGCAGCGCCAAGTCGCGCCCAAGAGAAGCGAGAAACTCAAAGCTCGGTGTTCAGCCCTATCAAGGATCTGCCTGAAGGTGTTTGGGTGGAGAAGTCGAGCTGCAATCTGCTCAAGTCAACGCAGAGTTTTCCAAAGGGTATCCAAAATGGGTAAAAAATAAGTAAAAATAAAGGGCGCTTCATGCTGAAATTTTATGTACATCGTCAAAACATTCCAAGTTCAGAGTTATCTCTTTTCGTCTTCTTCCAAGACAGATCCATCCTAGCTCCCACCAAGATCGTCCTTCCAATGCAGGTTCCAAAATTGAGTCAGACCCATAAATCCCTTGCCAAGTCGCTTCGGTGCAGGAAATTAACATAGTACACATTAGAAGGTGGATGTTTGTGGTTTCAAACCACCCAAAAGATAAAAAGAATGACGGGGTAGTGTTATCCAACGCAACCTGTGAAAAACAATAATAAACAGCACTTGTCGGGTATCAATATATAAGTAAAAAAAGACAAAATCCAAATCCAAATGCAGTCCATGCATATCTCGCAACACATTTTTGCTGGCCGGTCTTCATTTACCGGAATGCATGGTGTCTCATATGTCGCCATCCATCGGCAATGCTGCGTTCGATCCCGGGGATCGGCGATCTGCCGCGAGTGGTCCATTCATCGGTGGCAGCCTGGAGTTGGCCTTTGCTGAGTGCCTGCGATCGCCGCAGCTTCTCCTGTCGAACGGCCGCCCGTCGAGATGCTCGCAACTCGTCGATGCGACCTTGTCCCACGCGATTTCGTCGCGCAAAACACTCATCCATCAAGTGGTTGGCATCCAACAGTCGTTTAGGTACTGCCTGCACGACCTGGAATACCTCCATCGGGTCCGAGACGGCCATGATATCTCTCTCGCATGCCTTGAAAATGGCGAGAGACACGCGGAAGAATGTTTTAGACCCTTCAAAGAAGAAGACATCCCACACTCGCAGGGTCGTCTCCAGCGGCAGCGTGCCAATAAAGACCGACATCAACCAGTTGGTCAGCCCCAGTGTGATGTCCGGGAGGCGAGAGTGGACGGTCAGCGGGGGCGGTTTGGACCTGGGCGACGAACCGGTGTTGGCAATTTTGCTGTAGGCATTGGGTAGCGTTTCTCTCAGTAGTACCATGAGAAGCCAGAGATCGATGTTGGCTCCCTCCAGACTGATCTCGTGGGTGCCGGGAAGGTATACCGTCGTGATGATGTGCAACATCCAGAAGGCTTTCTCTTCCGTGAGAAAGAGAAGAAGCATTCCGGTGATGAAGTTGAGCGACTGGGTGTACCCCACCTGGGGGTTGTGCAGGGAGAACGCATACAGCACTCGTCGTAGAGACTCGATCATCTGCGTCTCGACGGTCACGGAGGAAAATTTCGGGTTGCTGCTACCAGAGTCGTTGGCCTGGGCCTCCGGCTTGAAGTGAATGTTGTCGGGAAAGGTGCGATGCAGGTCACGCTCGATGTGCTCCTTGTCGTCGTTGCTCGGGGATTCCATCGCCTGCTTCACGAGTTGATCGTACAGCCCCGGATTCCGATTCAGGTGTTCAAAGCCTCCGGCATACCAGAACCAGGCCGCACCTCGATATTCAGACGGGATTCCTTTGCGCACAAAACGCTTCATCTTGTTCGATTTCGGGGGAAACGTCGTGGGATCCTCGGTCGGCAAGCCACTCTCCCTGAGAAGTTCAACCCATTTTGTCCTCCGAGTCGCAGCAAACGCAGTGTAGGGGCCGTTCCAGGCCTCGTACTGGTCCAGGGTGACGTGGTGGCTAGCTTTCCGGAATCCATAGCGATCCCGAGTGTCTGTTCCCGGTAGAAGTTGTGGTGGCACAATCCCGGGAATAAACACTTTGGTGTCCTTTGGGACGCTGTTGGCAGGCGGATCCGGACCGCTCTCTTCCAACATCTCATGGGGCGGTTGCTCCTCCGGCTTCGCTTCGCCCAGGAATTGCTTGTCCACCGTGTTCTGGTCTGGTGGGCTCAAGGCCGGCAGTGGCGGTACCGGTGGCAGGTCCTCAGTCGGATCCATGACCGGCGAACGTTCATCGGACGTATAGCCATCGTCGATGGTGAGTTCCGTGGGCGGACGCGGACTCAATGGTCGCACCTTGGTTTCTCCGTGGAACTCTGGCGACGCAGGTTCTTCCGTCACGTCGCTGAACCCGTCCAGGTACATGGAGATGGCATCTTCAACACTCATGCCTCCGTCCTTCTCGTGCGGCCCGTCGGGCGTGTCCGGAGAAAGATCGGTGATCGAGCTACTTTTCGTCAGAACGCTGCTGCGCTCCGTGCCGCTGGTCTGCTCGATGCTGGACCGCGAGGTCATAGCGGAATTGACGCTCGAGCGCATCGCGTCCTCCCCGTGGGCATCAGACGATGCATGGGGCGGACGCGGTATTGCGAGCCCATGCGTGACGAAAGGATCGTTGGAGGGGCTGTCCCCGAGGCGAAGACGTCGAGGGTTCAATCGTGATGTAGATTTAGAGGCCCGCAATCCGGGGGTCTTTCGATGAGATGGACGATCGACGTCGCCATCTCGTCGGGCTGTTTTAGAGGGGCGCTCTTGAGGATGAATAGGGAAAGTTGGCGTGCGCAGCGCCGGGCCGTAGATGGTGAATTCGTCGCCCGTGCCATGGTGAGGGGAAACGGAGCGCAGGAAGGGATCATGCAAGGGCAGCGGTTGTTCCAGGTGCTTTCGAGGGGAACGAGGGATCGGCGGAGGGCGATGTACGGGGGGCCGACGAGACGAACCGGCAGTCGACGGCCGCGAAGGTGAAGGAGGATTGATTCTCAAGGGATCAAGGCGAGGAGGATTAGGGATTCGGCGACGACTGGGAAGATCATGATTGCCCGTAGGCGTTGGATAACGAGCGTTTCCATTTCCTGTGACCATGGCCACGAGATAATACCCAGATCCCGCTGGACATTTGTCGATCCGAAAAAGAACGAGGGAGAAAACGAGCGTGAAGCCAGAAGCAAGTCCACCGTTAGACAAGACCGGGCTAAGTTTTGGGGGCGAGAACGAAATGAGTTTCTTTTCTTTTTCTTTTTGCCTCTCTCTCGTCAGGAGATCGATCAGAATAAATAAGAAAAAGAAAGGAAACGGAATGAGAGGAGCCGATCGGATTGGATCGAGCAAAGAGTAAACGAGTGAGCGCGTCGGGGAGACGGGCGGCAACGGTGCAAACGAGCGGATGCGAATCGGAGAGCAGCTCAAGTCGGCGCCAAAAGAAACAGTCGAAATTGGATCAATCCATTGGAGATGACAATCACGATCCTACCAGCGATTCAAATGGCGGCTCCATCCCATGACCGGTGAGAATGAGAGTCAGAGGGAAAAGAGAGAAGAAGAGGAAGATTAGAAGAGAGAAGAAGCCGGAGCAGGAAGGGGGAAAAGACAAGAAGTAAAAAAGCGGAAAAGGAAAGATAATCAAAAAATGAAAAATAATCAAATAAAATGAAATGAAATAAAAAATAAAAAATAAAAAAGGGGACTGCCCACTGGTTCGGGCTTAGTGCCGTATCGACCCTGTTTTTGTGGTATTTGGGGGTTTCAGAATGACTTCATCTTCTCTCGTTGTTCTTTGTTCTTTGTGCTGGACAGGATCATATCACTTCTTCTCTCCGTACTCTGTACAGAATAGTTCCTACAGTTCCTTCTGCAGGTTACACAATAATGTGAGCCGTCAACGCGGCGGGCGGATCTCTTGACATGTTATATGCAGCCGTCATGCATGCATCCATGGATGGAACCGAACGCATCACTTTGTTTTTGACTTTGAACCTAGCTCTCCTCGAGTTATCCATGGGTCGCATCCGAGGAACCTCTCGCCAGCTTGCCTTTCGACGTTCTGTCAGACTGTCATACGGTATACATCAGAAATGACTGCTCCGTCTTCCGCTTGCTGGGTATGACGCCATCCCCAACTCGAGGCAGCGAAAAGGATCAAAGTTCCCAACTTCAAGTTCCCACAGCTCAAATCCCCAATCCCAACCATACACAGTCTGTAACTCTGGTAAACAACTCCCGCTACGGCGAATGTCTTCAATAAGAAGTCTAGTGGAGCGGTGGTTTCATCTTCCCTTTGTCCGATCCACCCGTCGAAGCCTCCAAGAAGGACCGTCATCCGGAAGCCCTCCGGGCATGAAACGGCGCCTTCACTTAGGGAACTAGATCGGATGATCCTGATTCGCACCCGAATCCTAATAACCGCTCTCCTTGCATGCGCGAGTCCTCCGTTCGGGCCTCGTCATCCCTTGTTATTCGTCCGTCTTGGGGGGTTTGAACCGTTTGATGTTTAGACGTCGCTGACCAGGGGGCGGAAAACGGTCGTCATGGTGGGTGTGATTGGTGGTCTACTCATCACTTTCCTCGACTACTATCCGGCTTTCTGAATCAGCGAGTGCGGAGTTGAATCGGAAGCTACCTGACCAGGAACTCTCTCCGTTAATAGACCCGTCCACGGCGTCCAGAGACCCTGACGGGCTAAAGGAAAGTCGGCAAATACTAACCACATTATTAATCCACCAGAAAGGAAAATGAACAAAAGCAACAGAGGAAAAATCTGCACTTTCATTTGATTTCGGTGCCCATCCGCCATCCTTCCGTCGTGGTGAAATTAGCTCGGAGACGCTATACTCGATTGACATCAACCAGGCGGCAGATCTCGTGGGTCGATGACTCGATGGCGTCCAGGAATAGCGACGAACCGACTATGCCAATTTCGCGGCAAAGTTCAGGATCAATTGTTGTCGATGCCTCGTCCGGCTTCCTGTCAAAATTCAGGATGATAGACATGCGGAGTATGTCATCTCATTTCCCGGCGGGAATCGGCCACCGTGTTGTTCTTCTTCGAATCCTCAAATCCGAGGCTGAGGCTGGGCTGGGCTGAGCAGTGAGCTGTCCATTCGGTAAACCTGAGGGTCCGCTTTTTCTGGAGATATTGAAATATTGACTCCGTAATATTAATTGGTATTTTGGGTCCCATGCACGAGCCAGGAACTTCCGTTCGATCTGGACCGTCGACTGACTTTTTATTTACTTATGGTTTGTTTACCTTCAGCATCACTTCGTGAACGGTGAGGTCATGCCGGTGGAACGCGCGCCCGTTCAAAATTTCCTGAACCAAGGCACAGTCCCGTTCGTACGGAGCTCACCATCGATCGAGGATCCTCTCCGATTCTAGAACCCTGGGATTTGGGTTCTAAGCGGCACAACACGGCTTCATGTGAACCTGCAATCTACAGAGTATAGACAGCAAAGTAAGACGTCTGTCCCGTACAAGGCCAAGAGTCTGTCGAATTAACGGGGTGGGTCTAAATCTATCCATCCATGGAATTCCAAGGACGAATATCCAGCGCGGCAGATGCCCACCATCCGAACCATGTCTAGCGTGAAGATATCCAGGAACTCGCGCGAATAGCGATGCGACATTACTCGCCTAGGGTCTTCAAGGTTCAAAACTAGAAATGTGGGCGGCTATGCATTAACCCTAGTTTTCCCCGGTCTGCATCCATCCATATCTTGCTCGAAGTCATCAGCCGACCGTCAAACTCGCATGCGTTGTGTTTGTTGCACCGTCCCACCACAGCTGTTGACTGCTACAGTTTTTCCACTGGACCCCAAGGTTTTGTGCCTTACATTTCGGAGAGCATATAAATTTGCATCGCCCCCTTATTCCGAGCCCTCGTTCCTGTGCCTGTGGCACGACCGAATGCTTGACGCTGACAGACACGTTCCGTCCAGTGGTGACGGACAAGGCTGACCCCGAGTCTTACCTGCAGGCATTAAGACCACCACCATATTACTCCGATTAGAGGACCTGAGCCGGCCATAAATCACGGGAAATAATGCTTGCATCACGACCCATAAATAGTACATCCCGCATAAGTCTAAAATCAATCAGGTCTAGAGTATATACAGCTCAGCATTTCCATTTTTGTCGGCTTTTCGATACTATAATTCAGGATCCGACGGGAGATTCTCACACTAGCTGAGGCTGAGTCTATGGTCTAGATATTAAACATGGGGGGCCGTTTACAAAGACCAACGGTTGCAGGCACCTACTTATCTATTCAAGGCTTTCAGCAGCAACTTCGTCAGCACGGCACAACCCTTGTTCTTGGCTGATTCTGCATGTCATGCTCGAGATGCAGGACAGATAATGTACCTGCTGCACTCATGATGTGAAAATGGGGCAATGCACCGCTTCGTAGGTACTTGCTTAGCCGTGCTGATTGTTTGTTGGTATACATATGTAGATGGATGGGATTTCTGCAGTTTATTCCGTTAGACTTTACTTTTTTTCGTCTTTCTTTTGTACTGCTCATTTAGGTACTGAGTATGTACGGATACACAACAATTCACATCACTATCCTAGATACTTTATCAGCAATATATAATACAATCAAACTAGCCATGCACACCTCTACACTCTCTTCCCAATTCCTAATATCTATCCTTCTCACCACCTCTCTCGCCTTCCCTCTCACAACATCCTCACCAACCACGATACCAACCTGCTATCATCCCAACGGCACCCTGGAAACAGACTCCAGCTATCACTCATGTTCTCAAACCCCCGGCACAATAGGCATGTGCTGCGCAGCTTCCGACGTGTGTCTCGAGAACGGCCTTTGTCAGAGCACCCTGGAGACACAAGATCGCGAGGGAGAGAAGACGACGCAGTATGCTTATCGCCGAGGGTATTGTACGAGCCGGGATTGGGAGGGAGGCGGGTGTTTGGGGGTTTGTGTTGATGGAAAGGTATGTCTATGTTTGACTTATTTGTTTGGGATTGTCTACCGAGAGTACCTATCTGTATACATCATCACGATAAGTATACATGAACGGACTAGTAGGCCTATGGGTATATCCTGGTAACAATACTCATTGACTGACCTTTGTCTGATAGGATTCAAGCACATCATCCATCATGGCTCCCTGCAACAACACCTCCAACTCGACGACCTGGTGCTGCGGCAACACCACCGACTGCTGCGGTACTCCAGACGCTATCACCATTGCGCCGGTTCTGGGAGAACATACCAACATCCCTACCTCGACATCATATACATCTTCATATTCGTCATCTACATCTATAATGACACTCACCTCAGAACCAATTTCATCGGCATCCACCTCCACCTCCACAACAATACCCTCAACTACAACTTCTAAGCCATCAACATCAACAACACAAACCAACTCCCCCTCCCAAGCATCACCACCAGAAAAACTCCCCGGTCTCTCGAACGGCACAAAAGCAGGTATAAGCGTCGGCGTCAGCGTCGCCGTTCTGCTTATCTTCGTGGCAGCGACGATTCTTGTACGTCGTCTTCGAAGACCAAAGGTTGTGGTGGAACGGGAGTTTGTGAGTTCGGTGGCGCTGACGCCGACGCCTACACCGATGCCGATGTCTAGGTTGAGGGATTCGGGGAGGGAGGTGCTTTATGGGCGGGGAGGTGGAAGTGGGAAAGGGGCCCATATAAGGGAGGAAGGAATTAGTGTCGAGGGGTGAGAGGATGTTTAGGTGATATATCTATGTTCAAGATGTTTATGAGGTACGATATGTTATGATATGAAATGATATGACGTGATGGTCAACTTCGTGCTTTTTGATAACGGGGCCGGTGTTCAATCTTAGGAAGTATATATACATCAGCATCTATAGGTTATCTACATCGCGGCGCCTAGATGTAAGTTATCTTGCGATGATAGTCATGCAAGTGGAATCTATAACTCGAGCAAACAGATGATAACAGCTATTTACAACTCATTTTCCAGCTACAACAGCTCATCTCCACATCATTGTTACCAGATTATGTACCGATCTGAGATTCTGTTCTATTTCGACATCTCAACACCATAGATCTCATCGGTGTCTTAAGACATGTCATCTCTCACACCATGTTATATCCTCCTAACTAAACCAATCCAACCCAGCAATATTCATCATGTATTCAAAATGTTTCCCCCTCGACCACCAAACAAGCAAGCCCATTAGAACCGGTTAAGGTACCCTCACGCCGTAGCATACTTCCTCGTCCAATCCCTCGCGATCTCATCATACCGGGCCCGATCATTCTTATACTGTTCGGCGATCCGCCCCTCGACCGCATCATCAGGCATGGGTTCCGCGAGCAACTGGCGCGCGAACTCCAGCACCGCGGCGATGCGCGAGCTCGGTTTCCATTCGTCTGACTTGAGCATTCCCAGGCACATGCTCCCTTTCTCGTCGTTAGTCACGTTGGGGTGGTAGATTTTCGTTCCGAAGGATACGGCGGGCGGTTTGAAGGGGTATTCTGTTGGGAGGCTGAGTTTCATGAGGAAGCGGCCTTTCTGGATATAGGAAATGAGGTGGTTAGCTGGAATTTGTAGGGACATAGGGAGAGAAGAGAGAAAAAGGGAGAGAGGGAGAGAGGGAGATTGGGTTGAGGTGCTCGTACGTGGTATGGTGACCCCTCAGGTCCTTCCATGTAGACCTTCCATTCATAGATGTTCGATTCATCGACGAGCTCGACGGAGATGCCGTCGGGAGGGGATTCGGTGAGCTCAGCTAGCTCCTGGGGTTTGGGACATTGGTGTCGTTAGCTATATGCGCCCCTCATATTCTTTGGTGGGGATGAGGGGGAGGCGAATTGTTCTCAAGAGCGCACACATACCTTGGCGATTCGCTTCTGACTCCCCATTTTGATATGTTAGAGAAACGACCTCTAATAAAATACCAGGGTATATCACAAAAGATGTTCGTTAAGAAAAATAAGGGGTAGTCGATAGAAAGAGAGAGGGGGATGGCGGAGATCTAGGAACCGGAGAGGGAGGGGTTTTCCAGGAGTGAAAGACCAAACCGGGCTCGACTCATTGGCCAGCGTAGGGGAAACCTGTCACAGAAAAATATGCAGGGGCACGAGCGCTAGGAGAGTCATGGAGCTAGTCCGATTGACTAGTAGAGAGTTATAATGGCGAAGGTCAGGAGCAAAGAAAGCAGGAGTCATAATGGCTGCTTTCAACAAAGCGGCGGGGCGGCGGATCAGGCGGGGCGGAGTTGGAGGGTCGACGTCAGTTCGCTCGCTACAACTTACGGGGGGCTGTACAGAGTACCCAGAGTAGAGTATGGCTGTGTTTTACGGTCTACCAGTGGACAACATGGCCCAGTGTCGAAAATCACCAAGAATTCGATTAAACCACGCCTTACAGTCAACGCCCTAGGGCGCCTCTTGACTACTCCCGTTGTAACATCACCATCAACCCCATAATCCCCAGCAGCACCGTCTTCAACCACGGATGCTCGCTGAGCATGATCGTCACGTATCCCACCATAGGAATATACCCTCGCACGCTGCCCACAATGTCCTCCTCGCGGTTCAGGTAGTCCTGCCCGGGCGCATACAGCTCGGTATCGTCGGCGATGTTGTTGTCGCCCTTGGTGAGAAGCATATTGTTCGGCGGGGGAGAAGATCTGGAATCATGGAGTAGGACATCGGTTAGCCTTAGCCTTGTCTTTTGTCTGTCGGGGAGGGGGGATAGGCCCCTAGAGAAACTACTCCCCAGCAAGGTATCGCAAATAAACAACGGTGAAAACTTACACAGAGATCTCCTTCACCTTCTTCGCCTTTCCCTCCACCTCTGGATATGTGCGCACAACGCGATGCACGATCGGGATATCCTTTCCTTTCACGTTGTAGACCACGATCTCACCGAGTTCGGCCCGGGGGCTGCGATTCCACAGGAATAGAAGATCGCCTCGCTGGAAGGCGGGCTCCATAGAACCTGACAGGACGACCTATTGAGCGACATCAGTTAGTATGATACCTTGGGAATCGGAACAGACAGGGTAGCTCGCTAGCATACCACAATGGGGGAGCTGGACGCGGTAAACACCGAAAGACCCTTCCAGAGCATAAAGGCCGTAGACAGGACCAGTGCGAAATTGAGGACTTGCGCGAGCGATTGCCGCGGATTCCCTAGAGATGACAGCATGGCGAGGAGGGAGGTAGGTAGCTATTGTCGTTGATGTCGTGAAGGAACGGGGAGGATTTGACGCGATCGACGATGCCGGGAGAAAGAGCTTGAATGGATGGGTCGCGTGGCGACCGCTAGCGAGACCAGATAATTATCAATGCGGTCTGATGCTCTGGAAGATACTGGTGCGGAGGAGAGGTCAACAGAGTCGCAGGGCTGGTGGGTCGTGGACGGTGGAATTGAACGAGGTGGCCTCTGGAAGGGGAAATCTTGTCTGCCCCAGGCATCCCGCCATTGGCCGCTTTTCTACTTTCTTGACCATAAGTCCATAACATGACTTGGAATTTCCCCATTGTATGATAAATCATATATTCTATAAATAACATGGAAGCGAAGAATTTGCTCTGTCATAAAGCAAAAAAAAGAAAGAAACCAAATTGACACCAAGTTATCCACGCAGCACGCCGTTCTATACATTCGCCCCCGGTCGAGCACTCTGTGTCTCATCAATCTCCCAGAATTTCTGGGGCTTCTCGCGCCTTGTAATAAGACCAACCACATCAAACGGATCAAAGAAAGTCACAATGGCAGGACGAGGGTCCTCGTATCCTGGTCCTTCAATTTCGGTCACCCCGTCCTTTGCCAGGTAGATCTTGTTGCATCGAGGAAGCCACCGCATGGGATGGAGGACATTCAACAAGGAGGTATTGCTATACATTACCACGGTCTCGAAGACCCAAAAAAACCACTCCTGCTTGATGAGCGGGCTCAGGTCATTAATATTGCTAGTATTCAAACTAGCCGCAGTGAAGTACTCGACGGTCCGGAAGATGGTGCGCACGGTGATGAGAATGCAGCTGCAAAACAGTACATGGAGGGCCCGTTTCACTTTGGTATTCAAGACGCCGCCTCGAGAGCAGTTGTAATAGAACCTCGTAGCCAGGGCCATGAACCCGACCATTAGGGCAATCTGGAGGATGAGAGCTGCCTTGAGCAGTGCTTTGCCCGTGTTCTGACTGCCTTCCGAATTCGAGGTATTGGCCACCAAGGAAGCCCCGTTGGCCGTGAGGACCTCGATGAGGATGCCCATGGCAATGAATGTGGTGAACACACGCCCTGGGTGAATAGGTGAGTGATAGGGGATGTAGTAAAGGATGCGACCCAGGATGAAGAAGTTGGCTCCCTCGTAGACCGGTCTTTGATGGTCAGTTTCGCCCATACATCAGGAAATGGACGTGGAAAATCTCTTACGGCCCTGCGAGTAAGAGAACAGTACTCGAAATGAAGACTCCAAGATCATCCCAGTGCCCAAAAGCTCCGATCGTGCGCATCACGAACCCTGCCGTGAAAAGCAGCGCAGACCACGGTAGTAGGCCTGTCACCTTCCAAGACTTATACTTGCTTTGTAAACCGTTAGTGGCTCTATAGACCATGGAGTACAATTACTTACTGGCATTGGTACCCATGTATAATCCCAGAGATCGCAAAAAGGATAGCAAAGGCAATAGGAGCGCCTTTATTCGGTGCATAGAACCAGAGACTCCCCTCCTCTGTATGCGGTTAGCCGTGGACTGGATATCGATCGATCTTAGGGGGACCAACGGTAATCCGATCGCTTTTCAAATTTCATGATGCTGTGCTGGAAAAAAACACTGATATATATCTAAAGTGCTGGAGCCGAGTAGTGTTCCCGATCAATATCTCGTATATATAAGAAGCCAAGTCTGATTAGATTATGGTCCTTTTCGCGCAGCCATAGCGGTATATATACTTTCAACAACATGATGCTCAGAGGGACTGCAGGCGTTAGCGAACACGAGACTACCGGAAAAGGAAAACGAGATTCCTCTATAGAGAAACCCAAGCCTCTGAAGAACAGAACCCCGTGGAGACAATAAGGCATAGCGGCGAGCTAAATTGCTTGTTCATCGTTTCTCATCGTTGTCTGGGTCCGCAAGGAAGCCCACGATTGGCTGCCACCAACGTAGCGAATACGAGCAAGGCTGTGTCTATGGCACCGCGAACATGGTTCAGGTGCCCGAACAACAGATGATCCAGCCATGGGGCAGAATGCTTCGTATCGAAGAATAAGTCATCATATTCTGCCTCGGACCCCTCATGTAGAAGTCGGCAAGGCGGATTTGGTCTACAAGTGGTGGTGCCTGAGGATAGAGGCAGCAGGCCTGTGTCTCGGTAGAATAGTTACTCCGTACCCGACCCGCGATCGGCAGAATAAGGCTCAAACCAATCTAACCGCTTACGCGATGCTGACCGCTTTCGCTCGATCTGACCTCTTCAGAACTCGATCTCACGAAAAGGCCATGAAGCGCGCTGGCGTAAGTAAATCGACTCTCACGGCCGCAAAGAAGGTGGTAAACTTTCAAAATCCAGGATTTAGATAGGTATTATGATTGTGCACAGAGATTTCAAAATTATTAGAATTCATACTGTTTTTGATAAGGACAGAGGCGGTTAACTGTCCAGGCCTATATAAATATTGTTATTATCTGACTGAGATAAGATCTGTGGTTTTTTTAGGGACTAAGTCACGTGATGTGACAGTATTTGGTATTATTACCTTGTTATTACCGATCCCGGTACGGCGTGTCACATGACCAGCCCCGGATTGCCCGTTGCCCCGACAACGCAGGCTAACCCGGTATGGAAAGCGACCGTAATCAACGTGACTTGACCTCCGTCGCCCTGCTCGGCTCCCTTCCTCTGCTCTCTGTCTTTATCGTCGCCAATCCTCTGCCTTCCCTCGCCATTTCGTGTACGATCAAGCGGCAGAGTACGTCCAGCAACCATGAGTGCAGCAAAGTCCCCTCAGCCGTCCCTTTTCCAGGTGTACCTCCGCCTCCGCCCGCCCATCTCGCAACAGCAGGATGAACACGTTGAAAGGTGCCTGACAATCGATGTCCCGGAGGCAGCCAATCCAGTTGCAGAGAATGGTGATGGGTCTAGGCCAGCTGGTCCCACTCAAATCATTCTTCAGCCTCCGAGTGATGTTCGCAAACGTGCTGTCGAGAAATTCGGCTTCACCAAAGTCTTTGAGGAATCGGCGTCTCAACTGAACGTCTTTGAAGATACCGGACTGGAGTCTATTATCAGAGGCGTCCTGTCGGAGGGAAGAGATGGTCTCATAGCTACACTGGGTGTGACAGGAAGTGGAAAGGTAGGAAGACGACGGGATGCAGTATGGAAAGGATACTAATGTCCTCTCTAGAGTCACACAATTCTTGGATCCAAGACCCAGAAAGGTCTTACCCAAATGAGTCTCGATGTGATCTTCAAGTCCCTGGAATCAACAATCAAGCCGCCCGACAATTCAATCAACCCCATCCTCCTCTCGACCGTCTCCGCATCGGACCCCTGTGAATCCCAGATGTTCACGGCACAGTCGTTCCTGGAAGCCGTGTACGGTGACCCCGCCGATCGTGGCAGGAATTCTCGAGCCCAGACTCCAATGAGCACCGGCAGAGCTAATACACCTATGGCGGTATGCTGCCCATTTCCCCAAACCCCCTCACGCAGGACCCAGACGCTGCGGCCTCGCATCCCCAGAACTCCAACCGACAGCCCCAATGTGCCCTTGAGTCCAGCATATTTTGGTACCCCAAGACGCAACGGCTCCCCTATCAAGAGGGATGCATGGGTACCTGCTCGTCCCCTTACAGCCTTTTCCAATACACGCTCTCAGGTCCCCAGTATGAACTATGCTAAACCATCACGTCCCACTCTAAAGGAACCCACGCCAGCGATTATCTTCCCTCGCCGAAATATGCCCCAACGTCCCAATGCCTTGCCACGAACTCCGGATGTCAGCCACCTCACCGTGGATCTGAACCCTCATTCGGAATACATCGTTTTGGTGTCGATGTACGAAGTTTACAATGACCGCATCTTCGACCTCTTGTCGCCAGCTGTCGTTCCTGGACAAGGAAGCACCATGTCACGCCAAGGCGGAAATGCGCAGAAAGACCGCAGAAGGCCCCTATTCTTCAAGTCCACCGAAGGATCGCCTGACAGAAAGGTTGTCGCAGGTCTGCGCAAAATTGCCTGCGCTACCTATGAAGAGGCGCTGGCCATCTTGGATATCGGTCTGACCGAGCGTAAGGTCACGGGGACTGGCGCTAACAGCGTCAGCTCGCGCAGTCACGGATTCTTCTGTCTTGAAGTCAAGAGAAGAATGCGCAACAAGAGAACCGGCGAAGAGACCTGGATTGGAAACACTCTCACGGTAGCGGATCTTGCTGGTAAGTCCAAGACTTATTTCTCACCAATCAGGTCATCGGTGCTGATAATTGTTTAGGTTCGGAGCGTGCTAGAACCGCAAAGACCGCTGGATCGACTCTTGCTGAAGCGGGTAAGATCAATGAAAGTTTGATGTATCTCGGTCAGTGCTTGCAGATGCAGAGCGATATGCAGGACAAAAACAAGGTATAATCACCCGTCGGCCTTTGCCCTGGATCATCAACTAACTCCAGTAGACTGCGTTGGTGCCATTTAGACAGTGCAAGCTTACCGAGCTGTTATTCTCCAACTCTTTCCCGTCCAACCAAGCATCGGGACCGACCCGTCATCCTCAGAAGGCCATCATGGTAGTGACTGCCGACCCTCTGGGAGACTACAACGCCACGTCACAAATACTACGGTATTCCGCCCTGGCTCGGGAAGTCGCGGTGCCCCGAGTCCCGTCTATCTCCGAGTCTGTGTGTTCCAGCTCCGTCGAATCATACAGGCCATCCGTCAGTGGACGCAATTCGCCCAACATGGCCACCAACGAAGAACTTGAAAGCGCCCTGGCAGAGATCGCTCGTCTCACGAAAGAGAACAGCAACCTTACCATGAAACTCGGCGAGGAAGAAATCATGCGATCCGAGTTGGAGACGAGGCTGAGCGCTAGCGAAGAGCAGTGCCTCGAGATCGAACAAGAGGTGCGCGAAGAGTGCTGGGCCGAAATGGACCAGAGAATGGAAGAGGAGAGAAGAAGGTGGCAGACTGCCCTGGAAGAACAGGTGAGAAAGCCTCCCGTCATGATTGCCACTAAAACTATCTGAGCTGCGACTGACCTACGTATACAGGCCGACCACAACGACGAGCACATCGACAAGAAGATTGAGCTCCTATCGCGAGGCTTCCAAAGTATGATATCCACCTTCCCCATATTCTTCTGACCACGTCTGTACAGCCATTCTAACAAAACCTCATTAGTCCACGAAGACCCGCCATCCTCCCGAAACGACCGCACCGAAGAGCTCGAATACGAGAATGAGCGTCTTCGCATCAAGATCGCTGCCCTCGAGCGCGAACTCACCAGCCAATCCCCGACCAAGAAGTCCAAGGCCAAGAAGCCCCTCGAATCCACCCGCACCAATGCGCTAGGCCGTGAAAGCGATATTGACCATGCCCTGAAGCGAATGGATCAACTGAAGCTGGCTGATAGCATGTTCTCGCCTGCACCGGCATCCACAGGATCTCCGGGCAAGAAGCAGAGAAAGATGGCGACGCGGAGATGGGACTTGGCTCCGGAAGAGGAGATTTAACTTTGCAGTTTTCTACCCTTTTTTTCTTGACTCTTTTGTACAGTATGGGAGGCGTTTTCGGGGATTATTTGGATTCTCAGTGATACCATGTTTCGTTTATGAATTAGCTCTCTTTAATTGAATTGTGAATATTAATTTCTTTTGATTTTAAATTATATATGTGTGAATGGACACCTGCTACCCCATACATATAACCTCGCCTTAACGCCCGTTTTTGTTCTCCGCCGCCGAAAAGAACTATATAGACCCAGACACCTAGGTAGAGGAAAGCAATAGATAACCACGAGATAAACGCCAAGAAAATAAAAGAAATGGAATGCAAAGGAAAGCAACCGATACTGGTAGTGATTAGTACCAGTACCTCCGACAGTTCAATAAATCAAACATCCATAGGTTCAGCTTCCGAGACAAGCTCGCTTGCATCGGGCTGTTCAGTCTCGGGCTCGACGCCGTCCATTTCAACGGTGTCGTCACCTTCTCCTTCGCCTTCTTCCTCTTCTTCACCCTCACCCTCGCCTTCGAGGTCGTGTTCATCTTCACCGTCGCCTTCGCCCTCATTCTCCATGTCAACATCTGCTGCTCCTTCTTCGTCCGCCTCGACATCAGGCTCATCATCTCCCTCGCCTTCTTCACCATCACCTTCTCCCTCTCCATCGTCAACATCATCACCTTCAACCATCGTCTCGCCCTCCCCTTCACCAAGATCCGCATCTCCGACCGGTTCGATCGTGATATCACCGTCGCCGTCCCCTTCGAGCGCAGACATCTCAGACTCCGGATCAAGGGACCCTCGTTCCAGGTTCGGGAACATGAGTTTCCGATCGCTCGCAAGCTTGGATAACTTCTCGTCGTCGATCTCGCTCAGCTCGCTCTCGTCGTCGGCGCTATCGTGCACGCTGTGCGCCATATCGCTCTGCTGGCCGGACGTGGGATCTTCGGCTGTTCCTCTGGTGGCGGTGGCTGGAGCGCGAGCAGCAAGGTCTTTGGACTGTCGAGGAGCGGATGTGATGGAGGAAGAAGCCGGTTCGGTCTGGTGGTGGTTCTGGGAGGGGTCGGAGGATTCGACAGGGGCGGGCGCTTTGCCGGTGGGAAGGCGCGGCGCAAGTTTGCGGTTGACGATAGTTTCGGCGCGCTTTTGGATGTCGCGGCGGGCGATGCCCTTGGTGCGGCCGCGCGGGGCGGGGGCTTCGGATGCAGGGGCGGAGGTTGGGGGAGTTGGGGTTTCGGCAGCGCCGTCACTGCCCATGAGCAGGTGGTCGACTTTCATTTTCTCTTTGTTTTCCTCGTTGGCTTGCTCGAGAACAAGTGACATGTTGACTTCGTAGAGGCGGGAGTAGAGGTCGGCGATGAGGTCTTCGAGGAGGGAGACTTTCATGAGGTTGTTGTTGAGCTTCTTCAGCTCGATGGCGTCCCGGAGTAATTCGAGTAGAGAACCACTTTCGGGAGCGAGTTGTTGGAGATCGTCGAGGCGAGCGGTGTTGAGGACAAATTCCTCCCATCCGATAGGCCTGAAGACACCTTCCTCGTGGCCCTCGCTGATATTGCCTGCTCGGCGGATGACGCGTGCATAGGTGAGGCAGACGTCTTCCCACAATTTAGTATGGTTGATAAAGTCGCCTTGCTTCTTCCGCACTCGACGCAGCAGCTGGTCGAGATTTGCGCGGTCGTTAAGCTGGTCCAGAAGAGCGACGAAGAAATACACATATCGCGTGGTGTATACGAAATGTCTACCCGGACGCTCGTACTCGGGCTTCCAAACTTGTATAGTCATGGTCTTGGTGAAAATCTGCTGCGTGAGTTCGCCCTTGGCCCTAGCGGCAGATTCGGCATCTTTGCTATCATCGTATATGATATGGGCAGCCTACTGAAGGTTAACATATGCTCGAGGGAGACCATTAGAAAAGAAGCTGCAAGCTGTGCGTACCCTGAGAGCCATGCGGTGATGCCAATTCGATTTATCCGCATGTCGCAGATTCCGAATAACTGCAAGGGTGTATGTCTTCCACGAGGCTTCGTCCTCGGGAGGTTGGACCTTCCGAGCCCACGGAGTGGCTAGAAGGGTCTTGCTGCCCTCAGCCGCCTGAAAAGAGTTAGTTTTGGACCAGGTAAGCCGGAGAGTAGTTCGTACCGTCAATGTGCCCCTGTGAACGAGTTTATGGACGATGGAAACCAGCTTGAAGTGAGGCTCGAAAATAGGCTCTGCACGTGAGTCCTTCTTCTGGGGAAGTGCATCGATGGCATCCAGCAGCGAGTCCAACAGATCATCCAGGCTAATTGACTTGGCTCCTCCTCTAACGGTCTCGTCGGCGCTGAACATCTTCCAGAGACATTTAGCATACATATAGTGGGTCCTATATCTGTTAGTATTCACATTGCTGGTTCAGAAACTGAATGAAACTTACATCCAACTCTTGGGTTTGTCGACAATCGCGCGTTTGAGAAGATAGCTGGCCAAATTCCAGACAGAATACAGTCTCATCTCTTTAAAGGGTTGTGTTTCGTACATCTGTTGATTTTCTTCTCGGTTATAATGTCGGGTGAAATCACTGAGACTGAAGGCCCCCATAGACAAAGGTGCTCGCGAGGAAGAGTATAGTCGGATCCCAAAATCAGTATAGAGCTCAGACAGAAGTGCTCTTGTTTCTGGTGTTGGTTCCGCATTTCTAATGGCAGTCGAAACAGCCATAGCATAACAATGAATCGCGTAGCGCTGCCACGTTACCAGTTCTGTGCGATTGTTGTTGATCTTTTCAGCGGACCAGGTGATGTCTTCTTCGACTTTCGAGTCGTATGTTTGGGCTAGTCGATACCAGGTTTCCCATCTTGCGGTCCCGTGCTCTAGGTCTGACCGGAACCAGCTCACAGCCTCGTCAAGGTCATTGGTGGGCACCGGGTTTAGGCGCTTCTGGGAACGAAACTTGGTGAGAGCAGTGTATCCCAAGAGGAAATACCATCCATTCCGTGCGATGACTGCACTTTCGATGGAAAGTGGAATAGGAAGCAACGTAAGATCTTCCACTCCCCGTACCGAACGGAATATTCCTGATGGATTCAGCGGGGACTTGAGATAGGTTGTCAAGATGCGCTTGTTATAGTTCAAAGGCCCGGAAGATCTCGTGTTGCCAATGGCCTGCTGCATCTTTTCAATGGTATGTTTAAGCTCCGACTTTGACAGATCTTTGATGTTCATCTTCTTGGCTTGCTTCATGACAAAATCAATCATCATTATGGCCGTAGCTCTATCGAGTTTCTCAGGTGGGCACCCATGGTCAAGTAGGTAATTGTCCACTGTCGACAGTTTGATGCCATGGATGTCGTAAAGAACCTGGCAGATATCCAATTCGTAGTCTTCTTTATCATCGGGAGCGAGCAGCTCAGACTTCATCAGCTTCAGGAATTCCTTGTGGGAACGTTTGCACATTTTTCGGATACCAAGAGCGTGATGCACGGCACGGAGGTAATGAATGCAGTCATCAAGGGGCGTGCCAAAGATGTCTTTGTTCTGCGCAATAGCTTCCTTGAGAAGGGTATACTGTAAGATCCAGCAACGAACATACGTTTCTCGGAGCCTGTCCTTGAAACTTTCCAATGACTTGGCTAGAGAGCCGCGCAACTCAGGACGAGAAGTCTGGCCAACGCGCACCGAATCTTCATACAAAATGAGGCCATGAAGAAGTTTCGTCAAGAGGGCTATGGCGGACATTGATGATTTCAGGTGATCCATGTCAAAGCAATCGTATGCCTTGGCTGGGTCTCGCAAAACCATCGTTACAGTCTTGGTCAGAATGCCATCGAACATTTTGAGCCATCGGAGCAGAGTCACCTGACGGTGCTCACTGGGTTCTTGAAGATGCGCTGAGCTCCAAAGCTCCTTTATGATTACCTCGATACTCCTCAAGAAGCAAGATACTACCTTGGGAGGATAGTCAATGTCGGTGTAAGCGACCTGTAGTCGCCTCCAGAGGAAAAGCCTTAAGGTGGCATCGCCTCGGTCCAGGAAAGACCCCATTTCTTGAAGTTGTGAGCTCGGTCCGGCAAGCTCCTGGCCCCCTGAACTGTCTTCCTCCGTAAAACCAACAGAAGAAGGCTCTAAAAGTGGCTCTATGGTTTCAATGATGTCCACAGGATCTCTTGAATTGGGACTAAAGATTTTCAAGAAAAAGTCCATCGATTTCAGTTTCGAGATCTCTTGGTCAATGATCTCGAGGGAGATTTCCGGCATCGCGGCATTGTTAACCAAGCCAATCAATGGATTGTCCAAACATTCGAGCAAGCGTTGAAGCTCCTCGAGGCAAAGCAATATGTGCTCCCGGTGGGCATCAGTTGTCATGTTTGAATGGAATGTCGACGTCCAGATGTGACGTAGAAGCATCGACTTTTGGTGACCTCCTGAAGGCGCATGGTCCATGAAATGCGTCAACGCAGTTCGGGCCAGAGAGCACCACCTGTCCAGACGATCGCGTTGCAGGATCCTTCCTCCGGTATTCACCTCACTGTTTGGGTTATTGATCGACGAATAAATGTCAAGCTGGAGCTCGAATATCGTCTCAATCATTTCCAAATGAGCGAAGTGATTTGAGGTGTACGTAAATTGGGATCCAACAGCAGTGCTGATGATCTGACGCTCAAGGTCTTGAACATGGTCCAGCATTCTTTTATAAATGTATTCGTCCTCGCTTAGCAGAACTTGAACGACCGTCTCTTTCAAATCACTTGGCCATTGAAATAGCGTGTATGTCGATTTCATGACAGGAAAGCTAGGCGCATCAGGAGCATGCGCCGCAGGGAAGTTTCCATACTCTGGCATCAGAAGGCATTTGAGCCAATCAAAGGCTACATTGTGGATATTGAAGCTCCCATCATTGACAATATTGAGTAGATGAATTAGTTCTTCAACCCCGGCAAGGACCTGCTTGATTCCTAGTTTCCGCGCAGATTTCCTTGAATGCTCGAGGAAAACTGCCAGCCCCGATTTGCCCATGCCTTGTATGTCTCGAAAGGCCGAAAAATAGTCTCCTTGCAAAACTGCCTGGGCTTTCCCTTCATCCCAGTGTTTCAGGGCGTTTATGAGATCTTGATGCAGCGAGCATTCACTTTCGTTGGCTCCTGAAATCGGCGAATCCTTGTCGTCATTGAGAGATGAAAGGCATTTCCGCAGCTCCTCGATCCCTGCCAGATCTTCGATTCCAATTTTAGACAACAATGAATTTGTCGTGTTAAACACCCACTCATCAGCTTGAGTGTAAATTTCTAGTTGATCCTCGTAGTACTTGGACTGGTCAAAGACAATGTCCTCAGCTTGCAACGATGCTTCCGCATTCGATTCCCTGAGGCGTGTTCTTCTGCTTTTGGCCCTGATACGTTCCGCCTGGTCTTCGGTGATGGCTGAAGCAGAGGAGCGCTTCCTAGGCGCGCTAGACGATTTGATCTCTATCTCATCAGCGTTCGTATGCTCCGGTCGATTTTGTATTTCAGGGCTATGCGATGACTGCACTTCAAGCGACTCCATCAGCTGTTTTTCTGCCCGCTGGTCGATGGATGAATGGTCGTCAGTTTGTTCATCAGGGGCCTCCAATTTGACAGGGGCAGTGTTTTGAGCTGCGCTTCGATCGTCGCCTTCTGCGACGTGGGCGTCTTTCCTGCTATCAGCATCAACCTCATCTCGCGATTTTGATGACTGATCCTGGGCTGACGATTCTCGAGTGGTAATAGCTTTCATCTCGGGGCTGAGGGCGGGCAGGGAGAAGATGATTCGTGAGCCAGTAGGAACGTCATCGCCTTGCACCTCGTCGCCGTGAACTCGCAGGATGGCCTTTCCAACGGCGGCCCACGTTAGGACAGAGAGCTTGACCTCATGATCAGGAAGACGTGATCGAAGAGGGTGCTTCGTTGGGTCGGCATTCTGTAGGGTGTTCGGCAGGGCCGGAAGGTACGGATAAGGGTCACTTTGAGGTTTGAGGAACTTGAGCAGGGTCTTCTTCGGTTTCCTTAGCGGTACTTGTGCTGCGGATATTCTGTCTTCCAATGACAACAGCGTTTCCCGGAGATGCTCCTCCGTTAAGGTTTCCTCCAAGCCTAATTGCTCAGCCCGCACCTCTAAGCGATTCTCATCGTCCGCCAACACACTCTCCAGGCAGTACCGAGCTAGCCGGTAGCTCTGCAAAGCACTGCACAATCTTGCGCTTTGCCTCCAGAGATTGAGGTCGGTATCGTCCCGCTCCAGGGCCTCGGCGAAGGAGCTTAACGCTTTGTTGACGCGGTCGGCAATCGTGGCCGATATCTCCTGGGCCGACTCATCAGAGTGCGAGGCATCCTCGATAGACGCCCGCAGCGAATCCAAAGTATACTGTCCGTGGTTTTTATACGAGAGATAGATGGTCTGCATCAACGTGCTGGATGTCGAATCGTTGATATCGAATTCCACTAGTGGCTCCGCAGCAGTATCCCCCGCGATCTCGTCCCCTCCAAGCTGGAGATCCGTATCCTGCAGCGCATTTCTTTTGGAGTCAGAGAGGGATTCGGGGTACTTGAATATTTCGGAGTTTAAGAGCGCATCGTAAGCTTCGGCGGCTTCGTCGTAGAACGGAGGGCCTTGGGAGTGGAGTTTCAAGGCATTCTGGTATAGTTTGAGGGCCTCCTCGATCTGGATTTCTTTGGTATCGTCAACCTCCTCCTCGATGGCCTCGTCCGGCTCGATGTTCAATGCGACCCAGCTCGACATTGCGCAGGGTTATTTCGGCCTCGAAAGGGTCCTGGAGGGCGGGGAGGAACCGGGCGCAATGAGCACCATGTCAGGAGGGATGGAAATGGGCGAGTGGGCGTCGCGGCATAGACCTGATAGACGTAGGGTGGTGGATGGCAGAAACCTGAAGCTCCCGTCACGCGTTCCCCCGTTGCCCGATCGAGGCAAGGCTGGTGCCTGAGGACTCGGCCCAGGCACTGATCGCCGGCCGTGACGACGACTGGGCCTGGAAACCCCAAACGGCTCTCGCTTTCGGCGCCATCTGTCCTCTCCCAGTTCGAATTGTCCCGTGAGCTGCCTCCTGCGCTTACTGTCTTGCCCTTTCTTCTGTCACCCCCTCACGTCTTGTCTGCGCTCCTGCAAGCGCCATGGTTGCGCCAGCTGTCCCCGAGTAGGTGTCTCTCTCCCCTCGCTTAACACAACAACATTTGACGGCACCTTCTTTCCACTGTTTGCGGGCTAGCCTAATCCAATTGTGTCTATAGAATCTACGAGGAGGATGAGATCTATGCCGCTGTCGATGCGCGCACCGAGTCCCTGCAGAACCTGCGAGAACTAGGACCCCCGGACTTGGTGTATTTGGTCAAACAACCCAAGACCAACTCCACTCGCCAGGTACGTGACTACAAGGTTTAGTGGCTTTGGAAGGCTATAACCAGCATATGAGATCACATTCAGAATTGATCTGGAGAAAGTAAACTGACAGATGTGCGATGGACACAGACCGGTGTTTATCACCATGTCACCGGCATCGACGCCTCCTCCTCCGCCAGTTTAGCCGCCTATGTAAATACGCTGACCTTCTCTCCTCTTGATAAAACACACAAAGTGGTATCGGGGACCTACTGGTCAGGAATCCCGACTCGAGTTGCCTTTTCGGTGCCCATGATTGACGAATGCGCAGTTGCTACAATGCCTTCTCCCACCTGGATATGCGAGTCGACGTGAAGATCCCCGGAAGTCTGGAAAGTTACTGCATCGATGAGCGCGGCGACAAGCGCGTCGCGACAGAAGCACTGTGGTTGGAGACATTCCTTTGCGGGGTCCTCCGGGCCTATTCCTATGCGGATGACGGCAGCGGTGATTCGATCAGGAAGATTGTTGGAGTTCGTCGGTTCAACCCGGTCACAAACACAGAGATGGAACACAAGTTCTTGGATGCGGCTGAACGCCTGTTCTTCTTGGGTGAGTCCTATCTGAACTCAATTGCGATGTGTATACTGACGGCGGATTCACAGGCCGGCAGCTCAGCTCCGACCCCGAGACGCAGGTTCCGAACACGGTCAGCAACCACCTCACAGCCGGCCTTTTGAAATACATCCAGACGACGGGACGCTATACATCGGGAATCAATCTTTTCGAGAAGCTTCGGACGCGCGATGTCGAGGTCTCTTCGTTGTTGACTCGGGTTCTCATAATGGCGGATGAGGAAGTACAAGCGGTGCGGTTGATGTACGATGCCCTGCAGGACGTTCCCATGGACTATTCCTTGCTTGATTGCCAGGCCACTTTCTGTCAGGAGAAAGGCGAAGGCGAAATGGCATTGGAGTGTGCCAAGCGCGCCGTGACTGCTGCGCCCAGCGAGTTCAGCACGTGGGCGCGACTGGGAGATGTCTACGTCGGCCTTGAACAGTGGGATCTGGCGCTTTTGACGCTCAACTCGTGTCCCATGTTCACCTATCAGGACAAAGATAGCCCTCGCATGCCCCAACCGGCGCGCATCATGCTCCCGATTCTTGCCGAAAGTATGCTCGATGAAATCGATGAGGGCCAGCCTAGACAAGGAGATCCCCATGACTACGTCCACCCCTCACTACGTAGATTGCATGCCGCCGCATACCAGGGTACCTTCTTGAAGGCCTACAACCTCCTGACCAAGGTCGCCGCCGCCATCGGATGGGATCAGCTTCTCAAGATTCGCAGCGAAGTGTTTGTGATGGAGGAGGAATACCGGGTCGAACGACAGCACTCCGTCTCGAAGCCGGATGCCTCTTCACTAGCCGAGACCAATGGAGACGGAGAACATGAAACGGAGTCGACCGATGCAGATGACCAAGCGTCGACCAACGGGACGAACGATCAACAAGAGTCCGCCCATTCCATCGAGAGACCCGAACAAACGGTAGCATCGGCAGTGGTCAAATCAGGAAACGAAGACGTGAGTCCCCCATGCAGACTGAACACACCTCACGCCTCTACCATTCTGCCTCCTGTCCAGCCCCCCCCCTCCTCTATCTCAGACTAACCGAACATCCAGCCCGACCCGTCACACTCGTCCTACGCGCAATTCCGCAATAAGCGCCTGTGCGAGAGATGGCTCGACAACCTCTTCATGGTCCTCTACGAGGACCTCCGCATCTACACCATCTGGCGCACGGAGATGGCCCAATTCCGCCAACAATCCATCGAGTACAAGAAGTCTGCCACCGAATGGGAGATCCTCGGCGAACTGGCCGAACGACTGCACCACTTCGACGAGGCCATCGAGGCTTACGAGCAGTGTCTGACCGTTCGGTTCTCGCCCAAGGCCATGCGCGGCCTTCTCAAACTTTACGAGAAGAAGAACGATACCCGAGGCATGCTGGGTGCTCTGATCCGTCTCATTGCATGGCAATACCGTTGGTACTCGGAGGTATGTCTTTCCTGATACCCACCCCTAAGACAATCCATACCCTGTCCCCTCATAAAAAGGTTCAAATACTAACCATCAACCGTACGGGTAGTTCTCCCCCAATCTCCTCTACCTCATCCGCAAACTCATCGAAGATGAAGGCGCCGTCAAGGTGCGCAGCATCGTCCAGGCCACGAATCTGCCGCAGCCCGTTCTGGACCTCACGCATCAATACTGCCAGCTCTGTGCGACGTTTCGCAGCAGCGGCAGTGACGGTTAAGTAGCTGGATTTGTCGAGCTAAGTTACGTTACGTTTAATGTTAGGCAGCGACGTGGACCAGCCCAAGAGGTTTTGTGAAAAAGAAGAAAAGAAACAATAAAAAAAGGAAAGGGAGAAAAGTGATGACATACCATTATCGTCGGAAATTGCAATTGCAAATGCACATGTAATAGATTTATTCAGGCCGGGGCCCAGAGGAGGAAGGCACGATGCTAAGCAGTAGCAGTTATAGGGGGTGATCTCTTTTTCTTTTTATATTCTCACCTTTTTTATGTGTCTATTTTATTTTCATATTATTACGATTACATTATTACTTTATGATTCAACTCTTTCAGTTTCATCTGTCGGGATCATGCGTAGCTAGTTTTTAGCCCTTTCTTAATTGTGGCACTTCAAGTACGTGGCCAGCCCAGGAGTGAGGGTGTTGTACTCCTTGAATGTTCTTGCGATTGCTGGGTTCCGTTACAGAGAATTGTACAGGCTTTGTGCCTAGAGTATTCCAATGTTGCACGAATGAAGAACGTAGCACAGGTTGATTCCACGGGACTACCTACTAGTATCTATAGGCAAGAGCTCCTGATACAGACATTACTCAAAGACATGAATACACGAGGCCAAAAAGAACAAACAGATATCCACCACCTAGATTGAGGATATTGATTAAACAGATTGCACCATTAATTACTCTTCCTCGTCACCGTCGCCAATATCAACCTTGGGTTCTTTGGGAACGGTATCGCCCTTGGCGGCAGCGGCAGCGGCAGCAGGACCGCTTTTCTTGGCCGTATCAGCAGGAGCTTCCTCTTCTTCAGCTTCAGCTTCAGCAGGCTCTTCCTCTTCATCTCCATCGTCTTCTCCTTCCTCTTCTTCGGCGCCGTTCTTGTCGGCATCTTTGCCGTTTTGTTCTGCCTTTTCTTCTGCGCCCTCTTCCTCTTCAGGTGCAGGGGCGGTCTTGCGTTTCTTAGGAGCAGGAGCTATAGAAAGGTTGGATGTTAGATATTATCTTGATACGTAGACCAAACCGACGTAATGGATCAAGTAGTTCTTACCTTTCTCCTGAGGAGCCTCCTCTTCTCCTTCTTCTCCTTCGCCTTCTTCTTCCTCATCTATCTCCTCGTCACTGCCGCCCGCATCGCTACCGAGGTCGGATTCCTCATACCTGTGACGAGAACTAGTCAGCAAATGTAAAAGACATAAGGCCAGAGAACAAGGATTTGATGAGGTTCTGGAAGATGCCAACGCCAATGACGTAACAACGTTCCAGGTGTATAGAAGGCGGATCGCAACCAGGCGCATAATCCGAAAAAGCTATGCGACTCGAGGGAAGGGTAATCTGAAGGCAAAAAACGATGAAGGAAGGGAGGCGACAATGTTGTTGAAGGGTAATTCCATGAGGCGCATGGCGAAGTATGAGCGAGACAAGGGTGTGTTAAGAACAACTTACTCCTCTTCTTCTTCACTCTCGTCGCTAGGAAGTGCCTGAAGCTCTTCCTCTTCCTCGGCCTCTTGCTTTCTCTTACGGGTAGACATGGTGATTTGAGAGAGATCTAAGAGAAAGTAGGGGAAAATATAGACACTGCGCACTTATGCGACACAAGACTGAGTCAATGGGCGCAAAATGAGACGAGATACGGCAATTATAAGTAAAAGCCCTAGAGCAGAAGGCGCAATGGGGAAGAATTAAGAATTAGGAGGAAAAAGAGGTGGGTGGGAGGGAAAGAATGGAGGAGGAGAGAGGGAAAAAGCGCATCACAGGAAGGCAGGCAGCCCCGACGACGGAAGGGAGGAGGCTAGGGAGCTGAAGAGGGGGGAAGCTTCCACTGGTCAGCAATGACCAGAAAACATGGGCCAAAGCCAAAGAAACTGTCGCAACCTGGGGGAGGGCGTCGCCCTAGTATGCCGCTGGAGGTGCGAATAAACTCTCCCAGGCAGCCATGACGAGGATGACGCTGACGATCTTGGTGTTTTCGCTCATCTCGGTTCCATGCTCCGGGGCCGTGCTCCGGGGAAAGGACCAGCTCTTGGGGTTGGGGGCAGACTTAGTAGGCTAGGGACAGGAAGAGGTTAGGAGTCCCTCGCGCGACCATTTTCAGGCCATCGATCATGAAGGGAAGCCGGACGGAAATAAGAGAGCGAGGCCAGAAGAGAGGAAGGAGAAAGAGTCGGCCAGGGATAGAGAGAAAGGCTGATGATAGCGTCGCTCCAAGACTAAGTGCGTGGGAATAATTGGGAATTGGCAAGTGATGATGTCAGCTGGTACCTTAATTTACGGGCCGTCAATTCTGGTAAGAGATTACCAATTTTACCGTACGAGCCGAACGCGGAGACTCCATCCTCCAGGACCCGGTTGCAGAGACAGGGCGAGACGGGGGAAAGGCCGGGGATGAAGCAGTTGGCGAACTTGGCGCCGTCTCAGAGTTCATGGGTTGTGGTCCGTCCGTGAAAATCGAGTCACGTTCGTATGGATAGATGTCGAATCTAAAATCTCACGATGCTTGTCGACTGTCTTTCTAGGGTATCTATCTGTTTCCGTCAAAGAATAAATCGGTCAATGCGCCAAAAACTCGAAATTCGCCATGCTAGGATCAAGCAGATTCTCATCCAGTCCAAACCCGTACGTGCCCACCATGTCGTAAATCAGGTCGGGAGGTGGAAAGCCCTGAGCCATGGCATTCGCCCCCCCAGGTACCTCTCCCCCCGGTCGCTCCACAGGTCCTCCGACAGAGTTACTTCCGGTTTGCCACGAGGTCTCCCAGGAATCAAATCGCTCCAGCATCTTCCCCAGTCCCCGCGCAATGTGTCGCGTGAGGTGTCTCTCGCCGGCCGAAACGCAGTTTAGCAGTTCGATCACCCGTTCCACCAAGACACGCACTTGCCGACCGTCAAGACTTAGATAGGCCGAGTTCCAGTTCACGGCCACCTTGAGAAGGAATACCGCCGAGAAGGTGACCATCGTATGGGTAAAAATAGGAACTCCAACGATGGCATCTCGAATGTCTTGCTCCTCTAACACCATGTTTAGACAAGCCATGGCAGACGAGATGGCAATATTCGCGGACTCCTTGCGGTCCATGGAGAACACGGGAGTATTGGATGGTGACAACGCCCTCAGGGAGAGGGAATTCAGCTGAAACTTGGCAAAATGGTAGTGAAGCACCACTCCTTTCGAGGGGTATGTTCGCACATAAGGACTGTCGGCTAGATTATCCACAAGACGGGCCGGTCAGCTGAAACTGCCATCAAGACAATGTATTGACGGATGCATTTTCTCACTTACCAGATCGTGGTTGCCAGAGAAGTCTCCATTGATCGATGGCAACATTGTATACTCTGAGCTGGCCAAAATCCTCTTCGGTCAAAGCTTGCTCCGTGTCACTCCCAAACATGCGATATGCCTCAGTCAAGATCATGAACAAGGCCACCTGTGCCATGAGCCGGATATCACCGGGGACGACGCTCGGGGATTGCAAGAACGCCTCGTAGTTCTTGATAGCTGCATCCTCATGAATCACCGGCGGGCGCCCATATGCGATACTGAAATGGTGATCGCATACATACAACAGGTACCAGAGCTGTGCCCTCTCGTATTGCTCACTATTGCCTCGCATCATTTTCTGGTGGCTTTGATGAAGACCTAATTCCGTAGCGATGCGCACTGCGTGGCCAGACAGCTTCCAGCTTAGCTCGGATAACCAAAAAGCCCCGATGCAAAGTCCCCGGATGTCGTCAAGGGTATGAGATCTCGTTAGGGACATGCTTGAAACGAGCGAAACATACTCGCTGTAGCAGCGATTTAAAGTTTCCGTTCGATTGGGGATATGTAACGCCGCAACAGTAAGTACGGCGGCAGAGAGCAGGGTCGACGCTCGGCGTACAGAGGTCAGATCGCGATGAACCAGGATTATACCTCCCCATAGGAGCTGATTCATTGTTCTACTGAAATAGGCAAAGAGCTCCTCGGCCTCATGTAGAGCGATCAGTCCTCGCGATATGAAGTCCTCCTCCAGCAGGGTCAGTTTGGGCTGCTGGATGGGGTTATTCCGTAAATTGCGCAGCTTGGTAACCTCATAGAGACTACGCATGGGAGCTGGCACTAGCTCCGGGCTTTGGAGGTCGGGTTCTTGGGAATGCTCTCGCGCCACGTCCATCACTGCTCCGGGACCGTGATGTTCGGCGTGGTTTTGCGCGGGGGGCGGTTCATCGAAGACAAGTGGTTGCTGGGATACGACGGGGCTGGGGTCATTTTGGGGGTCTCCCGACGTGAAAGCCGAAAGATCTTGCAGCCCTGACCGACGGAGGAGGTGAGAGACGGCGGCCTGGAGCTGGTTGATGGTCGCTGTCGCTTGCGTTTTCCACCTAACGGAAAGAATGAGAACGGGGGACCGGAACAATTGCTTGGTGTGAGCTTACACGCCATCGTCATCAACGAACTTTTGCGAAAAGTCGTTTACCACGCATTTGATTCCGCTGCGTAGGCATTTGGTGCAGCTCGCCTCGCCTGGCTTGAACTCGCATCGTATCTTATGACGCTTGCAATCGGCACCTACAGGTTCGTCAGATTTAGTCTGCTACATCCAGATCTCGTCTGTTCCGCCTGAGAACCACCGGGGTTCAACGTACAGGCACGTGCCTTCGAGATCCGTGGCACAGGACTCCGTCCGTCAGGAACGACGGAGGGTCGACGGTCATCTCGTTGCGGAGAATCTAAGCCGGCGTCAGAGGACGACCGCTTCATGATTCTAGCTTCTGATTGATTGTCCAAACGATTCTTGACTAAGAGGGTTCGATGAGTCGGGGGTTCTCCGACTGCCTGCAGCTGGCGTGCGGGCGCAATTGGTGAGGGGGACCAACTTGATGGAGATGGCGTCAGTGCAGTCCAATAATGGAATTTCAAATTGGATTCAGACCCGTTTGGGGGGGGGGGGGGGAATACAGTTCTCGATGAATAGAGAGAAAGGAGAGATAGATGGAATCGCGGGGGAGTGGGGAGAAACAAGAAACAACAAAAATAAACCCCGACCCCGCTTTGGAGGAGATTCTGGACTCATTGCCTGATCTCTCTCTCCCTCTTTGCTGTTCGGAACAAACACCACCAAGCTTACAGTTAGTTCACTTCATTATCTTCGTGAAAGATTAAAAACTATACAATGACCGACTCGATGCTCTAACTCGGTTGATATTTGGCGGAATATTTGTGCTAATCGACCCCTTGTCGATTGCGAGGAATTGATTGCCCCTTATGCCGTCATCCAATCTGCCGAAAAGAGGATTCATATACTAGCTAACAGTCGCTCGATCTTTCCAGCGAACAGGCGAGCAAACAATGGAGTTTTAACTCGCCCTCTTGCCTCCACACCGGCTTAAGTCCGCGCGTGCCTGAAAGTCTCGTGAAAGTCTCGGACTAAATGCGATTGCGGATGCCCCACCGCGAACTACATCATCCCCTCGTCACGTCAACACTCTTAAGACAGGTCGACTTTTCTTTTTGAACCTTCAATTGAATTTCGCATTCGATATGAACATCCTCATCACCGGCGGCGCCGGCTTCATCGGCCAATTGCTAGCAAAAGAGCTCCTCAACGACCCCTCCTACAATGTCATTCTAACCGACATCAACGAGCCCCCAATTCCAAAGGGAGTTAAATACCCTCAGAATGCTCGCGCCGTGACCACAGACCTCCTCAGCGACGCAGACACGGTGGTGGTTAAATCGCTAGACGCCGTGTACGCTTTTCACGGCATCATGTCGTCCGGCTCCGAAGCCAACTTCGACCTCGGCATGAGCGTGAACGTAGACGCCACACGGAACCTTCTCGAGAGCCTCCGCAAAACATGTCCCGGAGTCCGAGTCATCTATTCCTCCAGTCAAGCTGTCTACGGCCAACCGCTGCCCGAAATAGTAACCGACAGCGTCATCCCGACACCTCAATCGTCCTACGGCGCCGAGAAGATCATCTGCGAGACCCTCGTCAACGAGTACACGCGACGCGGCTTTATCACCGGATTTACTCTTCGGTTCCCCACGATCTCCGTCCGACCGGGTCAGCCTACCGCGGCTGCCTCTTCGTTTCTGTCGGGTATGATCCGCGAACCGCTGGATGGAGTGGAGTGCGTGATTCCGGTGGAGGATCGGTCATTCAAGTCGTGGTTGTGTTCGCCGCGGACGCTTGTGCATAACCTGATCCTCACGTTGACGTTGTCGGCGGATGCGGTGCCCCCTCATATTCGCCAGATCAATGTCCCGGGAATCTGTGTCACGATCCAGGAAATGATGGATGCTTTGGAAGCGGTCGGAGAGAGGGATAAGCTCGCTTATCTCAAGGAGAAGGAGGATCCCGCTCTTAAGGCTATTCTGGATTCGTGGCCGACTCGATTCGATAACACACAGGCGATATCTTTGGGCTTTAAACGAGACGAATCTTTTGAGCAGGCTGTTAGGGATTATCAGTTGGAAGTCGCGCAATAAGTTGGAGGTACATTACTGGTTCATCATTCTTTAGTTGTACATATGATAGCTTCCTTGACTTGGTTGCCCCAGATAGAGCAGGCAGTGTCTCGACAAACTTAAATAACGCACGATCAACCAGAAGATATTCATAGTACAGAAAATATACCCATTCCACATCATACAAGCACATATTACCCACACCCTATAACAACCAAAAAAGTCAACTTATACCCAGCAATCCCCATCATTTCCACCTCCTAAATTACTTCCAAACCTGCACTAACTTAGCAAACGTCGCAATAACTATCAAAGGCTCTCCCAAACCTGTCCATCAATCGCAACCAGTCGATTAAACAACTGATTACGCATCTTAATAGCAGTAAGCCGATACGTCTGCCGCGGCTCCTTGCCCACGATAATCAACCCATCTACCACCTCCTTACTCCCCATCGCCCACCCAGCAACAAGCTTGCCCTTCCATCCTAGCCCCCCGATCTTCCGCATCTCCTGAATCTCAGTCACCGGGATCGTGAACAACACGGCGCCTTTCCCTCTGCTGCTTAACCGGGGGTCCAGTTGCGCTGTCGTGTCCGTGGTGAAGTATAAGACAGGAGGGTCTTGCGAGGAGTCAATGATAAGCGCGCCTCGTTTGCCTTTATACCGGGCGTCGAACTCGACGGGGCCTGAGGGCGTTGTGGTCACGCCTTTCCGGTGCAGGACGCCGATGCGCGTCTTTGCGTGTCCGGAGCCGACGGCTGCGCGAACGCGGTCAACGGCCAGCTTGCTTTGGATTCCGGTGGCAGTGGTTCCGCGGAAGAAGCCGACGACTCCGGACATCCATGACTTTTGAGGCTTGTCTGGAGGTTTCTCTTCTTGTTGGAGCTGCTGGGCACTTTGTGATGCGGCTTGATGGATTTCGTCGCCAGAGACTCCGAGACTGAGATCTTCGGCGTGGAGGGAGGCGGGGTGTGAAGGGGCTTTGATTTGCGAGTTGTCAGGGGGCGGTGGTAAGGGTGCAGCGTTTGCTTCGCCGATGCGGAGAAGGGTTAAGGCGAGTTGGGCGTTGGTGGGAACGCCTTTCAGAAGGGAACTGGTTGAATGGTGTTAGCTACCAGGGATTGTGTGTAGGCTGGGGAATTCTTGCTTTTGCAACTGGAGTAGCTTCTTCCAGCCGGGATATTTGCCATCCAGATATGCAATAGCACGCCTGAGCAACGGGTCTCCGAAGAAGGCAAACCCGACGACGAAAGTGCCGCCCTTGACCAGCAGATAGCTGGATACGACGGAAGACACTAAGACGGCGGAGGTCAAAACGATTGCGATTCGCACATATGGCCTGAATACGGGGAAAGGAGACGTTGGTGAGAGTGCACTGTCACAGTAAGCATATACCCAGAGCTGCTGCCGACGCAACAATGGCTTACTTTCCAAGCTTCTCATAGTTATCGATTAAGTCACTGAGAATTCTCATCAGGTCGTTTGCTCCGTTCAGAACCGTCTCTTTCATAGGCTGCCTAGTCTTATCGTGGCTTTCGGCCGGAATCTCTCCATTTGCAGTGGCCTGTGCATCAGCTGTATCGGAAATGATATCTGTCGCGTCAGGTACAGAAGCTTCTAAAGGAGCGTCCTCGGGTGTGGCCTGGTCGTGTTTCCCAGCAATGCTACCGACAGCAACACTGGCCACACTGGTGATCATATTGCTAGCCTCTTGCTCGGCCGCTTCTCCTTTGAGCTTCTCGGGAGCACCCGTGATACTATCGTGTGAGCCTAGTACATTGGCCGCGGGCTTCTGCACGCCGCCGGTGTTCATATCAACTAGCGCAATGGGTGCAGGCGGGAAAAGCTTGACTCGGCATTGGGGATAGACAGCCAATGCCAGGAGAAAGCAGAAGAATGTCGGCGCAAGAACATCCAGAAGCCATGCGACGAAATACACCTGCAGGCATTAGCTGAACTCATACAGGATGATACTAAGGAGTTCCAGTCTTACCGCGCAGAAAGCCGAAGTACGACGGGTCTCTTTCCAGGAACGTAGTCGAGCAATGTGCTTGAAAAAGCTGACCATCGCCACGACGATTGTCGTATAGAAGCGTTCCAGGGTCGCACGCAATTTATCGGGAGAAAACTGCTCATCTTCAGAACGGATAAGATCTAGATTCTGTAACGGAGTTTCCGGAAGAGCTTTGACGTAGTAAATTTGCTGTAGAACGGAATCAGTATGTCTCTTTCTCCATCGCTCCGCATTCACAGTACCTTGTTAAAACGCCGGATCAGCATCCAGAGATCCTGGTTAGAGAGACCTGACACAATTCTCTCTTCAAAGTCATCGCGCGATAGACCCCATCCTACATCTGATACATCTTGGGTGACACCGGCCTTCTCAGCCAGTCCTTTCTGGTCTTGCTCTACTTGTGAGAGGAAATGGCTATCTGTCGGCGAATCGGCCTTGATGTCTTTCTGTTCTGTGAACTCTCCATCATCATCACCATCATTGCTTCGATCAGTTGGAGCCTTCAAAGGCTTCGTTTTCCCTGTCGTTGTCATTTTCCGTGCGTGCAAGTATATAGAGACAAGGAGGATCCTGGGAATCTTTCCACTGCATTTAAAAAGGGTCAACCCTTTGTAGCGAAGGATTGATGTGGTAGGTTCCTGAACCCCCCAAGGAGCCGGGAGGGAATGTAGAGGGTTGATGACGTCACTCTGCAGTCAATCCACCACCCAGGCAATAAGGCTCTTCATTGGGTTCTTTGACCCCCAGTCAGCTTGAACGAAGTGATCTATCTCGTAGGTGGTCAGCTAGGTCGAAACCTCGAAAGGCAAGATCACGAGTCAACTTGGTACTTCCATCCCACTACGCACTGGCCAATCTTCCCCGGGCTCAGTGGAGATGATCTACGTCTTTCTGCCTCAGGCAACGAACGTTTTTGACGTAAGACCGGGTAGGCAGTGTGTTCGAAATCATATCACAAAAGAACCAAATTTTTTTTTTTTTTTTTTTTTTTTTGGAAAGAGCAACAACAACAGACTAGACTGGACTACTTGGAAATGTCCCCTCTTTCATTTCCGGTGGCCGTTGTGTTGATTTTTGATGGCATTGAATGTGAGTTTGATACGGTATTCAGGACTTTCCTTCAGACGCTTAATGCGCCGATTTATAGCTGCTCGGTCGGAATTCTTTGCTCGATCGATCTGGCGGTCTATCTCATCCAACCTGGATAGTATTTCTCTGGACAGTTTCGTGTAAGGATTTGTGGATAGCTCGCTTTCGGCCTTTCGCTTTCTATTGGCCGTTTGACCTTTGCATCAAGCTTAGTTTTCTCCTTATTCTCCTTCTTTCTCTTTATGCCCTTTTTGCGCTGGCGCTGGTGCTGGCGGCGGAGGCCACGTTTCGCTGCTTGCCAGTATTAGATCCTCTTCGAACTCCGATATATTCCAACCGAATCTCTGGCGAACGTACCGGACTTGAAGAGTGGAGGGAGGGGGGCGAGTGCGAGCTCAGCCAGCTGTTTGGTAATCACGTCCTAATTTAATGTTAGTAACTTGACAGTATAGATTCAAGTGGGAGGTAAACTTACCCTTGTTTGTAGTTGAATTCAGAAAGAAAGATCTGAAATTTATTTCGAGGCTGTTGTATATTGCATCGTCCTCCAACTCGACATTTGCCTGCTATAGATGCCAACAGTTGGTTATTGCGTTTAGTCTTTATAAGACACATGTCAAATTCCCATAAAATCTAAAAACCAACCCAATTTCTCGTACATCAATGTGCCAGAGCCAAAGCTGAAGCCAAGAGATTTTAAATCCATCAACCCAAATAGACATTAGAGATGATCACACAGACTGGAGTTATAGGAACTCGTAGACACGAACCAGGCATCATACTTATATTCTGTCTTATTGCCCGCAATCTGAAAACGCGACTATACGTAGCGCTATAAGCACTTTGCCGGGCACAAACCATAGGCCAGGCCATAGAAGACATTTGCCACAGACAATGTGCGATAATTTTGAGCCAAGTAACAGAAGACCTTCGACGGAAGATGCTTGAAGAGATGTAGAAGAAGAGGAGAGAAGAGGAGAGAAGAGGGCTTAAGGTTTCTGATTTATCGAGGACCTTCTTTTTTGATATGGAATTTTTATTCCCTACTATGTGTCGTCTAATTCCGAATCCTTCCCTATAATGACAATCTATATCATTCCCTTCACTACATCATTCCCTTTACTACAGAGATAGTAAGAGAATGCAACCACTGCAACAAAGTAACCATTACAGAAAAGAAACTTTAAGCACTGCAGAAATATGAGAAGGGCCGATAAAGATATGGCCTCAGGTATCTATATCCGCTCGATGAATTGTCGTGGCCGTTGACGAACGCGGCCGTTGGATTATGATTCATTAGGATCTGTCTGGAGACGTCGATTCCGATTTCGGAGGTGACCATGTACTTTCAAGGAGATACTGGTTAGCCAAATCTTGTGCATCAACTCACCTGGAGTGTACGGGCTAATAGGGCTTAGTGTAGTCCCATGACCATGACCCACCGTTCTTCCTTGTAGAGTCGATGCTTGCACCTCGGCATGGCGCTGGATCGACGAGGATAGACCGGTTCGGGGAATGAGTCACCGTTAGATCAAGTCACCAAGCATGATTTGGATAAGTCACTTAACATCGACTGCCTCCACTTCACCTTTTCCTTCGTTGAATCAGAGACACGTACTTGTTTTTCATCTCACGTTCTGATGAACATAAGCCTCGACTGGAGACCCATCCAGTTTCGCTAGCCTGCATAGCTGACTTGAGCCCGATCCAAGGGCAGGGACTCATTCAGGCTTGGCCCGGACAGTGGCTCTCACACGTATACCTAGGGATCAATGGAACTAATGGTATAATTATAGCCTACAAGACATTAGCTCCCTCCAACACCCCTCGAGTTTTGGCCAATCTTGAGCTTGGTGGCTCCAACTAAGAACAACAACTCACTCGTGCGCTGGTGTTGGTCGCACAACCTAAGCCCAGCCTCAGCTAAGTCCTTTCTTTGTTCCAGTCGGCCACTAGGCAGGCATTCGGCTCTGTTACTCCGCTTCTCTACCATATTTAAGCCCGTCCAATACCCTCCCTCGAGAAACACTCGTCCGGGAACCAAGTACATCACGATGGCCGCCCCCGTCGGAGTCCACCTTGTGGGAAGTCTCCCTCTCGCTGAAACTGAGCAGGTGTTCCGTCAACTCCCGGCGGCCCTCCCAGACCGTCTCAACTCGATCCCTGATGGCGAGCCAGGTGCCCGAGGGAACTACATGTATTGGGAGCTCCCCTGTTTTCCCAAAGAGGCAAGACGACCGTGGTTACCCGATACCTGCAATGTGCCCGATAACCACCCCGGTTTCACTCGAGACTCCGTGGCCCCTTCCCAATACGCCGGCGCAGCGCTTCAATCCTACCAGACCTTCGTACAGTTACGCAACCAGTCCCTCATACCCACGGGAGTCCGCTTCCAGGTTTCACTGCCCTCACCGTTCGCCTGCATCCAGGGCCACGTGCGGCCCGAACTTCACGGGGAGCTCGAACCGTTCTACGAGCGTCGTTTACTCGACTCCCTAGATGCCATCATCACCGGCATCCCTGCCTCCGACCTGGCTATCCAGTGGGACCTGCCCTTCGAAATAGGTGCCCTAGAGCACGAGCGAGGCCGACTCCCCGCCGACTACTTGTTCAGGCCGCAGTTTGCACCCGTCAGACAGGGCCTGCTAGATCGCATTCGGCGTCTCTGCGTAAACATCCCTCCCGAGGTACATCTTGGTATTCATCTCTGCTACGGCAGTGAGGGGGGGAGGCGTTTCCTCGAGCCCGAAGATCTGGGCGTATCGGTGAATTTCGCCAACGACATCGCCGACACGATCCGTCCGCGTGCGATTAACTGGCTGCATATGCCGGTGCCGAAGGAGCGGGAAGACATGGCGTACTTTGCACCGTTGGAGAGATTGACGGTGGATCAGGAGACGCGACTGGTCTTGGGGCTGGTGCATCCTGACGACGAAGAGGGCACTCGACGTCGAATTTGGGCGGCGCAGCAGATCACTGGCAGGCGGTTCAGCGTGGCAACGGAGTGCGGAATGGGAAGAATGTCCGAGGAACAGCTGGATAGTATCTTGAAGATTTCGAGAGATGTGACCCAGTTCACTATCCCGCAGTTGCAGCCCTCAAGCACCAACTAGGGAGCCTGTGCAGCAGAATCAGGTATGAGAGGGACATATGTCTTGTCACTAGTGGCTGTCTATTGATTTAAGCTTTGGGGAAAAAAATCTTCGTTCCTTGTGCTCGTATCAGAACGTAATCGACAGTACTTTATGACAGCTGGTAGGGTTACCTGTTGTTGTTGTTGTTGTAGTATTTTACGGCCGTGTGACACTGCCTAAGCACGTGTCCCACCGTCCCCTGTTGGGGCAAAGGCCGCCAGGGGGTAAGCCTTGGGCGTCACTAACTAGCTGCTAGTTCTAGTTCTATATACAGATAAGGGACTTCGGCGCGTTTAATAGCTGTTTCAGTCTGAAAAAAAACCTCTATAGTACAGAGAGAGGGAAAATACCAGTTGCAAAGGTCTTTTTACGTTCTGTGACCTTACCTACTACCACTATTACATGTTTTTCTCTTTTTTTTTGTGGGGGGGGGGGGAGGGGGGATGATACCTCAATCTAGTTAAGGTAAAGGAAATCGAGTCCAGATATTCTCAAAAAAACGGATTTCGATAAATTAAGCAGCTAACTTGACCGCGCCCTTCGGGGTATCTAATAAGAAGGGAATTATTTCGGAGGGAAAACATGGGAGTCGAGGCAGGCATCTTTTCGCGATATAACAGAAGAGGAAATAAACTGAGATTTTCCTTGTACCGCAGTAACAGAGAAGATATGTGTTTTTATAATTAAACTGTTTGTAATAGCGAAATCTCTATAGCCCGTACGGGCAGCCAAGATCCGTGCGAGAAAGTGTCTCGGGAGTTTTAGTTCTGCAGGGCATCTGGGGGGTTTGGTAATCCAGAGATCCTGGTAGAATTGCGGGACCTTAAGCTGTGTGACGAACTGACCAAGAACCACTATATAGAGCGATGCGCGTACCAATTCGTTGACTTGGTATTCTGGTCTTTTTAGTAGCTCAGTTGGTAAAACGTCCAACAGACCTACTAAACGGTCTTGGCGGGTAGAAGCGCACCTACCCACTGCCAAGCCCGTGACAGCGGATTCGGGCCGGATTTGCGGGTTGGCCGGGCCCAGTCTAAATATAAAGTTTCTAAATTCAACATGAGAGGAGTTGATAGACAAGAGCGCAAATGGGAGCCTTCAACAAACTAAATCTTATGGCCCTATCAGTTTGTGTCAGGGATCTTCCAGTATCTTGCGTCACGTGACACCCGTGACGTAACCCACAGATAGTAGACGTAATTAGGAGCTCCCCTCGGAACAAGCTGCACTCCATGCAGCTTATTCTTCGTCAATGCATACCTACGTTTCTTGAGGTTAGTGCCTTACAGTTTGCTTCTGGGATTGAAAGTTGACCTGGCAATCAGGTTATGTTGGTATTACTGGTTTTAACGTAAACCAAGGCGATTGCCCTTTGATACCTCCTACTTTCCTGATCTAGGTCTATCTAACTTACCGTAAAAAGATCTCGCGGTAGAATTCGTTTGGACAACTTCATCATAATAATGAAAACGATAGTATGTATTGTACCGAGAAATAGAATGTACTTTGATACAATACCCAATACTTGTGTACTTCTACTGTCTGGAGCCTGCTGAAGCACGTTGGTTTCGATCAAATCTCTCGTCCATTAATCCAGTTTAAACTCTATGACATGGACCTCTTCGGAAGCCAACGCGATGCCTGCGTCCCAAGAAATCCAATCTTACTTTCGCCATCACGATTGGATAGCTTAGTATTTGCAATGTCTTTTGGTGATGCAATAGGCTGCTGGCTGGATTCATTATCCGGTTCATCATCCCCGCGGCGTTCTTGTGTTAACAGATCGACGGCCCATTGCAGCTTGGCCTGCATAGCCCAACTGATCGGTGATTGTTTGTCTTTCCCCTCAGCGTGTGGATCAGCTCCCGCTGACAACAAAAGATCGATCATTCGTTCCTTCGATGCCTGGCCTTCTTTGACCATCTCCGGTTGCTGTGCTGCTTGCAGCGTAATGGTGATCAAGAGCATGAGGAGAGGTGTCTTTCCGTCCACATCCCGTGCATTCACGTCGGTGACAGCTTCAACTAACAGCTTGGTGACGGCTTCGGGTTCCATTTTCACCACCGCAACATGGAGGGGCGTACGTCCAGCGCTATCTCGTGCGTCTGCGTCGGCCCCGGCCGCCAGAAGAACTTTCACGGTCTGCTCTGCATCCTTTGCCTTTGCGGCAATGTGCAGTGCGGTCTGGGATGTATTGACAGCATAATAGGTCTGCCACAGATCCCTAGAGGCTTTAAGACCGCTAAGCCCCCGGACCGCCGAAAGAGCACCAACGCTGGTCTTTTGGTTCGGATCGGCGCCCCCTTCTAGAAGGGCCTCCACAATCCCTTCCAGGCCGGGAATGGCCGCACACCTATGAAGGGGGGTCAATCCCGAGCTGCTGGCGGCATTCGGATCAGCCCCCGCGTTCAACAACGCCTTAATAGTTTCAACGGAGCGGCTGTCGACGGCATAATGCAACGGTGAGTTCCCTCCTTGGCGGGTATTAGCCGTCGCCTTTGCTCCGTGCTCGAGCAATTCGTGCACCATCCGAGGGCCCGCATCAGAACGCTTGGAAGCCGCAAAATGCAATGCGGTACGACCCGGGTGAGAAAGCCCGAGGGTTTCGGCATCCACGAAGGCCCCTTCCTTCAAGAGCCACTTGACCATTTCCACAGACTCAGAATCCGCGGCAATGTGGATCGCGCTCCAACCAGACCGATCCGGGGCGCGGATGGCGGATGGTAGGGAGGTATAGCTGACCCATCGAGTCGATTGATTAGCAAGCCAGGGAAGGTTCAGACGCGCTGCCACGAAGAGAAGACTGGTACTACTGCTGGATCCCGAATCTGCAGGAGAACCAAGTTAGTTAGGATGCGGACAAGGGCTGACGAGGGATCCTTACATTTGCCAGAGGTCCACCGCTTCAGGAGATCGTAAGCTGGGGCCCAGCTGGCCAACGCTGCCGAATCGGCGGCGAAGAATTCTTTCATGCCCTTTACGTCTGTCTCTTCCTCAATTTTGCTTTCCTGCAGATGATGACCCACGAACTTGACACAGTAGTCTAGGAAGGGGAATCCAGTCAAGTACTGTTGTCGGACGTGCAGCAGCTGGGTCTCATCAATCATTCCGTCGGCGTCGACTGGAGGCTCAGGCACTGCACGTTGGTGGACCTCCTTGATATGCAGATAGGCCAAGCAAGTGGAGGCGATTGACCGTTGCGCCTCTTTTCGGGCCAACCCAAATCTGGGATATTCCTGCTCGCTATCGTCACTGAAGACGCCCGATAAGAAGTCCTTCACAGACTGGTGAGCTAGGTGGACGATGCCGTCCTGGACCGCAAAGAGAGCACTCCAGTGGCCCTCAATATTGATCCGTAACGCGTCGATTTCTTCGTCTGTGCTGTCGCCTCCTTCGTATTCACCGTTGTCCTGCAGAGTCAACACCACGTTCAACTCGCGCAGGGACAAGGGCCGGGCCGCAAAGTACACCCACATCAACAGCGCCCGTAACCGTTTGACGGAGTCCCGCGGTTGTCGCTCTAACATTGCCATGTAAAAGGCTTCCACATCCGAAGGGATGCTATGGAGCTTTTTCTCGATGTTCGTCTCCGTCCACACTCCCTCCCAGGTGCCGAGGTCGTCCAGCACGAGGGACAGCCACATAAACATGCCCTTCGAGTTCTGCTTCAGCAAGTTGGTCGTGGTCTGGACGACAGTATCAGAGAAGTATCGGTATTCTTGAATCCGCTTGACACGATTGTCGGTGACGTGATCAATATCCCGTTGATTGTCGGTGGGCATATCGATGGTGTACTCGGGAAGCATTTTGTCGCGAACGATCTTACCTCCCCGATCGGACACAATGCAACGTAAGCTGAATGGCTGACCCTGTTGGTTGGCTTCGCCATTGATCGCGGTGGAGAGGTCGTTGATCATCTGAAGCACCGCGGGCAGATGAGGCCCGCACTGGTCCAAGCCATCGACAACAAAGTAAACCACTTCGACTTCTGGATCCAGGATGAGTTCTTTGAGGATCTTATGGAGCACATCGACGGACTGGAATTCATCGGGATCGGAGCCGAGGGCATCCATGTCATTGGGTACCGAAATATGTTTCTGCACATGTTTCACCAGATTTCGGTTCTGATGGAAAAGCCGGTACAACAGAGTCCGCAGAATCCAGATCGGGGTGCGCCGATGTTCATTCTTGTCGTCGCAGAAGCAGGCAACGGCAATCGTCTTTCCGGACGCTCCCAGCGAAGGAGAAGTGGCGTCCACCGGGGATGACGACGCGGAGCCAAGGCACAGCCGTTTCTCCAGCTCCTTGACGAGGAACTTAAGCAACACGCTTTTGCCGCTTCCGGGGATACCTTGGATATAAAGCGGCGCTGTGACCGAGGGATCCTTCTGGAGCCAGTTCCGAAAGGACGCGTGGTCCAGGATCCATTCGCACGTTCCCGGCTCCGCCTGACGGATATCGCTCCTATTCTGCGGGTCACCGGCAATCAGGACATCGAGGATTTTATCTTCCACCGTTTTATGCTCGCCTAACCGTTGACCACATTGGATCGTGTGCGAGCCTCAATCCACTCCGCCTGGGGGGATGTTTGTTTGGCCTACCCATATACACGGAAGCGCCGGCCGCTATATTGATGCCTTGGATTGCATCACTGTAGAACGATGCTTCTACAGTTCCGAGATTCTGGCCCAGTTGAAGTCCCTTGTTCTCCGAGTGGGCGAAGTCGGCAGAGGGCGCTGGCACCGGCTCCTACTACAAGGTCATTCCCCAGGCCTTTCGAATGCTCGCTGCAGTGAGTATTCTGGACTTACTTCTATTTTGGAACCTGGCAATCTCATGGCGATCGGTGATAAACGCGTCCCAACAGGTTATGTGATTGTACAACGGGGTATGGCAGCGGGATGGCAGAAGCTGAGTTTCAATTTCGTTTGCTCTAACCGATCCTTTATATGGCGAGGGCGAAGGTCCGAAAAGAAAATATTAATAATAATAAAATAAATAATAGATGAAACAAAATAAGACATCAAAATATCAAAAAGTTCAGCCTCGCAATCGGGTCTCCGATGGGAGGGCGCCCCGATCCGATCTGTTTCCACAGTTCAGCTCTGCCCATGGTCAATGCAGCTGGACGATCACTTTTTTATACTCGAATATCTCAACAACCATGAGACTATGTAAGTTAAAGTTAAGTACATATACTAAAAGGATGTATATAAAGTATATATGGAAATTTGGACTACTTTTATCGACTAATTAGACCAGCAAGATATATTACGCGATTATTGTTTGTAATTTTAAAAAATCCTATATTACACAGCCATTATTAATCTGTAGATTTTGAAAAGACGTATATAAAATATTAAAATAGTGGTTACTTTATTTTACTTTCAAGTATATTATAATCTTCTTTGGTTGTTGAGATATTTGAGTATAAAAAAGTAGTAGTTCATATAGAATACAGCGTGGCCCGCTCGGTCAGGAATCATGTTACCTTCCATCCGCCATCTTAAGAGTGGAGAACCAAACTCAACCGATGCATCTTGTGGAGCCTGTCCTCCATACACAATGTCCCGTTGTTTTCGTCTATGCAGATCCAAGCTGGATGTATCATTCCATCCATTAGGTAGTATCGGTACGGTGAGCGACACGACGCAGCCACCGAGAAAAAAGAGGTAACTATTGGAGGCCATGAGAAGATCGTAATATGACACTTGCTTGTTGGGGATCTGCTGGTGACGCAGGATAGGCCCGTCCAGAGAGGACCTGTCACTTACCGTAGTGATTCGGCAATGGCCGTGTTGCATGAATGCATCACTCCATGGCTCATGACCCCTCAGCTCTCGGCTCTCTCGAGTCTGCAAGTCCTTGAGCGAAATTACTTATTCTCCTGGTCTCGACGCCGGAGTGCGTCGACTTGTAACACTCACACGGATCACATTTTGCACCACCTAGCTCTAAGGATGTCTACTCTCAGGGTTGTGAAGAACCTGTCCGACGCGAAATTGGAGTATGTGAATTACCAATCGTGAGCACCCCAATATTAACCCGTACTGGTGTTTTATAGCATTGTCTTTGTCCATGGCGTGGAGACCAACCAAAAGTCCTGGACGACCGAGGACTCTGTCTTCTGGCCGGAAACGATTCTCCCTGGGCTGATCCCGAACGCACGCATCCTGGCGTTCGAGTCCGAGGACATCACTGTGAATAACCTCTGGAACACGGAAGATATGGTCACGGAAGTTGGCGACGCGCTGATTGGTGAACTGGTGGACGTTCGTAGTGGCGATCTGGTTCGTATCTCGATCATGTTTCGAACCCATCGACTCCTTGGTGCCTCGCTCGACATGCTGACCGCTCATTCTCCGCCCCCAGGCAAAGCGACCTATCATTTTTGTGGCCCACTGCCTTGGTGGCTTGATCTGCGAATGTGTACGGCCCTCCATACATCTATCTGTTGAGAAGGATATTAACCCGCGTCGCCGTCCATCTAGGCTATTGACCGCGCCGCCAATAGCGACGAAGCCAAGCCGATTGCCGATAGCGCCGTGGGTCTCCTTCTCTTTGGCACCCCCCATTATGTTCCGGACAACCTGAGCGAAGCGGCCAAATATTTCAAATTGGCTCAGCTGGAGGTCCCCAGCAGTGCCGACCTGCACGCCAAGTCTCAGCATCTTCTCCGCGTTCCTCAAGCCTTCGCCCAGTTCAAGCAGGCCGCGTCGGTGAAATTGGCCTGTTTCTATGAGGGAGCTCCGACCAAGGTCAACGACGAAGAATTCAAGATTGTGGAACCGGCCGTCGCCCAGTTCCCTGACGGTACGCAGAACAACCGACTGGGATACAACCATCACGGCATGAGTTGCTTCAAGAATGATCAGGACAAGGAATTCAAAAAGATCTTGCGCGTGCTGAAGAGCTGGGTGGAGAGTCTCCCTGAACCGGAGGAGAAGGGCACTGTGAACAACATCTCGAACGCCTCGTTCGCTGGATCTACCAACTCTGGCCTCCAGCTGGGACAGAACGCGGGATCTCTGAACGGGTTCCGGTTCGGATAGGACTGAGGACAGAAACTTGCTGCCAATCCGCTGCCCTAGACCAACATCCGAAGAACCTGTGAGGAAGGGCAGCATCAATCACCTAGCCTAGTCACTAGCGTCGAAAGATTGTCACTTTGCATTAGTCTACAGTAGGCTGTGTGATCCAGATCGAGTTCCACCCAGGTGCTACTCGAGAATTTGTAGGAGCTGCAGGAGCTGCAGGAGGTTTTCTGCCGGCGGATTGTGTGGTTGCATCGAATCTCCGGCCCTAAGAGCGGGGTTATGCAAGAAAGGCATGACGTGGCCGTCATCAAGGCAGGTCAAAGTCGCCTGCGTGAAGCCACCGTGTGCCTGTCTCTTGGCCGCAGGGAGTGGCGATGTGATGGAGAGCTGAGAAGGGCCGGTGCGGGATGCAACGTTAAAGTCACGTCGCGATTCTCCTTTTCAGCCGTAGCGACGATCAATTCGACTCGGTGTGCTTCGTCTACGCGAGAGAACTACCCCCGTACACGAGTAATCCGGCGAATTGGGCGGTCGGATCGTTGCTGTTTTACTTTCCGTAACTGCTTGTGTGATCTTTTATCTTGCAGAGTATCAAGCGTGCCATCTTGCAATTGCCCCCCCCCTCTTGATCTCTCGCTCCAATAATTCCTCGAATAGAATCAACCTCCCAACATGGCCTCGCCAGCCCCAAACGGCGGGTCTGATATTACCCAACTATGGCAAGCTGCAATCCAGGATTACGAGAAGGCAACCGGCAAAAGCCTTCAGTTGGGACCATTCAGGGACATGGAGGAGGCCATGGCTGGGACGGAAAGCCTATCCAAGAACTTCACCGCGTTCCGCAGCGACCAGTCGAAGGTGGTCAAGGTGAGGACCGCATTCAAAAACAACATGGTCCTGATCCAAAGAGTCGTCAACACTGTCCAGGCGGTCGGCAATGCTGCATCTGTGAGAACTCCTCCAGGACCATATCGCGAACTCCACACTTACCTTCTCCAGGCCTTCCCGCCCGCGATGCCGGCGAGTTTGATATTTTCGGCTTTCGGGCAGGTCATGCAGTCCTTCTCGGATGTCTCTGCTGATTACGACAAAATTATGGGATTCTTCGAGTTCACGCATCGGTTTTTCGATCGGCTTTCAATCATCGACCAGAGGATGCCAGATGTGCCTCCGTTTCAAAGATGTGTCAGCCGGGTCTTCTCGAGTATCCTCCGGATTTGTGCTATCGCCCAGAAATATAGCCGAGAGCGACGATTCAGTAAGCTTCTCCTGAATTCCTGGCGTTTCTTTCGTGGGTACGTCACTCACGCTCTCAACCAGAGAAATGGTTTGATAGTCTCTTGAACGGCACGGATGGAGAGCTCGCCGGAGCCAGTGCCGAGCTGGAGAGCGCCATTAACGAGATGAGCCAAGCCGTCGGTCTCGCGACTCTGAAGACGCTCGACATCATGAATGACGTTGTCCAAAGCATGAGCGGCAATGTTGAGTTTCTGGTGTCCAATGCCAGCCTCGTTGATGAAAGAACGGCAGCGATCCAATCCAACACGAATACCATCCTGGAACAGAACCGGGAAGTGGCATCCAGACAGGACAAGATGACAGACATGCAGCGGGAGATGTTCGAAAAGCTGAGTGAACAATCTCGCCTGCTCAACCAGACAGTGGGGTACTTTGAATCCGTCCAAATCGGAGATAGTTTTGGCAAACGCTTTCATACGAGCCTTTTAAAGGTGGACGTGATCAAGCTACGCCTGACCCGTTGGGGACAGTCAGTTGGCCTTGCAAACCTGGCCCACGTCCAATCTTTGCGCGAGACAAAGCTTGCCGCTGAAGACATTCCGAAAGTCCAGGACCTCCTCAGTGAGATCCTGGACTTGATCTCGGACGCCGAGAAGCTTTCACATCGGTTCAAGAAGAAGAACCCCGCGGCGTTAACCATGGACCCCGGGAAGGAGCTCGATGAGGTCTCTGCATCACTGCACCAGCAGATGCAAGATCTCGCGAAGAAACGACAGGGCAACTCAGTAACTGACGACTCGCGGGAGACTCTGACCATCTACCAAGAGAAAGATTTTTCCAGACTGATTGAAGACACCAGTTCGTTGGTCAACGACTTGATCGATCTCTTCCCCGCGGTGAAAGAGGATCAACGCAAGATCTGTGAACAAGAAGTCTCGCAGATGGGAAAGATCAAAAACGGTCTTCCGCTGCTAAAAGAGGTCGCTGCTGGGCAGGATGACTTGCTCAGTGAAACAGTAGTCAAAGTCATCCAGTCAACTACAACCTACAACAACAGTGTCGTCTTCCAAGGCACCAACTCGGGCTTCCAAATTGGCAACAACAGCGGAAGGATTAGCAATGTGCGGTTTAACGGATAGTTCTTCTAGCCCGGGAAATATGGGAATAGATCCAGCAATCATATTCCAAGAGAACAAGAACGTTAAATGTGGAAGTTTCTAAAGCGTAGTTTGTAAGACCCTGACCCGGTCAAGTGTATGGATATGCCGGTATAGAGCCTCATCCGGTGCATCATGCACGCGTAAGTTAGCATGTTTTCTGGGTTTCCACTCGATAGTAAAGGTATTTCATAAAGAGGGTGTTCTTGGGATAATTTAGTCGGCTTCATCTGCTTTCCAGCCGCCAATTTTATATGCCTTCTGCAGGAGACCACCTATTAATACTAATAAAACCATTATGTTCGATGCTGAGAGATAAAATAAGAGCGCTATGAATTTAAAACTATAGTTTATTAAATAGTTAACTCTCTAAGAGTAGTTTCATTTTAATATTATTCCTAACTCATTACTACTTTTACTATTATTTTAATTACTAACTAGTTATAAGTAAAGGATACTACTAGAGAATCAAAACTAGAACATGATAATACCATAATATTACTCTAAGTCTTTAGGCTAGGTTCATTCTTCAAAAGCACAGGTATACCAACAAAATCAGCTCGATTCCATCTACATATATAACATCAACAATCTGCCATCTTTTGAACACTCATATAAATCACGAAATCGATATCAAATAATATATTAATGAAAGAAAGAAAAAGAAAGCAATGACAGATGAGTTACTTCCTCCAACATCATCACCGCAATCAGGTCAAGTCAAGTTTAGTAGACAATGCCCATCATGGCGGCGATACCAACACCCCACCAGAAGCTGACGGCCTTGGCCGAGGCAGCGTCGTTGGACAGGGGAATGGTGGACGAAGGAGTAGGCGCGGCGGTAGAGCTACCGGCGTGAGTCTTCACCCAGGTGGAGGAGGGTCCCCAGGGGTTGGGGATGGTGGTCACGGCACCGCCGTTGTTGCCGCCGGGGGACACGCCGGTGGGGGCAGGTCCGGGGATCAGGCCGACGGTGGTCTGGTGGCCGGAGGTGGCGGTGCTGAAGGCAACCTGGGGCACGGTCACGGTGTAGGTGGAGTAGGTGATCGTGGTGGCCGAGACGGGGACGGGAGGAGCAGGGGCAGCAGGGGCGGTGGTCTCAGGGGAGGTCACGCCGCCGGTGGGCTTGGGAGCCTGGGTGACGGGGGAGACGCCAGTGGTGCTGGGGACGCCGGCCGAGGGCACCAGGGTGATGGTGGACGGGATGGCGGTCACGATACCGGGGTTCTGGGGCACGTAGGCGGCACAGATACCGGTGAAGTAGGACAGAGCGGCCTGGACCTCATCGTCGGAGGCACCCCACGCCTGCACACAGGAGATGACCTTGTCGGTGAACTCGGACGAAGGGCAGAAGCAGCCAGCCTCGCTGTTGGAGTCACACTTGGGCATCTTGGTGAGCCAGGTGTTGATACACTTGGGCACAACGTTGGGGCAAGGAGTGGAGGGCTCCTCGGGGGTCTCGGGGGTGGAAGGCACCGATCCGGTGGCGACGGGGGGCTGGCCGGTGGGAGCGACGCCAGTGGGGACGATGACGCTGGCGGAGGTGGTCGTCAGGGTAGAGACGGTGGTGCGAACGTGGGTGGTGGTCTTGTCACCCTCAGTCACAGTCTCGGTGACGGGGCAAGTGGTCACGGTCTCGTAGGTGACGATGGTGGTGACGGCAGGGCCAGTGGTGATGGCAGGACCGGCAGGGCCAGTAGTGACGGCAGGGCCAGCAGGGGTGGTGACGGGGGCAACACCAGTCGGGGTGATGACGCTGGCCGAGCTGGTGGTCAGGGTCGAGACAGTGGTGCGAACGTGGGTGGTGGTCTTGTCACCGTCGGTGACGGTCTCGGTCACGGGGCAGGTGGTCACGGTCTCGTAGGTCACGATGGTGGTGACAGCAGGGCCGGCAGGAGTAGTGACGGGAGCAACGTCGGTGGGGTTAGGGCCAGTGGGAGGGGCCACGGGGGTGCTCTCGGCACACTTGGGGCAGTAGGTGGCGGTCGAGGTCTGGGTGACGGTCGACACGGTCTCGCGGACGTGGGTGGTGGTCTTGCCGCCCTCGGTGGCAGTCTCAGTGACGGGGCAGGTGGTCACGGTCTCGTAGGTCATGACAGTGGTGGTGTAGTCCGAGGGAGCCGGGGTGAAGGCCGACGAGGAACCGGAACCGATAGGACCAACCGAGGTGGGCACCGTCGGGGGAGCGGTGGCGCTGGCAGTGCACTTGGTGCAGATGGTCGAGGTCGAGGTCAGCGTGACGGTGGAGACGGTCTCGTAGACGGAGGTGGTGGTCTTGCCGCCCTCGGTGGCAGTCTCGGTGACGGGGCAGGTGGTGACGGTCTCGTAGGTGACGACGGTGGTGGTGACATCCTCGTCATCGGTGGGAGAAGGACCAGTCACGGCAGGAGAGGTGATGGCAGGGCCCGAGGGACCGGTCGAGCCGCCGCCGGGGGAGACGCCAGTCGGGGTCGGGACACCGCCGTTCTCACCACCAGTCTCAGTGACGGGGCACACGGTGGTGGACACGGCGATGGTGGAGGTGACGACCTTGGTCGAGTCGGCCGGGCAGTTGGTCACGGTAGGAGCACAGCTGGTGATGGTGATCTCACTGGTAGCATACACAGTGGAGGTGGTCATTCTCACGGGGGTGCTGGGAGCCGGGCTGGTGACGGCGCCAACGTCAGTGGTGGAGTGGCCGGGGATGACGGGCACGGAGGAGCTGTGGCCAAAGCCACCGGTGGTCTGCTGGGAGGGAGGGGTGGCAGTGAAGCTGGGGAGCTCGATGGAGTTGGAGTGGTCGGGGTTCTTGGTGCCGGGGGTACAGTCGAAGTCGATGGTGTGGATACCCAGGTCGCACTCATCATCCTCGTGGTCCTCGGGCAGCTGGAAGTGAACGGAGGTGGCACCACCGCACTGCTCGTTGCGGACATCGGTACCCTCAGGCGAGCAGGAGGCGACCTGCTTGCAAGAGGAGCCATCGGGCATGCCGTAGACGAGGTGGACGTCGGCCTTCTTGGAGGTAGCCAGACGCAAAGAACCGACGGAGAAAGCCTTGTTGGAGTTGAAGCGGAGGCCAGAGTTGGATCCCTTGCCAACCTTACCCTCAATGCATTTGCCCTAAACCGAGTCAATTAGCTGATGTCGTTGGATGGTAGATCAAACTTGAGGGGTAGACTCACTCCGAAGCCACCAGACACGGCGCCGCTGAACTTGTGCTTCATGGCGAAACCAGAGAAGTCCATGCCGCCGTAGTTGTTGAAGTCACCCTCGCCGAGGCCACCCCAGTTGAAACCAGTGTGCTGCTCCTCGGAACAGTCATTGTCACTGTTCTCGGGGCTGGGATAGCAGGTATCAGTGCCCCACCACTGTCAGAGTCATGTCAGCAAGATATACGAGGGTACTCGGGGGGCCAAATAGAGGGAAACATACCAACCCACGGGGGTGGGCAGTGGCCATGGCGGCCAGGGAAAAGAGAGTAACAGAAGTCGAGAACTTCATGATGACAGGAATAGATCAAGAAACCTGAAAAGAATGATATAGAGAAAGAATAGTTCCGATGGGAGTAGTAGTAGTTAGGACGAAACACAAATTAAGATATTATTATCGGAGACCAGCGACAACAATACAAGATGGGCGATGAAAGAGTGATCCCCAAATAGAACGAATGGTCTTAGCCTTTCCCGGTCAAAGAAAGACAAGAAACGCAACTCAACGACAGAAAATTATAAAGAAAGAAACACAACACTGAAGAGAGAAAGGGAAAGAGAAACAGGAAGATGGCCCCATGGACGGAGGCAGCAGGACCCTTCTTATGGAAAGCATGGAGCCACCAGCCGCAGGGTTCCTGACGGGAAAGACGGGCGTCAACGAAGCCGGACCCCAAAGGGCACGGAAACCGTCCTGACAAGCATTAGTTGGAACTTGAATTCCAATCGAGCTAGTCAGACTGGAGGGAAAAGCAAAAGAGAAAAAAAGTAAGACAATCTGAGAAAGGCCGGCGAGGCATCCAGCGGGGATTGGTACGACGACCAGCGAAAGATCATGGCTGTTTCTCCAATGGCGGCCAGCCGGCTGTTCCGCTAGTGCAGGAACACCCTGACAAGAGATATGGGGCGCGAAAGGGCCGCCAATCAGACGGGGATGCGATGCTGGATGCTCGAGAGCTGCCCTGGGCTGGTGGCTGATGCGGTGGAGGAAACGAACACCAGCGGCGCCACCCAATGAGACGGTGGAAATTGAGCAGGATCGCGGTCTGGAAGGGTTAGGAACAGGGAAGTGGATTCCTGACGATTCGATGGATGACGGAGGGATTCAATCGGGGTGGGGGAGAAAAGTCGCTGGCCAGGGTGAATCAAGAACAATGATATTGCTACAGAGAGAAAAACAGTCGGGAGTCACGGGTGGACGGGACGCAGCGCTTGCAGAAAGTTTACCGGGGTTTGTTTGACCGTGACAATTGACACCTCACATCCTCTTCTTCTTCAGATCGAGCCCTACCTCTCTACCAAACTACCATGAGTCTATGACCAACGGACCAAGACACCCGAGTCAGAATAATCGGACACTCTGATAACATCCAACTAGTCCGTACCCTCTAGTCTACTATCTAGTGTCTAGCGACTAACTCCGGACCACGGTCACTGTCAATCTAACCAGATCCCAAGAACACCCCCCATCACACTAACCCTCTCCACTAAACCCCTCCCAGGTTAAGGCCGGACGACCAGACGAGGGAAAAGCATCCTGCAGGCGAAGAGGGGGGGCCAACCTGCAGCCAATAACCGGTAGCGTCCCGGTGGGCGTCTCGCTGAAACCCCGTCGGTGTCAGCCCATTGCTATTAATATCGTGGGTCGGGAGTTCTGGACTACCCGCCGGCGCCAGGTCCTGGGCTAGCCAGGGCACTAGATTTCTAGGCGCTAACAGTCAGTCAGGTCCTACTAAGTTACTCCTAGGGTACGGAGTTCTGCGCATAATCTCCCAGGGTTCGGATCCAATGGCGGCCCCTCGCTAAGCACCCGGTCTTTTGGGCTGACGATGATTGTCGCTGCTTATTGTCTGGTTGGAGTTCTTTCTTGCTATGATTTGTTAATGTCAGGGCTACCTACATGCAGAGCACATACAACATTGCTCAGTTAAGCAGACCACGAAAGGGACGAGGAAAAAGCATGGCTGCCTCTACGTTGTACCACCGTCCTGTCCTGTTTATTTCCCAATTCCCTCCCTCGGACAAATCAAATTAATTACCGACCGAGACATGGCAGACGCCGTCAAACGACCGATCAGACGACAGGCGGAGGAGTCGCTCGGCCTCGCCTCTTGGCGTGTCGCACGATATTCTCATTCCCCCCAAAGCGTTGCATCTGTGGCGGTGGTCCCTCCTTCCACTATCTCGGAGGTGTCCTGTCCTGAGGGACCTTCTCCGACTGTGGTCACCACTGGTCCGCTCTCCAAAGTGATCCACTTTGTTGGGCTGTCAATGTCACCGTGCCTTACTAGTTCCTGGTCCTCCTACCTAGCTAGGCTCCTACTCTGGTACCCGCAGTCCCTGACGGGGTGGTCAGTTCTCCCGCCGGTCTGACGGGAGCAAAAATCCCCCTCCGCTTCCCTCCCCGTCTTACATTTTGAGTTACTGATCATCCCTAACTTTTGAACTGTTTTTGCATTGGTTGGAGAGTGTTTGGGTTGGGGATTTAGTTCCGCCTGAGATGGGGGATCGTCACCACCTCGAAAGGGGGAAAAGAACAACATAAGAAACAAAAAAAAGAAAAAAGAAAAACACATACACAAAGGACAGGAATAGATCATCCAATCAAAGCCCCATTTCTCTCCCGTGAAGATTTGAAAATAAAATAAAATAAAGAAAAACATCTGAGGTATATCCCTTTCGGCCAATAAAAGAAACACGTGACAAAATCAAATCCGGTAAACAAAATATGCACACACATCCAAACTCCGATACAAAGTTTCGTCAGACTTTTTGCTCGTGGGGAGGGGGTCGGTCCCGGCCTTCGTGGCGGTCTTTGTGTGGTTTTTTCGGGAGAAAAGTGCAGGTGGTAAAAGGTTCTTTCCTCTGTAAGGTGGGAATAGTTTCCCCCTCAACCTGTTCAGATCACCATCTCTCTCCTTGCGTCGTCATCGGATCGGAAGTCTAGATCGATCCGTCTATGAGACAGTCTCTCTCGTTCGGCTACCCGATCATGCAGGTGTCAATCGCCCTCTAAGAACGTTCTATCTCGTCCACTCCAGACCCCCAGCGTCTTCAAGGGGGTGTATTAGGAGGGAGAGAGTGCATCAAGACCGACCGAGGGAGTGTGGGACAAGAAAAAGTGGAGAAACAGGAATCAATAATAGAAGCAAGGGAGAAAGATTAGGTTTAGAACGTGCCAGTAAGGATCCAAGACATCGTCATCATAAACACGGAGGGGGAGGAAGAAGAGAGGGGGGATGTATTGCATCAACCAGCAACGGATAATTGCATTATTCGGCCGCCTGCTACGAATGTGGTTTCTTTTCAGAGTCTTTCTTCAGAATGGGAGTTGACTGCGTCGATGCGCATCCATCAACTTGCGTCGTACCGCCTCGCCGCCGGTGCACCCGTTGGACTTGCGCTTCCGCGTAGGAGTGCGTTGGTCTGTATGTTTTGCATGCCGGAACACGCTGGCAGGTCGAGACGGCGAGTTGGCCGGCATAAACTCTCGATGTTGCGGTAACCGAAGCAGAGCCTGGTAGCGGTTGTGGTTGCGACGGAACGCCGTGACGATCCCTCGGTCTAGATGGTTCAAGAACCGCTCGGCGCTGCTGGCTTGTTGGCTTTCGCCACGGTTGGGGGTAGGGGGGCCGCTGGGGGCCACGGCCGAGGGCGCGGCCGTCGTCGTCGGCGAGGCCAAGGCCTCCTCGTCGAAGACCTTATCCATCTCCTCGTCCGACGACCCATCGCCGAAGTCAATAAAATCATTCACGTTCAGGCCGGTCTCCGGGTCCTCCTCGTCGTCGTCCTCGAACGAGCTATCAATAGCAAAGTCTCGGGACGGGTAGAAGGCTTCAGGAGGACCCATCACTTGGCCGCCAGGTGCCATATCGTTGCCCAGGGCGGTCATCATCAGATTAGCACTAGAAGCCAACATCGGGCTGAGGTCAGTGCGATTCGGAGACACCAACGCGTCCGTGTCGCTCTCGTCGACCAAGTGCATCGTGGTGGCCCGCGGGCTGTTGTTGGCCGTGCCACAGATGCTGTTGGAGGTCGACTCCAGCCAGTCGTGACGGGATGAGGCATACGCCGGAATGATCACGAGATGCTTGCCGGTGCAGTCCACCAGGGCAACGGGTTTGTTTGGATCCGCGACAAACGTTCCCATGATGGGACCGCGACGCCGCGACGTAGACTCCGTCTTTTCGTCCGCGGTCGGGGCCAGGGAAGCGGAAGAGTCCCGGCGGAGAATGGATCGCGGATGCGTGATCGTGGCCGGAGGAGGGAGGTCTTCATCTGTAGTTTCACCGTCATCGGCTTGAAAAGTGGGTCAGCATACAAAGTCCAAGAACTGGCAAGGCAATCATCCTGCATACTCTCGTAGCCGCTCGATTCGGACCCTTCCGAGCGGGCGTCGGATTCCACATGGTAGATGTTAGAATGACCGTAGTCTGACTCGGCGAACATTTCGTCCGATTGCCGGCGATGCCGCCGGTAGGGTTCGTTGTCGTTTTCAATCATACGACGCAGCTGGGGATCCAAGCTGTCCTGTTGCAGGAAATCACCCGGGATCTCATCGTCCGTGTGAGAATCGCTGTCGGAGGACGAGTCGGAGTCCTCTTCGAAATGCACCCGACGGGGCAACGGCGTCTCCACGGCGGTTTCGCTGGCCATATCGGTCTCGCCGAAGGTCTCCATGGCACCATACAGCTGTTCGTCGTCGAAGAACGACGCACCGGCCAGCAGCATGTGATCGTCAAAGACGTTGGAGCCGGTCCAGCTGTGAGCGTCTCCCGCACCGCCGGAGACGGCAGCATTCGGAGTGGACAGGATGCCGCCGAAATCATGCTCATCCTCCGACTCTACGATCATGAGCTCTTCTAGCTTCTCCACGTCCTGGTCTTCGTCGTCATCGCCGTCACTGATGTAGTCTACGGCGGCGTAGATGTCGTCGGAGCTGTCATACCCAATGTCATCGTCGCTCTGCCCGTCGTAACCGTCCATCCTCCTCTTCTTATTTCCTTTCGTGGTCTTGACCCCCGCCTTATGGGGTCTGTTGTCGCGACGACCATAAGACGGGGCCCGGGCAGCTGGTCGTTCGTCCTCGTCGTCAGCATCCTCCTCCGACCCGTTCGCTTCGTCGTCGCTCAGCTCTTCGATAGACGAGACGGACGACACACTGGACACGGACGCCGCCCTTCGCTTTCTATCCGCATTGAGCGACCCCAAGGAGACCGCCTTGTTTGATCGTCGCGGAGAATTTTGCACGAGGCTCGATAGAGGACTCGAGTTGTGGTTGTGGTGATCCTTGACGGCCCCCATCGGGGACCGCTTCGGGGACTGATTCGTTTGCGTCATTGTCGGATTATGACGACAACAACAATGGAATTGAGAAAGAGTGGGTAATCAAAAAAAAAAATTTGTCGGTAGATGATTGTCTTTATTTTTCTTCTTTCGCAGGACTTGACCAGTATTAACTGGAACAGTCTAATGGGTTGGGGTGGGACAAGGTTTGCTACCCGCCGGTATGCCGCAAGTATCTGCGTCAGAGATTCGGAAGTCGGGAGGTTTCTTTCAAAGTAGGTTATTCTTCGACCGTCAATTCGTAAATGGCGTAAACTGTTGATACAGATGTCGTGATCGTAGAGCGTGAGGGTATGGGTATGAGAGGGAAATCGTGGTTGGGAGAGAAGGTTTTTTTTTTTTTTTCTTCGGATCAGAGAGGGAGGGAGGGAGAGGGAAGCGGATGGTCAAGTTTTTCTTGGGATCGTCGAAAACGAAAACACCTCACCGTCCAAATATGGGACGTCAAAGTGCTTCTCCTATGATTGTAGTAAGGGGCAATTCCGACGCTTCAAAGAGTGCGTCAGAAGAGAGGAACAGATATCGTCAAGTTGAATTCGAAATACTCGGAGCTGCTGGACTGGGGAGCAGGCGAAGGCAGCCGTACTCCCCAGCGAGGGATTTACAGCTCAGCGAAGGCCATTTTGGCAGTGAATTCTTGACAAATATCTGATATGGAAAAAGATGAAGTAGTCCGAGAGGGGAAGATTATAAAAAGACGGCGATGAGGGACGGTAGAAGAATGAGGGGAGGGGGGAGAGATTGTTTAGAAGAAAGGGAAAAAGCAGAAGGGGAGACGAGCGGATCAGCGCAGTCTAGCGGCGTCACTCCGTCCAGCAGCCGCCCGTTACAGAACGAAACGGGCTGCGATTCGGGGGCGGCTCGATTTTTCCGGTCCGGGGTGGGGCAGGTGTTGCCCTCCTGGGGCTAGCCCCTGTCGTAATTGGTCAGGAACCATGATCAGATGCATTCCCATTGGTCGGGCTGCCTATTCACCGCCTCTTCTTTTTTTTTTTTCTTCTTTTTTTTCTCTTTTTTGCCTGCAGCCGTCGGGACCAATGAGAAGGGGCGAGTCTGCAAAGTCTTTGAATTGAGGCGATCGCAGGTCCCCGGTCCAGTCAGGAGTTACTTTACGGAGCACTGTAGTAGTTGACTCATGGATTGATTCAGAGTTCATACTTCAGTGTCAGTGTCTACAATCCAGAGGGGTGTACATACCACGGAGAGGGCACGTAGACCTACTCCTACATACATCGCTGTACCCTTCCTTACAGTAGTCCCGCTGTACGCATGGTTGGGTACCTTATCCTGCAGCTGGAGTCAAGCGCCAGCGCAGAGATACTGAGCAAGTGGATTCCCTCGAGACCGTGATCCGCTTTTCTGTTCTCGTCTCTCCTTTCTAGAAGTAGAAGCAAAAGGGATGTGGGACCACGATGGGACATTCAGGGGAGGGGCAGAAGGAAACAGAATGAAAAGGAGAAAGAGAAGAAAGAGAGCACGTCTTCGTGGTGATCTCGCGTGTTTCAAGCAGTATCAAGCCAAAATTGGGTTCTTCGGCCCCGAGCCTATCCCTACGAGATCTGGAGATGAGATTCCATCCCTCCTCCCCGTGTACTCCGTATGTTATGACGGACACCTACATTACTCAGTACACGCAGATCAACCCGTGCTGACCCTCTAGTGAAGAATGAGGGGATCGAGGTGGAATGCGCGATGGGGAGGCGGCGTGTAGACCGTCGTACATACACTGCATCCGAGTACAGCATGAATAATGTAAACTGTACAGATATCCGCAAGCTACAGGGCGGCTAAACAGGAAAAACAGAGACGATAATAAAAATAAACCAACGGCTCTATTATGTACCTACTCCATACCCAAAAGCAAGTAAACCCAAGAGGTCATAGTGTCGTTAGTTCGTTGAATCCATCATCGATCATCGTCAGTCAAGTCATACATACATATTCCCCATCGAGTCGGGGACATAGGCTGAACCGTGCATTTCTGCACGATCCTGTACTCCGACATCATCGCAGGGCCCAGATCGCAGGGAAAACCCCGGGTTCAGATGTGATTCATCGAGATGAGTCGATGGGTTGAGATGAGTCAGAGAAATCTGATGCGATAGTGATAACATGCCAAAGCATAACATGGTCGAGCCGTTTTCCATCTTTCTCTCATGACGGGGTTAGGCAGTACCAGGAGACGCTTACGGAGCTAAGGCTTTTTTTTTTCTGCCGGTGTTCGTATTACCTATCAAATACGGCGTACATACCTAATGAAAAGGAATAGATGGAAGAATCTGATAGGGCGTTGATGCGGTGGGATTGGTGGGTTCCGCCACTGGCGCCAATTAATTTATTGCCTATGAGAGCATCGAGACATCAGAATAATAATCATGACACTAATCATGATCACGGCGTTGTTCATTTGCAGAGGTTTTGGTTTAATTTGGGTACGGAGTGAAGAGTTCTGCCTCGGGTCGTTGTCTGCTAACTATGGAGACGGAAGACAGTCCTCCCGATTCCTAGGCTCCTAGCTTCTTTAGGGGTATCTCCACTGCGGTGGCAAGACATCACCATCAGTTGACGAAGGGGAAGAATCAGACGATTGTCGGGGACGGGTGAGGGAGCGCAGTAATTAGGATGGAGTACGGCGTAGGTGGCAACAGCTTCTCCGGAAGCTACTCAGTAACACTGAGCGCGATGGAAGGATTGGACATGCAGGCTGCAGGTGTTCGTTATTGGGGCGAAAGAGCGGTAAAGGGACAGCTGGCTGCAGGGCGCCTCCATGCTCGAAGGGGTAAGAGGGAATCATCTCAACTTTCCGAAGTAACTATCCCATGAGTATTGTCAGGTAAAACTAAGACGGAACGACGGCTGAGTCACGATCGGCATGATCCGTGCTACGTGATTGGCCAATGGCTGGCTGCACCCCGCAGTCTCCGTCGAGGTACCGCCTGAGTATTCCCGGCCGACTGCAGGCGTGTCCAGTACCTGCGACTACATGCTCGTTCTTACCCTTTCTTACGGGCATCGAGCCCTCTATCCCGTCCGTCTCGATCAACATCAACCCGTTGCTGGTTATGACATTCTGATCTCATGGCCTCTGGGATTATGGCCGGTCAGCTTCCCTGAATTCCCCCCGCGACCCCCGAATCCTGCGACTCGTAACAATCATCATTTGCTGTTCTTGCCACTGCGAACCCACTCTCCCGCGATCTCCGTCCGTCCAGACTACAACCATGGCTCGCCTGATGACGAGGAAGCTGCGGTCAATTATTAGATAGCTGATGAACCGGGTGGCCAATTTCAGCGTGGGGTGCGGAACTCGTGAGGTGGATTGACGTTATCATTATTCTTCTGTTTCTCCTCCCCGAGACGATCACGGCATTTCTCCAACGGTAAACATGAACGTAAGTGGTATCAAAAAATTTGCAACAGATCAACCGAACGGAGAATATCACGCAAGATCGTGGAAAATTGCCGGTCATTTAAGACGAACCAGAAAAAGTGAACGAGAAAAAAAAAAAAAAGAAAAAAAAAAAAGCAACGGACCAAAAAAATCATGTCCCCGGGTAGGGCTCGATCTTGGGTGCCGGCGCTGTAGATGCCCTCTGGTTGGACCGGCCCCAAATGGACAATATCGATTTGGAGCGTGCTGGTTTCGGCGCGGGGGTGTACTGCGTTTCGTCTGCTCCTCCACTTTCACTTGGCCCATTTATGGGTGTAGCAGCGGCTGATTCTCGGGTTTGCTCAGCTTCGCGCATCCCTTGACGGATCTCCGTCGTTGAAGCCCCCTGTGGTGCGGTGGTTGTAAGCGTCTCCGTAGCGCGGATTCGCTCGTCCGACGCAGCTTGCTCATTGAGCTGATCGATCTCGGCCTCGGTGACCAGACGCTCGTTCTCCAAACGAACCTCCCGGCCCCGTTTATGGCAATACCACAAGACGAAGAGCAGAACTATGAGATGTCCTGTGTCAGCAAACTAAAACAATATAGGCAACGTGACCGATTCATGGACACTTACTGGTCAAGGCCAAGGACCAGAGTACATTCATGCCCAAGACGGCTGGGAATCGCGCTCTCAAGAAAGCCACGATGGACCGGAGCATTCCCACAATCGCTGCCGGCTTCCCAACCAGCTCTTTCAGGCTGGGCACCTCGATCCCCATCTTGTTGGCGGCAGCCGCGGCCTTGCCCACATTTTCCACGTTGATTCCACTCTTTCCCGCTCTATCACTTGCTGCTGCGATTATCTCCGGAGCCAGGCTCTCGGTCCATCGCTCCGGGAGCTTCTCGATGAGTTTCTGGAGGAAACTAGGGAGCTTGGAGTATGTACTCTGGAGTGTTTTGTTGCCGTTGGTCAGGAGCATCTCGAGGTCATGGTAGGCAGTCGGCACGCCGTTGATGAGATCCTTGAAAATCAACTTGAATTTGCGCAAGAGTTCCTGAGTATCGTCGCTGATGGAGATAACCTTGTTGTTGTCCGCCGCCAGATTCAAGCGCTCCAGGATCTCCGTCATATCCTCCGCGTCCTGTTTCGCTTCGTCATCGTTACCGTTGGCAGGAAGCTGGCTCGGGGGTTGGCTTGGGGTTTCCGGTCGCGCGTTTTCTTTATTCTAACGAGGGACGATGTGTTAACTCATGCTTCTTTCCCATCATGATTTAAACGTGCGATCTAAATGTGCGATCTGCAAGGGACCTACCTTCTGCGTGTTCATCCGTCGCAGCCAAGTCCATCTCTTTTTCTTCTCTTTCTCGATCGGTGTTGATGTCTCGGCTTTGGAGGTCTCCGAGGTGCCGCTCGGTTGTTTCTGTGCCAGCCCTCGAGCCTTGCGCCCTTCCTCGCCGAGTTCTCTGCCAAACTCCTCCACGGGTGACACGGGCGACTGGAGCGTCGGCGCGTCGGTCCCCAGTGGACTCACGGGAGAACGTGAGTCCGACTCTTGCGCGGATGGCGACACGACACGGTTGTCACCGGTCTCGGTCACGATGTTCTGCAGGAACCTTTCGTCTTCGGCGGTTAAGACGGGGTCCTGGACGGGGGGTCTAAACATCGACGAGCGCCTCCAATTTTTCAACTGATTAAACTGTTGCATGTTAAGCGGTCCGATCCAATCCTATCTTTCTTCAAACAACCATGGATGGACAAGAAAACAGATACAGGCAGAAACGGAGCGTGCTGGTCCTTTGGGTTCTTTGCTTTGTTTGCCAGTCTAGGGGCGGGAATGTAATGTGGGACGGCGGAAGGACCGAGGGAACAAAGAGCAGATCGAGTGGTATATTTAAGATCTACTATTAGCAGTAAGGGGAAAGAAACCCAAAGATGAAAATGCTAAGAAAGGGAAATTAAATGATTGGATTATTGAGATGGACATGCATGCAGAATCATGAAACCGAAACTCTTTTGCAGGAGATTGGGGAGGGCTGGGAAATGGGGAAGCACATTCAGGAACTTGGGCGATGATATCACTACCCGAGACGCCACGCTTCACCGCCACAGTCTCCATGGCGGATCTACATCATCCGTTCGTCTGATCTATACTCTAGGCATATCATTTTACTATGTAGTCCCAGGTTGGTTGCATCCGTCTGTCGTCGTGACACTCTTAGCGTGGGTTCCAGTCTGTTGAGGCTATGTTGAACCTGGTCGCGTGGCTCTTGATGTAAATATGGATTCGAACACTAAGATATATAGTGCAACATCGCTATCTATACGTTCACAAACCTGTGGACTTGACTTCGATAGAGCCTTCCAGTATGATGAATCGAAACATGACTGGTCTTCAGCATGCAAAGCATCATACCAGATCTTCACCAAGCACTTAAAAAAAGTTGAATCGAATCGGATGACTCCAGTGTTATCAGGCAATGAGATCATCGAAAACTAACTAAGCAGACCTGGTCATTCGTGCATGCAGATATGACTGATATGACTTCCTCATTTTCTGTCACAAAACCAGTCATTGCACCTGGGAAACACAGTGGTGCTCCCTGAGGCAAACAGTCTAGGCAGAGAGAGAATCATGCGGGGATTCCCCGGTCAGCTGCTAGTCATCACATGATCTGCCTATCATTGTTAATCACCTCACTGCCTGTTTTCTTTTCTTTTCTTTTCTCTTCACGCTCCCCAGAGTCGACCATCCCCCGCTTACGCGTCTCTCCTTACGGGCTGTAGATCAGCGTATGCGAAAGCCTCTTCTCCAGGACTTGTTCCTTCTCGAATATATCGATGGGTCTTCATTTCCGATGAAGACTTGCGATTCCGGGAGGAACTTCGTTCTGGGAACGCTTCCAGGACTCCCCTCATGCGACTTGCATGACTCGGCAGCGTCGCTTTTTTTTATCGACAACTTCGTTCGTTCGTTCCCTCTCTTCTGGTTTTTCCTGTCACTCCTTTGTCTCTATACCTGGTTGTCGCTGGTGTCTTTTCTGACTCAGTCCTTGGACGGGGACGGCCTCGACATCAACGCCATGACGGTCAAGCGCTCCTTCATTTCCAAGGACCGGGTCGAGAAGTCGATCAGATCGGCCAAGAAGGTTTTCAGTGGGCACGGACGTGTGAGAGCGAAGAAGATGCAGGAGAGAACGGATAGTCCGCCGACGGACAGGTACGTGGAACTTTTTTCCGAGATTAGTTTCGAGCTATCTCGATTCTCTTGTTCATCACAATGCTGCTATTATAATTCTTATTATATACTTCAAACCATGTACCAGGTAATGAACACTGATTGTAACTTCTCCGCTCTAGTCCCCTCTTGAGCCCTATAGTCAGTCTGATTGTAGGACCGGACCAGCGTCTATTCGTGGCTCACGAAGATGTCCTGTGCCGTTCACCGTTCTTCGCGGCCATGCTTCGGGACCAGTTTGTAGAGAACGCCATGGACATGGCCATAGCCTTACCAGAAGAGTATGTCTTCCCCTCTCTTCAACCAACGATCCCAAAAAAGAGCACTCACCTCCCCCAGAGAGCCCGAAATCTTGTCTTGCGTTCTTGAATTCCTCTACAAGGGTGATTACTTCCCTCGCCTGTTCCGCAACAAGGACACCAACACCTGGGACCTCGAGAATGCCCACCTAGACGGTTATGGATCTAGCGAAGCCACCATCTTCCTGTCCGGCCTCCCCGGCCTCGTCCTCCGGGACACGGCAGTGTACTGCGCCGCAGAGAAGTACGGCCTCGAGGGGCTGAAGCGACTCGCGCTGCGCAAGCAGGGCCACCAGAGCGGGATCCCAATCGACGTGATCCTGCGGTCTGCGCGGTACGCCTACGACAACACGCCGGATTCGGAGTATCGGCTTCGTGCTCACTACCTGGCTATGATCATTCGCACGAGGCATATCTTCAAGAGTAGCGGTACCATGCAGGTGGAGATGGAGTTGGGGCATCCGTTCTTCTTTGATCTGTTTGTGGCTATGTGTAATCATATGGATGATCTTGAGATGAAGTCAGGCATTTTGCCCTCGATTGTGTTATTTCGACCTGATTCTTGGAAATACTTGCTAACTCTGGACTTGATACAGCATCAGCTCATCGCCCAATATGACCTAGACGATGACATGCAATACATCCAGACACCAAAGAACCAGATTGAAAATACTCCAGACTTCAGATTGCACCGTCTGGCTCTTCTGTTTGCCCTGACCCAGAACACCAAAAACCACCAAATAAAAATAAGAAAAAGAAAAACCAAACCCAAGTCAAACTACGCCATTCCATTCTCGAGGCCGGCCGACCTTTCAAATGAAGCGATTGGAACAATCGCAATTTTAATACCAGCCATTTCTGATTTGTTTACTGTCTCTTGTGATGCAATGCGTTGATTGAATCTTGCTTACCGCCGTCTCTACTCACGTATACACTCCTTGAGAGACGAAAGAAATTTTCGAGGTGTGTTGAGTTGAGCTGACTTAACGGGTTCTGGGCTTTGATCGTTTTCTTGTATCAGTTTTTTTTTGGGGGGGGGGGGGGGATTTTGATTTTTGGTCCTCTATTCTGCACTCTACTCTGCCGAGACTAACTATCTATTCGATTTGATGATCTGTATTCGATTGATTGATTGAATTATCTGTCTGTCCGTTTTCTACCTGTTTTATCTATCTACCTAGTCCAACCCGACTTGGTAGATAGATATCGAGAACAGAACAGAACAAGACAAGACATAATGATTTAATTAGTTTACACTGAAGGGAAATTGCCACTACCTAGCTAGGAGCCATAGCCAGAAAACAAGGAAAAAAAAAAATAAGAACGACGATCCGGCCGCGTCACTCTCTCATCTCTCCTACGTACATGTACTATACATATTAACATAACCTAACTGATTCCATCGATATACTCATCGCTATTTGGTGTAGGCTGGCTAGCTAGTTTTCTTTCTCAAGGTATAATTTTATTTACCTAACCGGATCTGACTGGACAGGTTGATGGTGAAGAGAGAGAGAGAGAGGGAGAGAAAGAGGCCATAAATGATAGGAATAAACAATTAGAATCTAGAATGAATGAAGGAGCGGGGTGGTACGAATGGATGGATGCATGTCCATAAGGAACGGTGGAATTGATAGAAGAGCTCCTACAAAATCTCTGAAGCAAGACATAGGTTCAATAATCCGACAACAGTGAAAGAAGCTAGACCACAGTGAGCTAGAAATAACTAGATGCCTAAGATTGGAATATACCTAGAAACCGTACATAAAATCATATTTAAACCGATCTATCGGCTTTATAGGTACCGTAAACAAGTCAAGTCAGGTTGAGTCGAGTCGCGTCGAAGAAACAAGCAAACCAAATAAAAAACAATGAAGTAAACAACCATATACGCCAATTAAGTACAATCCCATGATAGACGATGAAAATGGAGATGGAGAAAAGCAAAGAAAAGAAAAGCAAAGATAAAAGAAAAGAAACTCACCGTCTCAGACAAGCCAGCCAGCCAGCCAGCAACTAGTTAGTTGATCTGTTAGTCAATGCCAATCAATCCCGTATATCTTGATCCCATGATATGATATATCGTATGGATTCTCCTCAGGTTTCCATTTGCTTTCCAAACCACCAACTAACCAATCAAGCAAACAAACAAACGCCTCTGGTATTTGACCTGTTTCCATCCCTTGCCTGTACTTGCTAACTTGTAACTTGTAACTTGTACTTGCACTGTTTGTGCTGTACGTCCACACACGCCATGTCCTTGCACGCCATAAATAGAAAAGAAGAAGAAAACAAAGAGTAAAACGCCCCAATTGATCGATCAATTATATCCAGATTCGATATAAAATAGCAGGAATTTGGAGCAAAAGCAAATCAACCCGTTCGTGCCTTTTTCGTACGCTCTTGTCCGTAATTGTCGTCGCTGCCTTTGAGCGGATACATATGCATGCCCATATCGACGGGAAAGTCGGGATGCAGCAGGCTGAATCGGTTCGGGTTGTTCGGGACCCCATCCGACTCGGTCGGAACGGGCTCCACCAGCAAATGCACTAGGTTCTTGTCGAAATAGCCCGACGGCTTGTTGTTCAACCGCTGTAGACGAGCCCAGTCGTCGTCGACTTCTTCGTTCATCAACGGAGGCAATGGGGGCGCGCCGTTGTTGCTGGGTCGCGCGTGGTAGTTGGCCAGGATGTTGTACGGCAAGTTGGGCCGAACGGCCGGCTTGTCCGACAGTTCCGCAAGCGCATTGAGCGCATGGTTGCCATGCCCGCGCGTGGATCGTGTCGCATGGTAATTCTGACTGGCCGTGCGCGCCATGTCGGTCGCCGGGGTACCGTTGTCCTCGGCGCCCGTTCCATCTACCCCGGAAGCCTCCTCCGTGTCGGTATTGTTGCCGTTCGTCGCCGTGCCGGACGGCTGATCGCCGCCACGCTTGGAGGTCGAGAAGAAATGCACAGTGGCGACGTGGGCTTGGTTGGCATGCGCGCTGAGCTCCTTTTCGGTGAACAGGGAGTTGATCGAATACAACGGCGCCTGTTGCTGCTGGGCCAGTTGCGCCTTGGCGCGCTCGGCCGGGACAGTCGACGATGTCGCCGCCGCCGTGCCTGCTGCTGCGCCGCTCTCTCGCACCGGCGACCCGACATCCTCCTCCGGGGCCTTGCGCTTTCTCTTATTGATCTCGGATATGATGCCATTGCCCAACTCATCCAGGTCGACTCGGTGGCGAGTATGACGGGTCTTCCGGTTCCCGTGAATCCCGCCGGGACTGGCAGGGTTGGTAATACTGAATTGGTTGGGGTGTAGGAGAAGAGCGTTGGTATCGGCGATATCCAACTGCTCCTTCTCACGCATCAGACGAGCCCGTTTGCTCGAAATGGTCTGCACAAGTCGTTCGCGGAGAGTAGAGGAGAGGTTTTTGTATTCTTCTTCGGCAAAATGGACCCGGAAGGAATATTCACGAGTGAATCGATCAAGGTTACTGTCATGTCGATGCTTTTATTCACGTTAGCTTGTCATCCCATAGCCTCTTGACCCAGACCAAGAACCAAGAAAGAAAAAAGAAAACTTACTGCCAACATCGCCAAATCCGCATCCTTATCAGCCTTCACCTGATTAACCTCCTGCACAAACCGCGAGTACCACATGCCCGCCAGACTCGCCATCTCCTTGGCGAACTTGCCCCCACCCACGGTATTCTCGATCAACTTCGCGATGTCGTCCGCGGAGTCGGGCAACGGGCCCGGGGAGTACATATCGGCATTGTTGATCAGGGTCATATCACACTGCAGGGCGTGTAGTTGCTGGCGGAACTGGGTATCTCGGTTCTGGCTGAACGAGGCCGTCAGGTCCTGGAGACGCTCTTGGAGTGCACTGCGCCGTTTGTCTCGCTTGGATAGAGGGACGCTGGTCGGAGGACTTGTCGAGCGGCCTCTCGAGTGTAGACTGTTGAGGAGCGCTGGGCCGCCATTATTGGGGCCAGGGGAGGCGGGGGCAGGCGAGTACGCCATGGCTAGTCGCTGTATACTAGCTGGCTGACAACGGAGGAGAAAGAGGTCCTGCTACCTCGAGAGGAAGAGGGGGGGAGAGAAGGAATTGCTAGTGGGTAGATGGGATGGAATCTGTAGATATATTCATAGACAGAGAGAGACACAGTTTGAAACGGGCAAGAAGAAAATGCATAAGCCACAAACTAGCGAGACGGCACAGAACGAACGGAAAAAAGCAGAGGAAGTGAGGACGCAGAGAAACACAACTGGTGATGGAGCAGAAAGCGGGAATCCGGCCGCGGGCCCAAAACAGCCTAGCGTCGGGGACATTTTTGACCGCCTTCGTGATGCATCTTTGTGGTGCTCGCTCGATTACTCATGCTCCCTATGTAACTAGTTAGTTAACTAACTACAGTAGTTATTATTATGAGAGATACCAGAGAGATCATATTACGCAGCAGTCTCGAGTCAACAGGTCTCAATTCAATTCACTTCCATTCATATCATCTGTCAGGGTCCTCATTCGGATCGTATATGTCCATGTTCTAAATAATCCATGCTAGAGTTCGCTTCAATAACCGTAAATCACAAACATCCTGGGTATTTATCCGATCAAGAAATCAAAAGAAATATAAAAGAAAACCGCAAAAAAGCCGGTCCGACTTGTGTGGACTCCCCCATGTGAACCAAGTTATATATGCCACAATAAAAAGACGCCGCCAGTTCCGCCCAAGCCACCCTTTTTTGTAATCACCATAGTATATCCAATGAAGAGATGAAGGTGAAAGAAAAACCAGACCACAAAAAAAAATATCAATATGTAAATAAAAAAGGGAAAAAGGCGGTGGCGGGATTGAGTTGTATTCAAACGACCCCCGGACGATCCTCGGAATACTGTAGACCCGACCGATCATCCCTCTTAAGGCACTCTCCTTTAGTGGGACCGACGGATCACAAACACTCCGAGTTCAATTCCATCACGAGGCTCCATCTCCTCGCCGTAGGGTCGTTTCCGGATCCCATCAAGGATCTCGCCCAACAACATAGCGGACGTCACTTCTTTGTCTTGCAACATATAGTTGGTCGTTTGGTTCGACACCGACTTGCTGGCGGGAAGCCGTCGGCCGTTCTGCCAGTACAGGCTAAGCACCTCCTTCATCCGCGTCTTTTCCTGGTGGATATACCACTCGGTCCAGACGTTACGATCCGGTCGGGCGCTGCCTTTGCGGGCATCGGCAATGCTGAACCGCGAGGTTGACGAGCTCAGGTTATCACATAGCTGGGCCAGGTTATCCCGCATTGTGTCGAAGTCTTCCATATAGGAAACCGAGGCCAGCTTGCCCAGATACCGTCCAATGTCAGCAGACAGTTCGTTGACCACCACAAGCTGCCGGAGGAGAGGGTCGAGGATCGGCCCGAGGAATTGGGACTTGAAGGTTGAGCCACCGCGTCGGGTGGGGTAAATGAACAAGAGTGAGCCGCCATCAGGGGAAAGCTCACACAACCGATCCACCAAAAAGGACGGTCGGTGGGTTTGAAACAGATCTTTGTACTCCTGTGCCGATGATGGCGGGAGATACCGTTCCAGAACCGAGATATGTACACTGAACGGCGGGACGATGGGCATGGGAAAGTGGGAGGCTTTCGGTTTGATGGGGCCTCGGAAATCGTGATAAGCGGATACTACGGCCGCACTGGAGAAGACGGTCGAGTTGAAGTAGTCGTCCGCGGTAAACATGGATCGGGGTGTGGTAGGAGGAGAGCAAGGGAGGTTGGAGAGGCTGAACTGTTCGGGAACGGCATGGGTGATGTTGATATATGGCGATTGTCCATGTTGCAGTCGATGCTGGACGGCTTGGATCAAGCCACCGAAAACGTCCTCGCTCGTGGGGACGGACTTATCGGCCGGGCGTGGGTAGGGAAGCATCTGAGATACAATCTTGACTGCTTCACCGCGGGCGTTCGAGAATGGTAGGGACGATACTGTCGAAGACGAGTCAGCCATCAAAGAGCGACGCCTCTTCTATTCTGCGATAAAACTTACCTGCTGCGTCGATTCCACTCTCTAACCATGTGTTATGGTCACAATCCATTTCGCCAGATGATCCCGGACTGCCTCCCGAGCTGGAAGGCGACACATTCGACAACTGGTCGGACGGGCTGCCCAGGCTATCTGATGAGGCTCCTGTGGGTGTACTGTCCATGTTGGGACCCTCGTTTATGGGCATTGGTCCAGGTTCCCGGGTCATATGAGGTTCGAACAACAACATGCTGGATTTGGGATTCCACGCTACGTGCTCTTCGTCTTCTGGAGGGGTGGGAGGGAGAGTGGACGGGTAATCGCTTTGGGCCGAGAGATCCCACACAGCGGAAGATTGAGATGCTCGAGCCGCCAGCGAACTCGATGCCGTCGAAGAAGAAGGAGAGAAGCGAGAAATCGGCTCCGCCGATTGCGGCCGCGATTCGATTCGACCGGCGGATTTGGCGGAAAGACCGAGGTGTTCAAAAGAGGAGATGTGTAATGAAGCGTTGCTCTTGGAGAGGAACCGGGAGACGGGAGACGGTTTTGTGAGAAGGGATCCTTGCGAGGCTCGCCGTTTCAATCGACTCGAGCCCGTATCCCGGGACTTTGGTTGTGGCTGCAGTGACTGCGGAGTTTGTTGTTGATCAGGTGAGATAGGGCTTAATTGGTTGGGATCCTGCTGCTCCAGGTTGGTCACGACTCCTTGGTGCGGAGAACCGACGTCTCTGGGCATGTATGAACTCCGGTTGAAAGAAAATTGTGAGTTTGTCGAGTATGGCGAACGCAAAGCCGGGAAATCTTGCACCAGAGAGTCAGGCCGATATGGTCCATGACACTGTGACTGATTCATCCAGGCTATGTTGATGTCCGGGCGAAAAGCCGCGAAGGAAAGGGAAAGAGATGGAGAGGGAGGGAGGAGGGGGGGAGAAGGTGGTGATCTGCAGGACGCCAAACGATCTCTCCGAGTCAAAAGAATCGAGCCACGATGATGATCTGGCAATAACACGAAGTCCTCCAAAACCGGTTTTGACGGATTATATAGAGGGGGGAGAACGGCGATTCTGGTCGTTTGGCAACAGGGAGAAAAGAAAGATCGTGACAGTCGAGAGAAGACGGAAGAGGTTGTACGAATTAATGGCGGGATGTCGGGCGACGGATGGAGCAAGGTCGAAGAGAGTTAGACGGACGGTCGGAGAAAAGCGAGTTGAGGAGTGGCAGTGGCTCCAGTAAAAGAGGAGAGGAGAGAAAAGGCGGCGCGGCAGGAAGAGAGAGGAACGAGAGGGAAAAAAGAAGTGGAGGTTTTGGATGATAATGATGATACACAGTGGGGAAAGACAAGGGAGATTGGGAAGAGAAAGAGGGAAGGGAAAAGCTTCGAGACCGAAAGGGTGTGAGAGAAGTGAAATTAGGGACAGACAGGAAAGTGTATTAACCAGAGGAGCAGGAAAAGTCAGCCAGCGTCTACTAGTAGTGAGCAGAGAAAAGACAACAGGCGCCAGAAAGAATGACGCCCAGGAAAAGGCGTTGACCCAAGGGCAGAACCTGAACTGCGAAAGCACTCCTCGGGCTGCGACTTTCCACCGGCGTTCTAGACCGGCCGGACTTGGCCTGATTGGGGAATCCATGACACGAGGACCGGTCGGGGAGTCACCATCTGCTTTTTTTATGCATTGTGCACCGTAATACCGTTTCATTACCTTTTCTGATTTCCTATTGATTTCCTCTTCTTTTGATTTATTCTATATTTTTATTCCTAGATAATTTATCTCAATTTCTATCATAGCTCGCACCTCATACTATTTACTCCGGACAAGTATTCAGTAAAAGTCTCGGTCGGTCGCTCAAATCCTTCCAGCCTGGCCACTCCCAATACGACGATCCAACGGGGACCCAATGCTAGTCATAGGCCCCCTCCGACTTGTCTAGGCCCTCCATAGTGGCTGATCGGGGCTAGGTCGTGTCCAAAAGACCCAGCCGTACCGTAACGGGCATTACACGGTCTTTTTCTTTTTTCCTTTTTTTCGTCTTTCGTCGGCGGTCTGCGTGAGGGAGGGGGGCAAAAAAGACAAAAAAAAAAAAAAAAAAAAAGAATGATAGCAACCAGGCCCACCACCTCCTCGGCCTGACTGGAATGGAAGATCGATGGACCCTTGGAAAGAGAAAAGCGGTTTGACAGGTTAGGGAAATGGGGGAAAAGGCGGTTTGGAATAAATGAGGATGATTCCGATGATGATGAATTCGGCGGGGAGTGGATATTAAATCAGTTATTTAATCATGAGTCTAATGGCATGCTTGACCCTTTTTTTTTCTTTCTTCTCCCATGATCCTCAGTGTCAGTGAAGATTTGATTATCCGGTTGACAGATAGGATGCTATTTTGTCGAAGTGGCCAAAGCAGGTACCAACGAGAGGAGAGGGGGGGGAAGGGAAAAAAAAAAAAATTTAAAAACGGCAGGTGTAAATCCTTCTCAGGCATGGGGATCGGTGGTATTATTAGTTACATTTACATACCTGCTTTACGCCGATCAGCGCCATCAACGCCTCCTTGGGAACGCCATCGCCGCCAGGTGACTGATCGATATCATCCAGACAAAGAAAAGCTCATGTTGATTGTACAACCAGATTATCATCCTCGTTATTATTATTATTAACTAGTTTTGCTTTGACAATGTCGGTTCCAAAAGAATGTGGACGCGCTGAGGAATCCCGGAAAATAGTCCCTGGCCCAATAATCACTAGTTTTTTTCTCGCAGCAGACTGATGGGAAGGACCCAGATATAATCAAACATGACCAGGAAGGGATTTTTTTTATTATACTAAAATAAAATCAAATGGCGGTCGAGCAATAGCGTACAAACTAGCCAGACGCTCAGCTCAACGTAAATTGATCCCTCCAAGGGTCAGCCAGATCCCTACGTCAGTCTATCTGGACCTCGCTGCTTCCACCCTAGCTTCTTTTGCTTCTTCGTTAGTACGAACCCCCGTCATACCTGTCTCAGGGTTCAGGGTTCATGTCTGACTCAGATTATGTACTCCATAAGTAGGTGTACTGTGTATAATAATGTGCTGTGCCATGTAGGATGACGATGTCTCCAGGCCAGAGTCTAGAATCTTCGCTTCCGAATCATCCAGATGAAAACGAAACAATTGGCAAATCAGCCGGCTCTCGGCTGCTTTTTGACAGGGACCAAGAAAAAATAACCATAATCCTTTAAGCACCAGGGTTTAATTTACTCTGTGTACAGTGTATGTACATAGCATGTACAATTGGAACCAGGATTATGACTGCATTTGTGTTGTACCTTTACAGAACCACCTACTTCACTAACCTCAGTATACTTATCACCTCACCACGAGTAAATTCCCCCTCAAAACACCGCCTAAAAACAGGAGCAAGAAGGGGGGAAAAATCGAAAAGTCGAATGACGTTGACCACTCCATCTCTCACAGTCATGGGTCGCGCGAAAAGAAAAACGCAAGAAAAAAAAATGGCCCAATGGCCTACTACCAGCGTGATTGGCCCTTATCGACCCAATAAGTTGCATCGCCCGATCAGAATCCACAGCCCTTTTCCGGTCCGGATTGACGTCTAGACCCTGCTCCGTGCTGCCGAAGGGGATCCGCCTTCTGGATCTGTCTCGGGTCTTTGCACAACTTACCCTCTTTTTTTTTTTTGCCGACTCTGTCTTGTTTCTCCAATTTTCTGCCTACTATTTGGTCTGGACTCTAACTTAGTTACAGGGCGGGCGGGTGACTAAGAATGGGAGGGCAAGCCTGTTCTTTATTGCGGTGAGGTATTAACTAGGTAGCTATTCAAATTCTAGGCTAGCAGAATACTGGCAAACCCCTCGCTCTCTGACTCTATATTGTATTTATCATTATTATTATGGTTATTCCACCTATCACTCGGTAGTCATGTACACGGTAGGGACATGGAAACTAGATAAGTAAGGTAATGTAACCACACACAAATAATATAATAAAACCCATAGCGGTGACCCACGGCAGATCCGGAGGTTTCCTTCTTTGTCTTTGAGCCTCGATTCGACCTAAGTTTCATGCATGTCTAGTGGGCATCGGTAAGGAAGATATTTCGGAATACGGCTGGTCCTGGTCTGTCGGTAGAACTGAGCTGCGGAGTATACTGGAATACTACCCTACCTAGGTAGTCATTTACCATCAGCTCGGTAGAGTAATGACTAGGTAGACAGGCAGTATGTTGTGATCTCTCACTTTTCGTTAAGATGTATCTCGCTCATTCTGCCTTCGGTAGGAAGATTTCTCCTGTTGACTAGGGCAAGACTCTCATTAACTATCACCTTCCCATCCTATGTAGGAAGGACCGAGAGTAGCAGTAGAAATAACTACACCGTAGTAGTAGGAAGTAAGAGTACTAGTAAAAAGTAGGACCACCATCACCACCCATCACCGCATCCACCCCATTCATTCCGTTTCGCTTCTCCTTCCCCTCCTAAGGCACAGAGAGAAGCGACCGTTGCCCTCTTTAGGCAACATGCATGCAGAGAAGTGGCTTTACGTGGTTCGGTAGATTCTTCTTACACATCAAATTTCGCAGCATCACGTTATTTACCCATCCGTGCAATTTGTTTTAATTTGCGACCCTGCACCGCTCGACCTATTATGTTCTCATATTGGGGGATCCTGGGGGGGATGGATGGGAGAATGAGGTGGGGGAGAGAAGGTGCCCGCGTACGGAGTACGGAGTCGTAGTATGGTTTTAATTGCTTTTTTCTCCACGCTCACGTACGTAGGGTGTTGTGGAAGTATGTAAAATGGTAAATAGGTAATACAAAGATAGATGACATGTATTCAATATCTTTCTTTTCAGTTTGGTTTAATTCTTCATTCATTATTGTTATTATTGTTAAAGATTTATTTATTCTCGTAGGTGTAGATATTTATCATGGAGTGCACTGCGCGGTGCTGTACGGTATGCATCCCCCTTCCCAACAAGCTCATTCAAAGTCAATTGATAGAAACCTTCACCTGATTATTCTGCCTGCCGCGAGGGAACTCAGTTCAGGATTTTCCTATAGGCTGCCTCTGTTGGAGTGGAATGTTATATTGCCGCTTGTTCCATGGATATGTAGAGTCTCTCTGTCCCTCTCTCGCAAGTATGCCGATGTTTCTTTCTTTCGCCTTGAAGCACCCCCCGGTCGGTTTGATGATTTGGACCCAAAAAATCTTTTGAATGTAAGAAAAGTAAAAATGAGTGAGAAATATCAAACCCAATCCCCCATCTTCAAACACCGCAAACCCGGGAAACAAGGAGACGACGAACGAAACGATGAGGAAACACTCTCACCCTCACCCTCACCCAATCCGTAAGGTAGCATGTGGTTTCATCAGACCCGACCCGACTCGATTCGACCCCTCTTCCATCCTATCAACCTACACCGACCCGACACCGTACGAATGTAGTAACATACTATTCAGTAGTTTAATCCATTCCATTCCATCAAACCACGAGAAAAACAACCAAAAAAGAAGAAAGGCAAGAACGGGCAAGGGCAAACGGGGGAAAGAAAGAAGGGTGGGCAGGAAACCTGTTCTCCAGCTATCATCATCGATCATCGGCAGTCGCCAGATGACCTAACCTGACCCGACCTTGGTCCTGACCCGGGTTCTTTTCTTCGCCTTTTTCGTTGCTTTCGATCACAGGGTATATTTCTTTAATTTGTTTATTTCATTTTGGTTTTGTTTTGGTTCTTTGTTGAATGGTTCTGTTTACTTCTTTACTTACCATTTGGTATCAGCACAGTGAAATACTATACCTTAACACAGTTACAGTATTCATGGCTTATGCAGGCGTTCCCGTGTCTCCACTTTTGCCTTGTCTCAAATAGACAAGGGTCAGTCGTCGGTCGGTAGGCAAAGAAGGTAGCCCAGTAGCCCTGTCTAGTCTGGACTGTTTGGACTGTCTGGGACTGTTCAGTGTTGACTGGACCTAGGTCGTGGTAGGGGTGGACATACACCGTGGTAATAATAATAATAGTGGATGGTTGTCGGTCGCTAAGGTTGGGTTTGGGTTCGGTTGGTTGGTTGATTTCGGCAATCTTCTTTCTTTCTTTGTTTCTTTCTTTCTTTTTTTACCTTAAGAGTTAAGGGACCTGAAGAAACCCAGGAGAGACTTGCCCTGGTCTGTGGTAGTGGTTAGTGGTTAGGGCTGGTTATTTTTCTTTCTTTCTTTCCTTCTTTTTGTTTGTTTGTTTGTTTGTTTGTGGGGGTTGGTTTTGTTTTAGGCGGGTCTGGTCGGTCTGGTCCCGTCTGGTCTAGGCGATTTTTCTAGGAAAGGAGAGAGCAATCAGGGCTACGTAGGTGGTCTAACAGTACCTAGTCTCTAGGAACTGGTTTTTTGGTCGCTTTTATTTACTTCGTTCTTGAATTGACTTACTCCATAAAGAGTATAACGTACTCCGTAAGTGTAGTTAAACTAGGTAGATAGATAGAAGCAGTTAGTTAAAGTAAATAAGATCCCCCCCCCCCCAAAGACAATCTAGCATTCCCGCCCAATGACCTACACCTACACCTACACATCTCAAAGTCTCGACTCCGGAGCGGTGGTGCAGAAGTGCCGATAAGGTAGGTGATAGGCACATTGTTGGCTGGTTAGTGGTCACTCCCCTCTGTTCGGAGTACGGAGGTCCTGTCTGATCCTGTGACGGTCCCGACTGACTCTGGCTCTGACTCCGACTCTGTCTGTGATTCTTACGGGCAGGTTGATTGATTCAGATGGAACTAAACTAAACTAAACAATTATTGAATATTTATTGTTTATTCGGTGGAATATTTAATTAATAGGAATATGTGGGTGTCGATGGATCGATCGATCTTTGGGGCGGGATTGAATTCAATTGATTGAATTGACTCGTAACTGTAAAAAATAATACGGGACGAATAAAATGGAACAAAGATATTTGTTGTTGGAATGATTGTTCAATAGCAATAATGATAAAATCCATGTCTATATCTATTGGCTTAAACCCATCTCATCGGTATCTGCCATCGCATCCACCTCGATCTCTACCAACATCCTTGCATCCACAAACCCATCCCGCACCACCACCATGGTCGCTGCCGCTCCCACCCCCGGATGACGCGCCCGTCCCAGAATCTCCGAGAACCCCTCCCCTACCGCCACGCAGTCTTCCGGTCGACTGACAAACATCCTGACTCGCACCACGCTCTCTGCCCCCTTGCCGCCTAAGGCCTGGATGGCTTGGATGCATTCGCGGAGTGCCACGCGCGTCTGCTGGCGTGCGTCGCCCGGACAGAGGATCTGCGGGGCATCGCTGGGAGACGTGGGGTCGATGGCCGTCGTGCCGGAGACAAAGATATGCTGCCCGTGGCGAACGGCTCGGTAGTAGCCGATCTTCTCCTCGAAGGGAGACGACGTGGCGAAGCATTGCTTGGAGGAGTGAGGGTGAGGGGTGGTCATCTTTGCTGCCGTTCCGGTCTAGAATCGCGAGTGTACTACCTCAAGTTCGTAGTCCTCGACAGACCAGCGACTGTCCACCAGGCAGCCATTATAAGAATGGATCCGAATTGGCTGTGAGTCATGCCAAGCTAGTGACTCGATCGCTTATTTCGTATTTCGGGTGCGGGAAGCGCCAGCCGTTATGCAGCTTCAGGGATCTTCTTTATTTCAATCCTGGTCAATGCGTCGAGAAACCAGGAGACCCCGGACAGTCCGGGTGATGGAGTACTGCTGGCATCGCAGACTTGCAATATGCCCCTTGTACCCATGTATGTTTTGTCACCGAGACGGCTTGGATATCAGTGATCCAAGTCGTCGGCAAGAGAGGTTCAAGAGGTGACGGATCTTCTGCGGGGATCGCCGTGTCGGCGAACATGGGACCGCTGGGGCCGTTCGTTCCAGTACGATTGCATGCAGCGGTTGACCGAGATTTTGGAAAACCGGCGCTGCTCCTCGGTGGCCAACACCGAGTGCTTCTGCGCACAGCTAGAGGTCTTCACCGCAATGGGATGCAGGTGCTGCTGGCGCGACGAGTAATGCACACCGGCGTTATACTGCGACTGAAGTGACTTGAGGTCCAGGGCAGTGCGGAGCTCCAGGCACTGCAGCACCAGCTGCTTCACGCCGTCGGTCAACCCGCAGGCGCGGTACTCGATATCCGGCCAGAAGTCGTCACCCCAGAAGGGATCCTCGCGAACGGCGGCCTCCAATGCCTCAAACCAGAAGTCGAAGCTAGGCAGACGTCGCTTGGCGTTGAGAAGGTCTAGGCCTTGCAGGTGGTCGGACAAGAGACAAGCCACCGCAACGAAACGGATCGTCGGCTCAGAATGCAAGACGTGCAAGGCGATGCAGGCGGGGCACCGTTCGGTCATGTACCAGTCATGCTCCTCGCGCAGGATACAGTGCAACCAGGCGTAAGCGCTTCGAGCTTCTCCGCGGAACGCGCGCTCGGGCTCCGTTCCTCGGTGAGTGGGGAGCACGTCGGCGGCGACGCGCGAAGCTTGGTTGTGGAGTAGGAACAGGGGGAGAAGGATGGTATGGATGATGTCGCGGTGAAGACGGAAAGTTTCCTGCTCATCCTCGGAGCAAGAGTGGCGGTGGAAGGCACAAAAACTAACCGACCGACCAGGTTAGCGATTGGAATGCGCCGACCGAGCGATCACGAGGACGGGGTGAATCGACCTACCTAGGAGCATCCATTCCCAATTCCTGGCGTTTCAAGTGCTCTCGAACGGCCTTGAAAGCCTCGTTGCGGTCCAGTCTCTCTCCGTCCGCGCGAGAGATCCGAAACGGCGAAAACGTGTTACCGGTGGACATGGTGACGACCAATTAGAATTTCGGGTGGCGGAAGAGCAGAGGATTGGGGAGGGGGGCCCCTGAAGCTTAAGAGCGACGAAGTATAAAAATCCAAAGGATAATGTCAAGGGGATCGGCGTGGGAAGTGATCGATCTAGGAAACCGCGTTCAGAGTTCGGCAGGTGACGTCGAGGACGAAGAAGGCGAGGGAAGCCACCCAATCAATTGGAGTAGTGGAGTTGCAGAGTGGTCGAGATGCGGGTAAGGACGAGAACCACGGGTGGCATGGTCCAGAAGAGGCGATTGGGGGCGAAAGAGATAGCTGGGCTGAAGAAAGGAAGCAACAAGGAAAGCGAAGCGAGAACTCGGGGGGGGGGGGGAGGAGGTGGGAACGAAGCAGTGTTAAAATATTAAGTTGAAAGGACTGAAGGTTAGAAGGAGAATAATGGGGAATAACACCACACGAACAAAAAGGAGACGATCCCCGAATCCAGACTCTGGGCTGGAAGCGTACGTGTGCCAAATGGTTTAATTAGCAATTTTAGCTTGGGTGACTTACGTTAGTCCTTCCAGTCCCGCGAAATGAGAAACCGGGCAGCGTCGAATCCCGTTTGCACGCATGCGGTGGGAGGCCCCGTCATCCACGCAAGCCCCGTCGATCCTTTTTTGGGCCTTTTTTTCTTTTTCCTCCCGGCGAAAGAAAGGAGCACCGTTACATCTACGGAGTACATAGAGGGGCCAATCTCCCCCTTTCTACCAGGACAGGAGGGTTTCATTTTATTCGGGGACTCCCGTTTGGCGACGGATTCGAATAGATATATTTTTAATTTCATTTATTCTTATTTTATCTGCCCTACGGTGTCCCCGTAGAGAGAAGTACTTCTAGTCTCCGTTCACCGGAGTAGACTGTGTACTTATCCTCCTTCCCCTCTTCTCCTAATTAATAAATTAAAATGAATTAAAGAATCGGACCCCCTTTTTTCCCTCTCCCGCCCTAACGTGGCCATAACGTGACAAGTGACAACCCCTATCAGCCAATAATGGCGGGTCGCAATTATCGTGGGGTGGAGCCCCCCAGGGTCTCGATCGTTGCCAAGCAGGTCGCCCATTGCGTTATTGCTGTCCCCGATAACCGCTCTCTTAGGTAGCCCGTTTGGGTACTTTTGGGACCGTGTGACGAAATTGACCGCGGAGTGCCTGCAGATCGGCCTCCCTCCCCAGCACCCTGATACCCCGATCAGCGTTCAATGGAATCGGATTGAGTCCGTGTCGGCTGGCAATGGGATTTGTTTCGACGATCTGTCGGAGGCCGACCTGTTTCGAGAATTCATCATATATGTGTAACCGAGTCCTGACATGGCCAGCAATCAGCATATGATTGCCATTTCTGGATTCACAATCGGTACATGTCCACTTCTGATACGGAGTCCTGCGGAGTATATTCAGATCTTCTCGCTTTCTGCTTGACGATCGGATAGCCTGGGACTTTGCAACAGCTCGTCTCGGTGACGCAATTGCTTCGCGTGTCCGATCGTTAATGGGAGGGCTAGTTAGGGGTCCTCTATTCGCTTTCGACAATCATCTACCGAGTATTGATGTTTCAAGATCCAATACTGTAGATTTCTATATTTATATTTATACACTGGATAGATCGGAACTGGACAACAACAACCACCTCCTCCGGAACATTGCTTGCTCCAAAGGATTGTCCTACAATAATAGGTACGGAGTGCACTATTGTTAGTAGGAAGTGTCCTTGGGACTCAGGTGCACACTGCTCAGTCCCTCCTGAGGTCTCCCTACGCTACATACCAAATGCATATGCATCGTAGTCCTCTTAATACTTCTCCTATCAAGTGACTTGCCCCCTAAAAACAATAACTACCTGCAAAGCAGGGGATAAACATCCCACGAGGAGCTCCCAACCCCAGTCTACTATCGATTCTTAAATTAGCAGTTGTACACGCTAATCAATTGCACTATCGACACGTGCTTAAATGTGCGTTACAGGCGCAAATATCCGACATATCAATTGCTTTCAATGCTAGTCTCCAGTGAGAGAGCAATCGGTCAAGATGGTCTAGCATGTGGAATATCCTTTTCTTCCAGAACTACCCTGTTGCATATGCTGGCAGTGGTGCAAATACCAGGTGCTAAGAATATGTTGCGTATTATTATTTTTTTGGTGTTGCACTACGTTAATAGGATGGTGTTGGCAGAGTCCAAAATACACCATCATCCCGGTTTTTGATTCTTGTCTCGGTAGGAGAGGCTCGAAATAGACCTCTTCTGGATGGGTTCTTCACTTCTTACCCTTTACAGAAGACGCATTGCTCTTTCCTTTCTGAGTGAAAATCAAAATTCGGAGGAAAAGGTGGTGTTGATTACTCAGCGAATTGGAGGATATGTCTGCCTAATTAGGTCTAGTCCCATCAGTCCGTCCTGCTCCTCCATTCGAACCATCAACCTGCAGGTTATCAACTTCGCGTCTAAACACTTCAGGTGCGCTCCGACGGCTCCTCTTATAATTTTCTTTATCATGATCATAATTATGATATCATATCCACCCTCAAAAATTCAACTGCGCGGCAAATCAAGATCAATGCGCGAATCCATTCCTGATATCCCTTGATGCCTCTACAACATTCCTCTGTTTCCCCCACAAGAGCGTTGCAGTTCCTCCTGATGGCTTGGACCCCAGATTTTATCCCTTCGGCCCTGATTCTGGGATACCATTCCTCTCAAGCAATGCGCTTGACGTCATTTTCCTGGGAACTCTAGCATGCATGCCTTCGCCGTCACAGAAGAAACGGTATCTGGTATGGCTGGGAGACAGGGACAACGTCCTGGATACCACAACGACGAGATGTGATCTCGCGGTGCTGTACTTGACTATTAAAGTGCGTTCTGCATCGACTTGCTTGTCTGTTGTGGGCCTACGAGCCATCCCATAGCTGCTGTGCAGTTGGTCAATCTGTTTTTGATACCCCCATCGAACGCACAATTATTTCCTGTGAACTTGAACCATTCTAGCCCGTCAGATATTTCCCTTGCCTTCTCTTTTATCTCCATAAAAAAAATATGCATATAGCACGGTCTTGGTCTGCAGCTTCCCTGCTTCTAAGCAGTTTACATGCCTGGGGGGTGGATGCCATTGAACCTGTCACTGCCGTGGGATCCAAGTTCTTCCACGAAGACGGGACCCAATACTTTCTCAAAGGTGCATACATCCACAGCTTTCACTTACCACTAGTAGAACCCACTAGCTAATGCCCAATCCTCTCTAGGCGTCGCCTACCAGCTCATCCCCGACGATCCTCTTGTTGACACGGATCAATGCACGCAAGACATCGCGCGCATGGCCGAATTGGGCACCAACGCTATCCGAGTCTATCATGTGGATCCCGATGCCGACCACGATGGCTGCATGACCGCGCTTGCAGATGCAGGTATCTACCTGTTCGTGGACCTCGACACATTCGACACTGCTATCCATACGGTTCGTCTCTTCTGGTCTCGTGCCTAATAACCACCCGCCCATTTGTTAGTGAAAATCAACTAAACTTGACCATCCTGCAGGACGACCCACAATGGACTCGGGAGCAGTTCGACCGTTACACGGCCGTGCTGGATGAATTCCAACAGTACAATAACACCGCCGGCGTCTTTGTTGGCAACGAAGTCATCACCTCACCGGACAACTCGGATGCCGCGCCCTACGTGCTCGCCGCGGCGCGCGATATCAAGTCCTACCGTAATGAAAAAGAGTACCGCCAGATTCCCGTGGGCTATGCGGCAGCCGATATCGCCGAGCTGCGGCCTATGGTGCAAAACTACATGGCCTGTCGTCCGGACTCCACCGAGCGTCTGGACTTTTTTTCCCTGAACGCCTACGAATGGTGCGGCGACACCACCTACAAGGAATCCGGCTACGAAAACCTCCAGGAGCAGGCGGAAGACTACCCCATCCCGATCTTCTTCTCCGAGACCGGATGCAACGTCGCCCGCCCGCGTACCTTCGGCGACCAGCGCGCCATCTTCAACGAGCCCATGTCCGACACCTGGTCCGGTTCCATCGTCTACGAATGGATCCAGGAGACAAACGACTACGGTCTCATCAACTACGGCGACCCCGTTGATCCCGCCGCCACCGCTGGCCCGAATGACCGCGTCGCCCAGGACGGCTTCGTCCGCGAGGGATCTCCCAACCCTATCGCGCCGGACTTCGACAACCTCAAATCCCAATGGGCCACCCTGAACCCTACCGGCGTCGCCCTCCGCGACTACATCCAGTCCACCGCCACCATCGCCCCGGCCGAATGCCCTGCCCCCACGGCCGGCGGCTGGGACGTCGACCCTAGCGCACCGCTCCCTACCCTCCAGGAAATCTTCCACACCGCTGTGCCGACCATCCCGTCCGGTACGAAATCGGCCCCGGCGCGATCGGGCTCTGTCACCGTCTCCTCCGGTGCAGGCTCTTCTCCGACAGCTGCGGGATCGTCGTTGGCCTCCCCCATCTCTGCTACCTCATACAACTACACGCTCAGCAACGCCGGCAGTGCCGTCTTTGTGCCTGGGACCCTGGGCTTCGGGCTTAGTCGGCTTGCGGATGGGTTCGTCTTGCTGAGTGCGTTGGTGGGGTGTCTGGCGGTTTGGTTGTGATGACATTCCCTTTCGTTTTTCCAGCTGGCTGGGAAATGTAATTCGGGTGTTGCAATTCTTTTAAGTTGTCTTTGATATTGCATTGTGATGATAGTTTCCATGTTTAGGCTTTTTTGTTGTCATTTCTTCAGCGTACTGGGGGTTTTTTTTTAAAGTCGAGGGGGATTGTGAGGAGGACAGAAAGAAAGTCGGTGCTGGTTCACCGTTGGTGGAAATTAGATAGATAGTTGGTTTGTCCAAGTAGGTAGATAGAATGAATGATAAACGGTCTTGTTATCCCAATGTTATTAATAATTTTAGCAAGCTAGGTAACTAGTGGTATGCGTCTTTCTTTTTAGAAAATGAAAACGGACTGTACATTTAATGGAAAGAAGGGGGGCAAGTAGTAGGTACTGTAGATATAGCCCGGTTTAGGTAGTCATTGAAACCTGTCACGGAGTATCGATTATTCTGTTCCTCTTGGGGGAAAAGCCACCAGTGATCAGGTTGGATAACGGAGAACGCTTCCCTCTAATTGCATCCCCATGGCTCTGAGCTATCCAAGCGTTGCCAATACCTGTAGAGCCGCATAAGATGCTACGATTCCGGTGACTACTACCTTAGACGCAAACTGCATCCTGTTACGCGCTTATCACAGATGAAGTCAATTCAAAACACCCCGCTTGAATGTCACTATCAGCATGATCAACGTGGTCGACGGATTCCGACGGCATCCCGCCGCGCCCAAGTGGACCATGTCCTAGAACGGGTATATGACCCGCCAAGCTTCCATCTCGATGGTCCGCCACCAAGAGTAGCAGGAGGAACAATAATCGATGCCCAACTCTCGTGGCGCACCCGTGTGAATCACAATAGAATATAATAGAATGATCCAGATTTCCTTGTTTAGTCAAAGGCAATGTCAGTGCTGGTAATGCAGCTTTCCTCCTCAGGATCAGAAATCGTGGATCGTACAACAAGACCGGCATCCCACCTGGCCTACCCTCTAGCTGGATAATTAATCAGCTAAATGAACAAGCAAATGGATGGCAAGACACCTACCGATATAAAAGTCAGCCGGGCTTCAGCAATACCACTGTCTCATATTCGACGGCCAAGATAACCACTGGTACCATCCAAATATGCAGTGAGTCTCCCATGACAACAACCACTTTACTCTTCCCTAACGCTCAACCAGGCATCAATCGACTACGGCCGTCCCAGCCAACGACGCAGCCTATTACGACCTTGGCTCGTACAATCGATCAGTGACCACTTCTTCAGCAGGATGCCAATTGTGGTTTGACCGTGGGCTGATATGGGCATATTCCTTCAATCGCGCCGAAGCAGAACGGTGCTTCGAACGGGCTGCTGCAAATGACCCTAACTGCGCGATGGCAGGTTGGGGGTTGCGTATGCAGCCGGTCCCAATTACAACAAGGCGTGGGCCTAGAATTGGCTCTGCCTGCTGCAGATCGACTACGAGGCATGGTTCCTCACGCTTCGCACATGCTGCATATGCCGACTCACATTGATGCAGCAGTTGGCGACTACCGTCGTGGTGTCAATTCTAATCAGGAGGCTATACTTGCCGATGACATCTATTTTGCCAGAGAGACAGACACCACTGCGTATGTGGCCTACAGAGTGCATACATTTGCGCAAAACTGTATTCGGCTATGATGTCCGGTCGATTTGCAGACGCGATGTCCGCTGCCGAAAAGCTCGAACAAATTATCGATGACAAGCTACTCTCGATCAGAAGCCCCCAATGGCAGACTTTGTCGAGAGCTTCTTGCCAAGTATGGCGCACGTTCTGGTGCGTTTTGGTCACTGGGAGGAGGTCCTTGACCTTAGTCTTCCTACCGATCGCGATACATATTGCGTGACTACCGCAACCATATACTACGCTCGCGGTCTGGCATTAGGTGCGCTTGGACGGATTGAAGAAGCCGAAGCCGCCCAGAGGGAATTCGAAGCGGCGCGTAAGGCTGTCCCCAGCTCCCGACTCAACAGTATCCCATGCAAGGAGGAAGATGTTCTCGCAGTAGCCTCGGCTATGCTGGCCGGTGAATTGGAATACCGAAAAGAGAACATTGAATCTGCATTCGATTTTCTTCGGGAGGCCATTTCGCGCGAGGATGCACTCGCATACTCGGACCCGCCTCCCTGGATGCAACCCGTCCGCCATGCGCTCGGTGGCCTGCTCCTAGAACAGAACCGTGTTGAAGAAGCGGAGACCCTGTTCAAGCAGGATCTTGGTTTTGCGCACAACTATCCCCGTCGTAAGGCAAAGCTCAACAATGTGTGGGGATTGCATGGCTTGTATGAATGTTTCACTCGCCTTAGGAAGACCGACGAAGTGGCGTTTCTTCAACCAGCGCGGGATATTGCTTTGGCATCTGCTGACGTCCCAGTGAATGTTTCGTGTTTCTGTCGGAGGTCTGCAGCAAAGGCGAGTGGATGTTGTTCATAAGATGGAGTTGGATGGTCGTCGTGTATAAATTTTGTGAAATGCTGTATGGACGGAGTAGCCTTTATTCTTTATTTCTCCTTCAAGTAGTAAGTATTAGGAATCTCATCAAACACTGTTCGTGCATAGCAAAAGCAACATCTCATGCTTCAAGGGACATAATAGATGAATAAAATGGTTCACAGTGCCATCTTCCTTGCCAAAGGGGAGATTAATTGGTCGGAAACTCACCATGGAAAGCACAATACTATGACAGGATTGTCCCCTGGAAGTATTTTACATTCATCTATGATTTATAATCCATCCTAATAGACAGCCTTGGGAACTCCTGGAGTGCTCCAGCAGACCTTGTGCATGATACCTGCGTCTTCAAAGATCCTCGCCAGATCCTCCCCATGCTCGGTGAAATGCTCCCAATCTTCAAAGTGCATGGGTACCATGATATCGGCTCCGATGTCCTGCACCAACTGTACCGCCTGCTTACCATCCATGGTGATTTGGATTGGGCCAATCGGAAATTCAAAAGTTGCATTGCCCAGATTGAGGACAGCCGCCATGACATGCACGCGATCCTTAATTTTCTTCAGCTCATCAATATACACAGTGTCGCCGGAGAAGTAAATTGCGTTCGGCTTGCCACTTGGCCCGTGGACACCAAAAGAATCACACTCGAGTATGAATCCTGTAACCTCGCCTACGGGGAAGTGCTTGCAGGGGGTGCCAGTGATGCGGAATTCTTTGCCGCCAATGATTGAGGTCACCGTCTCCCACGGCTTCAAGCCGACGACGGCTGGACGCGGCTGGAGATTTCTGGCCCCGTCTATAGTGGTAAACACACGGCGTCCATCGAGGAGCTTCCGACCTTCGGGGTCGAGATTGTCATAATGATCTTCATGGCTGAGGAGGACTGCATCGATCGGCGGCAGTTCGTGAAGCTTCATCACTGGAGGCTTTGATAGTGAGAGTACTGAGGGTGGAGGGATCTCATCCAGGCCAAAGTCTTCCTTGAGGCGTGCCTTCGACCAATCAACATCACTAGGAAAGTCGCCTATACCTCCGAAGTAAGGGTCGGTAAGGAAATTGATCCCATCGATGCTCAGAATGGCCGTGGCCGTCGTGATGTGGGTGAAGGTGAAGCTGGTATTCGCCGGTGAAGGCATAATTAAGGATAGTGGGAGAAACGAATGATGACCCAACACAATCAAAAACTGGTAGAACTGTGAATCTCAGTATCAATTCTGTGCGGGGACCCTCCAGCACTTAAATAGACCTTCTGGAACCTTTCTATGCGCTTCTTTTTCTATTCACCAATGAGCCGGAAAGTGTTTAGTCAAGATTGGTAACCCAGCAGAGTCTCCACTATTTAGCCCATGGCTCATTATGTAGGCGATCTGTAAGTCTTGATTAGTTATAGGTCTATCCAGATGGTCGGTATCCCGCCGAGCCGGGGTGTCGGTATCCCGCCCACGCGACCAAGGAGGCATGAACATTGCTGTTATAAGCTTGACAGGCGCCATGACATGTGATTAATAAACCGAATTGAAATATGTTTCTAGGACATGCCTGGTCTACCCTACAGGAGGAAATGGGACGCTATTGCGGATCAATAGGGTTCGACCGCTGATTGGCCGAGATTTCTTATGGTTTGAGTGCGGATCAATCGTGAGCGCGTATCCCATCTGACCTGGATAGTGCTGCTTTCCTCCCTGGTCCATCTTCCACGTTTTTCAGGATGGCGGCGCAGCTCTTTGAGCATCTCCCCAAGCTCCAGGTGATGATCCGCCATTCCTGCCAGTATGCGGTTTGGCCGGCCGAGCTGGAGTATCACCTGAAGCAGCAGCATCAGCTCCCCCATCCCACCGTTCAGGGGATCATCCAGGTGATCCAGCAATGGGAGCATCTGGCGCCAATCCATCAGTCCATCCGCCTGCCCCGCGTACTTGATCAGCCACTGCCCATCGTCCTATGTTATTCCGATGGGATGCTCTGCCAGCGGGATCCCCAGTAATGCTACTATATTGCAGCGATGATGAACTCCATGCGGAAACACTGGCGTACCCTTTTGGGAATCCGTTTTACCTGGAAAGACGGGTCTATTCAGTTAGACCAGGAAACCTACACCAGACAGATTCTGGAGGAGTTTGGAATGGCTGATTGCAAACCTGCAAGTTCACCGCTGAGCCCAAGCATCAAATTAGACTCAGATAGCCCACGTCTAGACCGTCAAGATCACAAGGTATTCCGCAGATTGATTGGAAGAATGATGTTTTTGGTGACAGGCACACGCCCAGATGTTACATTTACAGTCAATCAATTATCCCAGTATCTTGCGGAACCAGGAAAGGTTCATCTTGCTGCGGCCAAGCATGTGTTTCGGTACTTGAAAGGCTCTATAGACTATGGGTTAGTCTATGGTACAAAGGGGAGTCAGAAGAGAGGACTTATTGCTTACTCGGATTCTGCATACGCCAATTCGAAGGAAAACAAGTCTACTACCGGTTTTATCTTTATGATAGATGATTCACCCATCTGCTGGAATAGCCGAAAGCAGTCGGTAACAGCTCAGAGCTCTACAGAAGCCGAATATATCGCGGCTTCCGAAGCTGCTAAACAGGCGATTTGGTGTCGGCACTTTCTATATGCAATTAGGAAGGAGGCTATATGTCGTCGAGCTCCAACTATCATCTTTAAAGATAACCAGGGAGCGATCAAGATTGCTGACAATCCTGTCAATCACCCAAAGACCAAGCATATTGCAGTGCGATACCATGCGATTCGGGACCATGTCAATAATGGAGAGATACAGCTTGAATATCTCCCTACCGATCAAATGGTTGCAGACGGTTTGACAAAGACTACCAATAAGATTAGCCAGGCTCGATTGGCTAAAGGTTTAGGCCTCATCAAGACTGGTGAGGATGGTTAGATTCAACACACAGGTTTTATTGGTTGATTCAAGCCCTCAACTCGCTCCATTCATTTGTTTTATAAAGCTTTCTGAATTCTGCGATATTGAGCGAAGGGGAGTGATGTGATGTAATTAGCTCGGAGGCCGGGAACAACATTAGTCCGTCCAAGGCTCATATTTTGCAGAGGCCACAATCCTCTTCAAACATCTAAGTACTCAAGTATCCCTGTACTCTAGGCTACGTTTTAGATAGAGTATTACTCTATTCATTTGCATTCTCCTTATGGCTTAGGCCTCGTACAGCTCGGACCGATCGAACTCCCCTATTCCTCTGAGCCCAACCACTTCAGTAGTTATTTACATGCCCGTTAGCGGGGACGTCACGTGTGCACGTGCGCATGTGTTGACTTAACCTTGCGGGAGACGCGAGCTTCGCGCGTTCCACCCACACGTCAACAAAGGCCACGCTTGAAAGGTTCTAGCATTGGGATATCAAGTATGCCGCTAAAACGAGGGAAAGGTTCTCGAACCGCAGAAGAAAAGGAAAGGAGGGTATTGTCTGCAATTTCGGCTGTTGAAAAAGACAGATTATCCTCTATACGGAAGGCAGCTCGTCGGTACCAAGTCCCCATAGCAACACTACGGAATCGGCTTGGGGGCCCCGCACCAAACCATCGAAAATGCAGGCAGCATCACGAATTGAACCAGGATGGAGAGGATTCTCCCGCGCAGTCAGATGTATCGTTGGTTCAACAAGGAGCGGCTCCCTCGCTTTCAAATGCGAGAAATGGCCAATGTGCTTCCCACCAAGTGTCATGGTTTGATCAAGTGCAAACGACCGTCATACAGCATGAGATTGCAGCGGAGGATATCTACAATTTCGATGAGACTGGATTTGCCATTGGCCCTTTAGCTTCTACTCAGGTAGTGATGAAGAGTGATACGGTTGAACCAGCCTCACTCTCTCAGCCCGACAATCGAAGGTGGGCCACTTCCATGGAGTGTATAAACTCTACTGGAGTAGCGCTCCCACCTTGTATTGTCTTTAAGGGAATGTATCATCTCGAATGCTGGTATACAGAGACCGAGTTACCCGGCGACTGGAGTATAGCAGTCACTCCCAATGGATGGGCTACTGATGAGATTCGACTGTACTGGCTTAAAAAGCTCTTTATTCCTTTTACTAGCCGTGCAGCTGGGAGGGTCCGACTGCTTATTTTCGACCAAGACAGTTACTTGACGCCTCAATTCCGCCAAACGTGCAAGGATAACAACATCATTCCCATTTGCCCACCGACATATTCCCGCATCCGACTGCCTCTTGAGGCGGGCTGCCTGTCATCTTTAAAACGCGCTTACAGGCGACGGGCGGAGAACCTCATGCGTGGAGGCTCAAAGTACATCGACAAGCTTGACTTTCTTGCATCATTCCTTGAGATACACAGAGAAGTGTATAAAGCAGAAAATATCAAGGATGGCTTTTCTGCGACTGGAATGACCCCTCTCTGCCGAGAGAAAGTGCATTTTCGCCCCAACACTCAACTAAGAGAAGCCACACCACTGGACTGCGGTCCACACCCAGCAGAGTATCTACGTAAAAATTTGTTGGGCAAGGAAATATCTGTACTCAAGCAACTTCTCAGAGAAGAGCCAGAGACATTACGTCTTTCATCATCCGCCAAAGCGGCACTGGGCCGGTTTATTAAGCAAGCTGAAAAACTCGAGCGCTATACCCAGGAGCAGCTCAAAGAGTATGATGAACTACGGGCCTCGATTCAGGAGAACGAGGAACGCACGCAGGCTGAGGAAGAAGCCGAGGAAGCTTACCAAGGACCCTGATACCCGATAGATCAAGCCGCCATAAACTCCTTTTTTACTCAGTTATTAGGTTACAATTTCTCCCGTCGTTCATATCTTTGCTACTCCCTTAGGCTTAATGTGAATGTTCGCGTTCGTAGTCTTGACCAACATTATCAAAAACGAGCAAGTAAGCGGACTCTGTCTGGCCGCACCAGCCCATCTAATACATCCGCTACCACAACCTTGAAGTTGTCCACACTCTCGAAGGCATATTTCTACCTCTTTTTGAAACTTGTCTTTTGGGGATCATATTTGCGTAGTTATAGAGGCTCTATTTTAGCCAAGTCTTCGATCCCGGCTATTAAGACTTTTGAATTGAACGAAGCCTCATACAGTCGTGCAAATCAACTGCCAAATATGACTTACTAATACTGGAGAGTCCATGAATTACGAACCGCGGATGTGCCCGTCGTATTTGTTGGGAGATAGGTTGCCAAAAGAAGACCTTACTCCAATTCGCCATGTTAGATGCTCAATCCACGAAGTTATCTGATATAGTGTCAACCGTATGTGACCGCTAGTCACATAGGAAACCTTCCTATTCCGGATATCGGTATTGGTAACACCGATCCCTGAGGATTATGCAGATTTTTCTGTTATTTCCATGGTTCAAAAGTTATATCTCTTCTAGTTGCCTTTTTCAGGCTAGATTGCTTATTAATTTTTCATGTATTTAAACCACCGTGTGCAGCTAGATTGAAAGAATTAGACCTTCATCATTCGATATTCCTATGGGTAACATTACTAGCAATTACGCCTAGAGAAACGGCCAACATATAGGAACACCCTGTAGAGCATACAGACATTAGGAGACCGCAAACTGGCTACACATCGCAAGTAATTAAAAGAAGATAAGTTATAACCCATATATTTAACAGAAGGCCGAGAATTAAAGTGGAGTCCTCTCGGATGCGTTTGTTACCTCCTGAGGCCAGGGAGCTTCCCTGTACGGAGGACTGGAGGAACGTTCCGGTTAGTTAGTATAGGATCAAGGGATCCTCCGCGGTAGGCATCCAGGAACATTCCTAGGGATCCTGCAGGCAGTATATAGAGTCCCTGGATCCTCCCCCCTAGATAGCCTTTCCTCCCTATGGGAAAATTCTTTGACTACGAGTCATAAACAAACTTGTCTTTTACTAAGCTCCTTTGTAGACCGTCACAGCGTTTAGGTCTAGTTACCTATTATTTCTAGGATTGCGGACAGACATCGGTGGGGTCGGTGTCTAAAATGGATCAATAAACGGGAAGCTTGTCTGACAGGTACGTATTCGAAGACTATGACAGTTTCTTCATGTCAGTAGATCAGGGTCTGTAATATGCAGAGCATTCCTCTGAAGTCCAATGGAGTATACGAATTGGGTCAATCAACACCAGGCACCTTTTTTTTTTTCCTAATTGGTTCCTTCGAGTAGGTCGGCAAAGATATACGTGCTTGCCAGCCAGGTTCACAAACCGGTCGGAAAGTGATGGCCAACCAACGAAGCTGCGCCGCAAATTTACCGCAGGTCCACATCGGGACTATTGGGAGAGGGGAATTTCGCAACTGTAAATATAAGAAGTTAATAAGTTATAACAGATATAGGCGTCAGCCTAACGAAAGAGAACAGCGCGGTAGAGCTTATTTATATGATTTATGTGCACCATTTATTTAACTATATAATGTAGCCGTAAGTCGTCCTAGTAGCTAATTCTGTTTTACAATCTTTGCAAAGCATATCTACCCTCTCTTCTGCTGTGATGGCAGCGCTTTACCCTTCCTTTGGACAAAAGGCGCACCGTAGTTCGTTAATCGCAAGCTCTTTGAGAAGCAGGAGTACGATCGGGACCTCCAATCTGCTTTTGCAGACGTATCCAACACAAGGGGTGGGCGATAGTACCTATAATGTCGTGCATTCTCCGGTCCGGCGATATCGCGACTCAGAGTCCCATTTCACCTCATCGTTGGGTGCAATTTCGCACAATGTGGATGACTACCCAGAGCACAGATTACAGGATCAGCTGCACTACCAGAAGATAGCAACCATGTCAAAATTAATGTACCCAACCCGCCCTAAATCTCCCAGATAATGCTGTCGCTAACTACTTCAACAAGACACTAACGCTTATCTCTCACGGCCCATGATTTCCGAAACCGGTACATTATGATCCAATTCCACGGGTGGTTTGGTCATTCCGGTGCCATGAGGATATACATAACTAGAGGGGTGGCCGTGCGTGACATTATACGTGGGAGCGGGCGTACTCCTTGCACGGAATCTCTCCCGACGCTCGAAAAGCGCCCACGCTAGAAACGCCAGCATGAGTGTCCCCAACGACACTCCAAGTCCCGCGCCAATAGCTATCTCCCGGCTGGACGAGCCCCCAGAGGGCTCTGCCTTGGTCGCATTGGTCGCATTGGTCACCTCGGGGGCATTGAAGGATGACACGTTTTGGAGAAGGGCATGGCCGAATAAAACGCCGTTATCGGGTAACGTGAAGGTTGACTGGCCATCGCAGCCGTAACTTCTGTTATCAACGCTTCCGAACCATGTGCAACAGTACGTGTGCTGTCCGTTCTTATTGTCCTCCCACTGGAGCCAATAAGGGTCGCCGACCTTGTCTATTGCATGAGAAGTAAGCAAACAAGTAAGTACTGTGGCAGCAGGAAGCAGAATCGACTATTCCGCTCGGCGAAAGACTAGGGAATAGAAAACACAGTAGTCCGACGTACTGCAATGCTCTGGACATCCCTGATCCCATTTTGAGTTCGTACATGCCCCTCGATACATCACGTACGGCTGCTCAATTGACATGCAGAATCCGTTCTTTAGACAAATGGAGTTGGACTTGCAACATGAGGTGTATTCCCGAGAGGAGCAGGGGACTTGATCCGATGCGCTTTTACCGTCGGGCGTATAGCATATCCGGCTATCGTTCGACATCGTGCGTGACGGCGCACGATACGTTGACTGGGGAAAGTAGATGTCAAAAATGCTGAGGGAACAGCCTCATCTCTCTCGCAAATACAGGTCGGTTTAAGGGGAGAAAAGGGGAGCACGGCAATGCGGGGGATTTTATGGCCCTGGCATGTGCTAGTATTCAAAATGGACTTGGCTGTATTCAGACCGTAAGGTCGAACACAATGATCCTATATGTATGGTCTGTCGAGTCAACGGCGTTGTAGTCGAGGCTACGCGCGACAAGGATTGACAGGGGAGCTGACTGTCGGGTTTTATGATTCCAGACACCTCTGACGGCCCCCATTCATCACCGCTGCGACGACGAAACACGAGTAAAAATTACACAAGTCCGTTCGAGTAATAACTGATAAGCATATTATGATGTGCCAAGGCCGACCAGAAACGGCGATCATTACGTTTCTTCGCTGCCAAAGCCCTCGACTTTGGGGGCGTTTTCCGGGGTGTCTGGGGATCAGCCAACGGAGGGATATGGTCAGTTTGGGGCTGAAATGTCCACACCCGTCAGCCCCTGAAAACTACCGTTACATATTCTGCTGTTCAGGAAAGGAAGGATGATGACTACACTAATTCAAATAAGTTAGTTAACTAGAAGCTTATTTAGTTAGTATAATAATTAGGTGAATTCTGCCAAAAAGTTAATGTTCTAGTTTGACGACACTATTTAATACTTGAGAATGTATCTTTTGGGCCATTACTTTGGTGACAAGTGGCTGGGGTAGCATATTCAATACTTTTTATCCTGCGCATATTAGAGCCAAGTAAGGGGGTTCTAGCGGTTCTCGCGATGATAGCGATAGAGATGTTATAGAGATCTAGTCACTTTTGTTCCTGGCTGGCGTTAAGAAACAATAGCGCCGTGTCACAAGGAGATCGATGAGGAAACCTTCGGGACAAAAGGCCCCCCTACAGACAGGGCGTCTGAGTGTATTCGGATTGATGAGATCGCCATCGACATAGTGTTCAAATGTTTTGAGCCAGGTAGAGTATATTGTTATGATTGCGCCTATACTTACCACCACAAAGCGACTGGGATAAAACCAATAGTCGAAAACAGGCTGATTTGGCCAATCGATGACCCGGTCTATTCATCAAGCTCGCTATAACATCCACTCAATGGTCCTATAAAAGAGTCGTCTACCTTCGTAATCAATCTGATTGAACCTCATATGATGACCGCAACTTGACCGGGCATCCCCAGCGACAACGTCATCACGGCAACAAAATCATCAATGGTCAGCAGGAGTGATTGAAGCTGTCGCAGCGACCACATCCAGTTTCCAGCACTCTGCGAGTCTGCTTGAGTCATTTGCTGGAGGGGGTTACAGGGCTCTGGATGCTCCGGACATTGTGGTCAATGGCGGGGCCCTTGACGCCCCCTCTCCCTAGCTCTGCGTAGGACCTATCGGTAGCCGCTTGCCATGTGGAACCAGTATGATGCTGATGCTCCTCAATGCAGTTGCTTGGTATAGAAGGAGCTTTGGAAGCGCCTAGGGACTGTGGAAATTGATCTTGCATCGCTATGGATTAAGCGCCCGGCGACATGAAGGTGGGAGGAAACGCCAATGGAGACTGACCTCTTTGTCTAGACTTCTTTTTATAGCAGTCCATAACCATTGGATCTTGTCGCGCCCAGAGGCTCTTGGGTGATGTATGGAATCTAAATCATGGGTTGATATAGAGGCTTCGTTCCCTCAAGCCGAATCCTCCCTGCCGTTGATACATCTTAAATCGAGCCTACCCATCTCTATGGAACCTGCACGGCCGCAAAAACGGCATCATCTCAAGTACGCCCAGGTACGCATTAATTTTGGTACGGTCCATTGGTCCTTAGACATGGGACTGTGACGTAATTTGACTCTACTCCAGGCAAGCAAATCTCCCGCATCGTGTCTAGCAGAAGTCTTTCGTCCAAGCACGTCGCTCTGGCGTCGCATTCCGAACCAAGGATCCAAGGCACAGATGCGGAAGCCTCCATCGATTTAAGCTGAGTCAGAGCATCTGTACACGCGGTGCTTTTCAAATTGTCAGAGTCTTCCTTCCCACTATTCACGATGCGTCTATCTCGCCTTTCCCGGACCCAATGAGCTTGATAGTCATGCAGTTTGGAGATACGAAGGTGCACAAGCTCCTTCTTATAATGTAGCCGTTCATATTCAACGGCTTCGGAATCTCCTTTCTCAATGAACTCTTGGGTGCGAGACCTTATTGCCACTAATTCGGGAGATGCTAAGATCGCCTCCTCGACTTCGGCAGGTAGGGAAACGGGTAGTCCTAATTCCCGAAATTGACGATGGCCTTGGAAGTAATCTATATGGGAAGTATCTTTCTTTTTATTAAGAACGTCTCCTACCGTATCAATCGACGAACAGTGTGCTTGATAGTATTCGGGGTATGTCTTGTCGGTTTTGTGCGCATAGATCTGTGAAACAGGCGCAGAGCCGTGTCTGGCTAGGGAAAACGTAAATCTATATGAAACAGAAGTCGAGTCCGATTAGCAACCTACCTTCGATTACTTTCCCCAGGTTCAAGCGTATATTATGGATTGAAGTGTCCTCCGGGTAAACGGCAATCATAAGAGCCGCACGAAAAAATTGGTAAAACCTCTCTATGTTAAGAGGCAGGTCCTGCGGTCCATCCTTAGCAGTAATATTCGGGAAAACGGGCTTGTTCAAGGCATCGTCTTTCCAGCGCAGTGAGATTTCGGTAATCTGCCCTCTTCGGAGATCGAACTGAGCTAGGTTAATATCAAAGAGCACTTCCTGGGCAAGTGCAAGCACAAGAAGAAAAATTCCCGACGTAAACTGAGGACAATCATGATCTCTAGTCCCGATTCCGAGTCTATAGATCTGTTAGTAAAGCCATGAGCTAATGGTATGATCTTGCCTAATGCCGAAGAGGAAAACCATACACTGTATACTTGGGGTTTCGGTTGTTCTTTAACTATCTCTGGTTAATCTGCCATCCTATTTTGTAAAGTTCATTTTCGGATCGGAACAAAACTAGCTGTATGTCCTGCATATCGTCAGCATGGCCACACCTACGAGCCATGGTAATCTAACCTTGAACCTAAGACCTCTTGTCTTTCTATATTTTGCAGGAGGAATAAATGCTCCAATCCTCGCCCCGGTAAAAAGGTAGACCTGCAGGACAAACACAAGGACCTTGAGAAGACCGTACATGAAGATAGGGCTGCCACGACCCCACAACGATGCAGCCGTGTTTCCAATATCATCTTTATTGAAAGGAAAATTTGGTTTCCTGATGTCTTCGATGAAGTCATCTTCTGTCAGCGTTCGTTTTATCCACTAGAGTCGGTTAGCGTAGGGAGTTCTTTTCGCGAAACGGCTACTTGCCTAGTATATTTCTTGACGATCTTCTTGTACAATCTGATTCCGAGTGGCGGCCTCAAAGCTCCCCAAAAACCTTTCAGGACACGCTAGAGTGATCCGTAAAGTCCCTCTCTTGTTCTTGCTGAGCCTTAATGATCTTTCAGTCGAATGTACATACCAACGGATAAATTACTTGATGGTCACAGTGTCGGGCGCTGGGCAGCCCTCTTTTATTTCGTAACCAGGTAGCTCAAGCCCATCTTCCACTAGGAATCTGACACTGAAGTGAGTTTGGGTAGGGTGAAAGATCAGTCGCATTCACTTACTCTTGAAATAGCTTTACGTAATTGGACTGTAGCTGCTTGACTTCGTCAATGCGTTTATGTTTTCTACGCTCAGAGTCCTGTTCCCTATAAGCGGTCGGAATATAGCCACTTGCCAAACGTCGCTGACGGCGTTTTTCTTTTTGGGCATCCTCACGTCGAGAATGACCCTTCTTCGGACTCATAGCCATTATATGGGTACGCCACAAAACACAAAATAATGGATGAGAGAAGCCAGAAATTCAAGTTGGAAGAGATAGACAGGAAAATATCAGAAGCAATTTGCCTGTAGAAAATAAAAAACTACCTCTTCCAGCTGGGGAAGAAGCTGGCTTTTTATACCTTCGTTGCCAGCCATTACCCGGTCAAATCAATGATCATCATCGACATTTCCTTGCACAACCCAAGGCAATCACTACACGGGGTTGAGACACTACTTGCGCCGTTTATTATTCCTCTCCCCATTTTATTTATTTATTTATTTTTTTTTTTTGCCCGGGGGTGGACTGGAACGAGTAAACGTGAGAAATGCCCGTGTGGACCGTTCAACAGGCCTGGTTATTAGACTAATCGCATAACTAAAATAGAGGGCAGGTGAGTATGAAGTGGTCTAGCTCAGAGGAATTGTGGAGTTCGATCGGTCCGAGCTGTACGAGACCTAAGCCATAAGGAGAATGCAAATGAATGAAGTGATACTCTATCTAAAA